ATCCTTCCATTTGACGTAGTCAATGTCGTTTGATGTTCTGGGCATTTTGGAGGAACAAATCGTGGTCAAATTGGCTGTGATTTCTATTGTTTACATTCTGTGTTGATGCCCCAGCGTACAGCTCGGTACGATGTTCCGCCAAGCCTGGCCCGAGCGTTGCGCCGCAGCGGGTTAAGGGATAGCTTTCCGGTGCGCACGTGATCAGGCGTCACCTGATCTATAGCACGTGATTATGATCGTGCTCGTGCTCGTGCTAGGGGGACGTAACAGATTGGATATAGTTACATCTTTCCTCGTCGGACTCATGTAGAGGCAACTTATCAGCAGTAGTTTGAAGAGACAGAGATATATTGGGACTTTCTCGTCCAACTGTTACTACCATTACATCATTATAGCCCCTCCGTTCCGTCAATTGAGCATTCCTTGCCTAGCATAGAGTCGAGCCTGTACCTTCGTTCACTCTTCTTCATCCTCGTCCTCGTCCTCTTCCTCATCATCATCGTCTTCGCCTTCTGCTGCGGTTACATTGAATATTGGCGCTTGGTCCACACCACAATAGCTGTCGCTCATCAGGTAGAGCGTTAGTTCATGTTTGCCAGCAGTTGGAACCACATATTCAAGCTTCGTCCTGAAGCTCTTCCCAAAAGTGATCCTCTTGATGGCCACCAGATTCTTTGTTGACTCTTCGCCAATGACCAACCACCAGTTTTCGCTCTTGCTACCCACAAAGTAGGGCGCATAGACCTCTGTCTTTGGTTCCTCATCCTCCTCAAGTTCCCTTTCGATTGTAATGTTGAGGCATGACGGGCTGCCCGCAACAATCTCCTCCGGGCGGTCCACTTCGAAAGAAAGTTCAACGTTGGGATAGTACTCATTCGTGAATTTGGAGACATCTAACAATTGCTGCCCGTCAAATCCAAGCTTCTCGATAAGGGCTTCGTATTGCGGGTATGTTTCTGGGTCCATCGCGTCCATGAACTCAAAGACATCGTTGATGTTGAATTCCTTGGCTGCCTTGAGTGCCTGATCATCGAAGTGGGGAAGTTGCTTCAGGGCACCATCCGATTGCCACATCGCTTGAACTACCATCTGGGACATCTCCATCGCAGTTGTTGCGTTGAGATGGCCTTCCGAAGAAAGAACATCTACACAAGCGCTAAGCAGGTTGAGGACCTTACGCAATATGAGCTCTTGATCTTTTGCCAAATCGACCGGCAGTTGCATGCGGGAAAAGTGAGCCTGTAGAAGCACGAAGGCTTTGAAGTGTGGTGACTCGTAGCTTGCTTCTGCCATCTTCACTGGAAGTCGATCGTAGATTCGACTCAAAATTTTATCTTCGTGGCGACGGATTTGTATGCCTTCAAATTCCGTTGCGGAGGTGACAATTTCGAGAATTCCCTTCAACTTCGTGCGGCCTGTGAGAGATAGCAAAAATGTCTGCATCGTGATGAAGGAGATGTTATAATAGGCTGCAATCATTGCTGGATTCAAGGGCGTGATGGAGTCATCGTCCTCGTCCAGCTCGATGATCTTAGCTTCGACGAGCTCCTTTAGTGATGTCTCAACAAGGTCGGAGAGATGAGCGTTCAGCCCATCCTGAGAAGGATCCGTAAGTCCGTAATAGCTGGGATTAGCCAGTAGTCGGCGATAGAAGTACGTGTAGGTCGACCAGTCGACTGCATCCTGCATTGATTCGATAGTCTTCGAACTAATCTCCGCTACGAAGGCATCGGGCAGGTAGCCTTGCAGCTGGCTCTCAATGGGGAGTGCCTCATGGAGAAATTTTTTGTAGTACTCGCGTTTCACGGCGGGGACCATGAGCACACTTTTGGCGGTCTTGTCCTCTCCGGTTCTTCCCGCCTTCCCGAACATTTGCAAAATCTCACTAATCGGGTAGTCGATGTAACGGTGTTCGCGGCCCTCGAAAAACTGTGTGCCCATAATGATAACGAGATGGGCATTTCGATCGATCTCCCAGCAGGAATCCCTTGAGACGAGCATGACTTGAATGGCACCAACCTTGAACAGATGCTGGACTGCCTTTTTATCGAAGGAGCTTAAGGCTTCGTGGAAGTACCCAATGCCATGAGATAGAGACTCCGCGAGTGCTCGTTCATTCACCTTTGCGAGCACAGGCGCGAGCTCATCTGGCGAGGCATTGAGAAAGCGATCCTCATCATCGTCTGCCAGACAGGCAGCAAGAAGATCTAAAGCTGTCGACCGGACCTGTTTTCGACTGGGAACAAAGACCATCGCTGATTTGCCAGGAGATAGCTGGATGATCGACTGGTAAACGGGTTTGGCCATTGCAAGCATCAAAGAAGGAAAGTGGGGTATCGTGAAGGATTGAATATGAAGTTCCAGCGGGACAGCTCGGATCTGGGGGCTGAAGTTGAATATCGTATGCTTTGTCGCTCCGATCCATTCGCCAATATCGCGAGCATTTGCAAGTGAGACGCTTAGACCGACTATGCGTAGTCCGGATTCCACCTGGAAAGCCATAGCATGCATGCGGGAGACAATGGCCTCATAAGTATACCCGCCCTGGCCTCCTAGCATGTGTAGGTCATCCGCAATCAGTAGCGCCACACTCTGCACATTCTTACGACGCTTCCACTGGCGGGAGATGATATCCCACTGGATTGGTGTTGCTAGGACAAGATCTCCGCGTTCTAGTAGTCGAAGGTCGGCAGTGAGGTCCCCAGTAAGCTTTAAGATTTCCTTGCCTCCAGCAATCGTCGAGAGCCGCTCTTTCCAGTCGATCAACCGGTTATCAACACCTTCCTGAAATGGTGCGATGTAGACAATGCGCCCATCGAGGTTTTTGGTCCAATGACGCAGGATAGCAAACTCCGCGCAGACTGTCTTTCCGATGCCCGTGGAAGCGCCAACAAATACATTGTCGTCCGAAGAGTAGAGAGAGTTGAAAACTTGAGTCTGGATCTTGTTGAAACGGCCCAAGCTCTCGTATAGACCTTGATATTCTTTGACTTTCAAGGCCGAGATAGGCAGTGGCTGCAGCTCAAGAAGAGGAGTGTGCGGAGGGAACTTCTCTGGAAGGATAAGATTCTGGAAGGAGACAGGGAACTTGAATTCAGAGTGCATCCATCTGTCTGAGATGACAGTCACAAAGTAATTGGGGGGCTTTGGCTCGGTGATGGGAACTGTGAAGTCGACAAGATGGTCGTTCATTTCGGCTCGTGAATAGGTCTTGCGCAGGAGGAATTGGTCATGAAACAGAATTTCTTCCCCGTCACAGTCTTCAACTAGAATCCAGAAGCTTTCGGCTGCCCCATGCAGTGCATCGTCCCACTCGAAATTCGGAGTTATAGTCAGCTCCATGCGGAGCATAGATCGCGTTACAGGCTGTACCTGAGCGGTCACCTCAAGGCGGGGAAATTTCTCTACAAGTCCACAAACCAGCTTGCCAGCCCTAGGCATGCCTAGAAGCTCGCCCATCCGTGGCGGGTCGAGATCAAAGAAGCTGGACCAGGGAACATCAATCCGCTCAGCTTTCTGGATCACATCGGGTGGACACATTGCTGTTTGCGTGGTAAACTGTCTGAGGGCTGTCATGGTAGGCCACATCCGCTTCTCTGCCATCTTACAAAGATCTAGCGCAATCTTTGCTACTGATGCCCACCCCTTCTTCAGGCAGATCTCGAAAATGGCACGAAGGATTCGCCCGGCGGATTGAGTGACGTATACGAGATCTGCCATGAGGGCGAGTCCTTCAAGCTTCAGGCGGGAGATGTACGCTTGGAGGAGAACGTTGATCTTAGCCTGAGGTTCTTCGATGCTCTCCTTGACAGGAATTGGGACGCGGCTGAGTAGCTTCGCCAACTCTAGCTTTTCATCTTGGCGTACAGGAATGTATTTGAATTCCTCGCTGAGAGAAAACACGCGAAAAAGCTCAATGGAGGTGATCGATGGTTGGATATGCTGATTGTAGGTCGTCATAGAGTTGTGCGTAATGTAGTAGTGAGAGGCTATCCTCCCGAGTTCTGTTGTTGTCAACTTCCCAGATCTCTTATCGTATTTGACAAGGCCAGAGGCTTCCAGGACTGTGGCAGCTGAGTGTATCAAATCTACGCGTTTTTGTTCGAGCGATTTGTCGTCTTCGTAATCGGCGCCAACACTATACAGCCCAGGGGATCTAAGCATCCGAACGAAGAGGTACGTGTAACCCAACCACTCGACACCTTCATCCCTACTCCGCACGTTCCCCAACACAATTTCGGCGTTGAGGTTGTCTGCGAGTCTGCTGATGAATTGGCTTTCAATCGGAAGTTGCTGGTTGAGGAGCGAGAGGTAATACTGCAACTCCAATTGGGTTGTAATGATTATTCCTTCTCCGTAGGTGTCGAATTGAGGCCTTCCCGCGCGGCCAAGCATCTGCAGTACATCTTGCGGACTCAGCTCGACCCAACTACCCTTCTCGGGTGAATAGATCTGGGTTCCCTTGATGATGACTGTGTGCGCAGGGAGATTAACGCCCCATGCCAAGGTAGCCGTACACACAAGCACTTGCAAATGGCCGTCTGAGAAGAGGTCTTCGACTGATATGCGGTCTGCTCGCGTCATACCAGCATGATGTATGCCAAACCCGTAGGGAAGGAGATCTTTCAAGTCTGAGTTTGCAATGGTCTCGGCCTCTTCTCTTAAGATCTCCCGGCTTGATGCGTCACTTCTCATGATCTGACCGATCGTTTCCAATTCGAGAGCTTTGTCTCGAATATACTTGGCTGTTTTTGCTGTCTCCTTCCGCGAATGAACGAAAATGAGCATTTGGTTCCGCTTCTCTCCTACTTGCTCTAGCACCTTGGTGTAGCAAACATCATTCATTGCTTTCAATTGCTTGATGGCCTTTTTATCAGTGACGCCGATGAACTCTTGCTTCAGCGGGCACGGCCGGAATGTTGCGTCGAAGTGGAAAAGACCTTTGGAAGGGTCAACGCGAAGGAAGCTAGCGACATCGCGATAGTTGGGAAGAGTGGCACTGAGGCCCACTAATCGGACGTTGTCGCCTGTCTGCTCAATCCGCCGAATAGTCCTGGCAACGATACTTTCTAGGACGGGTCCTCGATCGTCATGTAGGAGATGGATTTCGTCGATGCAAATAAGCCGAACAAGGTTGGTGTAGCTGGTGTCTGTTGCCTTTCGGGTGATGACATCCCACTTCTCGGGCGTGGTGACAATTATCTGAGTCTCAGCTATTTGCTGTTTCGTGAGTTGACGGTCTCCCGTCAGCTCCGAAACGCGAATACCGTATGGCTCGAGTCGTTTGCCAAAGTTGCCGACTTGCTCGTGGACCAGGGCTTTAAGCGGAGCAATATATATGATCTTAAAATCATCGAGAGCGATCTCCCCCGTTTCCGGGTTTCGATGTTTGCCGATTTCTCGAAGCATAGCTAGCATAGCAACATTCGTTTTACCAGAGCCGGTAGGTGCACAGATGAGCATATTACCATCGTCGTTGAAGGCGGTAGGGAAACATCGAGTCTGGATTCGATTCAGCTCTTTGGAATTGCCGAATCCTTGTCTCGCCCAATCCGGTAGCTCAGACGCGGGCATGTTCTTTGGTTCGTTGGCATCCTTCTTCGCTTTCGGGGCTGGAACATGAATCTCCTCATAGCCTTTGAATGTCCGCTTCGTAGAGCCTTGTGGTAGCTTCACGTTGGGATTTGTCATAAGATGATTCCCTTGGTCGAAGATGAGATTGTCCAGGTTGACGAGGCGTTTCGGCTGCAGTCCACCAACGAGACCTCCTTCCTTGGGCGCATCGGTCATGGCCACATCTTTAGAACCATTTGACACGTCAATGTCCATCAAGTCCAGCTTGATTTTCTTCGCATTAGAGGGCGCCTCTCCGGCAGTTGCGTCCTCCCTCGTGCGAAGCTCGTTCAAAATATTTCTGTACCCCTCAGCAATCATCTCGCGCTCAACAGCAGCTCTCGCGTTTTTGTCTTCAGCAGCTCTCCGCCATTTAGTCACCCAGACGATTTTGTCCCGGTTGAGGACCATCTTGGCAACAAGCTCGGGCTGCTCGTAGTCGAACAGCTCCATCAGGTCGTTCTCAATCTCACGAAGTGGCTTCTCATCCCCGTCGTCGGAAAGACCGGAGAGAATCTGTAGTGCATCTTGGGTCTTCTCTTGTTGAGTGTGCGCGTCCTTGTAAACTTGTCCAATCTGCCTCTGTAACCAGAACGCGTCAATTTCGTGGGCTGGGATCAGCCCGTCGCCCTTCCGCTTGGTGTCGCCAGTTTGCAGTGACTCTGATTCGATGATCATCTCCTCTCCTCCCCCGATATCGTTGCCTTGTCCCTCCTCGGGTGCTCCAGTGCCGTCGTCGTCAGCAAGGTCGTCGCCATCGTCGTCAGACGATTCATCCTCGTCTCGGACTTCGAAAGTTTGACCAGCGTTTTCGTCATCCTCGTCTTCTTCGTCGAACACTACGGCAACACCCTGCTTCTCGTCGATGTCTACATCGTCAGCCCCTTCCTCAGCATGTGCCACATCCTCGTCTTCGTCCTGTGCATCATAGTCTGTGATTTTTTTGCCAAGATTTACGAGCTCGTTGAACTCCTTGGACCCCATGGAGGAGCCCAAAATGTCGTCAATCTCCTTCTTCCGGTCGAAGTCTTTCAGATTTTCGTCTTTCAGGTACTCCAGCACAGCATCAGCAGCGCTTCGAGTGACATGGTTTGGAACGTCTCCAAGACTCCTCCCAACGATGGTGTTGATCAGATCGTACGTTCCTCTCGTGGCAGGTGTCCTCGGCCGGTACTTCAAGTCCTCCACCAACAGGTCTTGCTGCGAAAGTATTCCTGCACCACGCATCTGAGCGGGTTCTCCACGCTTCCTCTTTTTCTGTTCTCTCTCCAGAACGTCCTCGCCTTCGCGGATGCTTCCTCGTTCCACGTCGGCAGGTCCTTTCGGTTTCTTTTTCTGAACAGGCGCATCCTCGCGCGCTGTCCGTGAGCCCATGTCGCGGATGTTTATGCGGCCGGCCAGTGACTCGGGGTCACCAGTGTTTTCATCTCCACGGCGGGTGACGAAGCGTCGGTCCGCCTGGAGGACCAAATTCGACATGGCCGCATATTTGAACTGCGCCAAGTTGTTTTCTTTCTTCTGGTCCGCCATGATGAAGGATTGAGGTTGAAGTACGCGGATCGATGGAGGTTGGGGACTCGAGGCCGGGTGTGAAGAAACGACGTCGTGTTCGTGCCACGCGGCTGGGCGATAGGCGAGACGTTGTATGAGCACAGGCGCGTTTGCTTCAATAGGGTATCACAAGGGGAAGCGGGTGAGAGATAGTGCAGGGCGATGTGGGAGGTGGCGAGCGTGGAGCTGCCTAGAGAGAGGTGTTTGAAGCTATAGAAGAAAATCGACACGGCCGAGCCGCATGTGCCAAGCCACCGGTTTAATCCCTGCACTATATTCCTTGGCGTCTATTTCCGTCTCCACACCTGGGCAGCAATAATGACAAGCCTCCGCCTAAAGGGAATTATTCGATTTTAAGGCCTACTAGTAACAGGTCTCTTTTGTCGCTCCAGCTTTTGATATATCTCAAAGAGTCCGGAGGCATAAGTTTGTTTGAATGAGAGAGATATCAAGGTACTGCAATTTAATGCCATCTAGTGTATTCACAAGCCTATCGAGGGGAAGAATCTGCCTAGTTCACATTTGAAAACAATACTTTCAGGAACCTCAAGCAAGGCCAGAAAATGTAATAAGCTCGGTGACGAGGCGCTATATCATAGATTGTTTGCTACAACAAGACTGCCCAGGTCTTTGTGCGTATGCACCCATACTCTATGCTTCAAAGGGCGAGGACACATACGTGGTTGCGCTCCTAGAATTCGCCGCTTTCCTGAGTAGACCACCGCTAACACATTTTGAAGTATACACTGCCCAAATATTACGCCATTCCGTGCTCTACATGCAGCTAAGCAGGCTTGAAACTTACCCAGAACCCGCTCCAGCGTAAAGCTGATACATCTCTGATCGGAGGCTTGTAGAGCGCATTTCCACTTTGACTTAGGCTTGTACCTTGAATGTTCGGCCGCTTGCTGTCTTCCGTTCCTTCTCGTCGCCTTCTGGCCTTGCTCGCCGTAACACTGCTCACAGATTAGCGTTTTTGCATATGGATATGCTCATAGTTTTCATACCTTGGAGGAAGTCCGCAGTTCGTCTCCGCATCCTCGAATGGATGTAAGCCTATGAAGTTCTGGTGAGCAACTTGTATATACAGAGTGTGCAGATTTGCAAACCTTTGATGCTTTGATGTGATAGTGGAAATAATCACGGAATGTTTGAATATGTGATATCACATCGTCCCTTCGTTGTCTAGTCAGGTGTCGAGGGAATAGGACTAAGAGATATCAGCAGCTGATCTCCAAAACGGCAGAGGCTGACAAACCAAAGGTAATATAGCCAATCTCTCCGGTTCCAGAGGCTCCGAGACCCGGTACATTTTGAAGTTCAAGTGGGGGATCGTTGCGGAAGAGGACCTGCGGCGCATTTTGAATCGCGCGCCTTCGAGCATCCACAAATTCCTAGGGGAGAAGCGTCAATTGGGGTACGTGTGGTGACAACTTGAACGCGTGTACTGTACCTGAAGGAAGACTTTCCCAAATATCCGATCCGTTTCCTCGCGGAAGACAGTGCTAAAGATGACCGTCACTCTGTCATGGCTCGCTTTGATGTATATGGCCTCTTCTTCTCGGTAGTGTATGGCACGGACCTCCCCTCCTTCTTGCACACCCTGAGGTGCTTGCTCCGAGGTGAATTTGGATGCTTGCTCTTGGAGTTCGGCGAATTCGTCAAAGGCTTGCTCGAATGGTGCTGCCATAGCATTGCGCTTGAGAAGGGAGATTCGGCGAACCAGGTCCTCTCGCGCGTCTGTTTTGTAAGGCCGAGTCAACGAGAGCAGTGGTACCATATCAGAGGCACGTACCTTGATCTGCAGGGAGGTTGTCCAAGTCCACCTGCACCGAGAAGTCATAGCCTTGCTCAGCCGGGACGATATAAGGGCCATATTCCCGCTCCAACACTGACTGAGCGCCATATTGCACTAGCTCATGGAAGCATTTGACGGAGATGGATACTAGGATCTTGGACTTGGACTCGGGCGTGGAGATGTGGAAGGTCACACCGTCGAAGTCGGAGACGACTTGGTCAATTGAGACAGGAGGTGCCCTGGTATCAGATTAGCTGCTAGAGCTGTGGATGTAGGGAATTGGCATACCCCGAAAAACGATCCTTCAACAGGGACTCTATGAGAACATTTTGATAGTCTAGGAGAAGCATGTTGAAGGACGGCAGGAAGTCTTGCCGGGCGGGGGAGGGACAGAGGAAGAGATGAGAAGTGAAAGAAGGCCGTCGAATCAAAGCAGCCACTTATGCACGGCGGTGCTGTTTGCGAGAGACCCAGGACTGCTGGTGATGGCGGGGGTGCTGTGGTGGGCCAAGTGGAATAAGCCCAGGATCTTATCTGATTAGATAAAAAAATCTCGAACTTACCCTCAACTTCATCCATAAGAAACTCTCACTTTCATTTGAGCCGCCTTCACAAAAACGAAATGGGAAACATTCTAGATTAGCCGCGGATTATCCTAATCGCCTGGCACCTTTGACCCTCACACAACGCCCGCTTTACCTTGTCCAGCATGGTTCGCTCGTACTCTAAGTATGAGCAGTCGCAAGCCTTCGCTGTCGTAAATTCGGCCTCATCCAACCTAGTCTGGACGGCGGATAGCTCTATTCCAATTGGATCTGGCCGGTCCTCCGGCGCTGGACGCGCATATGTTGGCGCGAACGAGGAAGTCCTGTGCTGGGATGTGAAGAAAGGCGAACTGCTCAGCAGATGGCGCGATACTGCCAGTACTACCCAGGTCACTGCTATTGCTCGTAGCGGAGCAGACCAGGATGTGTTCGCCGTTGGGTTTGTTGACCTCTATTCACACTTCCCATACACAACTTAACTGACGATCACTTTACCCATCTAGTTATGAAGACGGCAGCATTCGCATTTGGGATGAACGAACCGCTACTATAATCATAAGCTTCAACGGCCACAAGTCCGCCATCACCACCCTCACTTTTGATGCATCCGGTGTACGATTGGCAAGTGGTGGCAGAGATACGGATATTATACTCTGGGACTTGGTGGCTGAAGTAGGTCTATTCAAGCTACGAGGGCATAAGGCACAGATCACAGCCCTTCATTTCCTTCACACTGGGACGGACGATGTCCGCGAAAGAGATTCCATGATTCCCACAGGTTTGGAGACTGAGCAGGTCTTCCTTCTTTCCACTGGCAAAGATGCTCTCATCAAACTATGGGACGTGCACACCCAACATTGCGTGGAAACGCATGTGGCCCAGTCCAATGGTGAGTGTTGGGCCATGGGAGTGTCTCCTGACTCCAGCGGGTGCATTACCGCTGGCAATGATGGCGAGTTGAAGGTGTGGTCTATTGACCTCGAGGGTCTCCGACATTCTGCAGCTAAAATAGGAGACCTCGACGAGCTACGTTACTTGCGTGAAAGGGGCGTCCTCTACCGCCAGGGTAAAGATCGGACCCTGGGCATATCCTTTCACGCCCAAACAGACTACGTTGCTATCCATGGCTCTGAGAAAGCCGTAGAAATATGGCGCATTCGTACGGAATCTGAAATTCAAAAGAGCTTGGCTCGAAAACGAAAGAGGCGGCGTGAAAAGGCTGCTAGCAATGATACCAAGGAAAAGGAGGAAAAGGAGCATGATCAGGAGACTCATGACAAGATTGAAACAGCAGACGCTGACATTGGCGAGGTAATCGTGCCATACGTTACAGTGCGCACCGGTGGTAAGGTCAGAGCAATGACATGGATGAGCGTTCGAGACCAAAAGAAGTTGCAGCTACTAGCCTCTACGACCAACAACTCAATCGAAGTGTTCGAGGTACCCCGGAGAAGCAAAACGAAGACACCAACGAATGACGACGCGCCCGAATATAATAGGGTGTATTCGGTTGACCTGCCCGGCCACAGAACAGACATCCGGGCCCTTGCTCTTAGCTCAGACGACCGGATGTTACTCTCGGCATCTAGCGGGAGCCTCAAAGTTTGGAATGTGCGTACGCAGAGCTGTCTCCGCACACTTGAGTCTGGGTATGCGCTATGTTCTGCTTTCATACCTGGAGACAGGATAGCTATCGCTGGGACTAAGGATGGCCAGCTTGAGATATTCGATATTGCTTCGTCAGCACTAATCGAGCGCATGGATGCCCACGACGGATCGATTTGGTCTCTGCATGTACACCCTGATGGACGTTCTGTCGCTACTGGCAGCGCCGATAATACTGTCAAATTCTGGAAATTTGAGATAATACAGGAAGAGATCCCAGGGTCTAAGCGCACATCACCTCGTCTCAAGCTTGTTCATTTCCGCACGCTCAAGGTGAGCGACGATGTTCTCAGCCTGCGCTTCTCGCCTGATGGCCGCCTCCTCGCTGTCTCAACACTAGATAATACCGTCAAAGTATTCTTCACGGACTCCCTGAAACTTTTTCTCAACCTCTATGGGCATAAACTACCCGTTCTCAATATATCGATCTCATCAGACAGCAAACTTATCGCGACATGTAGCGCAGACAAGAATGTCCGTCTCTGGGGCCTTGATTTTGGAGACTGTCACAGGGCGTTCTTCGCCCATAGTGATAGCATTATGCAAGTCTCTTTCATTCCACGTCCAAGCTCCAGCGATGAGACCCACATATTTTTCAGCGCCAGCAAGGACCGACTAATCAAGACTTGGGATGGCGATAAGTTTGAGCAGGTCCAAAAGCTTCAAGGCCACCATGGCGAGATATGGGCTATGGTTGTCAGTCAGACTGGCGACTTTGTTGTCACTGCATCACACGACAAGAGCATTCGAGTGTGGTCCCGAACCGACGAGCCAATATTCCTGGAGGAAGAGCGCGAAAAGGATCTGGAAGAACTATACGAGTCAACTCTTACCACGTCGCTGGAGAACGATACAGAATTACCGGATGGTCAAGACGGAGCGGCTGCAGCATCTAAGCAAACAATATCGACGCTGACAGCTGGCGAAAAGATTGCAGAGGCGCTGGAGCTAGGGATGGCCGACCTCGAGCTGGTGCGGGATTGGGAGGTGCAAAAAGCAGCGAAACCGAGTCTTGCTCCGCCGCAGCGAGATTTTGTCTTCCTTGCGCTTGGCAACATTAGCGCAGAACGACATGTTCTTAACACGCTCTCGAAGATACCAGCAGCGCAGCTGCATGATGCGCTATTAGTACTCCCCTTCTCCGCCCTACCAGCCCTGTTCACCTTCGTCGCCATATGGGTACGTCGCCAGTGGAACACGACGTTGGTGTGCCGGGTTTTGTTCTTCATGCTGAATACGCATCAAAAGCAAATTGTCGCAAGTCGTGAACTGAAATCTATGCTGGAAGGCATGCGATCAGATCTTCGTCAAACTCTGGGAGGAATGAAAGACGTTCTCGGGTTCAACATAGCCGCCCTGCGATTTGTAGGGGACCGTGTGCAAGAAAACGGTATTTCAAGGTTGGAGGATGTTGCAGCAGAGGACTCGCAGGCAAATCGGAAAAGGGCATTCATAGATGTTGCCTGAAATCGATGTGGGAATATACCTAGAAGGTATCATGCAAAGTAGAGATAGGAGAAATGGAATGAGAAGGTGTCACTCGAAAGACTAAGACAGGAACAAAATAGCTCATGTTGAAGTTATTTTGGCTGCGGCTAGCTAAAGCATGCCCGCCCATAAAAGGGCCCTTTCGGCAAAGCAAATGGTAACAAGCCTCGTTGATTCGCTTCTCGTGCTCGGCGGATTTGAGAATTCAGGGCAGAACAGTTGTGAAGAAATCTCCACCACAGTACAGCTAGCATAGAAGCAGTGCAGTGGACATGAGAGAATCCCACCCCGCCCAACTCCCTCCTCTCCATAACGCCAATACCGTCGCTAAATCAATGTGAAATTGGCGAAGACACCGAAGAAGGGTCTTATGGAATCCTGGCTCGCCCGTCCGACTGGATTTCAAGAAAACTTCCATCTATTTCCGCAGTTGGTGCATTCGCAGAACGTTGTCATCGGTTCATCGGCACTTCTCGTCTGCGCCTGACTGTAGGCGACTTTCTTCTGCTTGCACTTCCCGCACGTGAATGTGGCGCTGATGCTCTTTTCCACCTGTGCAACCATTGCCTCCCTCATATTCTCCTTCTCAAGGCGTGCGTCTTCCGCTCGGCGCTCAGCTGACTTGAGCTCCTCGTGTGTCATGACAACAAAGCGTTTCGCCGTAATCTCGCCAGAGAGAATGCGCTTCCGTAGCTGCGGGTTGGACTTGTTCTTGAGATTCTGGTACAAAGAGCGAAGCTTGGTCTTGTACTGTTCGCTTGTTTCAGATTGATATACGTTGTATGCAGCCACTTCCACATCTCGGGCCATGCGCAGTACGTCTTCCGGAACTATCATAGATTAGCATTATTAGCGGATTGGGCTGGACCTAACATGATGGGGCGTATTGCAACTTACGGTCTTCTGACATATGTGCAAGGCCATCGTACATGAGCCTCACGCAGTTGTCTCGAGTGTCATTCCCTGTGACCTTCCAGTCCACCTTGTCGGTCTTATGGCTTCTGTTCTCAGGAGCGACATTGTGCTTCTTGATCTTTGGAGGGGTCGAAGACTGTACAGCAGGGGCGGGGGACGCAATCCCGTTGGCGGCCTTCGGCGTGGCCGAACCTGAGGCGGCCTTCCTGACATCAGTTTTCCACTTGCCTACCAGTTCGTTCGCTTGTTTCGCCACTGTGGGGTCCTTGTGTTGGCGCAGCTTGTTCACGGTCACTCCTATGCGCGTCGAGCGGAGCAGGTCCTCGGTGGCGCGTACACCTTCGCGAAGGCCTTTCAGGAGATCCAGGAGAGTAGAGGACGGGTCGCCAGCAGCATAGGACTTTGTGATAGCCTTGCCGCGCAGTTCGACTTCTTTCGCATCCATGGCGGCGCTGTACGGTAGCAGGCGGGGTGACTGACGGGAAGGCTCGACTGTGGCGGCGCAGACACTGTGAGGCGGTGACTGGCGGCGACTGGGCGTGGCCGATGTAGCAGCGACAAGGAGGGCGAGCGGAGGAGCCGGATCTGGCGGTGGTGGAGGATACAGGGGGAGTGAAGTAGAGGCAATGGGCAGATACCTTATGAGGTTGAAAGAACGCAGCGATCTGTCACTGTTTTCGAGCCGAAGAAAAGCCGGCCGCACGTGCCCACCAAACATCGACCCGTGGATCGTGCCCACGGTGCCTTCGAGACACTACCCCCAGAAACTTGTCGCGTACACTCATTTTCAACGAGCCCACGAACTTGCCGCCTGCCTCCTCTACACCTGTCCTGTGTGCTCCGCTGACAATGGCTGAAAACGCCCCGCCTCCCGGCAGCGGCGGACAACGCCATGACGCCTCTGCTGGAATGCCCTACTACGAGAAGCTTCGCCGCGACCTCCGCGAAACGCTGCAGAAGAAGCGCCAGCTAGACAATTCGCTGGTTAGCCAGCCCCAAGCTGCATTGGAGAGGGATGTTAGACATTTGCTGACCTCTCCAGGCCACGCTCGAGGAGAGCATCTATAAAGCCGAGACATCCTACTTGGAAGAGACCAGCGCGGGCAACATCATCAAGGGCTTTGACAACTATATCAAGGGGTCCACAGGTATCACCACAGCCGGCGGCGCTGGACCGGGAACTTCAACCCGTCGAAAGGCCATGATCACCGAGGCAGACCGGATATTCAGTAGAAGCTCTGCCAGTTTTATGCGAGTATGTAGCGGACTGTGACCTGCTCATACCATCTTCCGAAGCTCTGCTGACTAGAGACGCCTAACAGGATTCCCCTACTCCGAACTCGGCACAAACGACTCCCTCACACGCCCCTACGCCGACCTCGTCATTTCCAAGCGGCCGAGAAAGCAGTCATCCAACGCCTAATGGCAGTACCAGCAGCAAGGCTGTCGCCAGCAAAAAGAAAAAGGCACCAGAAAAGGATGACGATGAAACAGACGGAAAGCCGCCTCTTAAGCGGGGAAAGATTACCTATGGTCGTGACTGACAGTGTATTCTCGATTTGCTGTGGGAAATACATCGAATATCAAAGGCCAAGCATTAGCTAACTGCGCATGCAACTAAGAGCTGGGCCGAGCTATGATGCTCGCCAGAGTTGTCTGCGTCAGCTAAGTTGTCAGGTAAGGCTCGTTTGGGGCCTTTGGGGGAAGACTATACTGGCAAATCTTATCTAATCAATAATACGTCGGAGGCTCCCGAGTAGGTCTGGACCACAGATCATCGGCCATGCATTTCCGAATCACCTGTCAGGCAGGAAAGCTACGTAGTCGAGTCTTGAGAAGCAACACCCATGGGACTGGTCCCAGGAGAGCGATATGTGCTGGTCCGAGGCCATCCTTTATGTACATATCTCGGCCATGGGGGTACTTTATCTCTGAACCATGCTCGACAGACGAGTCCTCAGAAGTCCTACACACTTCCACGTCCGCCACATATCAGCGTCGTGCTATCCGTGGCCGCATTCAGGTCCACAAGACTTGTCGGTAAATCGAGAAAGTCGTTCGAGGTCTTGACATCCCTACAGATGAAACGGCGCGGATAGGTGGAAAGAAATCAGATACGCCCCATCCATAGAGGTCGTTCTGGCTCTCATGGAGATGGACTCTGCGCAATACGATACAGTACTATGTTCTAGCTCCTTGACTTATTGCTGTGATACACCGCTTAATGACGACTCGGAGATCTATAGTTTCGGCCACGTTGACCGAGAGGAGACCATGTTGCTTCATGGCCAGCTTGACCGCGCGACATGGGAGCTAGGGATTTGCGTGGTTCATACTTTTCGAAAGGATGGCGGACCGGACATGGCTGCCCAGTGTGAGCCATGGTCGGCGTCGCGTGGCCCATCAGACAGGCCAGTTTGATGGTATGAACCTTGTGCGGGCTGGAGAGGTTAGCACGACGGTTGACCCGTTGAAAAGGGGAGAAAGGGCAACGCTGTCGACTCGCTGGGCTCCTGTGTGAGCAGAATCATCAGAATCATCTGATCGTACGTTAGTCATAGGTCCTCGAGCTCGAAAGGCGCCGGCTGGCTGCCTCGTTCCCCGTGAAGTCGCTCCTAGCGCTCGCAAGAAGCGCAAGAATGCGTGGACCGCTTCTGGGAGACTCGTCGTCGGACGCCGAAATGCCTTTGGAGGCTCACGCGGCGACGGTCCGACTACACACGAGACCACCCGGACTCCGGTGCTTCAACTTGCGCCCCGTCGTGTTTGGGCCCGCGCCCCCCATTCCACAGCCGTTCAGAAAGCCGAGCGCGCGCACCAACCAGGCTTGAGTTTCGTCGCAGGGTTACACTGGGTCCGCACTGTCTTCGCTGCAACCAACCAATCGCGCTCGGGCAGTGCTTGGCAAATTCTCGCGATCGTCAGGGTCCCGCTAGCAGGCGCGGATGACGTCGGCGGCTTTCCAGGGCTTGGGCGCTCAATGCTTGTCGGCACCGTCGCCCAGCAATTCACCAGACAGAGGCCTCCACGCCCGCAGATGACGACGCTGACGGAGGTGGAGCATGCCTGATGACATTGTCGCAATCTGTCCGCTGCACACTGCACCACTCACACACACTGTGATACCGCCTACGTCTTCAGTACTGTGGGGGAACAATTCGTCTATTGCGACTACGCTACTAACGAATGTTGACTATGCCACCGTGGCAGTCTTGCTGAGGGTCTCAGCGAACCCCTGCAAACAAGGATATTATACAGTACAAGCTGTGCGCGTCTCTTGGTATTGCCGAGTCAGGCGCAACGAGAGTCTAAAACATTAAAGGGTATAGCGAATGACATGCAGAATCCAATACAGAATCCCATCGCGAACAACGAGGTAAACGCATCCCGTACGGTATAGTGGTACACTGGCAGAAACACCAAGACTCTTAAAAAAAAAAGCAAACCATATCCGACTCCGGTGCCAACATAACTCCTGCGCCTCTGGAAATGAGGCAAGAGTCCCAGCACCATGTTGGTATAAATGCAGGGGTAGCGATGGTCGGAAAATCAGTCCAGGCTCTCCCAAGAGCCTTTTCTTTTGTTCCAACCCCATCTAGCTTGCCAACAACTGGTGCAAGATGGAAAAACGCGGCAGAGGATATCTCAAACGCATGGATCAACTGGAAGACATTGCGAAAACAACCTGACATGCCGCGCAGTTGCGAAGTCCGAGGCGTCGTGAACCCTGCCCCGTATGGACAAGGAAAATCAATGAAACAATCGAAAGGAGTCGGGCGTGCATCACTCACATCTCCTCTGGCGAGGGATGGTCATGGTCGCGTTCGCCCTTGTGGACTTTTCGGTGTCTCCTTAGATTCGAGACAACGGAAAAGTGGCGCCCACAGCCCTCGACTTCGCATGCGAATGCTGTAGCGGGTCAGCAAAATGATTTATGCGTAGATGGACATTTGACTTACGTTTTTCGCCAGTGTGGCTGTACATGTGGGTTTGTAATGAACTCGGGCGGGTGAATCGCTTGTCGCAGATCTTGCACTTGTGCTTCTTCTGCGAGCTCGAAGAAACCTTAGAGCTGAACTGTCCCATCATTGATTGGGGCGCGGGCGGTAAGTTCGTGCCGATCAGTGCTGAAGGCCGCGGGAGTGTCCGAGAAGTCATTGGCTCTACTGATTCGGAGGCCGAACTGTAGTCGGTGACGGACGACTCGGCGACGGATCCGTTGTAGTAAGATGGATAAGTGCTAGCAGACGAAATGGACGAGTGGGCAGAGTGCGTAGACGGGAATCCATACGAGTCAGACGAGCTTCTGCTACCACCTTGGTTGCCGTAGATGTTGCGCGGGGTTATGTCTTGGCTCATGGCGACCATTCCCCGGCTGGCATCCAGGGCATCGCTGAAGCTGTTACGCTGTGCTTGCTGGGAATTGATTCTGTTAAAGTCAACTAAAGAGCTTTGGCGCTGGCGCTGAGACTCGACTGGGTTCTCGAGGAGGTCGGCAGAGGATACTGACGGATGAGAGGAGCGCCGCGCGGGATCCTGCTGGTACGCATACGGGCTTCTGGAGTTGTTGGAATAGTCCATGGGATATTGCGGTGCTGATGTGGGAGCATACGACGCAGCATTGGGCGAGGCTGACGAGTATCCACTGGGGTACGTCCTCGCGGGGTTGAGAAGATCTTGCGATGCGTCAAGTAAGTTTTGTGATCGGAAAGTGCCATCTGAGAGACTAATACCTGATCCTAGGGACGGCGCCGTGACGGGGAGGTTGTGGAACGGTAGCGACAGGCTAGTAGGCCTCTGAACATGCTGCTGACTGGCGCCCTCGAACTTCTCGAGTCCTGACGCTGGATACATCTGCGACGAGGGCGCCGCGGGGCCTGATACCCACGGGTTCGTGAAGTGCGGTGCGGGATAGCGAAGATGGTCGTAGCCCATGGTGTTGAGCTGGGACTGCTGTCGGTTGTCGACGGCCATGGCCATGGTGGAAGGATCAGAGGATCGTGAAGAAGACTGGGTCGGGATTGATGCTGAAACACGACAGTTGGAGGTGTGAGAAACGTGGGGACAGACGATCACTGGCACGCAGACGACGTGGGATCTGCGGGTCTTTAAACTGCTCGACGGCGGTGCTGGGAACTCCCGTCTGGCGGCCTTCCGTAGCGGGAAACGATGGGCACGTCCGGTTGCCGATCGCTGGATGAATCCGAGCACGACGAGCCGTGGCAATGGATGAGCTGAGATTAGGTTTGGTCGGCGGATGACGAAGTGCTCGCAGCAGCAGCCAGGCGAGCGTTTCAGCGGACTCGGTGCTGGCGAGTGGAGTGTGGAGAAGCGCACACCGCGGGCGATGAGCGGCGATGCAGGGAGGGACGGCTGTCAGAGTGTGAAGCCGCGTGCTGCGGGCGGCGAAGAGCGCAGAGATGGGACGGCGTGATCAATGGAGCGAGGATGGGCGGGCGGTGTGTGTGTGTGTGTGGAGAGGGCGACGGCTAGGAATTGATGGGGCCTGGTGGGAGAGGGTTCGATCGGCAGACTCGGGGGGCTGCGAGAAGATAAATTCGGGAGCCGTCTGACGATGGAGGAGCACTTTTGCCCCGGCCGCCTACGTCGTCGCTGGCATCATAGGCTGAGCCAAGCGAACACTGGGAGTAGGATGGCTTTGAGCCACGGGGCCACCACGGCGCTAAGCATGCACGCTGAGGCCCGCTGGCTGCAGGGAGAGCGGCAGGGGAGCAGGGAGCGACATGGGATTTCGGCATGGCACGCTCAGAGGCGCCGCAGCGACCGGGATTAAGGCTGACACTGGCGTGTGGGGAGGGCAAGCATCTGCACCGAGTTTTGACGGCGCTCTGAGCGGCGTTGGAGGTGGAGTTGGGGCAGCACAGAGGGCCCAACGCTGCACTATCACGCCCGTGGCGGCCGGCCCCACCTTTTCAGCACCACCCGCCGAGTGCCAGCTGCGAGATGTCGACCCTAACCAAGCCGCAAAGCAGCCCGAACCGCGCCAGCCAACTGGCCGACGAGCAGGGCGTCGCCCTCCGGCCTGAGTCGGCATAGCGCTATCTGTGCTTGCCCCTTTGGGCTGTCACGCCTTGGCCCTTCTGAAAGGTCACTAGCTGCGTGGGTCCGTCCTCAGTCGGCTGTCTGCGATGGATGTCTTGTTTGGCTTCATCCTCCCGCACCGGACACTGTGCTAGGACCGCATCTTCTTAATTCTCCGCGCTTCACCTTTCCCCAGCCCTGGGCACGGCCTCAACCCTCGCCCCATCGCCGATGGCCGCCGCGTACTGTGCCCGTAGCGCAAACGGCGTCGCAGCCTGCACCGACTCACCATACGGTACCGCATCTATGTATCTCTCTCTCCATCTCTCGCAGCCGGCACATGTCGCTAAGGCTGGGTGCCGGGACACTGCCAACGTGTTCTGACTCTGCGCATGCATCATTGCGAGTCGCCCGCCGGCAAATCCCACGCCATCATCGCGCACATCGAACATCACGGCCGCCCAAATCTAATTAGCCTCCCCTGATGGCCCGCTCGGGCCTTGTTTGGCGTCCTCGGCAGCGTTTGATCGTCGCGCGACGTACCCCATACAGAAATTCCTCTTGTGCTGCGAAATTGCACTGGTTGCACTGGTCACGAGCTGGCGCCCTGTCCTCTCTCTTTTCTGTTCTCATCTCAGATGTGACAGGGCTCTCGCAGCAGTTCTTCTGGAATGTCTGCCCGCCAATCGCGGCCCCGCCTGCTCTCCTTTTCGTCTTCGGGAGTCGAAGAAGGACCCCCGTACCTGCTTTCCACACCCAAGCCGTTCCGGGAGGGCTGTTGTGGGTCCGCCCTTGGACTCCGCTGGCCAGCATGTCCGCTGGCCAATGGCATGCCTTGGCTCGAGGCTCGAGCAAGACGCAGGATTCCGCACTGAAAATGCGCCTCTCCCTGCACCGCCGGACCCTCGTTGCGCGGCCGGACTCCGCACCGTTGCTGCGCGGGGCTTCTCGTTCGCCTTGTCCGGATTGTGGATAGCGCATGGGAGCGCTTCAGACGGTGTCGAGAGGGCAGAGAGACGACTGCTCGATGCTTACGATGCCACCGATGCCACAAGCTCGCAGCTCGTGCCTTAGACCCTGCCGCGAAGCCAAGCAACCCGGATCGTGCTGACCTACGGAAGAGCAGGACGTTCGTGCTGGCGATGCGATGGGGGTGCGGAACGCACGCTGACCGAACATGGCGAATCACGAGCGGACAGCTGCTGGGGGTGGAGGGGAGCGGTGAGGCTGCTTCGTGTGGAGGGCGCAGATAGGCTTGAGGGTGGACATCCCTCGGAGCAGGGCTTCGGGCAGGGCTCACAAAGGCGTCATCCTGCAGCTCTAAAATCCGGGAGAGCGGCGCGCCTCGTCAATCTTGTCTCGAGCTGTCAAGCCGGCACCGCGAACGCCCAATCGCCCCCCAGTCCCCAGAGACCCTTCTTTCTTGGCTGCGTCTTATCCACATAGCGTGAAAGTCGCCCTCCGCGGTGTGCTCTCGGCAACGCTGCCTGATGCAGTTGAGCCCTGCGGCCATGTCGTCACTGGTGGTGCCTTTGGCGACTCTCATCACTGTTCGTGGAGCCCGACTTCTTGCCACCAACACCAGCCCATTCTCCGCCCGCCATCGCACCACCGAAAGCCCGCGTTGCTGTCGTTTTCTCTCGGGGTTGAGCATAGTGAAGCTGCGGTCGGCACAGACACGGAAGCACAGTCTTCCGCCGAGCTTGTGAGGCCTCAGCAGTAGTTCTGCGCGGCGCCGGATGGCGGCCAGCGGTCGCATTCCATCGAGCCTAGCGTCGTGGTGGAAGACGTGCCGCAAGCCCTGCGATTTGGGCCTTGAGACGGCATGATGGCGACGGCCACCCGGCCAATCAGGGGAGCTTGTCGACGCCGCAAGCCATCGCGCTGCACATCTTCGCCTGTGGTCCCTGCGTCCCGTCCGGAGTGGTTGTCAGGAGGACCCCTCAGCAGTGGCGGCACAGCGGGATAAGGTCGACTATCAGGGCTTGGCATTCTTCCGATTCTTGCTCGTGAGCATTCTACTTCGCGTCCGGATTTCTGATAATGCACAAAAGCAACTCAAGCAGTGGCAGCATGAGTGCGCATCAGTGTCAACTCGAACAAAACTGCCTAACAGGCAAGAAAAATTATCACTCGACATGCGGACGAGATCTCAGCATAGCACGCTATAGTAGTGGCAAAGATGCGGGCCACATTGCCGAGGTGCAGACGATGCTGCAGGTGGATTGTGGCTGCTTTCGAGTCGCGATGGCGCCGCGATAGGCTCTGTCAGCCTGCTAGGCGGATCTGTTATTTCCACGCCAGTGACCGTTGGGCGCTGCCGCATCCTCTCAAGCATCCCTTCCAGTCTTGCTTCTTGCTACTTGCTCAGTACCTTGGCAAGTGGGCGCTTCCGATGTCAAAGCACCTCTAGAATTGCTTCTAGATTTGCTGCAATAGAGCGCAGATGGCAACACGATTACAAAATTGTATTTGCTTATTCCCGCTGCCACACTGCCTGACTCTACACAATACACAGTACATACTAACTTCATCAATACCCCTGCCAGCTGCCGTCACCGCAATTTATCTGGGCGTTCAGCCTGGATGGTGCTTTGGAGCCGGTCCCCATGTGATAGATCTGCGCGCGGTGCAGCAATTCGACCTGAACCGTGGTCTCGAAATGCTTTTCCACTTCCGCAAATTCAGACATCGATCAGCATTTCTTACTGATATTGGTACAAGCTTCATCTTCCCCACGTGCTACATGGATGGCCTTGGCTGTCTCTTGGTTCAGGAAATTGGCTATAACCTCTCCGGGAACTTCCATGTCCGCATTCGTACATGTCGCTGCAATTAGCGCCAAGCCTAATCATGTACATTTTCCATCGACATATCGTGAGTCGTGACTCTGTGAGACCAAAGGCGACATCACCAAACTATTGATTACTGTGAGCTCTGGTCAGAGGCGGCCTGACCATGTTCATTTGGATTGGGATGTGACAAAGTATTCCCCAGAAGCCACTGGCCAGTCAATATATCGGATCCACCAAAATCTTCCATACTGTCGGATTTCATGTGGAGAGATTTCTTGCTGCGTTCAACGTCGAGGCTTTTGTTCATGGCACCTGACCCGATCCAAAGAAGATGCCCTGCGCGCTCATGAGTCTGCCTTCACTTGCCGTCGGCCAAGCTAGTGCGGGAAGACTCGGTGACCCTGAATCTTCATTTCTCCCGAGGATGAAACCTACTTGGTTTTTGAATTCTCGCCGTGTGTGGTAGACAATCTACGTCAAACCACGTCGCATTATATGTAGGCGTTGTTGCGAATTCATTACCTCCCATCTGGAGGGTGCCCTGGCTCCAAGCGCACTGACCCAGCCAGTCAACAAATTCACGATGCAACGACTTCACCACAACTCATCACCAACTTTCTCCCGAGCACGGCCGCTTTTCTGGTCCATTTGCTTCTCCGCAGAGGTTGTGCCTTCCTGCGTGATTGGCGTGCTCGATCGGCGCCCAAGCTTTCTGGATGACAGCAGCCCCTGACTCTCACTGAACCCTGATCGCGCACCAAGGTGAGGGGGTCGTGAATGAGGCACTACTTTGATAGGCTGTCGCGGCTGGCACACCGGGATCGGCCCTCAACGAAGAGGGGTTGTGGTGCTGATCTTCGGCCTTTTCGGATGGCTTCATCTTCACCGGCTTCCTCGCCAAGCATCAGCGTAAGCCTGTCCAGGATCTTCCCCTTTCCTCCCACGGCGCGCAGTGAACTAAATTCGTGGGGAGTCGAGCTATTCTCCAGGTCGCCGACCTGCCCTGAATCGCAAAAAGCATTCTCAACCCTAACCGATAGTGGTCAGATGTCACCCGGCCCTTGCGTGAAATGCTGCAGATGTCTGGCATCGTGCGCGCATTGCGCGGCAGACCCCATGCATAATCAGAAAAGACGACCTCTGGAAGAAAAGGGCCGGCAGCAGGGGAACCTCCGGAGCAAGCATGTGGAGCACCACGTCATCCCATGGCAAAGATACACGATGCTAATCTTTGTTAACCTCTCGGTCAATGGTTTTACGATATGTCCAGTCAAGATGTTACTAAACAGTGCCTCGCATTTTCGCAACGACCTGATGCACTCATGCGGGCATCGGCGAGTGCATGAATCACTTGCATCCTGCGCGCTGCCCACACCGTCACTGACGCCTAGCTATTTACTTGTTCTGCTTCCTAGTATTATCCAGCATCTCTGGTACAACTCAAACCGTGGGTAATCTTTAGCAGAAGAAGACCACGAGCCATATAGCGATTCAAAGAAGCCTGTCTAATATATCTCGTCCTGGGTTAACGCACTGCCATTCAACGTGGCTCAGAAAGTTGCTCGACGATTCCGAATACCGATCTCCGATCTTAACAAGATTTCCGAAAACGTTTTGAAGCACTACCAGAAGTGGCAAGTTGGTTTACACAGACTAATAAAAGCATACCATGAAGACTGTGTAGGGCAAGCAATACCCTACTAGTCTTCCATCCAGCTCGTACCGTCCGTGTATCGCTCCAATCAGATCTTGGTGCAAATTTATCACATCTATTATAGACAGAATTATCCACACGACGTAGGTGAGTAGATGGCCCAAAGAAAAAAGGAAAGATACATGCTCAGCTACTAATTGTCACGTAGCAAGAGGCTGTAAGGACTGTGGGCTCTGTATTTGTCTAGGAGATGATGATGTGAAGAGAGGGCCAAGGAAGAAGGTGTTATATACGGAGGCGACATGCGCAGGAGTCATTGGGGAGTTGAGGCATTCTACTGATCAACCTCACAGTGAGTTGCCCGTAATGCCAATCAATGAGGATTATCTCACGCCTACGCGTCTTGGAGAGATGGGTCAGAGAAATTCAGATTGTGAAACGCCAATACTCGTACATCACGCTCACATGAAGCTCGGCTTCGAAGATTACCTTCAATGGAAAACCGGACAATAGAGAAGACATACACAAACTCTAGGGACAAGCAATTGAATCACAGGCCATAGACGCGAGGGGACCTGCTTCTTCGGCAGCATGAAGTAGACCATTGTTCGCACTACAGATGGTGACATCTCAATATCCATGGTACCATGATGTATCAAGGTAGGAAAAAAAACCAGCCCAAGCTCAACTACGGTCTCCGAAATGCTCCACTGCTCTGCAATCTAGAAGCCCCCTCACATTAGTATATGGAATCACTGAGTAGCCGCTGGCGGCCGTCCTCACAGATCTCCACTTCGAACAATCCCAAACTTTCACGAAAGTCTGGAGCCCGCACCTTACTACGCACTTGTCCACCAATCTCACGACCAAGGGCATTGAGGCCTTGGTGGGTATCCGACGACACGTAGAGAATTTTGTCCTCAAATGGGATCTGCTCCGGTTGGCTACGGATGATGAGGTATCGCGCGATTTCGTGATGAAGATGAATAGGCGTTGAAGGCGTGGTTAAACAGTAGTAGCTCAGGATGCCGTGCCTACATTTTCCGCATGTGCAAACTTCGCGTCTATACCATGTTTTTAGAGGCGACTCGATGTCATTAGACAAGGCAGTTCATACCCCTAACTGTCGGAGCACGTGGAACACGGGGTAGGCAGCATTGTTGTGTGAGGCCAATCGATATGGTCTCATACCTTCTCCTCCTTAGACATCTACAGACGCTAACACGAAGATAGACGCTGCAGTAGACCAAAAAGACCGAGTCTTGTTATTCGCAACGTGCCCTTCTGCCACCCGCTCAAGGCTAGGTGACAAATGGACATTGAGTCTTTCGGCCCTGAACATTGCTGCCCTGGATTTTGAGCATCGCTATACAGCCCTGTGTCTCGAATCAGCTTTTGCAACCAATAGCCTTGAGCCAGTAATGCTGTCGGAGTGGAACTAGTTGGAACCATCACGCGCGTATGCTCTCCACGCCAGAGGGAGATCGTTGACCGAAACAAGACCGTCTTAACTCTAATCATCTATATGTCACAGTCAGAGACAGGCTCCAAGCCGACCAAGTCCTCAGTGTTGCAGATTAACAGGCTGATTTCAGTGTGACCACTAGTGTGCGTAAAAGACTCGACGTCCATGGAGACAAAAATGACTTCTTCATCGAATGGAAAAGGCGGTGGAGAGTTGTAGTTGGATTTGAATTGCTTGGTTAAAGAGAACGCCCATTAGAGGACGCCCATTATGCTAGCCGGAAAAGTAGGGCTTCTTAAGGGTCTTCCTGGGATCACACAGTTTCTTGTCCGTAATAATCTAGCCGCACTATTCTGCAATATGTATAAGGTCTAGGAAAATAAGATTGTCCAGCAGTACTTACTTTCTCTCCTAGGGTGATTGAACTAAGGATGTTGCTTCTTGTTAATAGGGTCGTAGACCATCTAGGTGTTAATTGAATACTTTGCAAGCCGCTTCTCCTTGCCACCCCAGAGGTTAACCTTGAAGTGCTCGAGCGACACTGCCCTCTATTCCTGTTAGACTATCCTCTACTCTCTTCGCACTCCCCTCTACCTCTTTACACTCTCCCCTCTCCTTGACCTCCCCTAAGCTGCTAGTGTTGATATCTGGATCCTCCGATGTGCCGACATCGTTCTCGTGCATGAAAGACAGTACTTATACCTCTCCACACTCCCCTCCGATCTCTCTGCACTCCCGTCTGATCTCTCTACACTCCCGTCTGATCTGTCTGCACTCCCGTCTGATCTGTCTGCATTCCCTCAACTCTCTCCGCGTTCTATTGCTTTTTCCCCCCACACCCTCAGACTCCAGCCTGGCAAGAAAGAACTTTTTCACACTTCTCATTTTCTCATTCTCGAATTTCTTCTCTGTTTCGCGTTTTGTTGTCGCTGTTTTTGCTCTTGCTGATTATTCTCAGCATCTCTCTTCCATATACTGTCGAGAACTACGATGATCAGTGCCGGTTTTTTGGGATGCGCTGGAGCTGGCGAGACAACGAGGCTCTTTCGGGCATGTCGCAAGTGCACGGAATGGAAATCGACAGTAGACCCGAAGACAATCTATTTTGTGACTTCGCTCGAGTCCGCGCTCGAATCGATGAGGTCCGGACCGAAAAGGCCTCCAGGCCTTCTGTATCCATCAATGCGTCCGTGTTTCAGCAAGCCTCAGTTTCTCAGGCGCCTAGCCATTCTGCACTGCATCTGTTAACTCGTCTGGGGCCCATTAGTCCAAAGAGCGCGTCGTAATCTACGTTGCACTTGCACACGCTACCTTATTAGGCGTTTAGATTAATCGTTTGTGAGGCATGCTCGATTTTGGAGGGATACAAACGAAGCTACAGCGCCTTGACAGAAGTCTGAGCACACTCGCTCACCATCGTTTGAGGTGCTTCAGAACATCAAAAAAGTTACGATAATATTCAAAGGCCTTGAGAGCTTGAATTAGGGAGGTTTCATACGCTTACAGTCGGCCTACTTGCCCGCTGTTTGTGGTGCTTCAGCCCATCATCATACTTCTGGAAGAGATCAGAAGACGACGTGTGCAAACTTGTGTCCTATTACTGTATATCTCTAGCTACAGTGCCTTGCTAAGAGTCTGGGCGCATTTCTCACCACCGTTGGAGATGCTTCGGCGCATTCTAAAAGCTTTGGTAAGATGTAAAGTTCCCGAGGGCTTGAATCAAAGAGATCTCACCCCCTGATAGTCCGCCTACTTGCCGCTGTTTGTGGTGCTTCAACACCTCGTTAAAATTTGGCACGAGATGAAAAAGCCGTCGTGCCCAAACTTGGGTCCTGTTATTGTAAGTCCTGAACATGGGCCTCCATTCCATCTCCTGGTAATGAAATGGCTTATGTTTGGAAATGCTGCAATCTCCCCGTCATGGCACGACCAATCATGAATGCGGTCGTTCACACATAACACTCACAAACAACGAGCATTGAGTTGGTCCATCATACCCAAATCGGCGCCTCTATTCAAGGCATCCAGATCTGACATGCATTCATATGTACCTACACCACGCAACGTCGCTCCATCGCGAATGCTAGCTCGTAATCCCTCCAATCGGTGGAACAGCAAATAATGAACCGCTGCTTCAAAGTCCCATGACTGTCATCCGATTAATGCTAAAAGCTCCACCCATGTCGCATCGCGTCTGAACCCTCCCAGAGGGTTTTTACCAGCCTTTTCCAGGCGGCCGAGATATCGTCGATTCAAGCGTCTCGGCAAGATCACGGCTCGTCCCTATTCGGCCTCCTGGAGGACTTCATGTCTTCAGGTTACCCAGGCGTAGACGTGGCGAGTGCTGTTACGAATATACAAAAAATAGAATCGTCTCAATCATAATGCAAGACTGGGCCGTAGTGTACAATCCAAGGAACCACTCATCTAGTGGAGAAAGCCCGACTTCTTCCGCCCTAGGCTAAACCGGTTCTTCATCTTTTCGGGCTTGTCTGGCGTGCCGGTGGCGGGCGTCGTCGTATCGTTATTCTCCGCTTCCACTGTAGAAGCGGGAGTCTCTTGGATATTAAGAGGTTGCGTAAGTTCATGTTCCGTCTTTTCTTTTCCGGACCAAAACTTGGGTTTATGCCGAATGCTCATACTGCTGTGTCTGAACCGGCTCAAACCTCCACCCTTCGTGTTTTCTTTGTCTTTCCCAACGCCGCTCTTCTCGGCTGTTGCTGCTGTGCGCTGGGCCTCCTCTGCTGCTGTCTGTTTGCTCAAAGCCAGTGCCGCCCTGAGATCTTCCTCTTGCTTCCTGTAGGTCTCCCGGCGCTTGAGCTCCATTTCTTTCTGCTTGAGTTTTGCCTGCCTCTCCAACTCTTTCTCTGCCGCCTTCCTCTCCTTCTCCTCTTTCGCCTTCTCTTTTTTAGACTGCAGGTTGCTTTTCTTCGAGCTGAGGGGTGGTGCTAGTATACCGGTGGATGTTACCGCATGCTCAATAGGGTTCGGGTCGTGGTGCAGTAGTGGAGGAGCAGTAGCAGCATGGTCAAGATTGACAAACTCGGGCTCTTCGGTCGCTGGCGTCGTAGCGTGGTGAATGGGATGGTGATCGTTGAGAGGCTGCGCATGACCATTCTGTTTCCCACTCACCGGTACCCCGTTCTTCTCGCTTTCAGATGCTCGTGTTGCAGCTGCCAAACCCTCGGCTTCTTGTTCTTTCTGCATAGCTTCCAAGGTAGTCTCCTGGTAGAAAAGCACGTAGGCGCACGCGAGTACGTTTTCTCCGCCAAAGAAGTTCCGCACGTAGTCTTTGTCTACCGGCTCCACCATCTCGTCGTCGAAGAGTAGCCATCCTCTGTCTTGTGTTTTGATAACGGAAACGTAATGGCCATGGTACGGGCCGCCTCCTATGTGTACAATGATAGCGTAAAGCTCGTAAAGCCGGTCCGGGTCCTCCGCGTCATCGGTGGTATTGAATAGCCGAAGATAGTAAGGATATACGACTCGGTGAAAAAGCTTCTGCAAACGTTGCAAGTCTTCGGTGTACTTGAACCGCTTAAGGTGAAGAGCCAAGACCCGTGGTAATCGCTTGATTTTCATTCTCTTCTCCGCTTCTTGTAGGCCGCCACACTTGTCGCAGTGGAACTTGTTCCGTTCGCACAGCATCTCCTCCTCAGAGAACTTTCGTAGACAGGACGTTACTGAAGAATGCTGCTCGAGGTCGACTGATAAGTCAAGGAATGCCTCATCCCTTTGAGACGTGTTTTCACACGTTAAACACCGTGTCTCAGATGTAAGTGTGCCCTCAAACAGCTCATGGACCCAGCCGGTATTCAGCGTTGGAGAGTTCGAGCCTCCTGAGGTAGGTACAACAGCGGACACAGCTGATGTCAGGGCATTGACGAACCCCGCTTCTGATGCCCCCCCATTTTGATCAGTCGACTTATTATTTAGCTGGTTTGAAAACTGCTCAACGTTTTCCACCACCTCATTCAGGAGTAAGTTCAGGAACTCATGGGCGTCCTGGTGCATGGCAGATCGGAACATCTCATGTTGCCGCCGTAGAATCTCAAGGAACTTGTGAGGGCTCACTACGCCGATACGTGATCGATGAGAGATTATTGCCTCGAATATGTCCTTTAACGAGGTAAATAGCGACTCGGACATGCCGTAACTGTGCGAGTTTTCGTAGTCCATGTTCAACACCGGGCCAGCAGCCAAGGCTAGCTTCTTCTTGTATTCTGGCGAGTCCTTGTTGTCCTCGGGCTTCGTTCCTGGGGGGTTCGTATCTTTGCCGGGCATGGCCACGGGCTTGCGCGGTGAAGGTTGATTCGGACTTGACAACGAATTCCTCGTTTTGGTAGGCGACAAGGCGCCATTATGTCCATTTGCGGATGGTGATATGTCGGTATACAAGCGGAGCTGAGAGGATGGTCTCTCGAGAATCTCCTGCGGAGACCTGGTGGGGAAGTTGATGACCTGTTCCCGAAAGGGGACCGAGTAGTAGAGACATTGGATTATAGAGTTGCAGTAGCTGGGCAATCGAGCGTCAGTTGTAAGGGTGGGTAGGAGTAGGGGTGGAGGGAAGGTACCAGGTGCTCCCAAACTGGCGTCGGTGTTAGCGCAAATAAGACATCAGCAGCACCGAGGAGACGTACATTCTCAAACCCGAAGAACTTGTCACTGCCGTCGTCGCGTATAGGCCCGGCGTCGGCCAGGAGCTTCTCGAGGGGCGTGGGCTGGGGGGCATTGGGGTCCTTCTTCGTCGGGGTGCTGGCCGAAGCTGGACTTGCTGGCTGTGCAGCACTCGGGGTTAGCCATTGCGCCGCATCACAAACAGGAGGGGGCACGGCGTTGACGGACCTGCTTCGGTACGAATCTGTTGAAGAAGGAGGTCATGCTGCGGGCGGGAGGCTCGTGGAGCCGGGGGCGCGGTGGTGGTGAGGGTGGTGTGGATGACGGAGCAGCTCACGACGGGACGGCGCGAGCGAGAGGGCAGGTCCCCGAGAGTTGCAGCGAGCGGAGGCGGAACATGGAGACGCGGCCGTGACAGCGGTGGTGAATGCGGTGCAGGCGAGGCGGGAGCAACGTGCTAGTTATACAGCGGGTGTTGCGGCGCAGGTGTCGGTGCTGCCGTGGTGGAGAGGAGGATTGGGAGTGGGAGCAGGCCGTACCGAAGCGCGAAGCATCAGGCAGGTCACCTCTGCAGCGGCCTCGTCGCCAGCGCGGCCCACGAATCACGCCCGCGGTCGCCTCCCCAGGATTGCGGCAGCCTCTCCCAGCGACCGTGCAGGCGGTCTCGTCGACAGCACCGCTGCGGGGCCGGCCTGCCCAGGGACCAGACTCACCTCCACCCGGGCAGCGTCCACGGGCGCCATGCGTGGCAAAGGAGACTGCTCGGGACAGCACCACGCGACACCACTTTCGCGCCGCCCGCACTCGTGAGCGAGGGGGACCACGGCCAGCGAATGCACCGTCAAGGGCTAAATGCAGCGGCTGTCCGGCGCCCTCCAAAACGGAACCGTCACCGACCCGCGCCCAGTCTCGCCATCCCACATTGGAAATGCAGCCTGATTGTCGGATGTTGTCCTGATACGTGGGGTAGCGCCTCTCGAGCGGATTCAATAGTCGAAGGACTGCCGGGTTGTCTCTCGTGACATGGTTTCTTTGTGCTGGGAAGAGATGTCGAGCTGATATGCTCTCAACCATGAGGCACCCAACGGACGATTTCCCACGGCCGACGCTGATCTTTAGCTTCAGCTATGTAACTAATTAGACAGTTTCGACAGCATCAGTGTAATCCTATCTTGGCGGTTGATCAGTGTATAACGTGCATAACAAAGTTGAGGAAAACCATGCACCACAAGCAATTGGGGACGGCTGGGGGGATGTCTTATATGCATATCTGTGTAGATGCACTTATTGTAGTCGACCAAGAACATGCCAATAGATTAAGTGCCCGACACGGCAGCTAAATATACTCTCCGCAACGCAGGAACCCGTGAAGCCTACAGGCCCTATCAGGCGGCAGACTGAGGCATCGTGGAGCCACCGATCTGCACTTTGCTGCGAGGACCCCTCCAGTTCACCCACTTGATAGTACATGGACTAATGCCACCATGCTAGGTAACAGACAATCCCATAACACCGGCCAGTGGGCCACCCAAAAAATGCAGGCCTCCCTTGAAACGTGAATGCAGACCAAGAAATAAGAGACATACCCATACTAGTACACAACGCACTCGTGGACGCCATATACCTCCAGCGCCATGCAGATGCTGACCAGATCTGGAACACCACTACCTTCGCATATTTCGCGTCCCACCATTCTCGATAGCCGTCTTGCCAGTATCTGCTCCAGTCACGGCCCCAGGCGGCGGGTTGTTCTGCACGTACTCCCGCCTAATCCTGGCCGCTTCACGGTCCCAATCGACCACCCGTTTGTTGTACTCGGCGACATTCGCAGCGCCCTCCTCTCTAGCTGACTGCGTCTGGTCCAGGTATGGTTTCTTGACATCTGGGCTTGCATTCCGCCACATCTGCCCCAACGCGATGCGGACTTCAGTCTTGCTAGCTTTTGCAGTAGGGTCACCTGTTGCCTCCTTCCGTGCTTTGTCGCAGTCCGCTTTACATATGTGCCAATAGTCTTTCGTGTACAGCAGGAATGGATTCAAACCACCTCGACCGGGCCTGATGGGACGCTCGCCAATCTCGTTGAGAATGGCTCCTATGACAGACGCCTCGTAGTCCTCATCTCGTGCCTGACGCACGTTTCGTACTGGCTGCTGCGTAACGTCTTCATCGAGCTTATGTTTCAATCCTGCGGTTGTCGAGACGTGTGTAGGCTCGGCTTTGATCTTTTTCTCCACCAAGGGATGTTCCACCTTGATAGGTCCGATCATGGACTCGACCACCTCCGCGGCTGCCCGAAGTCCCGAAATATACGCGCCGTGGACCGTGGCAGGATGGCTTCCGCATGTGGCTTCTCCCGCAAAGTGCAGCGGTCCATGCGATTGAGCCATCTTGTCGTAGTCTCCTTGCTGAGTATATGGGCCTACGTATGAGTAGCTTCCCCGTGCGAACGGATCCTTCTTCCAACGTGTGACAATCGTCTCTGAAGGGAGTGGCACTTTTGCTGGAGCGAACATCTTGGCCAACCTGCTGGTGACCTCTTGTATCAGGCTGTCATTATCGGTTTGCTCTGTATGATGAGCCGAATTGCCAGCCATCAACGCAACAAGCATTGGCCGTCCACTGGTCTTGATGCAATTCCAGAACAGATAGAACCGGCCTCGTCGAGAGTCGTAGTCCTTCTGATTTAGGCTTTCTTGTATTTCTGCTTCGTTGAGGAGGCCGAACATGTCGCGATCGGCTTCCCAGAATGGGGTGTCGTAGACCAGAATAACCTAAATCCACGTTAGGTGACATGCGACAGGATTGACTTTTGTGCAAATTCATACCTTGTTGAGGAGTCCAAAGCCAAGACGATCTATAACCGAAGCCTTCCAGTCTGGTAAAGGTGGTTCGAATTTGATCGAACCCTCCTTCAGAACGCCCAATGGAGTAGTTATCACCAGTTTGTCTGCTTCGAAGACCTCCCCGTTTGTACATTCGACTCTCACGGGGACTGTTGTGTGTTCCTCTGAGCTATAGCGAATAGATTTGACGGCATGGTTGAATCTGATATCCAGCTTCGTAGGGCACTGCCACAGACCGCGTGGGACTTGCACATAACCGCCGATGATCTGTGAATGGAAGCCCTCAAATTCGTTTCCTATATCCTGATCCCAACCGCTCAGACTGAGACTACCGATAGTAGCAGCATTGGCGTACTCGAGGTTTGCATGGTGCCAATTGAGCAGTCGCATATCTCTAGGCGTAATATTCAGAAGATCCCCATACTGCCTAATAGCGTCGTCCATTGTTTCTCCCAAAGTCGGATGTTCGGATGACTTTGTAATAGGATCCAAGTCAATCGACTGGCCAAGTGATACGTTCGGCTTGACCTGCCAGCCCATAGTGTGGGCGGCTTCTGCAGCAGACATGTCCGAATTTATCCCATTAGTGAGTACGTACGCACGTCCAGCCAGCTTTTCTACGCCAGATGACGGCTTGTCCTCGACAGTTGCATTGATCCCAGTGGAATTTTCTCGTGCATCGGAATCTTCGAGCGCTGAAATCATTGGGCCAGCCTCACCACCTGTATCTTTTCCGAACCATATCAGATTTCGGTCGCCTTCGACAGTTCGAAGGGGCACGGGTTTGTTGCGGTACACGCTCGCTCGATCAAGGATGTCGTTGTACAGCCTTTCTACGAGCACGTCTTGACTCTTTTCCACCACTGTTCCATCATGGTCATACAAGATAGTGTTGTCCCTCAAGACATGGTAAGGTATCGCAAGCTGTCCACGAATGATGGCATTCATTGGATTCCCGTGGTCAAAGCCAACGATGATTTGAGCACCCATCTCGGCTGTACAGCGGCGACCGGAAGCCAGATCGCAATTTGTTTGCTGCCGTAGCGGATGAGAGTACACTCGGCCACCGACGCGGTTTCGACCTTCTAGTAAAATGACCCTAGGTGGTTTCTCCCCATCGTTCGTCCATTGACTTCCAAGTTGTGCAAAAAGCCCTTCAAGCTGCCTAGCGCAACCCAGCCCAGACATACCAGCCCCAATGACGACGATTGTTCGGCGTCGAGTTGCCTTTGATTTGGTTCGAGAGACTGGGCCGGCAGTATTCAGCACTTCTACACAGCCGAAATTGATGTAACCGTTCCTCATCAGCCAGTAATATGCGACTTTGGCCATATTGAAGTAGCGGGCGTCTTGTGCACAGCCCACTGCCTCCACTAGGTTTACACTAACCAAAGGATTTCTCGTAAATAGTCGAAGGATTGCGTTTCGGATGCTGAGATAGACCGAAACTTGCGGAAGCGTGATATGCTCCCTCAGAAGCTTGTATTCTCCGGGATGCAAGGCATATGGGTTGAGACGCGAACTGTATGCTGCAACTACGCCTTGACGTCCAAACTCCCCTGGGGAAATGGAAGATGGTATTGACGATCTTGCCCGGAATACAGGCGGCCGAACTTTCGCGGGGCTGCTATCCGATAGTCGAGGAGTGTATGCCTCTTGTGATTGAGATAGTTCAGGGGTGGAGGACATCTTGGGCCCATGTATGATTAGGCGGGGAGTCTTCTTGGACGAAGGGGTTGAATTTTCTTTGCTGTTGCTATGTGTGTCCATATGTGGCTTGGTTGATGAGTTTGTAGAGGGAACAAAAGCCGTGATGTGTGTTCTACTTAAAGCGTCAGAAAGTTAATTGTTACCAATAGTTTTCGCCTTTCAATGCGCGTTTGCTCCTGAGCTCATAGCGACTTAGATGCGACTGCCGCAGGTAAATGATGCAGAGGGAGAGTAGCTGCTATGGCAGGCGATTGGCGTACCCGTCAGATGTAGATGTAGCACCATCACCATCGTCTTTGCCACTTATATGACTACCCGCGCGTTCGGAAGCGTCTGGAAGATCGCCATACTGAACAGACGATGGCCCCGATTCACTGTATGGCTCGTATGCCAGATGATCAAACCCAGCGAAAGGGATGACACTGGGATCTGATGCCTTCAACTGCAATGCCGGGCCTGCACCCCCATTCGCCAACGACATCGATAAGACATCGTCGTGCGCGGCATTGAAGAGGAACACATTATCGTTTATGGCATCGGGGTCAGGTTCGGCGGGATGGATGGTGAACATGGCGCCCGTTCAGGCCGGTAGAGCATCGACCGCTCGTGACGAGATGCCGCGAAGATGGAAAAGCGTGGGATGAATCAATCAAAGCAAAGTCGCGGCATCAGGGCGACCGCGGGGAGAGCAGCAAAGAGACAAGGATTTGGAAGGTTTCATTCTTTGGAGATGCTTGAGGAGTGTCTTTGGCCGCATGCCCCTCTAGCTTTTCCACGCTGAAGATGAACTAGAAGCGAGGCCTGATTATGCTAGCAGCGCCGGTATAGTTAGTTACTTGCAATGCGGGACATCTCCAGACGCCAGGCATGCAGACGGTAGCATACGTCGAAGAGCAAGCCTCGAACGGAGAGGAGCGCGAGTACGAGAGATGGACTTCGAACAAGAGAGATTCTCGAATTTCCATTATGCTGCTCGCATACGACTGCATGTCTGGTTCAGTCTCATATGTAATAGGACTAGCTCCAGTTGGCGGTGTAGCTGAGCCTCCAACATGGAGCTCCACTCTCCCACGTCCACTCCCGCAGCTCACGGCCAGCAATTGGGAGACGCAATTCCAGCTCCCTGCGTTGTAGCGCCACAGCGCCTTTCTTAATAAGACCACCGAGCATCGCATATGCCACATTGGCCTCGGCGCGAGCTTCCGCCCGCACCCAAACCCCTGCAGCCAGTCCCTCTGCACTTCGAGTGCCTCCATTCCCGCGCCTCCAATCCAAAGACCTCAAAGAACGAGTTTCACTCTTCTCAATTCTCCCCAGCCGTGCACTTTGGGCCCGCCCGTCTCCTCGTCACCATGGCACAAGGTCGCAAGTACGAAAACCTGCCCGATCTGGTGCGTTCCCCATCAGACACGTCTGTTGTGGGGTACTTAGCTAACATACGACTGTGCCACAGGACTCTGCGCCAGACATATACGAAACGCCCGAGCTGACTGAAGACAACTCTACCATAGCGGTATTACATCCCATGCTACATCTGGTTCTGGCCTTGCAATACTGAATATTTCACCGCTTCAGGCCACCACAACAGCCCCATCGCCCCCCTCCTCCGCAGATGAAGAGTCTGATCAAGAGCACGCAAGTTTGAGCCATCGGCACCTACAGACAGAGCAAGCACGGACGCACTTCCAGCCAGCTCGCGTTGACGCACGCGATGTTGACTTTTCAGACCGCATCAATGGCCAGCAACGGTCATACCGCACCACGTCCCAGCGGCGGCGGGGCGATGAGTTGGGGGATCTCAGTGACGAAGAGGATGAGGATCTGATCAGCAAAGTTGACCGACTGCGGGAAGAGGTAGCGCGGGTCAAGATAGAGTTCGCGAAGGAGGCAGAAAAGCGGAAGGCTCAAGGGACCTCCGCCCCCGAATTAGCACACCCGTTTCAACAAATCATTGAAATGAGCGATGAGCTGGATGAAGTCTATGTGCAGCAACAACACGGCGGGGTGAAGGGCGCCGAAGCACAATTGGCAAGATCTGTCGCCCGATTATCTATCAGTAAGATCCCAAAGGGCCAGTCGCAGGCACAGAGCGATACCCCCACTCCTTACAACCCGCCTCAGCGCTTGGAGATCAGCCATGCTCTATCAAAAGCAGCAGAATTCGATGCAAGACTCGCGACGCTGGAGGAGTCTCTGGGCATTGATGGAACGAACATGCCCCAACACGCGGAGCGACCGCCTGACGCGATACTATACACGCTCAACTCGCTAGAACAAGTCATGTCGACTCTTTCGGCCGCCTCAACCTCCTCTCTGGATACCGCTAGCAAGTCCGTGCGTAAGCTTGTGGAGGACGCAGATCGGCTAGAAGAGCTGCGGAAGTCCACCAGTGGAGACAATGCTGTCGCGAAAGGCACCGTTGCCACGGAGGGACTCCTCCTCGGTCACCAGGCGGAGGAACAGGTTGCGAAGATCAATGCGTTGTATGGAATGCTGGACACCATTGAGACCCTGTCGCCAACTCTACCTCTTGTCCTCGATCGTCTACGGGAACTGAGGTTGATACATACTAGCGCCGGGACTGCAGACGCAATCTTGAAGGAGATAGAGGAGCGACAATCTAACCAAGAAGCCGAGATCAAGCAATGGCGGGGGTCACTGGAGGACATGGAGAAAAAGCTGTTAGCTGGTGAGACCACCATGACGGACAATGTGAAGGGAGTAGGCGATTGGGTGAAGGATCTGGAGACGCGCATAGCGAAGCTCTCTTGAGGTGCCCTTCAGTTCTCGTCTGGACGTTGTGGACCGCTATCCTGTCTCACTTAAAAGCGGGGAGATAATCTTGGCATCCATGGGAAGCGTGGGCATAAACGGTGTTGTTCAGCATTGAGATACCCATGAAACGAATTCAATTCCCGACCTAAAAATGTCGTGATAGTCTCTTAGATTTTGTGCTACATGGGACGTCTAATTTATACAGTTATCATGACAGAGGCGTTCTTATACCAGCTCAAAAGCGGGTTCTCTCCGTTCCTGGTCTGCGTGTCCTCCACATATGCCCATCTCTTCAGATATTCCTCGTGGGAGAGCACACGCGTAAGCTTTCCAGTTATCGCGCGGTACATGTCCTCCATGACGCCGAAATCGGTAGGAAATAATATGTCAAAGAAGCCTTGCTGTACCTACAACTTTCATTAGCGCCAGAACATGAAATACTAGGGGAAACCCTTACTAATGGAGTTGTAACAGGCACTGTTTGTCGCTTATATCTCGTCTGCACAACAGGTGAATTTATACCGCGAATGGTGTCTGGCAGGCTGTGGAAGTCGCTCGTCACAAGCTTATGTGCGGGAAAGTAGGTGTAAAGGATGTCGAAGAATTGCATTAACCTTGTAGGTATGTACTCCGGAGTTGTCATGTTCGGCGAGAATGGCACCATGGCACGCGCCTTTCGGACGAATCGTGACTCCCGCAGAGGGTGGTTGTAGGGGAATGTACACGCAGCATCACGGACTCTCAGGTACCGCGCTGCAAGAGGGTCTAGGTTTCTGGAATAGAATTCATAGAAGTCACCGTTTGTGTCAATCAGAACGTTTGATTGCAGAGGCTCTCCGGTGGTGGTATCGTATCTGAGGGCGTCATGAGCAAAATTGTCGAAAACCTCGAGAGCGAGAAAGAAGCATGGCGAAGGGACATATGTATCCCAGTCGAATATCGAACGATTGATGATGTCAACCTTGTCCGAGTGGCCGCGAGCGTATGCTGAACGGCGAAGACCCTGGGCCTGTATAGATGCGAGAGAAGTAGATATTTCTATGACCTTGAACTTGGTTCGCTCGTAAACCTCAGGATGAAGATCCCGAATGAAGTCCAATATGTTTAGCATCAACGTCCCGTTTCCAGCACCCATCTCATATATTGTGAGGTCGTGATAGGGGTATGAAGACAGCTTGTAATTGGTGACAAGATGACGAGCGATAGCTTCCCCATAGTACGGCCGGAAGAGCTCAGTGGGAGTATGCCATAGCTGCCTAGTCTCATTTTCCTCTTTTGCGTCCAGGGCATCCTCAAAGGCAGTGTAGCGCTCTCCAAGCAGGCGGTGGAATTCCTTTTCGTTCTGCATGGCACCGAAATTGAACGGCTCTCCGGGAGAGAAGATGACGACCTGCTTCGAGAAGTAGCCATAGTGAGGATTGTACAAACTATCTAACAATTGGTTAGTCAAACTCTTATCAGAAGACGCTGTGCTGTGAATTGACCTTCAATAAAATCTCGAAGAAGCATCTTCACTCGTCTTGGCCGCTCTCTTCTCAACTTCAGGTTCTCGGCCGTGACCATGGGATATCGCCGATATTCCTCAGACTTGTCCAGTGGGAATAGATCTGTCCTTTGCTGCCATTTGCTCTCCTTTGTGTCTCCATTGCTAGTAAAGGCGAGGCCCCGACGGGAAGCGCGTGGCAGGCGTGAATGGGCGGGCATGCGTCGTGCTATGCAATGCGCAGCGCGGTGAGAAAACAGCTGTCGGAAAAGCTGGGCAACGACGGGCGACTCCATGACTGCCCCGGGCGGATTGCAGCTATTCGCGCAACTGATTTGGAGGTGGCATGGGGGAGGGCGGCATTGGATGATGGAAGGTAGTTGGGATTCGCAACTCGAAGCTCCGCACTGGGTGAAGAGGCCCGTGACAAGCGAACGATGCCTTTTACCATCACACATTGCGACTATGCCAACATGAGATCTGACTCCCATTATGGACAATCGTTCGAGGCTATATCTAGCAGGGGCTTTTGCTCTAGGTGTGCTACTTACTCTGGGATACAAAGACGTGTACCCGGATCTCGAGCGACGTTTTCGTGCACGGCGTCGAAAAAGCAGAGTCTACAAAGACTCAGAATCCATTGTCGATGCCTCTAATCGCTTAATTCTGAGAGACCTTTCAAATCCCGCTGCTCTTCATCTTCCAGAAGGAGACATTCGGGAGGGAATCGAAGGCTGCATTGGAAATACACCGTTGATCAAGATCAAATCCTTGTCCGAGGCTACTGGCTGTGAGATATTAGCTAAAGCAGAGGTATTATTCTTTCTTCAGGTCGAAGGTCTTGTACTAAATCGAATTGAAGTTCCTGAATGGTGCTGGTAATAGCCCAAAGGATAGAGTCGCACTCAATATCATCAAAGTGGTGAGTTTCCTAACACCATACGGAAGTAGGTGGAGCTAATTAGGAACGCGGAAAGGCAGAGGAAGAGGGACTGTTAACACCACACTCTGGAGACATGATCTATGAAGGAACAGTCGGAAGCACAGGTATTTTATCTCATCTAAATCCACATCAGCTCTACACTTCACGTATCAGCTTGAGTACGCGCACCGGTGAAACCACAAAGTAACGCATGCCTAGGGATATCTTTGGCTGCTATATGTAGAGCTAGAGGCTACCTGGCTCATATGTATGCCTAAATATCCCTTCATCTAACAGCAAAAATGCTCACATAAGATTCTAGATGCATGCCAAATGACCAAGCCACCGAAAAGTCGGATCTGCTTCTCAAGCTAGGTGCCGAAGTTGAAAGAGTGCGGCCAGCACCGATAGTCGACCAGAACCAGTTCGTCAACATGGCACGTAATAGAGCTGCAGAACATACATCAGACCCAAATCGCCCTGGTCGCGGCATCTTTGCGGATCAATTCGAGACGGAAGCTAATTGGGAGGCTCACTTCAACGGAACGGGCCCAGAGATATTCAGGCAGACAGCGGGAAGTCTTGACGCCTTCGTGATAGGTGCTGGAACGGGAGGCACAATATCTGGCGTTGCTAGGTTCCTGAAGCCGAGGCTTCCAGAGCTGAAGGTAGTTCTAGCAGACCCGCCGGGGAGTGGTCTTTACAACAAAGTCAAATTCGGTGTCATGTTCGACCCGAAAGAAAGAGAGGGTACGAGGAGGCGCCATCAAGTCGACACTGTCGTTGAAGGCATCGGTATTAACAGGCTCACAAACAATTTCGAAGTCGGAAGAGCACTAATAGACGATGCTGTCAGGGTAACAGATGACCAAGCGATTGCTATGGCAAGATGGCTTGTAGAAAAAGACGGTATATTTATTGGCAGCAGTAGCGCCGTTAACTGTGAGTCAACCTGCCCAGAGCTTCTTGCAGATTTGATACAGGCGATAACAGGTTGAGTAGGCGTTGCCGCGACCAAGATAGCCCAGCAGCTTGGACCTGGCCATCGAGTCGTCACTATTCTATGTGATAGGTATGTCTGCTTCATTGTCCGTCTTCTCATGGATTGGGATTCTCACTACTATAACAGTGGCGCCCGACATCTCAGCAAATTCTGGGCTCGGGCTAGGCCAATAGGTGGGGAGGATGAGCTGTCTTTGGCGGACATCTTGGACCCGAAGGCCACATGAGTGAATATCGTGATACTCAAAGCCACCATGGCCGAATCGTTGGCCGGCAAATGCAACAATATCAAATCACTACTTCTAAGTTGCTAATTTACTAGTTAGCATCTACATTCATCGAGGACGGCTAACAACTCTTGACCTCGAGTCTCAATTTTTTCAAACACCGCTTCTAGAACTTATGAGCATGATCACGGCGATTCAAAGCGCCCTAAGACATGTATGATCAATGTATAAATTCAAAGTACTCCGACTGCATTCTCTCCCGCAGAACAATGTCTAATGGTATCTTATCGTAAACAAAGGGAACGCTCTGGAACTTCTCAGAAGTCCATTTCTTTGTCCAGTTCTCCGATCGACAATCGCAGAACAATCGGACAAGGCTTCCACAAAGGCTTTGTTTTCCACGTAAAACTGTTCGCCCCTGTCCCTCTTAAATATGTCCCCCCAAACTCAGCTCGCCGCGCAGAACCTATCCCAGAACACTGTGCTCGCATATCGAACCTGTTCTGAAAAACGAGAATCTGACGAAGCTCAAATCATCCTTTTAGGATCAACACGGGCAGAACTTGGCCGAAGTGCTAAGAACTAAAGCTTAAGCTTACATCTGCCTTACTTCAGTGCATCTTCCCGCATCTCACAAGTCACCATGTCTCCTGCCGCCCGTTCCCCAGCCCTCGCTGCCAAAATCGCCGCCATGCGCCTCAAAATCTGCCCCATAGTGAGCGTAATTTGCGGCCAAGCATCCGAGCACTTCCCCGGCACAATGCTAGAGTTCTGGCTGCTAACAGAGGCCCAACTGGACAGCATGGCGCACTTCTACAGCCAGAGCACGCCCGACGAGTTCACGAATCTGTACCCCCGGCCCATGAAGTGGGACAAGGACTTCCTGTCTATGGAAACCCCGAGAGCGCTGAGTTCGCGGGAGAAGCGGTATCGGCTAAATATGCAGGATCGGATGGCTATCAAGCGGAGGAAGTTTGCGAAGTTTGTTGGAATGAGGGGTTGTGAGACGCCGGCGTGGGAGGTTAGAGCCCATATAAGGGCAGTGGAGAGTCGGATTCTGCGGATAGTAGAGGAGGAAGAGCGGATTTTGAAGCGGAAGAGATGTTGACCAGGGCTAGTCCTTTACGTTGCATGACTGGTGTTTAGCAGCATCACTGGGATCATTAGCATATAGATATTCTATCAGGGGCGATACTGATGGACAAAAACTTCCACGTACTCTGATAGGTACGCAAAATGTAATATTCTGCACATCCAAATTCAGACAAGAAATGTTGAGCAGGCCTCTATCTACCTCCTTTCCCTTTCCTAGCTCTCCTCTCCCGCTCATACGCATTTTTCTCCTTGCCCTCCTCGCCCTGAATCTCCGCCACCAGCCGTTTATACTTGGTCTCATATGCACGGTCCCTCTCCTTCTTCTCGCGTAATTGCTCACGTGCAATGAAGTTGGCGTCCTTCCGCAGTTCTCGCATGGCACCTTTCCTCTCCTTCTTGTACTCAGCCTGGAGTTTGTTGGCGGTAGCGCGGTCCGTGTCCGGGTCGTAATGTCGGTCCGGGTTGAACCCTTCTTCGAACTTGGGAACCGAAGTCTTGATGGGAAGTGGACGGTGGTGGTGCAGTTCGAGAGGACGACGGGCGAGGCGAGACTGTTGCAGGAGGATTTGCAAGCGCTGCAATGCTTTGGGTTGCTTGAGGTCTTTCACGAGAGTGAGAAGTTCTGGGGGGAAGATTTCGAGGAAGGCGGATTTCGAGGCCCAGAGGTCGGCGGCTGCAGTGAGATTTTTAATGTGAAGATCAATGAGATCTGAGGTGGCGAATGGAGATTTTAAAGCAATCGTGGTATATCGCATTAGCTCGGGAATGTACCGCTTAGAGAGTCGTTGGTGTTGAAGGCAAAGTGCTCCAATATAAGCTCCGGTGGTCAGATCTTTTGAGTCCCGAGGCGTCGACATTCCAAGCCATCGCGCCATCAAAGTGATTGCCGGTGTCACTACTTGGTGGAAATGATCGGAAGTTGGGTAGATGGTCGAAATGGCTGTAAGGATTATAAGATCTCCCGGTGACGGATCGTTCGACGTATGCAACCTCTGAAGGTGAGTGCGAAAAGCTCTCGCAATCTGTTCGGGGAAGATTCTGGACAGAGAGTGAATATGCCGAATGATAGTCTCTAACAACACAAGTGACGGTGCAGTTGTCTGAGATGAGAGATAGACAGTATAGTCGACCAGTACGATGGCAAAATTCGCGAGCTTTGCCTTGTTCTCGTGGTGTAGCTGCGGGTGATATAATGCGCGTATCCTTTGGATGACCACTGGGATTTCCGACGGGGCTACTCCCTCCAATATTCTGAGAAGTTCTGCCTGTGATTGAGGACAAGGGTATGTGAACGTCAGTTTCGACGTCTGTGCGCCAGTGCCAGGTGCAGAAGATATATGCCCATTGCCGGTAGGAAGCACCTCTTTTAGGAACTCGTCATCTAAGTCTTGAGTCTCATCTGCCACATTTTCCTCGTCATCGCTGTCGTTGGAAGACTCCTCGTCGAACTCGGAATCGCTTGCTACAAGATCATCATCGAGAACGAAGTCGTCCTCATCATCAACGCCATCCGGCCTGCTCGTGTTTTGAGCGGCGGAGAAACCAAACTCTGCCGCGTCGTCTCCTGATTCGTACTCCTCCTCTTCATCTTCCATAGATCCCTCTACGAAAGGTGCTTCATCTTCCACTGGCTCACCCCTCATTCTTCGAAGCCGCTGCTCTTCCAGGTTCTTCAACCGCGTTGCCTCTTCTTCGGCCTTCTCCTCTTCAGTCTTGATCCTTTCTGTAGGCTTGGCCTTCTGATCGTAGAGAAGTTGTCGAACTCGCGCATCATATTCCTTGTCCGCGACTTCTCTTTCCTTCCCATTCAGGAGGGCAGCACGATCGGGGTTAATTGCAAAATCATTTGCCTTTGGTGGTTCTTCCTTGGGTTGCGGTTTGTTGAGATGTCCCCTTAGAGCTGCAAGAATATTGGGTAGGTCCTTATCCAGTTCTTCTCGAAGGTCGTCATCATCCTCCTTGGCTTGTTGCCGTTCGTACTTGTGGAGCTTTGACTTTGCCATCACCTCTTTCATGACCTCTGCTTTCGTCTTCTTCCTCTCAGGCTTCCCAACGTCAACTTCACCGTCCTCTTCTTCGCCTTCCTCTGCAGGGTCTCGCCTCCTTTTGCGCGACTGCACGTCCTGTCCTTCCCCGTCACTTGACGCCTCGACGCTTGCAGCATCGTAATCCTCTATCTCTCTCTCCCTAACGCCGAGATCAAGCGCCCGACCACCGTGAGTCAGCTCTTCCTCATCCTCTGCTTCTTCAAGATCAAAGACTGATGCGCCTTTCCTCCTCTGGTTCTCGCGTGTATAACGTTCGATCATCTTGTCTTCTACGCTCATCGTTGGGTCGTTTTCGCCTATGCGCCGATCGAGGATTCCGCCAACTTTGTTCCGTCTATTCATCTCAGGGAGAAGGGTTTTCCTCCGCTAAAGTCTCGAGGTTAGAAATTGAACTGTGCCGCGAAGAGAAAGCTGTTTCGTACCGTTTCCTCCCCGAGGCTTTTTGACACGCCCGGCCTGCCCACCGCATTTTTCTTGTCTGGTCGACTTGTCGTAACATCGAACTTCTTAGGTCTGGCGGGAGTCTTGTATTCGAATGGATTGAAGCTCTCGCGAATCTGGGCGAGAGCAGCAGTGCGGCGCGCCTTCTGCTCCGGGTTCCCTCCGGCGTTGTTCTTCTTTTGCTTCTTGGACTTCTGCGGCCCAGTGATACCCTGCTCTCGCAAGGACGCCTTGAGGCGCTTCAACTGAGAGGGCGGCATGACGGGGTCGTGGTGGACAAATTTCGCAGCGAGCAAAATGTGAGGGAGGTCGAGAATTTAAGCAGGGGTGGCACGGATCTCAAAATTTAGGCCCCACTCAAAGGTCACGTGAATATCTCACCTACATCAGTTCAAGCAACGACCACCAGGCATCCTTCACTATCCACTGTCGAAGTAATCCATGGGTTTACCCCCAAACGTCCTTTCGTCGCCATGACAGTATGGCCTCGACAATACATGATCGCTGGTTATGGCTCGGCCTAGGTAGTTTGGACTGTTCTATACAAGTCTGCGCCTCGCATTAACGTCAAGTAGGCGTCCTTGCTTTCTTCGCCTTCAAAGGCGTGGCCCATGGCCTCCGCGAGATTACGAGATTATCAGAGACCATAGAGCATCCTAGGTCTAAGAAGGCTCCGCGACCTTCATCCGAGAATGGTGATTAATACCCGTAATCGACTTGATTTGAGTCTCTCGCTGATCTGATTCGGAAGCTATCAAAACCGAGTCTCTCCAAACACTTGCGCTCTGCTCAAATGTAGATATTCGAAAGGCGTACGTTGTCGCCTCACTCCACGATATCTCCACAGAAGTTAAACATTATGTGCATAGAGCAACCGACCTTCTCTGCAACCGCTTCGTGAACAACAAGGAAGCTCATAGGCTCCTCTCCAATGACTTCCACAGCGGGGATCCCGAACGTGTAGCACAAGTCCAGAAGTGCTTATTGATGCTTCAGGAGCACGAAATATTCACTGACTTATGCGACCCGGACAACCCTCGCATTGAGACACTGCACCAAATCCGCATTCAGCAGTCCAGAGCAGCAGAAAGATTGCTACGGACCCGCCAATTAAGCGACACTGTACAGGAACAGGCGCTACGCCGGCGTCGTCGCGAGGCTATGGTGCTCAACGAGGGAGACAGGCCCGTCTCTCAGGACGATATCATTCAAGGCGGGAGAGGGATAAGTGACGAGGACGTGCAAGTGGCAGAGCAGGCTCTTGAAACGCTCACACGCCGCGAGCGTGAATTTGAATCAGAAACCTAGTAGGTACATGTGAACGGTTGGAGGCACTAGAGAATGATGATGGACATGACCGAAGTCAGAAGAGGAGACTTGTCATAGTAGGATCATGATACCCAATGGCTCATTACTTTCAATTTGAGTACTCCAATGTTGGCTGCGTACTTGTAGATGAATCATTGCCCCTTGAACATTCCAAATATAGGGGAATCGCGCTGGTGAGTATATCAAGGAGCCTTTTTCGACCTCTAGGCACCAACAAACCTCACAATTATAAACCAAAATCACACATACAGCAAATAAACAACAATCCAAAGACCATGACGAACCTCCCCATCACCCCCGGCTTGGAACCTCAACCCTGCTCCAACCTCCCACTCCCCACCAAAATCCGCTTCCTAATCCTACAACACCTCCTCCAGCACCCCGACAACATCCAAGTCAGCAACTTCGTGGCCGACCACAAGGCCTACATGATGTGATACCGGCGCCGCCTACTCTCCCTCACCCTCGTCTCGAAAAAATTCCGCGTCGACGCCGTTACCGTCTTCGCTTCCAGCAATGTCTTCGAAGCCACAGGCGGCGTCAGCCTCACGCATTTACTCAAAACCCTAGGCTTGCTCGGCCGTGCGAACCTCATTAACCTCGTCCTCGTGTTTCCTGCGGCTCTTGGACCAGTTGACGCGGGGGAAATTGGGGAAAGCGATTCCAATGCTTAGGAAGGAGTGTCCGAAGGTGAAGCGGACGTTGAATCTGCATGCGACGTATCTCAGGAGACTAAGAGGGCCGCATGCTGCTGCCGGAGGTGGGAGTCCGACTGCCACGCGTATCGAGCGTGTTAGCCAGACGCCCGATGCGCGGTTGTTGAAGCAGCTGGCGGGCATGAAGGGCACGAAGCTAGAGTGGCGCTATGAGGCGAGTGACCTGGCTTAGGCAAGGTTTAGGAGAGAGGCGGAGGTGTGGTTTGCGGATGGGCAAGATCCGTGAGGGCTGCTGCTGTAACAATTTCGAGGGCTCAAGCTCTGGTTGTGAAAGATTTCGAGGCTATCAACTGTCATGAGTATGCTTGAAGAAATGGCATTGCCCTTATATCAAAAGAGCCCAAAGCGTGGTAATTTCGGACCCCAAAGTTCACTTTGGCAGTAATGGCAGCAATAGCGGTCCAAGCAGCTTAGGCAGCTACGCAAGTATTAGCAAATATCCTAAGTCTTTGTCTAAGTCTACACAGCGCTTCTCGGTCACTTTGAACAGACACAACATGGGTCACAGGAAACAACCTGTCTTGAACCATCAATTCATTCATCTATACCATTCCTTATATACATTCCAAAACGCCCATTTCGCCCTGCCAGCCCCTATTATACCTGTTCATGCACTCTCGACGGCCTTCGCCCTCTCTCTGACGACTCAGCAACTTCATACTTTGCATCATTCGAAACTGCCACATTCATCGCCGACTTATTTCTCGACGACCGCCCATCCGCACCCTCTTCCAAAAGCTCAAAGTCCGTATGCACGCGAATCTCGGTGCGGGAGTTCGCGGTAGTCTTCTGCCCGGATGATAGCGCTGACCGGAAGCGGCTGGAAAAAGTGGCTATTAGAGGGCGTATGGCGGCGAGTGAGATGGCTGTAAGGCCGATTCCTGGCTCGATGATGGACCAGAGGACTATGCCGCCAATGCCGTTGGCTTGCAGAAGTTAACTTTGTGTTGTGGGGGAAGGAATGTGAGGGCACTTACGCTCGGAGTCTGTGGTGGGCTGAGTGAAGATGACGATGGAGCTGATGCGGAGCAGAGTTGCGATGCTCGCTCTGAAATGTGTTAGTCCCAGCCGATACCTTAACAGGAACTAAAACAAGAGATACGTACGCTATTCCTAAAGCTAGGATACCTGATACCAGTGTCTTCTTCCACAAAGTCATGTTGAGCTTCCACACGATGGCGATGGGAAGGATGCCGAAGACCCAATCAGTCAAGGCATTGACAGCGGAGAGCACATACGCTGCACCGCCAGCGATGCGTGCGTCACGACAGTTCTTATCTTGGGCCAAGGCCGTCCAGAAGAGATACCTGTTCAAGATGAATGCTGATCAAATACAAGTGCGCGGTTCGAAAAACTTACGTGGGCGTGCACTCAAGAAGCAGAAAGAAGAAGTAAAATATACCGACAACGGCAGTCACAATCATACAGACATAGATTGTGATCCTATAGTTCTTGGTGGGTGCGAATCGAAGCAATGTATATCCGATTGACACCTTAAGAATCGAGATCGTGATGAGGTAGACAAGAGTTGAGAGCAGAAACCACTTGAGCTGCGTAACTTGCACCCACATTGGTGTATTGTGAGGGAGGAAGTCGCCTAGGCCAAAACGCGTGCCCTGGATTGCAAAGGCTGCGAATATCGTAAATGAGATCTACATCCGAACACGTTAGTAAGACAATCGGCGTTGTAATGAGACGGATTGCTGCCCACGCGGAGCATAAAAAAGGCGCCACATTAATTCCTAGAACAAGCCGCCATGAGTGTGTGCGCGTGTATGCCACTGCTTGAGAAGCTTCAATACAATTTTAGAAACCTGCACGAGACAGAAGCTCTTCACCTTGGACTATGTGAACCCTCATTGAAGCACTTCAAGCAGTGGCAGACAGTGCTTGATGAATGTGCCACTTTTTTCACGCCTAGCGTGCTGCCGTAGAGAAGACATACCAGAGATACTGCAGCTAGGTAGTCGTCTGCCCCGAGACTGTTCAGCATAAACTTTCGTACATATATGCGAGCGACAGTTGAAGTCCAGGTCAAAATCAGGAAGAGAATTGAAACCGCAAGTAGGCCTTGAGCGCTCCCGCCAAGATTCATTGTGATGTTCTTGGTATAAGAATCAAGTTAATAACTTATGCCTAGTATTCAACGAGGAAGAGTAACGTCAAGGTGAAGTGCCGCAGGGTTCGTATTCGGGAGCAAACGAGGAGGGATTTGTATCCAAGGCGGCGGTCCTGATCTACGTAGGGGACGGGTGCAGGTAAAGCACAGCACAAGCCTCAGAAGTGAGTGAAATGGACGGCTTGCCGTAGCGCGACAATAGTGTGAAGCCCCTTGTGTGGGGGTTTCCAAGCGGAGAGTTAGGGCCATGGCGAGGCGGCTGATATGCACAGCCTATTCTTACGGCACGCAGCGGACTTCTCGATATGGAGGTTGGCCCGTGATGCTTCAAACCAGATTCTCAAAACACGAATTCATACTCCGAAGTGTTGAGTTCTAGAGCACTGATCTTACCGTTCTGCTATCAGTGTCGCAAGCAGCAGTAAAGAGTTGACATTTGGCGAAAAGAACACTCAATGCCCATTTTCTAAACCCATCAGGAGGCCATCTGGTCGTTGATTCGGCGGTTGTATCCCGCCACGGCGGCCTGGAAGGTGTGGTGGTCGTTCGGCCAGGAGAGAACCTTAGCTGGCCCGCTGCTCTAGCGTGACAAGCCAAACTTCCCGCCATCTTCGAGAAGGCTTCTACAGGCCTTCTAGATGCTTTCTCCTGCTGATCTTCTAAAAAGCAAAGATAGGAACACTTGCGTCACGAGGAGCCACTCGACGTGGCAAATGCCTGCAGATGCAGCCCCGAGGTTCTTCCCAGAAAGATGCAGATATTGATAGCATGCGAACCGTGTGGGTATCTAGGTATCCGGATACCGGATAAGAGTAGATGCCATGAAGCGAATTGCGATATGCGCCAAAGCAGTACCACAAAGCGTTGTTGGAGGTCGGAGTAGGTGCCGCGGAGTTTGTATGGGGGAAGGCAGTCAGAGTTCGAAGGACGCCATGCGGCCCGCGACCTTTGCAGTCTTGTCTCGAAACAGACATACTTCCTAAGCCGACAAGGTCCAGAATGGCTGCATTTGCTGCGGTTGCTGAAGGACGCAGGAGGCCTGAGGTCTAAGACTGACTGTTATCCAGGTCTAACCGAAATCGCATCGAGCACTCCGATGGGGTTACGCCATGATCGCCACGAGGTCTAAATTGCTGTGTAAGGGACACCCTCAAGGTTTGACGGCTGGCACTGGGCTCCGCGGCTGCATACGCCCTTCATCCATCCGTCGCTTTTTTCCAACATGAGTGGAAACTGACGGGCTCGATGGCCAATCCAAAACGGGCAGGTCCCAGTTTCTTCCACTGAACGTGTGGCGCATTGTGCCGCGCGGGCTCGGCTGAGCCTCATATTCCCGGAGCCTGATTGGCTCCTCGTTGTGACATTGATACAGGAATGATACTAGTGGCACTAGCGCTTTTTAGGGCTTCCCTTCAACTACCACAGCATTGATACATAAATGATCTGGCACTTTTCGGAGGGCTTTCCGCCTCAGCTACGGCTACGTATTCACGGTGTAATGAGGCAGTCACTTGGAATCATGCTACCAGCTCGAGAATCATTCAAGTATTAGACTATTCAATTTTGGCTGCGTTCCTCATTACCTAGACATGTTTCTTATGTATGTATGTACCTGTTTGCCGACCAATGAGAAGATCACACTAAAAAGGACACAGTGATAAGAGAGACTGAAAGTATGCAACAACACTAGATTTACAGGGAAGAGAATGTTCAGGTCGCATCTCGTACCAAAGAACGAAATCACGGGTATATCGACCCCTAACAGTTCTGTCTCTTGCATCTCCAAATTATTTCTTGTTGGGAAGCTGAACTTTGCCGGCCTGTTTGACCAGCTCGTCTAGCCTCTTTTCCATGATGGTGCGGCCGTCGATAGTCGTCCACACCTCGTGAGGTGCCTTGTTGACGACATCCCAAGACACCAGCTTGTCTGTCAAGCCGGTCAAATCCTTCTGCTTGCGCTCCCACTCGCTATCGGCGCGGCATTTGATTCCCGAGCTAATCACTACCAACGGCGTGTCGCCGCTCTGGATGGTCCGAGCTGAGACGACTTCGTTCTTGGAGAGCGAGTCTGCAACGAGATTCTCTTGCAGTTGGGCTTTGATGTATTTGCCGTTCTGGTAAGCATTCCGTCCGTAAACGCGGTCCTCTCTCGTGCGGCCTTGGAATAGAGCTCCACCAAGACGTTCGATGCCCAGTGGGCTTATGATCCCCCATGCCCAGAGGAGGAATCCTCGACCCGGCGATGCAAGGCGGTGCAAAAGATCCTCGTGGAGAGGATCGACAAGCATTATGCCAACTACATCACGGAGATGACGGCTGGAGAAGATTCGGCTGGTGATGCTTCCGATACCCGCCGAGACAAGAATCCAGGGGCCTTCTTCTCCGGAAATAGCGAGAGCTTCTGAGAGAGCATCTGCCGACATTCCAGCGGAGTGTGGGGAAGGAGCATTGTCAGACCAGGCGTATCCAGGTCGGTCCCAATAGCAGTAGCGAGAGATGGTTCCATTCTGGTAGCTGTTGTAGGCCCAGTGCTCAAAGTCGTATTCGGAAGGATTTTCTCCCGCCTCGAGCATAACAGTTGGGTCTCGCTTCCCGTGAGTAGTAGTAACATTCCCTATGCATGCCAGATGCACTTGGTACTTGTTCCCATCCACGAAGATGCGCTCACCGAACATTTCAAGAGAAGAGTCTCTGGTACGGATTCCTAGCGTGCCCGTCATGAAGATGACGATGATGACGAACACAACCGAGATAATGGTGCCAGCCAGAACAGCTAGCCACTCTTTGACGGTCCTGCGGGTTTCAGGGCGGCCCGTCAGACGCTCCTCCTCTTCTCTCTTGCCCCAGGCGACTACTCGGTCCGTTAAGACGCACCAGATGGCAATGAATGCTGCCCAGACGACAGAGGCGATCCCAACCCAGCCTTCCTCGGCTCGGATTCGACCAACGGATAGGATAATGACCATGTCCACTAGGAGGAAAACAGCAACAATAGCAGTGGTGATCCGCATGGCCTTGGCCGGAGCCGCAAAGAACAGGACAGCCACGAGGAGGTTGCCAAGCGTCAAGCATGTATAAGCAAAGTCGAAGAAACCACTTCCACGGGAGTGCATGCCGGGAGGGGAGACGAAGATAGATACTAGGAGTAGTACCCACCAGAGGAAGGTGATTATGAGGAAAATCACGGTAAAGTAACGGAGGAACCGCACAGACCACAGGTTGTAGGGAGATACCTAGATTGAATAAGTACAGCTGTGAATGATGCGACTGCTGAAAGGGCGTACAGCTGGATCATCTGGGTCAAGGTAGCCATCCGAGGTGGGTGGTGGAGCACGACGAGGGAGCAAGCTGGAGCGCTCATCGGGCTCTGTGTGGTTGTATTCGCGTCTGCCTACAGAGGCAGGGCGATTGTCATCACCATCGCCATTGTGCACCGAGGTGTTACCGTCCTTCTTGGATCCCCACAAGGAAACCATGGCGACGACCAGGCAGTCTCGACGAGACTCAAGGAGGAGAGCGGCCTGGGAAGGACCCAGAGAGTCCTGAGGCACGAGGGGAGGGGGAACAGGTGAGATTGAGGGGAGGAAATGGCTATGTAAAGAAAAAGTTGAAGGCGGAGATGGAGGCCCGACTCTTGTGGCATGATGGCGGCTGCTCTGTTGATCGACGTCATCCCAGTGGGAGCATGGACCTAGCCCAAGACGCCGGCTCCAAGCGCTTGAATCTCGACTGGGGGAGCTGGGCCTGTTGTGGTCTGGCCATCCAGCCTTGATGGCGAATTGTGAGGCAAACCCGGCCATTGCTGGTCACGATGCCCTACGTTCTGCCTACAAGTTGTTGGCTCGGGATCCCGCGAACTGTAATGCAGTGGAATGAACCGCTAATATACCCTGCCTCGTCTCGACTCTTACCGGGGCGCCTTGACCGCGTGCTGCGCAGGGCATAACGTCGATCTATCGATAATGAACGGCCTTCGTCCACTCGATGCTGACAGCACTGCAACCGCGCGAACTGTCCACGCGTTGCGTGCTCCTTCTAATTACCACCACCCAGATACTCCTCGAACCCACGTCACATCGCCATGAGTAGCATAGCCAAAGCCTTCGCAAAGTCGAAGCTAGCCAGCCTCCCCCCAGAATCTCCACTGTACGAAGAAGAAGACGACTCCTCCTCCGCCTCCTCCATGTCCTCCACCGGCACTGTTCGCCCAACTTCAAGCCAACGACCAGCTCCAGTAGTCAGCTGGTCCGACTACTATGCCCAAGAGCTATACCTCGAGCACCAGTCCGCCGATGGCAACGCCAAATTCCATGTCTACCTGACCCCGCCAGCCTCGTTCAAGGCCCCACTACTAGTCCTACACCACGGCGCTGGCTCCTCCGCCATGTCCTTCGCGCTGTGTGCGCTGGAGATACGCAAGATGTACCCCGAGGCGGGCATTCTAGCTGTAGAGGCGCGCGACCATGGCTCCGTAGTCTATGGGCCCACGGGCGACGTCAACAATGATCTTTCGATACACGTACTGAGCAGGGACATGATAGACATGCTGGAGCTGACGGCCGCAAAGATGGGCTGGCCGGAACTGCCGACAATCGTGCTCATTGGTCACAGCTTGGGCGGCGCAGTGGTTACAGATGCGGCAAAGCAGGGCTATCTAGGAAACAAGCTCCTCGGATACGCCGTCTTAGATGTAGTCGAAGGCTCCGCTATGGAAGCCCTCAAGCATATGCAGGCGTATCTTGGCACTAGACCGAAGATGTTCCCGTCCCTTGAGGCTGCTATTGAGTGGCATATCCGCTCGCGAACACTACGTAATCCACAGTCCGCGCGTGCTTCTGTGCCTTCTCTTTTGTTCCAGACTCCCTCGGGCTCATGGGCTTGGCGGACAGACTTGTCAAGTACAGAGGCTTACTGGGAGAACTGGTTCGGAGGCATGAGCTCGAAGTTCTTAACTGCGAAGGGTGCAAAGCTTCTGCTGTTAGCTGGCACCGATCGTCTCGACAAAGAATTAACAATAGGACAAATGCAAGGTATGTGACTGTCTTATTCTGGTTTATGGCAAGCTACTACTTCTGCCATGCCCCTGAACCCTCTTTACCCAGCTGATGCTAACCTGGAATGTCCATTAGGAAAGTTTCAACTCCAAGTTTTCCCTGCCGCCGGCCATTTCTTACAAGAAGACCTCCCCGAAAAGACCGCCGAAGCGATTGTCGAGTTCGTCAAACGCAACGACCGTAGCACCTTGATTTTACCTCCGAAAGTTGGTGATTTGTTGAAACAGGGCAAGAAAGTATAGGACCTTTCGGGCCTATTATCCCAACCGGGTATCATAATTTTTTCGTGGTACAAATCCACTGAATGACCAGAAAAACGCCTATATGTAGATGCAATGGAACACATGTTCCAGTAGAGAACTGAGTCGGGTCGTACAACTCATGAGGGACTGAGAAGGTGGGTATGCTCTATCCTATGCATCAATTCGTGTTGTAGGGGGATTGACCGTGCGATCAAGGCTAGGAAGCCCGATCAAGACCCTTCCTCGATCTCCATAGTTGGAGGTGCTGGCTCCGAGGCCCCTCGAGATTTATGCTTACGTTTCCTCTTCCGCTTTGTCTCTTCGCTCTCTCCAAGCGCAGGGTTGGTGTCCTCGGTTGCAGTTGGTACCTCGATATTCTTTGGCTGCTCTTCGGCTGGTGATTTGGCATGGTCCTTAGATTTAGAAGGTTCAGGGACCCTAGGCTTAGGCTTCTTGACACTGAGGGGGTTGGGACCCTTCTCTCCCTTTCTCCGCTTCCTTTCCGGTTGTTTAGAAGCATCTGATGTAGCTTTCGAATTCGAGCTTGGGTGACCTTGTGCACCATCGTCCTCCACTTCTCGCTTCCTCTTAGCACCCTCCGTTGCCCCACGTCTGCCCTTGAGCCCCGCCTTTAATTTATCCTGCTCTTCTTGATCGCGCACGTCCGAGGTTGCTGTCGCGATGGGTTCAAGTATCATCACCGATCGATTGATGTAGCTTGGGCCTGGTTAGCTAGATGCCCTACAAACACATGTATGAAGCCCTCCACGGCTTGATTGAACTCACATTAGTGGGACTCCCGGAATCCGGCGGAGCATGGCCCTCATCTTAGGATTTTGGCTTGCCACGACGTATCGATGCTTATTGGTGAGGCTGCTCTTGGGATCGATAACCTCCGAAAGACATTCCATAGCTGTGAGGGGTTTCTCAAGGGTGTGGTGACCGCAGCGTCTACGTTCGAAGCCCTTTGCGTGCTCGATGATGGTCTGATCATTTGCTTCGTATAGGTGTCTCATACAGCACTAGAATCCAATTAGACGTTGCCGCGCGACTAAATCTGTCAGGTCTAACGTGCCTGTGTAATCATGGGTTTTATTTCGCCTTGTAGGGTCCTCTCTAACATGCCTGTGAAATTCATCCTAGCTAATTGTTATTCTTCAAGCTCGAGAGTTTGGGGTAGCGATCGTACTTGAGCTGCGCGGCGGTTTGAATGATGTCTGCGTCTAACAAGATCTGATATGGTGCTCGAAACCCAAAACCAAGTTGGTACTGGGTCATCAGTTTGCGATACTGCTTCGCTCGTTTTCCACGCATCTTGAGGGCTGGGGAGCTTCTGTGTCTCTTCGACGTTGAAGTGCAGGCGGAGAAGAAATTCTGGCGGAAGATGCCGATCCAAACCTTAAGCTAGCGCGCCGCTAAAACACGCTCACGTGTGTCTCCTTGGCGTCTCCAGAAATTGGGGAAGAGCTTCACAACAAAGCAGTTCGACGTATCCGCGCCAGAGCCTTGAAATTATACCCTGAACGAATAGCATGCGAGAGCACCATTTGCGACCACTCTAACGACGCGTTCTGCATCTAGTAGCACTCCTTCCGTCGCATCGAAGCCACCTCCGAACCTCCCTCACAACTCCGCAACATGGAGCGAGAAACGCAGTCGATGCAGCAGCGTCGCGATGAGATCGTGGCGAAGAAGCAGAAGCTAGCTGAGCTGAAGCGGCAACGGGAACTGCGGCACAAGGAGACTCAAAACCGGCAGAGCATGTCAGGGTCTCCCTCCGAGGTTTATATCCCCTACGATCCTATTCTACTCAAACTAACCATTACTCTCAGATCCTACAACCCACCCCAAGCAGAGAGCATACGAGACGAGAAGTAGACAACATTATCAATGGCATCATAGGCAGCAGCAGGCCCGGTTCGACGGGCCCGGGATCACCAGCAGGAGGCAAAGGAAGTCGCCCAACGTCTGAAATAAGTGCTGGACAACTCAGTGGTGGCACTGGTACCCCTCCCCCATATATGGGCGCAACTCCGGTTGGGGAAGTTGAGCGCGGTACGCAGACTTTATCGATAGGGCCGCTCACTACCATCTACGAGACCCCGGCCGAGCCAAAACCAGAGATCATCACATACAGCAAGGGCGTGCAGACCCAGGAGCAATGGACACCTCCAAAAGTACGGTCCTTCCAATCTGACTCGGATGATGACGAGTCGCCTACGGCAGTGAAGACCCCGAGAGCGAGCAAGCGATTGAGCAGGAGGGAGAGGGAGCGGGACGAGGATATCCGGCAGAGGCTGCGGAAGGAGGTGGAGGAAGAGGTGAGGGCTGCACAGGCACTGGGAACAGATCCTGTGGCACCGGTGTCGACATCACAGCCCAACTTCCCAGCACGGACACTGTCGGACGAGGAGCTCAATGCTGTCACTTCATCTGAGGACTTTCTGGATTTCGTGGAGCGGTCGAGTAAGGTCATCGAAAGGGCGCTAGAGCAGGAATACGACATTCTTGCGGACTATGCGTTGGGTCGGGGAGAGGGGCTGGACGACGAAGATGATGCGGTGGGAGCTGCAGCAGGGAAAAAGGGCAGACGGATAAAGGAGGTTGCACAGTTCTGGGATGAGCGATGGAGTAAGAAGCGAATGATCAGCGATCTGGGCATCTCTCCAAAGGTAAGCATTGCCCAATGTAATAACTAAGATTCCTGGCTCATCTAGACATAGTTTCCTGAGCTCGTTCTGGCGGCCTATACTAAGAACCCTTCCGCGCCACATGAACCAGACGGACTCGTTCAGGTCTGGAATCAACACATGCCCGAACGCCCCGAGTACGTATTTCACGCCCAATCCGACATCCTAACCGCGAAATTCTCCCCTTTCCACCCCAACCTTATCATCGGCGGCGCCTACAGCGGCCAAGTCCTCCTATGGGACACCCGTGCCAAACAAGCCCCAGTGCAAAAGACGCCCCTCACAAAAGGCGGCCACACGCACCCAGTCTACAGCCTAGACATCGTCGGCACCCAAAACGCAAACAACATCATCTCGTGCTCCACCGACGGCGTCGTCCTCGGCTGGACCGTCGACCGCCTCTCCAAGCCCGAAGAAACCCTGGAGCTCGTGTCACCACCGCCCTCCAAAACCGACGACATCGCGCCCACCTGCATCGCCTTCCCGCAATCCGACCCGACTTACTTCCTCGCCGGTACCGAGGAGGGCTCCATCTACCCGTGCCATCGCTACGACCGCGCAGGCGCCAAGGCCGGCGTCGACGCGCGCGTCAAGTACACGGGCCACGCAGCGCCCGTCATGAGCCTCGACTTCCACCCGACCCGCGGGCAGATCGACCTCGGCGACCTCGTGCTCTCGGCTTCGGTCGACTGGAGCGTCAAGCTGTGGAAGGTGAAGCCGCCCGCGGCGAGCAGCTCCACGGCTGTCACGGGCGCCGCGGCGGGCGGCGTGGGCGGCGCCGTGGTGGTCGAGCCGCTGCTCGACTTCCCGCGTGAGGACCTCGTCTACGACGTGCGCTGGTCGCCGGTCAAGCCGGGTGTGTTTGCGCTCGTGGACGGCGCGGGCATGCTCGAGATCTGGGATATCAATGTGGATATTGAGGTGCCGGTGGCGAAGACGGCGCCGGGGGATAAGAAGGGCTTGGGGAGGTTCATGGCGCGCAGTTTGAATAAGGTGGCGTGGGAAAAGAATGAGGGGAAGAGGATTGCGGTCGGTGGAATGGATGGTGTGGTGACGGTGTTTGAGGTTGGGAGCGAGCTTGGTGGTGCGGAGGGGGTTAGGCAGGAGGAGTGGTCGGGCGTGAAGAAGCTGGTTGGGAGGCTGGAGGCGGGATTAGGGGCAGGGGCGGGGACTGGGGAGAGGGGGGCGGGTGGTATGGTCAATGGAAACGGTGCGTTAAGGTAGATCTGGAGAGCGGTGTTTGGAGAAAAGGCTGATGTTCTCATTTTGATGCGTTGGCTCCGTTGCATGACCTTGGTGTTAGGCGGATTGTGGAGACCATACCCCCCCCTGAAGTAGCGATTCTAGTTGATTTTGTTCATGTCTTCGTCACTCTTTGATTTGTTGAACTTTCGTGATGCAAGTTATGACATCGCTCAAAACTGGAAGTCAAGAAGTCGTAATGGACATATTATCATTATTCCTCGCTATGCTCAACTCAATTTTGCCCACTCCCTCTTTCGACACCCCCTTCTCCGATGCATCTTACACACACACACACACACACACACATCCGCCTCTGAAGCATCAGCCAGTTCATTCCCACAACGGTCATGCTATTATCTTTTCCCATCCACCAAATTTGATCATCGAATCATGTCTCTGCGGCGTCAAGACTAAACGAACACAGCCAAGCCCCCCATAACCACCATGCCCAGCCCAACCGCCTCCCGCACGCCCGTAGCCATGGGCATCGCAGCCCCAGTGCTCGTGCTTGTCGCTTTCGCAGCAGCCGTGGCCGTGGCCGTCGTCGCGCTCGCTGACGAAGAGTCAGTCTTGCTTTCGCTCTTCGAACTCGACGTTGCACTCGACGCTGAACTCGATGCCGTCGTGAGGGTTGTGGATATCACGGATGGTCGTGAGGTAGGAGTGGCGGATGATGGGGTAGCGGTTGAGGGCGTGGCGGATAGCGTGGCGGATGTTGGGGTCGCAGCGGTCGGGGAGGACTCGGCGGACGTACCTGCTGAGGCCTGGGAGACGGTGGCCGGGACCGGGGTGAAGGGCTTGCCCCAGGAGGAGGTTGTGGAGGCCGAGGCGAGAGCGAGGGGGCCCAGGGCCATGAGGAGGGTTGTGAGACGCATTTTGGCGGCTTTTGATTCTTTTTCGGCTGGATGCTCAAGATTGGTGAGGTTTGAGAAGTGGGTTTTGGAGAGAGCTTGAGTGGTAGAGGGTGGATGAGGGTGGATATTGGTAGGTAGAGTCGTGAACGATGGATGGTAGATATATTAAGTATCGCTAACACCGCAACCAATGTGCTTGAGAAGTTGAAGAGAAGAAAAGCAAACCGAAACAGCGCAGTCGACACCCATAAATATACATGCCACCATCCCAATCCCGGTCCCGACGCCAGGTATCAAGCATCAGCCTTACGGTCCGGCTCCTCAACATCCCCGCGCCTCATCATGGCCGTATTCAGCGACACTTCGCCCCAAAACGGGGCTCTTCTAGTGCTCAGCCGGGCCTTAGTGGCTCAGTCAGTGTGGCATGCGGCTCGGTGGTAGGCTAGGTGCATCGTAAAGCAGGGAGGGAGGGTTGAGGCGCACCAGCGGCTCTCCACGCTCACGGCCGACGATGATGACGCACGCAGGGATTCCGCTTCTGAGCGTGAAAAGCGGTCTGGGTGGCTGGAGCGGAGTGAGACTGCTTGCGTACCTGTATCGGAGGGGTACGCCTGAAGGGTATGGATATGTCTTGTAGATTTATGTAGGTAGGTGGGAGATATATCTTGTGTATGGTGGAGGGGTGGTGTTGAACCTCGAAAACTTCAATCCGCATCCCAGTCCTTGCAGCAGTGTTGCGCGTCCCGTGGAACGCTGCAGTTGTCAGTCCAACGTGTCAAACGCGGAGCCCTGCATCTGCAGGCAAGGCGTTTTGCGGCGTGTCACCAAGCCTGCACCGCATACGTAACGGTTTTTGTGGAGAAGTGAAGATGTCCGGACGGCTTCTCCCCAGCCTCCACCATCCATTCCCAGGCCATTCTTCCGGTTGAGAAGCACGATTCGCTAGGGTTTTGCCTCCTCGTCGGACTTACGTCACGCATTCATGTATGGTTGTTCTGTTCACTGGCACACTGGCTTGACGTAAATGCTTATGCCGGTCAAGCTTAAATTCTTGTGGGGCTGCCGCTCCACTGCTGTTTCAACTCTATGGAACTCTGAGTTGACGTCTTCGAACGATTGCTATGAGGTCTGAGGGAGCTGGCATCTTGTGAAATGCATTCAGCTTCCTATGTGAAATGACGTTCGGACACAGAGAGCGTTTGCGATGAATCATGCTGAAACCTTCAGTATGGTGTCGTTCACCTGACGAAATATCACAGGCAGCACATCACCAACCAAGCCTCGCGTAGTTTTACACAATTAGACATTTCCACCCACTATCCGAAGGAGTTTTTGGTTAGTTACAACAGTACGAACGATATATGTCACAACAAAAGTAACGCGATTCGCGCCTCGCGCCCCCTCCACGCCGCGTTCCCCCTTCTCCCACGGGAGAAGTCTCTCTTTATCCAATCAATGCATTCAACTTCGCGCATCAAGACGTAAAATACAAGATTCCCAAAACTCAAGTAGAAACGTCAAAGCAGTTCGCAGAATATAGTGTTATGCAATGCTTTTGGTTTAGTTGAGGTAGACCATGGCAGCCACGGCGCCAAAGATCAGCGCCAGTGGGCTGCTGCCCATGATGATCCTGTCAGCGGCGCCAGTGGAAGTGGGCGCGCTTATAGCAGACTCGGTCGAGGACGCGGTACCGGTCGTCTTTGTTGTCGCGGCAGTGAGCGAGTCGGAGCTGTGCGAGGCAGTCTTGGAAGCAGCGGAAGCGGTGGCAGATGGGGATGAGCCGGTGATGGTTGCGGTGGATAGAGTGGTGCCGGTCGCAGACGCAGATGCTGAGCTAGCAGAGGCGGAGGAGGCAGAAGACTCTGAGGCAGAAGACTCTGAGGCAGACGAGGCGGAGGAGGCAGATGCGGCGGAGGCAGAGGCAGTCGCAATCAGGGAGGAAGTGCTGCCACCGCTCAAGGAGATTTGGGCAGAGTAGTTGATCTCCTTGCCCTGGATGATCTCGAGAGCGTAGTAGGAGTTATCGCCAAGGCCCTTGTCTGGGGTCCAGGTGTATTTGCCCCCGGAGGCATCAGCTGCGACATGTTAGCCAACTGCGCAGCGCACATCAGAGTGTTGGTTCGTACTAGTCAGGACGGAGACATCTTGCAGGTTGTTGAATCCACCAACACGGAGCTTGATGGTGATGGGCTGCAAAAGAGTCAGCGACGCGTCGCATAGGAGGCAGAGGCGCGAGGCTCCCCACAGTGGTGTTGTCTGTGGTCGTCCACTCAATGGGGTACGCGTTGCCAGCAGTGACAATGTTCGGAACCTTGGTGAACTTGATCACTTTGGACTGGGCGGCAGCGAGGGAGGCCAGGGCCGAGGCGGCAACGAGGAGGGACCTGACGAAGAGCATGTCGGCGGGAGTGGATATTACAAAGTAGTACTGGGTGAGAAGAAGTAGTAGTAGATGGTGGAGTCTGTAAAGAGCGTGGGTGTGTAAGAGGGCGTTGAAGTGGTGGAAAGAGCGTGGAGAAAGCGGTAGTGGTATGGAAGAAGGGTGAAGAAATGGAAGGCCTGATCGGATTGCGCGGGCGGGCTGGCTTTACGGCTGAATTGGCAAAGCAACGGCAGGAATGGCAAAAAGGCGCCATGGCTGGCCGGGCTTGAACCGCGGCCTCGAAGTGGAATGGCCGCGCCTGGATGTGAGATGAATTGAGTGGTGCAGCGAATCACGAGCGCCGGAAGCATCGTTCACGACGGGGGTAGTGCTGCACCTTCCCTCTCGGCCCAGGGAGCCGCTGCCCGATCCAGTGACTGGAGGGTCTGGCCACATGCGGTGCGACGCGATGAATCTGGGGTACGCTAGCTTCAGGGGTTGCAAACTCCTCACGGGCACGTGTGACGTCTGCATCCCAGTCCCAGCGGACAGCAGGTGACAGCGGGTGTCGCGATGCGCGAGCACCGCGATGCACAGGAAAACACCGCGTTCCGTCTGGAAGGCATGTGTGCGGCTGAAGGCATTGCTGCGCCTCGGCCCTCGTCTGCCTCGCAGGCTGAAAAGCACGTCAGACATCTGCTCGTGTCCGCTTCGCGAGCGTCTAATTTCCGCTTCCGAGCGAGCCATAGAAATAGCCCACTCTGGAATGGTCAAACCAACACCGGGCTGCAGCAGGGAGACTACTTGTGTGCTTTTTTTCTTTGCTCGGCAGGAACTGTCGCCGTGGGCTGAAGCGTGACGCGTGCGCTATGAGGTGAACGCGATCAGTAGGTTTAGATGCATGTGGAAGGCGAGCATCTATTGTTGTGAATGCTCTGCAGACTCGCCGTACCACCTCAAACGACGTCATTGGAAGGGGCCCGGCATATAGAAGGCTTTTGAGACATGCGCACATGTGCCGCAGACACTGAGGAAAATGCAGGTTGGACTTGTACATTGCAATAGGAAACTATCCGACATTTTGAAGGTAGACCAGCTTTCAAGTCTCCATACTCCCCCGGTTGTCTCGTGTGCCGTCAATGTTCCGTACGCTGACCTGGCGCTGGTAGATGCTTTGCGTCGTAGTGCACGTTGCTCCATCAGTACGCTCCAGTCGCGAATGGAAAAGAAAAAGCCTGCCGTCCCATAACCCAAGTAGGCCCTCAAGAGACCAAAGAAGAGACCGCAGCCACGTCGGTCAACCATGTGAACCCCATCGGAAGAAAATGACTTGAGCTGCCAGAAAGAAAAGCCTCGTGAGAAGTCGTCGATATCGTTGAATCTTCTAGTGACTCCGTGCCGTACCGCCTCATAGTTCAGGCCACGTCGGAATGTCCCTCAGCCTCGTCGTCTGGAAGAACATCGGTCAATCAGCAAGCAAAAGACAAAATATTGGAAGCCAAAGCATCATCACATACCATATCCATTGCGGGCGTCGTGGGCATCGTAGAAGTTGTCTTGGTTGTCGAACGGTGAGGCACTGCCCTCTGGTTCCGTCTTGACTTTGCCCCGGCCCTTCGCCTTGGGAGCACTGGCCGCACCCTTGGCCTTCTTCTTCGGTGGAGTGACGGATGCGGAGGACATCTGGGTGGCGCCTGCACTCGACTCGTCAGCTCAGAGCAAGGGCATCGTGAATGAAAGGTGGGCACATACCGCGCTTCTTGGCTTGGACTGGCACGAACTCTTCACCTGCATCAACGCGGGCCTTCAACTCTTTCGCCTTCTTGGTGATCTCGTGCATCTGGTGGGAGAACGATTTGGCGGTACGAGTACCGTCAATGGCAGACATCATCTCTAGCTGCTTCTGGCTGATAGTGGTAGCCCCTAAGGCCATCAGGAGGATGGCGACAGTATCAATTGAGACCATCTTGCTGCTGGAGCTGGATTCACCGTTCTTGGGAGGCATCTTGAACGATATAGTGAGTGTAGGTCGGTGTGCTTAGGATGGTTGCAGTGGGACAAGTAGTGGGGAGCTCGAAGGTTGGAAAGTGATGGAGTTGGATTGGAAGTCTGAGGAAGAGGGAAGGCTAAGTAGAAGAGAGGGAGTGAAGAAGAGTGTGAGACAAGTGGGAGAAGATGAGTGAAGGCTGTCGGGTGAGATAAGGGGGACAGACGCCCGGTGAAAATGTGACAGGTAGTAAGGTGGTGAAGTGGAACAAGTGGTTAATGGTAAAAATATGGAATATGCAGAGGATCGAAGCTAGCAGAGCGAGACTGCTGCCTGAGCCTTGCCATAGAATAATGAATGACGGTTAGATAGCCATAAGTAATGAGAATACTAGATGGTAAAGATCAACCATCAAGAGATAGAGAAGGTGGACAAGCCACTCGAACTTGCAGCTCGATCGCGAACATCCTCTACACAGATTCCGATCTGAGAGGAGGATAGAACCCCCATCCAAGGTTCAGCCATTCACTGTCCCGGCATGATCCGCTCAAGCTACGCTGCCCTCTACTCCACCCACCCAACCTCCAGACCCGCCTTCCAGCTCAGTACTGCATCCAACCCCCCATCTGCCGGAAGAGCTCCCACTCTTTAGCAATCCTCCGCTCAACCCCCCTGAGCGCTCCTGCGTCGGCTCTCGTCATATCTACCTCAACCTCCTCCACCTTTCTTTTCACTGCTCTTGCAAATGAGCTATCCTTTCCGTGGCTCAATGGCACATTGCTCTGTACCTCGATCAGAAGTCCGTAAATAATGATCCCAATGTCCACTCCCTGCTGCACCATGCCCTGAGTCATCGGGTCATCTGGTTCGCTCCCTAGGTACATCAGCAGCATCGCAAGCCTCCAGTTGTGCACCACTCGAACGGGATGATGTGATTCGGGGAACAGGACCGGATCAACATGGAAATACGACTTCGCGCCCTGCGCGAATGCGATGCCGTGATTACCAGCTGATATCATATTGACGAGCAGATCGTGTCGCAGTGCGGCATAGGGCTGTCGATACACTGGGAACAGCTTGGACTGGAAGCAAGTCCGTATTCCATCTTCGATAAGGGAGATAGCCTGGCGAGGGTCGAGCGTCGACCGCGCTGTCTCCAACTTATTGAAGGCAACGCCCTGGATGACAGCGGCGCGGCGGGAATTGAGGTCGTCACCGACGTAGTTCGCTGGCTCGTTGGCAAATGGAGTTTCTCTGAGCAGGTGGTCGGCAGTCTCTTTCCACTTGGCATCAAGGTTGTTCGGAGAGATGCTGAAGAGGTCGGAAGGCGATGTTGGGCCCTTTTGGCATTTCGTGCATTTGCAGGTAAAGTGCCAACGCTGCTTGAGTTCCTGCTGGCGCCGGGCGAAGGGATTCGTCCCGTCAACGTACGAGATGAAGATCTCTTCATCCTTTTTAATTGGTCTGAGAGAGCGGAAGGAGAGCACTGGGCCGTCCATTACGACAACGGCATTTGGGTCACAGGATTGATTTGCCACTGCTGCCAGTGGGTCTATGCAGATGCCCACTGGGTCGTATGTCGGGGTTACCAAGGTTATGGAGTTGGTCAATACCTTCACAGGAATAAGTATTAAAAGACAGTAGAGGAACAGTAAAGGACAGTAAAGGGACAGTAAAGGGACAGTGCAGGGACAGTGCAAGGGACAGTGCAGTGAACAGTACAGTGACAATAAAATGACAGATAATGGCAGATAGTTGCAGATAATTGCTGAAAATGGCAGAAAACCTTACCCTTCCAAACACTTCAGTCGTGAAGCCCAATGTGAACTCTGCCTGCGTCATCGAAAAAGCCCATGCCCCTTGAGCCACGAGCTGAACCTCCAGCCACTTCTCCCCTCCAGCCGCTCTCATCTCCTCAATGTGAGATTCCAGGCGGAGGACAGACTCCCAAGTCTCATCATTGATGAGGCCCTTGGCTCGTCGTATCAGAAACTGCATGGTTGCCCTCGCAGCTGTCGGCATATTGCCCTTGGAAACCGTGCTGGCCATGATTTCACATTCATATTTGTGGTGCCGCTTCCACCCTGCCTTTTGGCATTCCTGTATGATGTTATTATGCGTGTCTGCCAGTCACCCTAACTATACTGACTTTGCTACAATATCCGACGGTCCTGCAACCTGTGCATGCTTTGACACCGTTGGGCTCGACATTAGGCCGACTTCCGATAGAGGACTCCGCAGTCCACTTGAAGCAGTTTGCGCAGGTATCAGAGAGCCGCGCTGCTTCGACCACGCCGACCAAAGGTCGAGAAATTGAAAGGATTAGTTCACCGGCCGGGATTGCTTTATCGGCGAATAGCCCGTTCCCAGAAGTCTGGGACTTCCCGACACGAGCATATATTTGGTTGGGCATTACCAAATCACAGCTGGATGAGGTTTTGGCTTTAGCAAGATGAGGCGAGTGGAGAAATAGATGTTGAGGAGACGGCGGTGAACGCGGTCGACGTCAGACCAATTAAACGTCGACGCGAGATCCCATGATCAGCCGTGCTTGAGTTAATTGAAATCGGTTCAGTTTCACGAGAGGACACTCAACTACACTTAATCTAGCGCGGATTATTACTCTGTCATCTCTCAAGCACATTGATTTGAGTGTGTGGTAACGTGGTATAATGTGTTATAATGTGGCATAATGTGGCATAATGTGGCATAATGCGGCATAATGCGGCGGACTGTATTGCAAACTATTTAGAATATTGCAAATTATGTATAGACATGAGACGTTCATCTTTTAGTATGCATGTTATCTCATTTGCATGGTTCACGAAAGGCCTCAAGAGGCATATGCAATTGGGTATCTCCACTAAGACAGAAAACCGGTGCTACCAAGATATTTGATAGCCTGTAGGGCAAGCATGTCCGCTACTTTTTCCTCCTGCTCGATCATCTACATAATTGATTAGCATCATACTCCTCCGAGGGTGTCGACAAACTTACCCTATCGTACAAAGTTACTCGCTTTTTGGGCTCTTTTGCTGCAATTTCTGGTGGATGCGAAAATTTGCACCTCTTATTGGTGCATTTTCCGGACCTCTTTTGATAGGGGCAGACTGTCTGCGCCGTCTTACGCTTCAAGGCATCTTTCGGAGGGGATACGCGCAATGGTAGGTGCGCCTTTGATGTTTCCTCTTCAGGTGCTGAGTCTTCATCATCAGATTCGGACTCTGAAACCGAATCCGAGTCTGAGTCTGAGTCTGAAGAATCGGAAGAGTCATCGCTGTCCGCAGATTCACCTGTAGATTCGGTGTCACTTCCGTAGTCCAGACCAAGATTATTCTTTGATAGTCTCACGCCGGATGGCGCAGAGTCCGTCTTGACCTCAGTCTTGACCTCAATGGTACCAATCCGTCCCAGTGTGGAACCACCTTCCGACTTAGCGAGCATTTCCTCGCTCTTTTGCAATTTCTTTCGCAGCTTCTCGATCTTCTTGAGCTGCCGTTCATGTTCCACTTGCTTTCGCTTATCCTCAGAAGTCAATTCTTGCCTCTGATCAGTCTTCTTGTCCTTCTTCTCCGATTTGACAGTGACGCCAGCCTTAGCATCTTTTTCTTCCTTCACACGCAGAAGTATTGCGTGTTCGTTTGCTAGTCTGAGGCGGTCCTCCTGTAATTTCTGCTTAGCGCGAGCTTTAGTTGGGTACAGTCTCCTCCGCTCGCGGATCCACGCTGCGATTTCGGCTGGAGAATTCAAGGCTGCCGTCTCCCCGTTGTATTCGAAAATAAGACTTCACACAATTAGTACTATATTCTCAGAAAGTCGTGGTGTCAAGACTAACCCTGTGACATTCACTGCATAGGTAGCCTCCTCATCAATGCTTTCCGGCTCGCTGTCACTATGGTCAGCCTGTGGCGTGAGACCTAGTAGATTGCCCCTTTTCGCTTTCTTTGCGTCCTTTTTGGCTTTTGGAAGAACTAGCGGTGGCGGAGGAGCAGGTTTTGAAACGGTCGGAAGTGTGATTCCAAAACTGGGAACGGTAGGCGGCACGTTCACCTTGGCTTTCGCAGGCTTTGATTTCGTCGACGCATTAGTCTGAAGTTTGGAAACATGGCGTTCCTGATACTCTTCGTTTGAACTCCGTTTCCTCTTGTTACCAACTACAGTAGGAGGGGACCGCTGGTTTTTAGAGTACCGGGGTGGCGATGCTTGGTACTGGCTAGGGGCCGCCGGATTGACTTGAGCAGGCACATTCTGCATCCCAGCTTGAGAAACCATGAATGTCGAGAAAGCCTGCATAAATGCCATCGGATCAATTTGTGGCTGAACAGGCGTCGCATTCTGCATTTGAGGGGCCATCATAACCGGCGACAAGTTCGGATTGACGTATGTGCTGACGGGAACTTGTGTCTGGCCGTAGGCATTTGATGATGTTGGCGGGTATTGGTATTGAGCTGGCTGTTCTTGTAGTGCATAGTTGTGCCCATATTGCTGAATTTGGCCTCGACTTCTTCCTGCATGCTCTTGTCGACGATCCCCACCAGCTTGCGGGTTTCGAGGTTGCTGGAAGCCGTGGCCGCCTCGCTGCTGCTGCCCTCCTCCTCTGTAGTTATTGCTCTGTCCACGCCCACGACCTCCCTGATTGCCTCTTCCGCCTCGGTCGCTACGGAAGTTGTTGCTATAGCCACCTCTTTGCGACGAACTGCTCGGAGCGGAAGGTTCTGGGGCCGTCGATCTCGGGGGAGGCGGCGGGGGCGGAGGGAAGGAAAAGCCTGCCATTGCTTGAGACGTCGCTCTGATGGATGGTGATGTTTACGGAGGGACTTAGGAGTGACGTTTTGGTCGGGTTGCTATGCTCTGATTCTCGTCATGATCGCCATCTGGAAGCTGCTCACTTGCAACCGTGGTTGGAGGAAGCTTAAACTTTTTGGACCTTATCTTATCGCTCACGTCGTCACGTGATGTGCATCATCCTCTGATTCTCTAGAATAGTGTTGGGCTATCTTGGACTGACATTTCATTTTCGATTCATCAGCTAGTAGATTTGAAGCTTGGGTTACCTATACACAATTTTGCCTTAAGAGGTTATGGAAGCGTCCAGGCGAAACACCTGCCATTCACAGACTATCCTGTCCTAGATTTGAACGATGAAGGCTCCGAAATAATTTACAGACTGCTCCACATCGACGGCACTCATCGAAGCATCCCGTGAGCGTACCAAAGCATGCTTTCTACTAAAATACAGTACCTGTGCATGATAACACTACCGCAGGATTGGCCAGTGTAGAAACCGTTAAAACACGGCAAAAGGCTATGGAAATAACACCTATGAAGCCATATTACTGTATTCTTCCGTTGGAAGCGTTCTGTGTACGAAGTATCTCACTCCCCAATGACATATGTGCATCCCTGTTCTCCTATCCACACCTCATGAACACGCTCCGCATCTACATCCACTCGATCGCCTATGCCAAATGTCTCTTTCGACGGGCTCGAGTCCTTGGGGTATGTTATTGTGAGCTCCCCATTGGTAATGAGATGTGTCGTTAGGCCCCGATGAGAGTGCGGAGGGTAGTGAGCGTTTCTGTGGCGATGCGTTAGATGGATGGCCACAATGTGTTGATGAGTTGAAGCTTACGGGCCATCGGTCCAGGTGAATACATGCTTGAAGCCCCAAGACTTGACCTCGCTCTCCGCTTGGTTCTTGGATTTGTTGGACATTGTAAGTACGTGTCAGTTGTTAATGTGGATGGCGGATTGATGCCGGGGAACTGAGTAGGATCGGTATGACGTTTACTCCAGCTTGGCGGAATGCCCAAATGGAAGACCGCGGTAAATACAAAAAGTACTGTGCCTTCTATGCGTCCACCTTCGACGTTTTTGCTTCTTAGTGATGCTAGAGCGCGCGGCTGCTCTTCGAATGGATGGACGATCAATTGAAGCGGTCGAGCTTGACGTCTGCTCTGCCAAGATCCTGCTCAGCTGCCAACGCAAGATGACCACCTCCTCCTCAGTCCCGTTAATTCTCCTCTCTCGACAGAGAGGTCAAGAGTAAGATGCCAGTTCCTAAGGTCTGATCAAAACTGTACGAGGCTGACCCGCATTTCCTTTGCTTCTAGACGCGACTGCAGGCAAGAACCATCACTCTTTCACCATCAATAAGCACCAAACACCCTTCACGCGCCCAGCATCAACATGGCCAGCTCTTCGCCTTCGAAAATACCGGCCCCAAAGCCAGCCGAAGCCAAAATGCCCACCATAGCAGCTCCAGATACCGCCCAGCCTGAGCTCCAAGCTGGAGGAGGCACCCCCGCGAACACTAGCCCAGATGCCAACGCAGTGGAATACCTCTCTCCGGTCCTCACAAAGCATATGAAAGCTGTGTACGAAGAGTTGGAAAAGACGCATTCATTGGCTACGAAGGACGGATTCCTCAAGTGGCTCGCTGAATCACAGCATGTTGTCCCTCAGGGTATTGAGGTGTCTACAAACGGCTCCTCTTTCTCCCAATTCGCCAAATACCTGTCGTCGAGCGCTACCAATGCTATGGGCCCTGCCGCGATAGTGGATTGCTCGTACCCTATATCCAACTACTTCATTTCCTCTAGTCACAATACGTACTTGACTGGCAATCAGCTGTCAAGTGAAGCGAGCGGGGAAGCATACCAAAATGTCAGTAGGACGGAGCTTACCGCATAAAACTACAGTCACTGACCTCCTCAGGTGCTTTTGCGAGGATGTCGGTGCGTGGAGATCGACGTCTGGGATGGCGAATCGCCTTCAAGCTCTAGTTCCGAAGACGAGTCCGCAAAAGGCCCCAAACCTAAGAAGAAAGAGAAGGTAGAGAAGGTTGAGCGGAAACTTATGAAGAAGCTAGAACTGCGGTTTGGCAGGAAATCGGATCGCAGCCCTTCGAAAGGTGCGCATGATGCACATCCTGTCTCGAAGGCCTCGCCCGAGGACAAAGTCACGCCATGGAAGTCCACCTCGAGCTCGATACGAGCGGAACCACGAGTCCTTCATGGCTACACACTCACAAAAGAAACACCGTTTCGAGATGTGTGCAAATCTATACGGGACTATGCCTTTGTTGCTTCGGATTTGCCTGTAATCGTCAGTCTCGAGGTACACACCAGCCTCGAGCAGCAGGAGATTATGGTAGAAATCATGGAGGAATACTGGAAAGGCATGCTGGTTGATCTTCCGATCACATCTTGTGAGAGCACGGAAGAGCTCGTCCTACCGCGCTTGGACCAACTTCGGAACAAAATCTTGATCAAAGTCAAATACACAGCACCAAAGCCTCTGGATGCTGAACCGCCTAAGCCAACGAACCTCCAATTGGAAAAATCGAAGTCGTCGAGTGCTCTCTCTTCATCGTCAGCATCATCCTATGATGTGCCCGAGACAGTCGCCAAACCAGCTGCGCCAAAAGCAAAGATTCTCGAAGCTTTGGGACGACTGGGCATCTATACTCGTAGCTATCACTTCAAGAATTTTGATCAGCCAGAGGCGAAGATTCCTACGCATGTGTTCTCTTTGTCCGAGAAGACGCTGATGGAGGTGCACGAGCAAACCCCCACCCAATTGTTCGCCCACAACAAGAACTTTTTTATGCGGGCATATCCCAAAGGCCTCCGCCTCAACTCATCCAATCTAGACCCATCCATTTTCTGGCGAACTGGTGTCCAGATCGTGGCCTTGAACTGGCAGAAATGGGACGCGGGAATGATGCTCAATGAAGCCATGTTCTCTGGATACAATGGCTGGGTGTTGAAGCCAGAAGGCTATCGCAGTGCTAGCACGGCAGAAAACCAGGCATTAGCAACGACCCACCACAACCTCGATCTCACGATTGAGTTCTTTGGCGGTCAGGATATCCCACTCCCACCCGAGGAGCACAATCCCAAGAGCTTCAAGCCTTATGTCAAGTGCGAGCTGCATGTGGAAAAGCACGAGGAACGCAGTGATGAGCCAATCCCCGGAGGTGGGAAAAGCAAAGGCGGCGGCGACTACAAACGACGCACGAAGACAACAAAGACCCCCGACCCGGATTTCCAGAGGGAGACTATTCGTTTCTCAAACGTGAGAGGGGTGACGGAAGAGCTGACATTTGTGCGGTGAGTAGCCGTTCAGTACAATTTTCTTTCCCCCTGCCCTAGGATTGCGGCTAGACCTACGTCCTCGTGGCTCGATTCAAATGCCTGTCGCCAGAAAGGAGCACAAGCAGGATGAGATCTAGCCATGTAGATCGCCACGCTCCTCTTGCCAGCAGCAAGTGCCCCAGCTGTGCTACAGCCATACCTACGAGGCGATTCGTTGCACTGCAGGAGTGGCTGTGGTGTGGCGATATCGTCTCGAAGGCTGCACGCAGCCGCTTCTTGTGCTCGAGAACTCGAGCAAACTTGTTATTCCCTCTCGTACCTGTCCTGTATCTTCCCTCATCCGCTTTCGCGCATTTCCCGAATCCGCCTCGGAAGACCGGCATGATTCATACTAACAATCACCTCAGACTCAAAGTCATGGACGACGAGCACTTCAACGACGATCTCGCTGCATGGGCCTGCTTCCGCCTCGACCGCTTCCAGCCTGGCCTGCGCATGATCCACTTGTACGATGCACATGGGGTCCTGACCAAGGGCGTGTTGTTTGTGAGAATCGAGAAGAGTGTCAGTGCCTAATAAGCAGCTACACGCACATCGTTCACCCGAGCCACGGAGCCTTCCCTCTAGCTGTCGAGCGATTAGTTGCCGTGACGCTCACGCTGATGTAGATTTCCTAGTTTCTGCCCAGGAGGGCGTGCATGCCCCCGAAACGGCGTGTGAGGGAGTTTTGAGGCATCATGGGGTACCTACGGATGCGGCAGACCCGTTTTGGGAGCAGGATCAACGAAAATGAGCGGTGCTTGATGAGGAGATTATGAGTTGATGAATTATGACTTCCTTGAGCGTCTGGTCTGCCTGTAGACCTCAGTATCAATACCATTCGGTCTATTTCAAGAAGTGGGTTTGAAGTCGCGTACTGACCCCTTTTCTCAACTTGGGTTTCGTCAGACAGGAAAATCGCTCAGCTTCTAGGGCACGCATACTAAAGACCACAGCTATGACCAATCGATCGCCTCCTTACCACATCCGTCCCGCCGTCCGCAATACCCTCATCCCGAACCCTAAACCCAGAACCGTTCCATCCAATCCATACCGATAGGAAGCGGCATACCGCACACGGGCATCTCAGAAAAAATGTACGTGAAATGCCGTGACGTCATAAGTATCACCAGCACGCCACTCTCGGCGGTTCGCGTTACGCGCACGGCGGGGGATTCGTCCGACGCCGGTTCAGCCTGACCCAGCCCGCTCGTGAGTTCGGTGGCATGTGATCAACGTGGTTTGTGAGAGCGTGAGTTAGTGGCTAGGCACGCGGGTGCAATAGCGGGTTGGAGGATGTCCAGAGGGGTGGTATATCGTGTTTCGAGCATGGCTGCGGGTGGTTTGGCCAGCAATTGCCGTCCTTGGCGAGGAAAGTGGTTATATTGGTGCTGTGGCAGCCATATTGGCGTCCTAGTATGGGCTGTGGATGGGGATAACTAGCATTTGCGTTTTGAGGTTGGCGCTGTAGCACCTCTATCGCGAGTTGCCAGCGCCTATGTAAATGGAACGGCCGATGCTCACGAAGCACCCTGGTTATTTTCTGGTTTTGTTGTCATGCGCGTACCCTCAGTGACCGGGGATTTGCGAGATTTTAGTGTGTACACACGTGAAATGGGATCTTCCTTGGGTCTGCGGTAGCACAGAACGAATTAGCACACAGCTTAGCGAGTCGTCGGAGACAATCCCGAGCTCGTTGGTGGCGCAGAGAAGCTCTTAGGCGAGATATGTGTGGTTGGTTCTGAGACACGATACATTCAGGAGGTACTGTTGGTAATAAGTGAGCCTAAAGAGCAAGGCTTCGTGGTCCGATATCGGACGATCTTCTACCGTGATTTCTCTAGATATACGCTTATATCATAGACGTTGACGTTGAATCAGGTTGTAGTCTGGTGAAACTGACGAAAGTATTTCTAGAGTACATTGGGCTTGGCTGTGTAAATTTGGGGACCTTGATGACCCATCTGCTGCGCTGTAAGATAGTGCTGTATAATAGTTAACGGTCGAGTTCTTCCGCGACGAGACGAGTGTACAAAACTGTAGTAAAGCTTCCAATCGATTGAACCATATGACGATCCTTACCCTTGAGGATTTTCGGATATGCTAGCATGGCGGTATGCTGAAGTTGAAATAGCGCTTGCGATAGATTGTATAATGCGTTTTCGAGGCTAACCTGGAAACGTGGGTACCAGCATATCGATACTATTGATAACTTTTCCCCAAATCCCATATCCTGTCAACAATGCATTGCCGCCGATCGAAAAAGTGCCCGGGGAGATGAGATGGGTCCAGAATTCGAAACAACCATCGAATGGGCATCGAGGAGAACCATATTAGTGCAATCATTGTAAAAAGGCCATGGAACTTTTCCGACCGAAGCGAGTGACGCAATTCCGAACCAGTGGAAGCTTGCTGCAGTCCTCGTGGACTATGCAGGTTGTCGGGAGTGTTAGCTGTACAGATCGACCCTGGTATGCTGAGCCGTGGTGACACAACTGATTGGCGGTGTGATGGGTGGACTTGGAACAAAGTGTCGTGCAAGGCTTATTCGTAGCGAGAAGACAGAATAGCTTCACTGCCACGGGCTGCGACGAGCGCGTAGAAGTCATTTTGTTAGATCTGTAGGTCCACGGTCTTACCATGTAAAATTCGTAGCCAGGGAATTTCACCTTGACAAGTGATGCCGCTATGAGCCGTTATTACAGTGTGTGGCCTGTGAGTGATGCTCCTTAGCGCGGCTATGGTGACAGGATCGACGTTAGGGGCTTCCGGAGCCGTACTATGGGAGAATGGAGATGGCGGTGAGGTTGCTTGCTTGCAGCTAGGAGCGTTGGAGTGCCTGGATTTTTGAGAGGGCATCCACATTCAAGATGACGCTGGGAAAGGAATGTCGTGGCGATCACGCAGAATCGGCTCTTCGCTCAGCTAGACGAGGGTTCGAGGGACGTACCAGTACAACCGCGAAGGTACAAAGTAGGTTTCCGGAATAACGAGTTAGTCGCCGGGAGATGAAAGATGGAGCAGCCATGCACGCAAGTGTGGACTTGCAGGATGATGTTGTTAGGAAGCGGGTACAGCGGGAAAACAACAGAGGAATTTTGGCACTGACTGCAGCTTGAGGTTCCACACCTTAGCGAAATGTTTAGCTGCAGCATGTACGCTCGCTCTTTGATGCACAAGGGCACCTTGGACGTGCAAGATGGGCGTAAGGCGCCCTACTTCGCGACTTGATTCCCAAGATTCGGTCGTAACAGGAATCCGACTCTAATGTCACCATCGGCAGGAAAATCCCCTCGAAAATCATCCCTCGTGCTTGAGTATCTTCACACACGCGAAAGTAGTAGGGTTGCGGGGTTGCAGGAATAGCGTGCGTGTAAGGGTCTGGATATGCGGCCTTGTGGCACAATGGTGTATTCAGCCAGGCAGAGGAAAGTGACAAGTCGCTTCAACAAAACAAAATCGCCTGCTTGGAAGGAGTAATGCTCCGACTGGTCAGCTATCTGAACAGCTGCATATAGCCACAATGGTCCACGCCGACACAGCACCGAACCGTCCGCCAGGTCGTTGAATAGGCTACGTGATTGGCCCTCGGAGCGGACATCGAAGCCGTCATGCAGAGGATGGTGTACGCGCTGCAACCCTAAGGCCAAAACAATGTTAGACCTACTCAAATTCGCGATGGACGCAACGTCCATTAAGCGACTCAAAAGAAAGGGAATATGACGGGTCATAATCCGATAGCCCCGACCACTAGGTTCGCACTTCACTAGGTCTTGTGAGGTAGATCTGTCCGACAGCCAACGAAAGGCTTCGAGTACCAACAAGGATGAAATATCGAAGCTGCATGTCCCAGAAGTTTGCTCCTGTTCCCATCGCTCCAAATTCGGGCGAGGCCATAGCTAGTTCCGCGACAATACTTTTGGCCACTTATGGCAGTCTGTTAGCGAACGTGAAACCGAAGCCACTGGGTCAATTCGAAGCAGAAACTAAGAGTAAGAGTTGATGAGGAAGTAAAGGGAAGCAGATGCAGAGCTTGGACAGAAAATCCGAGCCATGGCTTGTCATGCTACACGATTCACCAGACGGCGCATAATCGCATCACAGTCAGGGAACTATCGGATACAGTGCCATTGGTTTAGGTTCCGGTGCTACACCGGCCTTTTGAGGAGCGTTGAGTAACCTCGATGACGAATGAAAAGCATATGCCCCTGCAGGAGGATAGGGACGAGCCAGGAGAAAGGCGACTTGAAAAGTATAAAGCCAGGCTCACCGCCCGTCGTTCTTTCCCGCCATCACAACCAGCTACTCTTTCGGTTTCTCCACCTCTTCTCCTCCAAAGCTAACCAAAAGAAATCATCCATCTTCGCTAATTCGAAATGCCTTCGTCGGCCTGCCACCAGAACTGCTCCGAGGAGCTTAGCGAAGTCCTTCTCGCTAGCGGTCCCATCACCACCATGCCGGTTCGTCTTCTCGCCTGATTCTGAATATGACCTTGGTGCTAACAATCGCTCAGGTTCCGGGTAGACGTTGCCCGGCCTGCCTCGAGAAGGGCGAGACTGTTTGGGTCATTCAGGGAAAGTGCTGCCCTGAATGTGGAACTCCGGTCAACTAGCTGAACTGGTACGTGCCTAAGAGCCTTCTTTCTTTCGTACAACTAGTCGCTGATAGAGCTTATCAGGCTTGGGTCGAAGACGTCCTGCGTAGCTTCATGGCTTTCTGGTTTCCGTCGGATCATGAGGTTTCGTTTGAGATACTGTGGGTTGCTCGTAAAGAAGGAAAGAGCTCGTGGTATTTGCAGGATGTCTGGCGCTTTTGCGGGTGTGTCCTTTCCACGGACGGCGTCGCTGGAGTCGAAGAGTTTTCATGCTCTTGTTCCTGGCGTGTGTTCTTCCTGAGATCTCATCGATAATGTGCAAAACGGAATTAGAGGAAGAACTGTAAGGGAGAAAAGTGTTTGTTTGGAGCCAACGAGCCAATAACCAATCAATGACGTTACCCTTTCCTTTATTGGCTAACGTGAATTTCCAATGTGATCGATATAATCGAGGTATTCGGCATGATAGAGAAAATCGCATTCTAAAGAAGGCTCCAAAAGAAATCTTTGCAAAGGGTCCCAGCTAGTCTTACGATGTTGACGCAAAACACGCCTGCATACCTCTTCATTTGTCTCTAGCTTACGTAAACCCCGTTCAATGCACTTAATTGGCTGTTATTGCATGAGTGGATGCATGACCAAATGGGATGGGAAAACCAAAAACCGACCTGGTCAACGTCCGGATGAACGTTGGGCCTTGGGATTGTCTCAGGAGAGTGTTGGAACCTATCATGGGGGACTTGGAGATATGCATTAGAAGAAAATGGTTTCTCGTTACGACCTCGAATTATACCTTGCTGGGCAGCATGTGAAGTATGGTCGAATGGAGGACGGGGAACTGGATAGTCCCGGGGATGTGGCAACACCGTGTTAGATATGGCGTGATCTATAGGCCTTGGTTCCATGTATAGATGTTGGGGAGGCCGTCTCCATGTCTGGCCAGAGGAAGAGGGTCTGTCCGATTGCTGCAATGATAATTCTTGACCACCAGTAACGTCATTAGGATCATGACTGGTGGGACGTGGAATGCATATGGAACTGCGAGCTTACCTGTAATGTAGGTATCAGGGGGGTTGAAGGACTGTCCGCCATCTGGGACTGTGGGTACGTCTCCTTGGCTAAGAGATGCTACGGAGGGGGCTGGTGGGGTGGAGTCTTGTGCGTGAACTCGACAGGCACAACAACACACCATATTGACGGGTCAGAGAGCTGATAGGGATGGGAGTTTGAGGGATAGCAGATAATTGTCTAGGACAAGCCTGTTGGAGCTGGCCATATATATACACTGCCCTGGGTTTCGGACTGGCTTCGAGACCTTTGGTATGTAACGGGGATATCGAAAGCCAATCGAATTTCAAGGCGGCTCTGTCTAACCGTCTAGCCTTAAGAGCCACGATTTGATGAAATTGAGGGAAAGAAAGCCCTGCCCGGGACGGAGTCGAGACCAGTCGGTGCGGCTGGCGATGATGCCCGCTAGCGACTATGCAAGAACTTGCATGAATGAATATACGGAGAATCGTTATTCGGTGCTTCACTGCGCGAGGCATACACGCTGAGGCTATGTATCGTGGAAGAGAATGGCTGTAGCGTCTGGCTACTGGGCGGCCTGATCCTTGAGGTCATTTACGAGATCGATCTAGCAAGCTGCGGTCTCGCAATTTTGTGAGGCGAATACGATGTTAGCTGTAGCTAATGCCGGATCCGACGCTGAGATTGGAACTGCATCCGGCTCGTGAGAGTTGAGTATACCACGAGCGGTGAGATTGCCTACCGAGGCCTTGAATTCGCCTACCCGCGTGGGATCTTTGGGCCCGATAGTTTAAAGGAAGATAGCTAGTCTGTATGGAACTCACGCCCCACACTAGGAATGCTAACGGCATGGAAGATAAGTGCCCCTTGGAGAGATTCAGATGACATGGGCCAGCCCGGTTGTCCGGGCCTAGACGAGTCCATCAGACCATGTGCGTGTGGACCATTCGTGACTGGCACACATTCCACAAGACTGTCTAGGCTGACATGGAGCTTTTATGCGATCCGAGAAATCAAAAGGAAGGCTTCGTGTGGCGGTCGTCACGCGTCGTATCCCTTTATATCCATCTGCTATGGATGTCCGGGCATATATCCGATGTATAGCTCTTGAGTAGTAGTTGATGCTAGTCTTACAAGATTATAAGACGCCCATCGAGCTCAGCTTTTGAATGGTCGGAACGTTGGCCACATCTTTGCCGTGGGAACAGGAGTTCTCGAAATTTGACGTCATGGCCCATGATGAGAAACAAATTCGCGCTCTCTAGCGGAGATCTGAACATAGCCAGTAAGATGGCCTCTTCATGGACAGGTTCTGGAACGACAGCGGGGGGCTGAGCGAATTGAATCTACGTAAAGAATGAGGCTTTAGAGAGTGAGGCGACTAATGACAAGGGCAGGAATTATTGTAGCAGAACAAATATCGCAACTTAACCTCAAAGGATGCTGTAGCTAGACACTGCAAGGATACATTAGCCGAATGCCCATCAATTAAGAAAAAGGCAGTGAAGATCGAGGTTAGACACTTGAAATGTCGACCAAGTCCGCGACGATAGGCAGCCAGCCTTATAAGGCATATCGCAGGGCTGTGAAGGGCCGATCGAATCTTTCACCTCTCGGAGACTGAATGCGTTGATTCATAGGCGGCATCTTTTCGCCGGACCGGTAGACAGTGGAGTCGGGGTGAGGTTGGAAAGTCGGCACAGGCCTTGGCGTTGCGCTAACTAGGCTTCTTCTGGTTGGGCAATCGACATTCAATATCAAGAGGATGGTATGCGCGTCAATTTAATGCTCTCAAATTCATCCTCCTAAGAATTACTTGCTAAGGAGCGATACGCAGGAAGTAACACCTAGATTCCGGTTGTTTGCAATTCCCCATGCCCCAGATAGTGCGCCATTCATATCCACCGAACGCCAGACCATGCCTTCGTAAGAGAGTTGAGGTTGGTCCAAGTGACCGGAATGTTGAAAATCAGGATTCAGACACTCAAGGCTGCCGATGGAACCAGCTCTGGGATATGAGCTAGGTCTGCAACCGGCTGCGCAACCCTGATTCGCTTCGCTTTGCTCTGCTCCGCTTCGTCCGCTGCATTATTGACAGTTGCCTCTGGCTTTGCAGCCTCCTTGAATTTTGCCCTCTTGCTAGGCTTGAATTCGCTGTGTGGTATACACAGCCTCTCGTCCACCTCCGTCGCTAATTGCATCAAACCTTCAGTATCCTCCATGCTGAGCGCCCGGACTACCTCCCGGTAGCATTTGCATTGATTCATAGCCGTGTAGCACTTTTCCTTCCCCGGTATCATCTGGCCAAGCAGGTATTTCGTATTCCCCCACCTATTCTCCACTTGCAGGCATATTCTCAGGTACTCTTCAACGACGGTTCTCCATGCTTGCTTCCCCACGAACGTTCCACCCTCCGCTTCCGGTCGAAACACGCTCGGGTTCTTTTCCGCTGCCGTGGCAATCATAGCACCATCAGCGCCATACTCCTGGACGAGCTGCAGCGCTTCTCCCCTCGAATATACGTCTCCGTTCATCACACACGCTACACCTGCTTCGTGGCATATATCCACCACCATCTTCAACTGTCCGCGTATCGCGCGCTCGCGTGGCCGCATGGGCGTCGTGCGGCAGTGAACGGTCAAGCCCGTGATTCCAGTCTTCACTAACCGCCTCACCAAAACCGCAGTGTCCTCGGGCTCCTCCAGAATGCGAATCTTCACGCTTATGCCAATCTCGAACGGCTTGCCCACCTCCTCTACCAGTGCTGTGAGGATATTGCAGAGCAAGTCCGGCGTTTTCAGTAGAGCCGCGCCCATGCCGCCTGCGGTGGAGAATGGCTTCGGACAGCCCGCGTTGACGTCTATGCCTGCTACGTCCGCGGCTACCATTTTCGCGGCAATCACTGCAAGGGTAGGGTCGGAAGTGCCGATTTGGTATATTAAGCGTTTGTGTTCGAGCTCTGGGTGGATTCTGTAGATGACGCTTTCGCGGTTGAAGGGATCGAGCGCTGGGTTCTGGATCTTGGAGGAGGGAAGACGTGAGAACTCGAGGGTAGATGTGTTGGGATTAAGACGGCGAGTTGTGCCTATCAAGGCGCGATCGATGGTCTCGGGACCTAAGAATTTAGATATTAGCTTCCAGCTTATTCTGACGACATTTTGTTATCTTACTTACCCCATACCAAATCGGCTCCATACTTCAGCGCAAGGAGCCTCGAAGGTAGCTCCCCAGACCTCACCATCGGCGCAAGCACCACTTTGCCACGATAATCGACGCCATTCTTTGGGATAGGGACGTGTGCGAGAGCTGGAGACGCCATTGTCCTCGTTATGACACGCGCAAGTGCTGGAAACATCCGTGAGAGCAAGGCATCAAGTGAGGAGAGAGAGTGAACTTGCTCGTGGTGAATTCGTTCTCAAACTTTTGGGTTAGTCATACTTAAAGTCGGCCCTGTTCGTTCATTGGCCAGAGACTAAGACTGCCAAGCTATATCACGTGAGAGAACATCTCTCTGATTGAAGCAGCCTTGGAGGAAGTCCAGAATGATGAATTGATGTGGCCTTGACTCTCGACATACGGACTAAGGCCTCCTAATATTGATCCAAGACTTCTTGTTCTTTGAACTCGACTCCAATGAGACCTCGAGCAATTCATGTGGAAGCTAATGATATTTGAACTCTGTTCATTTTACCACCTATTCTGATAGGTATGACCTAAAGGCCGGATGTGCACCCATACCAATTACCAGGAGTAGAGCAAACCGGCAAACTACATGCCAGGTCCGCATACTGCATACAAAGACGAGCCATCCGCTCATCACAACCAGGATATAACTTTACAAGAGTCCGCTCAAACTCCAACACAACAATCCCGCTCGAATTTGATCCGCATCATTTCGAGCGAAAGCAATCCTTCTAACGCAGCGCTGGGTGGAAAACATGCTGGTGCAGTACGGGAAGGGGAGTATGTATCGCTAGCAGTCCGACGATATACGTACTCTGTCTCAAAGCTTGAACTTCTCCAGATACTTTGTCGCCTCCTCAACGCCTTGGTCGACCTTGTCGGCATTGGTGCCTTGGCCGATGGACGTCGCGCCCTTACCACCTGCTTTGCCGCCGATGATGCCGGCGACTGTCTTGGACCATTCCGCGGCGGAGGCGCCTTGGGTAGAGAAGTGCTACGAGGCGTTAGCGCATCGAAAAGATAATGGAACATGTGTAGTGAAGGGAAATGACGAACCTCAGCAACATAGCAACCGTGCACCACCTTGCCCTCATCCTTACTGGCAGAGAAGAGATAGACCGACTTTTCCTTCATGGCACCCTTACTACTGACACTCTTGATCGCCTCACTAATAGCCTTATTGACCGTCGGGCTCCAATCCACCTTCGCAACTAGATGGTTCTTGGCCTCGTTCTCGCCGAAGAAGTTGACAATCGTATCCAGCACCCTCTTGTTGTCCGCCTTGGCAGCTGCCTTCTGCTGGTCCAAGATGCTCTTCTGCACCTTAGCGAAGCGATCGCGGAACTTCGACTTTGTGATGGCGGAGATGCCGAGATTGTTTAGGTCCTGACCCAGCTTCTTTGCTTCGGATTCCTTGTCGGTCGAGTAGGATGCCTTCTCCAATCGCACTAGCCTCTGTTCAAATTCGGAGGCCTCGCGTTGCACTTCGTAGGCGGTTTGGCCTGTCACGGCGACGATGCGGCGAATGCCCTTTGCGATGCCAGACTCTTCGAGGACGATGAGCTCCTTGATTTCGCCGGTCTGCTTGACGTGGGTGCCGCCGCAGAACTCGACAGACACCTTCTCCCAATCTTCTCGCTTCACGTCGCTCAGAAGCTCCTCGACTGGCACACCAACGCTCACGACGCGAACGGGGTCTGGGTACGTCTCGCCGAAGACAGCACGGACACCGCGGATCTCACGCGCAGTAGCGAGTGGGACATCCAGAGCGTAAACCTCGCAGTTCTGGCGGATGTATTTGGTGGAGATTTCTTCCACTTTCTCAAGTTCTACGTCCGAGAGACCGGCCTTGTGCGAGAAGTCATAGCGAAGCTTTTCTGGGCTGACCAAGGAGCCCTTTTGGTCGATGTCATCGCCAAGTACTTCGCGGAGTGCATAGTTGAGAATATGTGTGCCAGTATGATTACCGCGGATGGGGAAGCGGCGAAGCTGAGTGCGTTAGTGATTGGGCTCAACATGACCACCCTGGTAATGAAACAAGAGACTTAACGTACCTCATCGTACTCGGCAATAACCTCGTTGCCAACACTGATCTCACCATACCTCAGCTCACCAGTGTGTAGAACGTAGCCGGCATAGACCTGAACATTCTGCACGTCGATCTCTGCCTCGCCGTCAATCACCAGCTTTCCAGTGTCATACTCTTGACCACCCTGCTCAGCATAGAAGTTCGTGCGGTCCAGTAGCACACCAAATTGCTCGCCTTCAGGCACTTCTTTCGTGCTCTTGAGGAACTTCTTCGAATGGTAGATGGCCTTGACGACAGAGGTGATGTTTTCGCGGCCAAATTTGGGCGAGTCGTCCGTCTTTGGAACGTCTTTCATGTTCTCTAGAGCGCCGAGATCGTGAACGTCGAGCTTCACAAGTCCGGCAGCGGCCTTCTTCTCGCCCTTGCTGGCCTCTCGTGCCTTCTCTTGCGCCTCTTCGACCTCCTTGTCGTTGATGCGTAGGCCCCGCTCCTCGGCCATGATCTTTGTCAAATCAACAGGGAAGCCGTAGGTGTCGTATAATCGCCAGACATCGTTTCCGGGCAAGTCTATCGAGCCTTTCACCTTGCACTGCTGGGCGTACTTCTCGAACATGATCTCGCCGCGATCCAGACTCTTTGCGAAGCTCTTCTCTTCCTCGTCCAGGATCTCCTTGACGTCGCCCTCCTTCTTTTTGATCTCGGGGAACATGTCGCCCATTTGCTGCACAAGACTTGGCACGAGTTTGGAGAAGAAGTCGCCAATCTCAGTGTTGAAGTACTTGCGCGCATATCGAGCTCCACGTCTGAGCACACGACGGACCACGTATCCCCGTCCAACGTTGTTAGGCACACCTCCATCAGAGATGGCGAATGTGAGAAGCCGAACGTGATCGGCAATGACTCGGTATGCAGTATCAATGCCATCTGCGTCCTCGTCGCCAAACTTGCCCCTGTACTCCCTCGCTCCAGTGATCTCTTGTATCCGCTTGAAGAGAGGTGTGAAGACATCGGTATCGTAATTCGACATCTTGTTCTGCAGCACAGACACTAAGCGCTCGAAGCCCAAGCCGGTATCCACGTGTTTGTTTGGGAGAGAGCGCAACGAACGGTCCGGTTCACGGTTGTATTGGATGAACACGTTGTTCCAGATCTCGAGGACATTGGGGTCGTCTTGGTTGACCAGGTGTGCGGCATTACGTCCACCACCAATGCGGTCGTAGTGAACTTCGCTGCAGGGTCCGCAGGGTCCTTGGTCGCCCATTTCCCAGAAGTTATCCTTCATGTTTCCAGGGAGGATATGGTCCTCGGCCACACCCACTGAGTGCCACAGCTCCTTGGCCTCTAGGTCGGCGTCCAAGCCCTCGGAGCCCTCGAAGTATGTGACATATAGCCTGTCCGGGTCCAAGCCGTACACCTTAGTCAGAAGGTCCCAGGAAAACGAAATAGCCTCCTTCTTGAAGTAGTCTCCGAAACTCCAGTTCCCCAACATCTCAAAGAAGGTGTGATGGTAACTATCCTTGCCAACATCGTCCAGATCGTTATGCTTGCCACCGGCACGGATGCATTTTTGTGAGTTGACGGCGCGCTTGAGGTTTGCAAAGTCGGACGCAGGATCCACGGTCCCCAGGAAGATTGACTTGTACTGGTTCATTCCAGCATTAGTGAAGAGGAGGGTTGGATCTGAAAGGGGGACGACCGAGGAGGAGGGCACTGGATGTGTCAATTGAGATATTTTTGAAGGCTTCCAAAAGGAACTTGTGAGAGCAACGCTGGGCCAAATCGCATGGGAGAGGAGTATGAGATAGCAGAGTAAAGCAAATACCCACCAAAAGTGTGTCCATTCTTTTTGAAGTACTCCAAGAACGTGTCCCGCACCTTCACAGCACTCCACTCGTGCTTCTCCTCCGTGAGCGAAGTCTCCGCCATTGTGTGCAGGCGTCTGGCGCTCGCTCCGATCCTAAAGGTGACCTGTGTGCTGCAGAGATTCGGCCGTCGGACTATGTTCTGTGCGAGAGTGGTGTGGCAATTGTTGTTGGAGTAAAAGATCGAGAGGCCCCTCCAAGTGAACGCGGAGGCCCCGTGACTCACACCACTGCAACACGACTTCCGCAGCATCAACTCCTGTCGCTCTTGCGTCGAGGGCGCTTCACTATCTAATGAGCGACCACCCCACCGGCCTCTACAGTCGCAGATTTGATTGGTGACGACGGAACCGACGCGCTGCGGATTCAAGGAAAGACTTAGGAGTGCTGGAGGGAGGGTGGGATGCATGGCGAACAACAGTCGCGCCGCGATCACAGCTTCTCCCGGCCAACAACCACAACAGCAGCATGGAACCAAACGGCCGGCTGATACCACCTTGCAAAATGAGCAGCGGCTGAGCAAGAGGTTCGATCTGCTCAATATAGGTAGGACCAACCATTTCATCTTCATCCCAATAGTCACCTCACTTGAAGCGCATTTCAGCTCACTCAACTCGATAGACAGCAATGGCCAGCGCCTCTATATTCCCGTCTCGTCCTCCTCAGATGCTCTGCGGCAGCCCCCAAAGCCAGTGCTCCTCCCAACAGATAGGAAAGAGAAGCGGAAGCTCCGAATTCCTCCAGATGGAGACTCCCTGATGGAAGTGGAAGACAGCCCTCACAAAGTCTACATACACGACCTGGCCGCCGAGCTCTCTGACGTAGAGTCTGATGACGAGCACCCGGTGTTCCTCTCCGACATCGAGAAACACTTATCAAAAATCCCGGCCTTCATTCTTGCAAGCCCCGAACCTAAGTCCACGCGCGACAATCAAATCGTCCTATACAATGTCCCAAGTTCGCTCAGCGTGCCGGAGGAGAAGGATAGCGTGCGGAAGGCGATTGTGGAGGCGCGAGCGAGGATGAGAGAGAAGCAGGGCTCGACAGTTCAAGAGCCTGCGTTACATGAGGTCAATAGTAAGATGAATGGGAAGGAAGAGAAAATGTCCGCGACTGAGGAAGATGATCCAGATGCTATGGAGATAGACTAGTTATGATCAGCAGTATACACAATTGGATTCCCTTGAATGGTGTTTCGTAGTCCATAGTGACAGGTCGCTGTTTTGAGGTATCTAGGTAATTACTGGCTTTGGAGAGGCCAAACTCTGAGTCCCAAACGTGGCCCAGCCATGCTGAAACACCGCCGTTCCTGCAAACCAATATGTTCCGCTTCTAAAGATGTGGCAGACCAGAATACAAGTTCCCAACCAAAACTCCACCAACCGATTCCGAGTGTTTCCTCTACATCCCCTGTTACCCAGCTCATCGTCTCAGCTTCCCAAGAAGATTACCAACTGCCAGCTTGGCCCTCTGCGGCCTCGGCGGGAGCTCCGCGGACTGATTCTCGAGATCGCTCTGCTGTCCACCACCCACTACGCCTGTCTCCTGGCCCACTGGTCCGCTGTATTCAGGGGCCATGCCATATCCGCTAGGCTCCTGTGATCCGCTTCCCATGTGTGGCCACATTTCCATAGCATTTTGTTGTGGATGAAGCTTCGTGGCTCCTGGAGGTGGCACGTATGAAGGGGGGGCATCGTGGTTGTAGACTGGAGGAGGCTCGAAGTAAGTGCCGTCGTTGGCTCGGTATGGTTGTTGCTGGTACTGTCGTTGCTGGGTATTGTAAAACGTGAAGTGATTCTGCGGTGCCTGGCCGTACGGCATTTGGCCGTAGCGCTGACGGTCACGGAGGGGAACTAGCCACTTCAGTTTTGTCAGCGTGTGTCTTATAGAGATAGCAGTATGGCTAGGGACAGATTTGGGCTTAGGCGGTTGCAGGTGGAAGATAGATATCTGCAACTGTCGCCCTCACCAAATGTCTGCTGATTTATGCGCAATTGCTGCTAGCTGCTTTTAAGAAGACGGTCAAGCAGCAGTTTTGGTATTCCAAGGTAGGTGGGGTAGTTTGGCTGGAAGCACACGTACTCGGTGATATGCGAGGAGCGGTAGGCCTTTGCGCATGCGGCTCTTGGCGTGAATGTATCCACCTAGGAACCAGGCCATGAAGAAGATGAAGATGGCGGCAAGAATGGACCATTTGATTATTTCTCCTTTCTAGGGCAAATGTCAGTATAAGCAACAACAATCAACGAGCGACACCATGTTCGAGAAGCTTACCGTTGTGTACCAGAAGCCGTTGTACTGGTAGCATTGGATATCGCCATTGAAGTCCTCCACGCAATCACTCCTCTTCGAGAACATGGCTGGCATTGATTTAGGCTCGTACGCCAAGAGCTATGAAGTCAAGCTGAATAGGGCGATGTGCGGAAGGTGCTGTTCGTCAAAGTCGGGAGCCAAGGAGTCGTATTAGAGTTACGATTCAGGGAGGGCGATGGTATTGAGGGAAATATAATTCCAAGAGGAAGGCTGAGCAAAAGACGTGCGACGGCGTCCAACGTGTGGGGTTTCAGGAAGGTCGAGGTAGTTTCACGATGTGTCTGAGGGAGTGTTGCTGACTGCGAGCCAGCGAACAACAGCAAGGGGCTGGAGGCTGGGAGGCGTGTCCAGAAGCGATTGAAGGAGCAACAGGATGATGCAAGGAGATGCAAAAAGAGAGACAGAGGACCCGCCGTCTTAGAGAGAGGAGTGGCTGGATCTCGCAAGGAGGGTGGTGCAGCCGGTGCTGGAGATGCGTTCGGGAATGAAGGCAGAAGCCCCCAGCCACGTCCAAGCTCCCAAATCGCAGCTCCTGGTCCACTGTTTTTACGGTCCCTGCATAAAGATCACCGCTCGGCATAACTTATTTACGCCTTGCCAGTCACCAGTTCACTCATGCTCAATGTATCTCACCTCGAATATGGAGAGAATATGCTGGCACTCATGCTAGAACACCAGTTTGGGCACGCCGCCTTTTCATCTTGTCCCAATTTATGATGAGGTGCTGAAGCACCGCAACCGGTGGCAAGTAGGCCGACTGTCAGCGCTGAAAAGTCTCCAATTCAAGTTCTCAGGGGACTTTACACCTTATCAAAGCTTTTAGAATATACCAACAGTCGTGAGCGAGTGTGCCTAGACTTTCGGTAAAGCATTGTGTGTACTGATATCACTTATGCCCGAGAAAAAAGCCAGCGCATTAACGTACCCTGCGGGTGAGCTGCCCATGCGGGCGAGCTGCCCAGTCCGTGCACCACTAGAAATTCAATAATCTAACCTTAAATAACTCTACAACTACCTAATAAAAAGTTATACAAATATAATATATTATTCTTATATATATAAATACTTAGTATATAGAATATAAAGTCTATTTTTATAGTAGTTAACTAATTATTAAATTTAGACCCCTATTTTAGACCTTACCCTTTATTACTAGCTAACTACTATAAGGATAGACTCTATATTCTATATACTAAGTATTTATATATATAAGAATAATACATTAAATTTATATAACTTTTTATTAGGTGGTTGTAGAGTTATTTAAGGTTAGATTATTGAATTTCTAGTGGTGCACGGACTGGGCAGCTCGCCCGCATGGGCAGCTCACCCGCAGGGTACGTTAACGTGTTCTACATGCATGTGGTGGTTACAAGCGAGTGGTGGCGCTTAATTTTTGGTGCGATTTGGACGTTTTAACACCCCAGCAACCTCAACAACTATAAAAGATTTGAATCTATAACTTAGAATAAAGATATGCATAGCTGTTTCAATATTATAAGACAAATTTTTAGGGTCTCTTGATGGCCACATTTAGTTATAGTAGAGTTTTGGCCCCCTAGCATTGGGTAAGATCTACGATATAATAGAATTACAGAGACACATCACTCCAAACTATTGCCTAGCCATTGAAATGAGCTAAATACTATATGCATTCATACAATCTTATTTAATACTTTATGGTTGTTGAGATTGCTGGGGTGTCAAAACGTCCAAATCGCACCAAAAATTAAGCGCCACCACTCGCTTGTAACCACCACATGCATGTAGAACACGTTAGAGTGGGGAGATAGCATTGTAATCATTCTCTTTCTGCGGCTTCTATGCTTCGATTACCTCCCAGAAATCTGATTTGCACACGTCGTCTTTCATTTATTCCATAATGATGATGATGTGTTGAAGCACCACAAACAGCGGCCAACTACGGTGACTGTAAGCGCATGGACCCTCTCTGAGTTAGCTCTTAAGTCTCTTTATATTTTATCGGAATTTTCATAATGCGCCGTAGCACCTCAAACGATGTTGAGCGAATGTGCCTAGGCTTCTGGCAAGGCACTATATCATCCTAATGGACTGTAGCCCGATGTTACTACAAAGGTTGGAAACTTTATAAAATGATGAAAGTCTATCCTGTCTACCTTTTATGAAATGTATCAAGATATTTCAAACAGTAGCAGTCAAGCGTATACAGACCCACAGCGAGGTCGTGGCAGTAAGACAGAGGGCCGGGCCTGAACATCCTACCCTTCAAAACACACATTTTCCTCCTCTTTTTCTTTTGCATCGTGCAAAGACATCTGAAAGATTCAGTTCCAAGCTATCGTACTCCTCGACCGCCATTTCCGCCTCAGCGAATCTCACCTTTCTCCCTATTGGACTCCTCTCTATATCAGGTTCTTATTTCGAACACAACCACAATCTTCTATCCGGCGCGGTGTAGTTGGCTTAGCATGCTCTCGGTTCTGAATCTGTCGATCCGTCCCGCCAGCGACCCAGGTTCGATCCCAGGCGTCGGACACATGACTGTTCATATTCTTTTTGGCCTCCCGGTCGCTATGAGGTTGATTTCAGATCCATATATGGAGTTCATGTACGAGAAGGAGAGCTGAGCAAGCCCCTACCTATTTCAGACTTGGAGAACATAGAGAAAACTTCACCTAGGACCTCAATGATAAAGTGCGAACATGTTTCTTTCTTGAGTCCTATAGCTACACGACACCACCTCCATCCCTTCCTGGAGTTGCGCAAAAAAGCCAGCTATAAAAACAGTGCTCCGAATGGTATCATCACCCGCAAACTCCAGCCATCCAGCCTGTGCCCGTCTGTTCCTGAATGATCCACCCAAGCCAGCCCAACCGGAACCCAACCCGATCTTATTTCCTGGCCAGACGCCAAACTACCCTAGCTCCGTCGTGCTGCTCACTACTGAAACAGGCACACAAAGCCGCTCGTCTCAAGCGGCGCTGCCCACGGTCACTAATGGCAAGACTCCGACCCGTGCAATTCGCTTATAACTGAAAGGAAAAGGTTGGATACATAGAACGACGGGGAGTCAAAATACATCGGGAGAATCTAATGCAAAAGGTTCCGCAACGACGGACTAGCGCTCGCGCCTCCGGGCATCCGGTTGTCGCCTTGAGGGGGTGCTGTTGGCGTCTCTCTCATCGCTACGTCGCGTGGCGTTGAGGGCCGCGTGTTGTGAAGCTGTCCAGGGCCCGGGCTCCCGTGGTGGTTCGGATACGCGAATGGACTTTCTGTCTGCCTTGATGGCATGGACCCATTGTGCTGAGGCGGCGGTCCATTTGTATGAGGCGGCGGTCCATTGGCGTGAGGTGGCGGCCCATTAGGGTGAGTTGGGGAGTAGGGCAGGTGCGGGGAATGCATGCCATTTGTCATAGTCATCATTGGAGCATTGGAGAGATGGAGGGGCGCAGGAGTATGGATTGGAGGATAGGGCGACCGAACAGGTCCGTGATGTATAGGCTGATAGGATGGAGGCCCGGAAAACTGTTGGTACCCATTCGTTTGATGCATTGGGGTGTATGGCGTCTGATATGGTTGGTGGTGAGGAGGCATAGGCGGTACCTGCTGAGGAGGATGAGGTTGATGAGGCTGATGAGGTGGCGGTGGGTGAGAAATCCCGTTGCTCATTTGCGGTGGATGAGGTCCCCAATCTGGCATATGCGGTGGTTGCGGTGGCATGTGAGGGTTCGGCGGCCAACTGGGCATTGGTGGAACATATGAAGACGGCGGAGGAGGGGGTGATCGGACCGGTAGCTGTTGAGGTTCTGGAATAGTTTGAGCTGGTGGTGTTGGCGACGGTGCTCTCTCCAACTCTTCTGGTTCTTCAGGGGCCATTTTCTTCTTCCAGTGGCATTTTTGACATAGGTACTTGGCGATCTGGGTGATCGTGACGTCTGTGCCTACCGTGAGCCTGGGCGCAACATCAGGCGCGGGAGGTGTGGCGTCGGGCATCGCATAGTCGTGATCTCCTGTGCCATTGGGCAACTGGATTCCGTCAGGTCTTGGTTGATTCTCTGAGGCAATGTGGTTTTCTCGGTCGACGCCATTCATGACAAGTCCCTCCATTGGCTGGCTAGTAGTGAGTGGAATTAGTTTTGGGGCCGGAGAGTCCTGGACTTTCCACCACTTCGGGCTCGCGTCAATATCACACGTAGCGCATCGGCGTTCTAATCGCGCAGACTTTGCTTCAGTATCCTCCTCTTCCTCTTTAACCTGAAGCCCAGCGTTGGACGGTCGTCCTGGCCTCGCTGACGTCGGGGTTGGATTCGTTGTTGAAGTGCGCCGATTAACTGGAGCTGGCCCTGTTGTCGCCGCGGGTAGTGTTTTCGTGGTTTGATCCATGAGACTAGCCTTCCGCGCGGTCCCGGTCAGTGTGAGGTCTGCCTGCTTGTAGTTCTGGGCGTATAGTTGTAGTGCATTTGTACCAGCCTCATCAATTACCTCGCTCATCTGATGGACAATGGTTTTCGGTGTATGCTCCTTGCACCAGATAGCAGCAGTCATTGAGCCGGTTTCCCCACCAATCGTGAAAGTTGGAATTGCATCCCGACGAGTAGCCTTTACGGGTGTAATATCAAATCCGAACGTATAATTTGCCGCGTGTGCGCAACCCACGTGAAAGAGGGCATGGCATTGATGGCAGGAAACACAGGCGCCCACCGATGTCTTACAGATCTTGCAGCTACCATCATATCGAAGTGTTGGCGCACCCACGCCTTCGACAACGTCCAGTGTCTTGGCTTTAACGAATTTGGTTTCTGGACACCACACCGCACAATGAACGTGGACCCAGTTGTTGTCGGCCGTTCGCTTCAATGGCCCACGAGGTATTTCAGGCCGGCCTTTATCGCGTTGTCCTTGACGGTAGTCTTCTCTGAATTTGTCGACAAGCTCTTTTTCAAGTCTCTCCTTTTCCCTCTCCCTGTCAGTCTTCTTCTTGTGAGATACCTTGGGAGGCTCCACGAGGTCAATATCAACGTCGACGACCGGACAAAGCACGCAGGAATAATTCTAAATGGCGTGAGTATTCGGCCAACCTCTAGCAGGTGTGATGCACTTACATATGAAACTTGCTCCTTCTTATCGTTTTTACACATATCGCAGAACCAATTTGGATTCCTAATATACTCTATGCCATAGCAATTTCGGTGAACGGTCAACTTGCAACCACTACAGCTGATATGCTGATCGCCGAGTGGTTCGAGTTGCCTACAGACAGCACATGGTAAGATACGCATCCTAGGCTTGGCGGGAATAGGGGGAGGAGTAGGGGCTCGGGGAGGGGGTGGAGGTTTCTCCACCTTCTCCTTCTTCTTTGGAACGGGTTCGGCGATAGGCGTCACGGTGCCACTGTCTTTGTCGGCGGCCGTCGTCTTTAATTTCTTCTTGGGTGGTTCAGGAACCGGTTGGCTGATCAGCTCCATCTCTGGGAGCAGCTCTGGCCCTGGATGGGTCGCGGCTTCGTTTGCAGCGTAAACCTCTTTCAGGAGTTCCTCATCAATCCTCCTCTTCCAAGCTTTGCCTCCACCCTGCGCAACCTTCTTCGCGATTTCATCCGTGTTCTCCCACTTCACGGCATACTTTCGCCACAGACCAGCGCAGCGCAGACACAATGAAACGACGAATCCGCCGGCTTTCTCTTTCGCCATCGGCTTGCCCTCGGCGGATATGATGGTGCCAGGCGCAGCACCCGGAGCTCGGCGCCATTGCCGAGATGACCGAGTTGAGCAAAACTTGCACTGAAAACCACGCTTCTTCGCCATGGCCTTGTCGTTATCGAATGCGGAATCATCATAGTCGTCTGCAACATCGTCGAGTAATCTAGTACTAGGATCGGCCTTCACGCCGAAATCAGGCTTTGCATCAGCTTCGGCCTTTTTGTTTTTTCCCTTTCGACCTCCATAGCCTCCCCAGATCTCTTTGCCCTTTGGAGTCTTCTTCCAGAGGTAATAGTATCTGACTGCATCTGCGTGGCTGATCGTCTTAACGTGCATGCGAACACTTCGAATTTCAGACCCGTATTTGGCTACGCCGTCATCCCACCGCTTCATTTCTTCCTTGGTCAATTCTGGTTCGTGGAGATCTTTTCGCCTGTCGATTTTCTTGACATGCTTCAACGCGACGTCAGCGTCGTACTGGTACTTCGTAAATAGCTGTAGGCACTTGTCAAGGAAGTTGGTGTTGTACTCCTCGACTCCGATAGCTTTAGCAAATGTCTTTGCACGGTCCATGTAGACGTTGACTTGCTCCTCCGTGCATGTGGGAGAGTCGTCCTCGCCTCTAGATGAATGCACACCCAAAGGCGGCATTTTGAATAGGAGTTCGGCGGTACATTTGGAATCCTTATTGGGTAGATCTTCGCCTCGACGGACATATCCCGCAGGCTCGTCTTGTACCCACTTTGGGCGCTTTGCTTTTTCTGCCCTGTCCGCCTCCATTGCAGCGACAGTCTCCTTGGAAAGCTTGGTCTCCTTCTTATGGCCTGGTCCTTTGACATAACGTTTCTTGATCTCTGCTGGCTTCACCAGCTCGACTACATGGCCATGCCATACGTTGACGTTAGCTTGATGTCTCGGACCGAGGCGAGAACTGGCACGTGGATAGATCGCTCGATCATCGTATTGCAATGCGTCTTCTACACGGCAATGAATCCCTAGATAGCGCATAGGCCACATCTTTGCAAGTGCAATCTCGGCCTGAGTTCCCGGATGTTTGTCGATCACGGGTGCATCGGATCCACTGGGACTAGGTGTGGTAGTAGCACCTCCGGCATCTTCCTCTTCTTCGTCAAGAAGCTCCTCTTCGTCAGGATCTTCATTGGCACCGCCAATCAGCGGAGTCCGACGAGCCTCCAACTTTCGCTCTTGAGCTCTACTACATGGACCGCAAGCCCATGCGAAACCCCTGGATGGTTTCTTCAGTAGAGGCGGACGGACGCAAGTCATATGGTACGTGTTGCGGCAAACTGCGCATTCAACTGAATCAGTCCTGTCGCGCGATAGAGTTTAGCATTGATTTTAGATTGATAGACAGTGTAGATGACTTACGATGCGCAATATGATGTACAGCGCTTGCAAGTTTTTACCGCACTCGTCAGTTCCTTCACACGGGCGGCCTCAACGACCAAGTATTTCCACCGCTCGTCTAGCGCTTTCTTCACCTTTTCGGGGACGTTGATGACCGACGAAGTTGGGATCGCTTCATACCATCGGTGGATGAAGCGATCGAAGACCTGGATAAAGTAGAAGGAATCCTTCGTCTTCCGATACTCGTCAAGGTCTTTAATCTCGCTCCGGTGGACAATCTTACATCGTCCGCGCAAGGAAGTGATTGGGCATATGTCTGAATGCATAGTGGAATAGACAAGGCGAGTGTCGTTGTTGTATCGCAAGACATCCCGTGGCCTGTAGTACCAATTGCAGCGCATAGAGTCAACAGGCGCACTTGGCTTGTTGTCCACATGGAGAAACTCCATGATTCTACAGAGGTAATATGGCTCCCCTGGTGGCTCACAGACGAGATAGACGTGATCTAGGCACAAATTTAGCACGCTTCTAGGGTCCCAAAGATTGTCAAGGCTTTAGTATACGCACCATTCACAGACAAGAAGGTGCCATCATCCGCCTCGAGTTTGCCGTTCTTCAAAAAAGCTTTCGATTTCTCAAAGGTCATCATGTTCGTTTCCCGCGAGTGATTAGCTGCAATCATGGCGGTGGATCGTCGCGAAGACGCTTGGCCCGACGCATGACCGCCAGAATGATTCCCATTCGTGGTCGCATGATTTGCAGCGTTCTTCCGTCGTTTCGGTTGCGGTGCAGGAGCAATATTGGGATTTGCTGAGAAGCTCGAAGTTCCGGGTATTGTGGACGGTGCTTCCTTCGAGGGCGGAGTGGGCGCCCATGTCGTGGTGCCTGTACCGTTGGCCTTCTTCCCACTCGCTCCAGGAGATTGTCTGCCCTCGCTCGCAAGCGACCCACGCGATGGTGCCTCAGATATTGTTCCATTGGCTGGCACGGGCGCGGCTTCGAAGTCCATCTCGACGTCCTCGGCGTAGTTTATTCGCGAAGTGCCTGGGCGGTTCCGCGAACGCGTCCCGTAAGGCGCAGCGCCGGCGCCTGATTCTTTCGCTGACGCATGCGAGGACGCAGAAGTCGTTGCGGTCATGGGTTGCGATTGCGCTGGCGCATCCGCTGCTGAAGGGGTGCCGACCGCTGACTGGGTCTGTGGTGCTGGTTGGCGGAGGTCTGAGGATGTGGTGGGCGTCGAGGTTCGAGTACTCGGGGGCTTGTCCGCCACGGTCGAAGGCGTTACATCGTCCGCAGTCGCTTTTGCGGCGATGCCTGGCGCGTTCTCCTCGCTGCGCGCGGCGTCTGCCGCGTTGGGGTGATTCACAGCTCTGAAGGACGAAGCCTCGCCTCCGCCATTCCGAACATCAACCATGGCGTTCGATCCCTGCAAGAGGTCGACTCGGCACGGCAAGGTGCTGGAGGAGATGGCGAGAGTCCCGGCGAGCGCTGGTGCGACCCGTCGTCAGAGCTGTGAGTGAGTGAATGGCGTCGAGGATGGAATATCACGGCCGCATGGGAGGCCTGGAACGCGCATTCATCCAGTAACGTGGGCCAGGAACGTCGAGAATGGTGCGGGTCGAGGGAAGTGATGGTGTCAGCGATGCAGTCGACCACAGCAAGCCTCAGGGCGACCAGGGGTCGGGGCAGTGGATGGGCGTGGAAAAAGGGTGCAGTGGTGATGGAAAGTGCAGAGGGATGCCGGTGGAGGGTCAAAAGCAAGCGGAGCGCCAAGTCGTTGGAGGACAGAAGCGATTGATGAGCACGCCTGCCTGCGGACAGCACGGCAGGGTCTCGTATCTAACGCGCCGGCGTCGTCCCCAGTATCGAGCGTGGTCGGACAGGGAGAGGGATGGGGTATAGCGTCACGGCACGTCTTCCAAAGGCATGTCACAGCACCAGCACGGGAGAGTCTGCTGTTTGCTCTGGCTCTCGTCAAGCCTGTGAGTTCATTCCTAGCGTGCCTAGCTACCCTCCAAGCTTCATGATGTTCCTTTGCGGATCGCCTATGTATGGCGCACCCAATCACCGAGCGCGTCGCACTCCTCACAAGGGACTGGAACCTCCCGCCAGCGGCAATGGAGCAGGCAGAACGATGCCGTCTGACTCCATATCTGCTCGCTAGGGCTTACCATGCTTTCTGCCTTCCAGTCATTGATAATTGAAATAGTCGTGGCGCATAACCATCGTCAACGAGCAAATCGCCCGCAATCCGGTCATGCCATATTGTTAAATCCAAGTCTTTTGCGGCTTTGGAAGGGTCAGCTAGACGGCACAAGAAAGTCGCCCAGGTGGCCCATATTCCTAGGTTGGGAGCTGCAGTGGTGGGTGGAGGCGAAAATAGGATCTAGTCCTTCAAGGCGATGAAGTCGGGGGGAATCCACCGGGAGGGAGGCGTTGCGCTAAGGCTGGCGCTAAGCCTGTCCAAAGACGAGCCGATCACGTGCCTCTCACACGTCAGCGACTCCAGGGCTACTCCATTTCAACGTTGCAGACACCAAAAGACACCAGAAAAAAGCCCCATATTTTTTATTTAAAGATTTAATAACAATCTTTTTATTTATTATAGTTCTATCATTATTTGTATTCTTCGAGAACGGCCCCAAGGAGTAGTCGGTCCGCGTGCAGCTCTGTTGATTTTCGGACCTGCGCTGCTGATTATGTCTCGCCCATACATACCGTCTCCGGCAGATCCCCAGCATTTCTGTCTCACACAGCACGGGCTGGAGTTTCATTTCTAAGTACTCCAGCGCCCGTTGGAATAGCGAGGCGGTGCACGGATACACCGGACTCAAGGCCTTCCTCTGTTTCTGGCACCAAAACTCCCCCGTGCGCTTCATGTGGGCGAAAATGCATCGTACCCAAGAGTCGTCAGCTTGGCCGCTGCCTATCCACTCGCGCGAATTTTTGCTTTATCTCCGCATCCAACACCCCCGAGGCCCTCCATTCGCCTAGCCCTCGTTTCTCAAGTCGCCATGCTTGATGCCACCTATGGTCTGATATGCCGGTTGCGTTATTGGCTGCGCTCGAACCCTGGTTCAGTCTTGTCTCTTTTTGGATGTCCGGGCATCAAGATGAAAATCGCGATACCAAGCCGTTGGCAACATACCACAGCACACTATTGGTTGAGCGCGGGCTGGCTCTCTTCAAACTTCCTTGCGCGTGGCTTTACATTGTCAGGAATGCATCGCCTTGATGAAGCCTCTTGTTGGGTATTGATGGAGATGATGAGCTAATAGCAAGATTAGGGAGCTAATGGTGACGGGTATCGGCAATTCGGTATATGCTCTGTCGCAGAAGTAACTTGATGGCGTAGCCGGTCGATCACCAGCAGGTAAGTGACTTTCAAGGGATGAAACCGGAGGATACCTTTGTATCTACATAGTTAATTTCGCTTGCACTCGAACTCAGAAAGTGATGGCAATGCCTCGCAGAGCCCAAGTAATGAAGAGGATGTCCACATAGTAGTATCCCGGTACTTTCGCAAACTGTATGTCATGTTCCAGCAGCTCGACATCACGTTCAAAGTAAAATTCGCGGGCAAATTCTCAGCCACGGACAGACCCCGATTCCTTTTTCCATATCAGCAATACTGTACAAATATCGCACAAATAAGCGAAATGTCAAGAGCAAACAAGTCTTGCAGCTTGAAGTCTCTCGCCTCAGCCCCATGTCGTCCTCCTAGCATTCGTCCCCAAAGCAACCCCGCACTCCGTGCTCCCGGATAATCATTAACCATGGTCCTAAATATGCCCATTCTTTCTGTGCCCCATCCTTAGAACGCTCAAGTCTCGAATTACGCTGATTGAAGGCTCAATTACAAAGCGAAAATGGCCATAAGGAGACCAGCGAAGCCAGCGGCGCCCGCACCCATCTGGGCATGGGCGTTGGCGGCACCCTTGGAAGAAGAAGCGACAGCACCAGTGGCGGTTCCGGAGGCAGCAGTTCCAGTTGTCTTAGTGCCGGTTGCAGATTTGCCTAAGAACATGTTAGCATGCGCCGTCCTCTACGGGGCAAGAATAATTACCAGTAGCTTCGGAAGCTTGGCTACCAGTCACGGACGCAGAAGCAGCGGCGGTTCCAGCGGCGTCAGAGATGGTCTGGCTAGTAGGGAAGTGGTTGGCGATGCAGGCCTGCACACACGCGCTGTACTTCTGTGTAGCGGCAGGGCTTCCGTCGCCCTGATCGCACTTCATGGCGCACTGGGTGGTGTCGACGACCTGCGAAGAGTTGGGGTGGGCGGCGCCCACGCAAGCAGCCTCGCAGTCGACATCGCCAGCCTTGCAGGCCGCAATGCAGGTCTGGGCGGGGGAGAGGCCGCTCACGACGGAGGGAGCAGCAGTGACGGTGGCCGAGGCATTGGGACGAGCGAAGGCGACGGCGATCAGCGTGGACAGGATGATGGCAGAGTACTTCATTTTGAGTGTTGTTTTGGAGATTCGCGGTGAGTTGGCAGTGTTGTGATTAAAAGTGATACGGAGCTGTTTTGAAGGCACGCGGAATGGAAGTTCGGCAGCGAGCGTCGGGTAAGCGAGTGTGAGAATGAAAGGAACTGGTAACGAGTGTGATGAGTGAATGCGGTGATGGAAGGTCGCAGGAATCTGGGGAACGAGGGCGTTCTTTTATTGCTGCCAGGCTCTCAGGAGATTTGCAGGGGCTAGCCGTGTTCGCCAACAGCTGCCCAATTACGGCTACACAAAAGCGCCACAGCCGCGCCTTCATTGGTGTGGGAGATGATTCAGCAGGGACCATGGCCTGGGCTCCACTCCGATCTCTCGGCTTGGCGTTTTGCACCTGCCTCGCCTCAACGCGTGCATCACACGTCGCTGCCGAGCTGTCTCCACGACTACCTTCACTCCACTCCAGGACTTCTGAACCGGGTGCTTCAATGCACTGCAATGTCGGACACCGATGACTATGGCGACTTCGATGACGAGCTGTTCGAGGTTGCCACCCAAGTTGAGCGCGCCGCCTCAGCATTCCTGCCGTCTCCAAGGCCACAGAAGCGGCGGCGGTTGGCAGGACATGTATCCGACCATGAAAACGAGAGCGACAGTGACATTCCGATAACAAGGAAGCCGGTCCAGAAAGCGGGGCGCCAAAGCAGGGTTGGTACTGAGAGTGAGGAGGGTGAAGGCACATTTGATCCTGCGCCGTTCGCCACCAGCATCAACGCCCATCTGAAAAATAGACCACAGAAAAAGACGAAGAACCGACCAGATCAAGAAGACAGCCCAAATAAGGCGCCACGAGCCACCAAGACCACGCCGCGGCGACGCAAAGGAAGCGCTGCTCAAATCTCAACGGATCTCGATCTGGCCCAATCAACCTCAGCAACCTCCATTAGCTCCACTGGGAAGGAAAAGAGAGCAAGAAAGCCCAAAGGCAAGGAGAACGCTCCAGAAGCGGAGTCTCCCACCAAGAAGGCGCCCAAGAAGCCCAAACACAGGATTCACATTCCTACCAAGGTCATCAATCTTGACGACATCTACGCCACCCAACTGCCCGATTCTGATTCGAGCCCCGAGACTCTTAGAGGACCAGTATGGCAGAAGAGTCGGAACCCAACTCCTACCAGTGCCGGAGTGGAGGAACTATTGGGTGGAAGGCCTAGTTCTGCCAAGGGTATTGCTGGTCAAATATCAGAAAATGACCGAGACCACACCGCGCAGCTGCAAACGAGTGCGCGCATATCAAAAAAGGGTACTTCAAAAGACGCTACCCTCACTGAGAAGAACACGTCTGCCGTGAGTCGTGTTTCTTCTGTAAGCATTGGTGGCGGGGAGTCTCCTAAGCTACCCCTCAACACAGCTCAAATTGCAGCATTCGATGCCGCCCTGGAGCTCGCCGACATTCCCTCTGACGCTTTCGACTCGTCTTCGTCTCCACAGAAGCAGGATGATATTATCTTCCTTTCGTCTCAAGTGTCCCCAGCTCGTCGTCTCGTCGCATCTCAGACTGGACTTCGTCAAACAACTTTGTTCGGAACGCTAGGTAACAAGGAACCCGTGCCAGCTTCACAGGTCAAGAGACGCTACAACTTCACTGCGTCACAAAAACCCGAGCCGCCTACCCATCACAAGCTCGATCAGGAAGCTATGAAGACTTGGGTTTATCCGATCAATCTCGGAACAATACGAGATTACCAATTCAACATTGTTGCGCGCGGTCTTTTCCATAACTTGTTGGTGGCCTTGCCGACCGGCCTTGGAAAGACTTTCATCGCTGCTACGATCATGCTGAATTGGTTCCGTTGGACTATAGATGCTCAGATCGTCTTCGTTGCGCCCACCAAACCACTTGTATCACAACAAGTTGAGGCCTGCTTCGGGATAGCGGGCATACCGCGATCACAGACTACCATGCTCACAGGTGGTATCAGCCCGGGACTAAGGGCAGAGGAGTGGTTGACCAAAAGAGTTTTCTTCATGACTCCACAAACTATCATGAACGATCTCAAGACCGGAATTTGCGATCCAAAGAAGATCGTCCTTCTAGTGGTTGACGAAGCTCATAGAGCCACAGGAGCGTATGCGTACGTCGAGGTTGTCACATTCATACGCCGCTTCAACGAATCCTTTCGCGTGCTCGCACTAACTGCTACCCCTGGGTCGGACGTTGAGTCGGTCCAGAAAGTCATCGATGGTTTGGACATTTCACGAGTCGAGATCAGAACTGAGCAGTCCCTCGACATTCGAAACTACGTCCACAGCAGGAAGATTGACACACATGTGTTCGAGAACTCGGACGAGATGGAGATGTGTATGTCGTTTTATTGCCAGGCGGTGCAGCCTGTCTTGAACCAGCTCAATGCACAGAACGCGTTTTGGAGTAAGAACCCTCTCGAATTAACACCCTACGGCTGTTTGATGGGTCGCCAAAAATGGATGAAGGATGCGGGCCGAAATGCTTCATTCGGTGTCAAGGGCATGGTCAACACCATATTCACTATTCTCGGAAGCTTGTCACATAGCATGGAACTCCTCAAATACCATGGTCTGGGCCCTTTTTACCAAGGGCTCGTCGGCTTCAGAACGGCGGCGGACGAGAAAAATTCAAAGTATAAGAAGATGATCATCGATAGCGAGCACTTCAAGAAGCTGATGACTAGGCTCCACGCTTGGGTCAACAACGACAACTTCGTCGGCCATCCTAAACTCGACTTTCTGCAAGAAGCCATCCTCGAGCATTTTGTGAACGCTGGAGAAGGTAGAGGTCCTGAGGGCGCCCCACCATCGAGTACCCGAATAATGGTCTTTGCCCATTTCAGAGACAGCGCCGACGAGATTGTCCGTGTTCTGAAGCGAAACAGCCCTATGATTCGACCTCATGTCTTCGTAGGACAGGCCGCCTCGAAGCATTCCGAGGGCATGGACCAAAAAACGCAGCTGGACGTCATTCAGAAATTCAAGAACGGATTCTACAACACTCTCATTGCCACTTCTATCGGTGAGGAGGGCTTGGATATTGGTGAAGTCGATCTCATCATCTGTTATGATTCCAAGGCTTCGCCTATACGTATGCTTCAGCGAATGGGACGGACAGGTCGCAAGCGTGCTGGCAAGATCATCTTGCTGCAAATGAAGGGCAAAGAGGAAACCGATGCCATCAGGGCCAAGGATAACTATGAAAAGATGCAAGAGCTTATTGCCAATGGGTCCCGGTTCGCCTTCCACGATGAACGCTCTCGACGGATTCTGCCAAAGGAGGTGCAACCTGTTGTTGATAAACGACACGTCGAGATCCCGTTCGAGAACTCACAAAAAGAGCTGCCTGAACCGAAGAAGGGTCGTGGTAGAGCCCCTAAACGCCCGCCAAAGAAATTTCATATGCCTGACAATGTCCGAACTGGGTTCGTGCAAGCATCAAAGATGGGTGGTGATGACGCCGAGGAGCAAGTCCCCACTCGACGAAGCGCAAAGAGGAAGGTGGAAAAGAAATACCCCAGTGAAGAGCCGGTTGTCCTAGGAGCATTGGAAGAAGTTTTACTCACTGATATGGAAATGAAAGATCTCGAGCGTCGATACCAGCCCGTCATCGACGACGATGATATGCCAACTATTGGCGCTCTAAATTTTTCAGCTCATCCAGCTCGACAGCGGATCATGGCCAGGACCGCAGCTTTCCGGCGTCCGAGCCGCTTGACCTCGTCTATCGTAGATATGCTACGGAGGATGCATCGGATGGACGAGGATCAGGTTGAGGAATTCAAGAACAACTTCAATCATGCTGATCTAGGGACAAGCCTCGTTAGCGGAGAAGAATATATTATTTCTTATACCTCCGAGACTGAAGATCGAGCACAAGCACCGCGTTCTAAGCCGCAATCACTGCCTGCCAAACCTCGCGGCCGCCCGCCCAAGACCCCAGCTCGCCAAAAAGCTCGTCCGACCGCGCGGCCCCAAGCGTTCCGCATATCAGACCTGGTTGAAGAAGGCGCATCGAGCAGTCCACCTCCTACGGACCCTCGCATGCGCATACCATCGCAAGCCGAGACCTTGGGTTCCGACACTTCTGGGTCCGAACCCGAGCAAGAAGAGTTCGACTCAGAGCTTGCAGATTTCGTTGCCGATGATGACGAAGTGATTGGGGAATTTAGCTCGTCCTTACCAAACATCGACTCGGCCAACGGATCGCTTACAATACCGAAGGTCACGAAGGGCATTAGTAAGGTTCAGACAAAGACACCGATGTTCTATATCTCTCAAGAGGTCGTGAGCGGTGACGAGGATGAGGAGCTCCCGGATCCCAGTACGTTGGTTAGCAAAAGGAAACCTGAGGTCATTGAGGACGATGACGATGGCGATGACGATGACGATAACGACGTACCGGTAGTTAGACAGCGCAAGCGTATAAGGAGGATTGTAGACGATGATAGTGATGAGTGATGGATGATTGACGCTGCATATAACCGATTTCTTGTATATTCTAACTGGAGCATTGACTTGGTCCCGTGCAATATCATCCCAAAGACATGTTTCGCAAGACCTAGTGAGCTCACCAACGTGAGTGAGCTTTTGTTGCTTAATGATATTGTCAACGAAGTGTAAAACGGTGGCCGAAAATCCTCAGTCGCATTGGACTTCAACACGACCTTGCAAGCAAATCATTAAAATATGGTCACCCTCTATTTTCTTTTCTTCATCTGGAAGATAGAGCATGCTCATCTCCCAAGGCTCAGATAAGCATGCAAGCCGCCGCATTCGCTGAAGCACCGCACATGCCGCATCCAATTACGTCCATCCTAGTGCAACGCAGCGCTGAGCCGCATGAGGCCTGCATAACTCCCGCCATGAGCGTTCCGTTTCTGCCTTGGGGGCCTCTAGAAGTCGTTGAAGGTAAGTATGTCTGACGCATTGGTGCAGCTGGCAGAGAATGTTATTCTTCTTCAAAAGCTCAATCCCGAGCCGGAAAAAGCTGGTACGAATCCGGCCCCAAAGTTGCCGTCTAGTAAGAGGACGTTGAGTATGAAACATGAGCAAGCTATTTTGGAAAGTCTTTCTTTTCTGCTGGCATCAAGCGATAAACCAGATCGTATCTTGGCTCTTTGCATGGAGGAGAAACGCAATCCTCCTGGCGTTATCCTGAGCTACGCCGTAAACATCGACGGCCAAGAGGTTCTCCGAGTTGGAATCGACGGAGTTGCGAAGATCTTGAAACGGGAAGCTTACGGTTTGTTCTCGGTCACATGTGTTGAATGTACTTCAGCTTACATGGTATAGAGCATGACGAACAGAACCGTGTAGCACTACGACACCAAATAGCATCACACAGTCAGTCTCGATTGCTTCGTCGTCTTGACTCAACACATCAATTATCATCGCAAAGAAATCTGAGCCCGAAAGTTTCTGTGGCAATACGACTCCGGAGAGTTCTTGAGAGCTTCCAGGATACCCACCGTGCCTTACCTTGCGATCATCAGGCTTTATGGCCGCTGGCAAGGAGCCTCGAGGAGCAATATGGACGGCTCGAGAAACTAGCTCAAGAAGAAGCTCGATCTGAGAAAGGTCTCTCACTGCTGAAGACCATCCTGGACACTTTAGCAACCATATACACCAACCACATGGATGGACTAAAACAGGTCCTTAATTTCCTCCCGTCGAAGGAGCCGTGGGACCCAAGTACAAAATCTACTTTGATACGTAAGATTGAAAAACTGGGGCATTACTATTCTGCATGTGATCATCTTCTGTCAGCTACTTCTCGATTCCCGATCCTTCGCTCTATAGAGGTGCGATATATCCCACTTCGCCCGGCCGATCTTAGGAGGACGACCAATCGACTCGTGAATCCGAACACCGCCGGCTTATTGAATCGATACCTACTTGATCACCCAACAGCAATCAATGACGCTGCAGAAACAAAGTTGCGCCAGCGGACCTCGACCGATCTCAAAGCACTCCATAACCAAATCCGAACTCAAGTCAACGAGACCCGTTTCAGAGTCCATGCAGAGATGAAGCTTCTGCTATACTACGAACAACAACAGAGCCAAAATACTATGCCTCCACGAGTAATTGTTTCTAGTAAAAGTGCTTGCTTTCTCTGTGATCTGTTCTTCAAACTCCATGGCGGGTTCTATACGCCTAAGACGCACGGCACGCTCTACGAGAAATGGACACTTCCAGATATGGACCAGCTAGAATCGCTGACACCACGGAAAAGAGCGTACTTGAATGATGTTTTGATACAGCTCAACGCTACCATTGAAAATAAGATTGTTGAATCTATCAAAGCGGGACCGTTGGCCCGGAAGCATCCTAATGAGAGCATGATTTTTCCTCTGCCTCCTTTCACATCATCCGCCGTCTCGATTACATCAACTGTCAGGCCAAAATCCGGAGCTCTTGACCAAGGACAGGCTACCGGTCACTTTGATCCTCCAGTATCGAGGGCTACCAATTTAACCCCGTCCTACATCGCTGCAACCAATTCGATCGTCTTAAACCCTCAGCCAAGTGGCCACGATCATCCTGGTATATTGCGGCTTAATAAAGTCAGCAGCCAGGAAGCTAAGGACAGCGTGGCCATGCCAATACGACGAGACTCAATGTTCAGCCCGCCGCCGTCTTTTCTATCACCCATTACCTCGACTCAAAACGACTTCAATGCGCCTTCATCGAACCTCCTAGAGACATCCGAACCTCAACCCGGGCTTCTCAAGGACATCCCAGAAGAAACAGAGGCAGGTCGACTCACCAACGCAGAGCCCGCCGCATCTAAAGAGATAATCCACCTTGACCCAGGTATCATCCATCACCGCATCTTCACAAAACACTCCCCTCCAATCAAATTCCACAGTCAGCACATACATGTTGAGCTTTCCCGCTCCTGTACCGAACATATTCTCTCACTTGACACGGACTCCGAAAGCAGTCGAATATCTGAAAATTCTGACCTCTACGTCGCGGTAGAGCTTTTCACACCAGACCGTGCATCAGAGACTGCTGATGATCCTGACCAGTACACTGTGGACATGAGATCAGACTGGCGGAAATTGAGCGCTCAGAACGGTGTCATGTATTCTCCTAATGGGCTCTTGCTATGTAGGCGTGGTGATGTAGTTTCCCTTAGAGTATGTTTGCGATGACCGGAGAATGGCTAGGGAACTAATATGGATGGGTGATCAAAGGGGTAGCTCTACAAGCTAGTAGAGATAGTTACGATTCCGGTATCTATTTAATAAGCAGATCCATAAATATATCTGAATGCTCACCCTCTGCCACTGTGTTTGCGTTTGATACAATGCCTCGTCATGGAAATCCGTACACTCGTTTACCGCTACGTGAGGAGCTTTATAGTATTTTCAGCATTCCAAATGAGAGGGTTTCGCCATTTTGGACAGATTGCAAACTCGCGGGCTTATCCCAGACAGCGTCAGCAGGGTGTGCGAAGATCGCATATTGGAAGGGTATCCGCTGCCCCCGACTTCCATAGGTGGTTGAAGTCCCTCGAACAGTGGCAGAAAAGTGTGCGGATATCTATGACAAGGCACTGTAAGTGACTTATATCTCAACAACCCGACTTGCCAATTTACCTGACCAAGCCACTAGCACACACCACATATCGTGCTTGGATTTTATCGCAGCAAAGAAGCTTTGTTGCACCTACATATTCATACAAACCTCGCCGTCGTCCAATCAAAACGCGGCTGTAGCTCAGCGGTAGAGCAGTAAGTCACCACCTCTACAACGGTGGAAAACACCAAACTAACAACTTCATAGTCTGACTGCAGCAGTGCTATCAGAGGGTACTGAGTTCGACTCTCAGCAGCCGCTAGATTCTTTTTCTTTTTGCTTTGTCTGATTCGCGGTGTAGATATCCTGAGGGAGGGTTAGGGTAAATGAGAAGAGACGTGAAAGGAAGGAGCATGTTTTTTTTAGGATCTGGAGTCGGGAAGCAAAACATCTAAAATATGAACACAAACAATTTGAAGTAGACGTGTGATAGTGGAAATGATTTCTATACTCTAGCCAAGGTATTTACTCGCTATGTACCGCTTACCAACGCTCCAAAGCAGTCAAACACATACAAGCCAGGGGTAGCAGCCTTCTTCGAGACACCGAGTTAGCGGCCTATTTGATCTCGGTCTTACCCAACAGGTCTGCCAACTCGTCCACCTTCTTATCCTTCTGCTGAGCCACAGGCTCCTCCTCCGCCTTCTGCGTATCTGCCACCTCCCGAGCAGCCCTCTCCTCAACCTCAACACCCTCTTCTTCCTGATCACTCGCAACGCCCTCCTCGTCTTCTTCATTTTCATCTTCACTGTCGAGCTCGTCCAACTCATCGAGACCCCAGTTTTCGTCATCCTCGTCCTCGACTCCGGCTTTCTCCTTCCTCGCACCAAGCGCCTCCCGCAAAGCGTCAATCGCCTCTTCCTCTTCGCTGAACTTGTTCCCGTTCAGCTCCACACGTCTTAGCACCGGCAGCTTCTCCACCGCGCCCGCAATGCCTTTGACACCCTGAGCATTGATATCGTTATACTGCAACCTCAAAACCTCCAGCTTCTGGTTTCCGCCCTTCTCCAGTGCCGTCGCCAACATGACACCACCTCGTGGGGAAAGCAAGCAATCTCCCACTCCCAACTCCACCAGCTCCGGCCAGCGACCCACCACATCACTCAAGGCCCGCGCACCAAGTGCTGTGAAGGTGTTATCCTGCAAATCCAGCACCCGCAACGCCGTAGTCTGCGACAAGCCCTCTTTTAATAGATGCGCGATTCCCTCTTGTCGGATCCCATTCTGCACCATCTTGATCTCCCTCACACCCGTATGTGCCGCATACGCCTTCGCCCAAGCCGCCATACTGCCATTCTCCAGCCGATTGCGGCCGCAAATCACAGTCTCAAGATCTGGAACTTTCTTGCCAGAAGCGCGAGCCGCGGCTTTCTTTCCTGCGAGGACGGTCAGGGCGTCGGCGATCAGCACGCCAGCGGCGGGCCCGAGGCCGTTGTTGTTGAGAATGAGGTGGCGCAGGGGCACGTGGGAGGCGAGGAAGGTGACGAGGGGCGCTTGGGTGTTGAGGCCGAAAGCATTGTCGGAGAGGTTAATGGTGTGGAGGTCGGGCAGGGCGAGGAGGGCGGTTAGGAGGGAGGATAGGGCGGGGGGGATCTCGGAGAGGAGGCGGGAGGTGAAGATGTCGGCGAAATTGACGATCTGGGAGGAAAGGAGGGTAGTTAATGTGTGTGCTGGATAGATCGAAGCACATGAAAGGGGCTTTTTTCACGAAGGCAGATGTGCGGTAGGAGTGAAAGGTAGGGATCAAGGAGAGTAAACAAACCTGCAACTTCTTCTTCGTATGCAGCACCTTCGCGAGAGCTTCCGAGGCGCCTATGCCAAGCGTGTTTCCTAAGAATCTGACCTCTTCCACATCATCGTTCTCCCGCAGCGCTTTGATATGCGGCTCGATGTCCTCAGCGGTATCGAGCTTGAGGCCCTTGCCTTCGAGGGAAAAAATCTTGGCTGAAGCCATGGCGCAGAGCGGACCCAGGGATGAAATCCAAAAGGTAGTTAAGTCCAAGAGGTAGTTGTAGTTGTAGGAAACGTAGTCCGGGGGAAGGTATTTATGTGAGTTTGTGTGGGAGCAGTGAATTGGTTGTTGGTGGGGCTTTCCTTCCGAGGCGGCGAACATCCCTGTCGCCTCGGGCATGAATGCCAAGCCGGATGACCTGAGCGACAAGACGACATTTCTGTGCCTGATTTCCAAGCACCCTCAACGCGCACTCACATTCTTCACATCGTCGCAATGGGGTCAGGACAATCAGGTGAGTACCGTAGTATCAAGGGGAGTCTATCAAATAGCTAAGATGTCTCTAGTACCATCAATGCCACCGCCCGCCACCGCCGCGAATATGGGCGCAGATCTCAAGACACCGGGAACAGAGGCGGCGAAACCAAAGGTACCGTCCTCACGCCTAATCACCGCCAATCGGTCGCATGATTCTATATATTTATCCGGAAGCTAATTGAGAAAACCTCTAGCCTTGCTGCGTATGCAAGGACGAAAAGAACTCCCGCGACGAATGCATGCTCTTCTCGAAATCCGACAACCCCCAAGGCGAGTGCCAGGACCTGGTCTCCAAATACCGGAGTTGCATGGCTGGATACGGCTTCCAGATACCGGCTTAAGTGCGCAATTTCATGCTTGTGTGTATGAATTATAGCGTTCCGAAGGCACTGTAGATATTGGGTATGGCATGGTCACGGCGTCAAGCATAATTTGCTGGAGGTGTATATATAAGATGGCAACGTTGTACATATATTGCTGTACAACAGATGAAGGAAATCCGCTCTATTCATGGTGTTGCAAAGATTGAGGCTTGGGCGACGATGTCCTCAATGTAAGATCAGTAAAGTCGATCATTTGAGTTAGAAAAATTCTTGGAGGCCTTCAGTACAATGGAGTCTAGGACGACATACGCCCTGGTTCAGCGTGGTCATCTCCTCCCTCTATTCAAATGTCTGTATCCACCCGACAATTCGGATATCAACGGCGCGACACGCTAAATCAGGACCCTGAAATTGTGTGTTGTCGAGAAGTATAACCAGGGACACCTCAGGTTTGTGAAAAGTAAGTTAATATAGTCCAACCCAAGTCCAGATCTACAGTGGCCCGATTTCAAACCCGCGCACCGTCTTATTTTACCCCATCCTTAAAATATAAAATCCAGGATACTCCGAATCGAATCATGGGTTAACGCTGAAAATATAAGGTAATAAGATGTATAAACGAGAGCTAGTCCGTGCTATGTATGCTGGAGTCCGGCACGGTGTTAACGCGACACTGAAGCCAGGCCTGAAAGAATATGTTCACTTTGACGGTATGGAGAAGCACAAGCGGGGCCCAACTGGTCGACTTAGGCTTGCTGAGCATCCTCATAGCGCTAATATACACACTGAATGTCTACGAAGAACAGAGAACTTGACTATCTTAACGCCTTTCGACTCGCGATGAATGCAAAACGGGTATACATCGATATCTAGAAGACTGACTTCTCCGCAATTATTAATTATGTAGGTTCTGCTCCTCACTTCCCCTTCCGTTCTCAACGCTTCCTCTGCCCTCTTCCGCCGCATTGCTCTGCGTCTTCGCTTGATCTGCATGCTTCGCTGGATCGAACACATAAATGGGGAACTCGAGGAAGATAGTCTGCTTCAAGAATACAGGTAGCTTCTCGTAAACGCTCGGCGGAAAGGGGACCAGAATGCTCGTGCGGCGAAGGTAGGTAGCGTACCCATCCCAGTTGTCACCCTTTTCGTACCGCTTCTTCGCGCCGGGCCGCTCTTGCAGATTCAACCCGGACACGAACATCAATAGCGTAGTGAGGAAGATTGACCCCAGAATTGATGCGTATAGTGCTGATGTTGCGCCGCCGCTAGTGCGATGGTTGGCGGCCGGGGCAACGGCGATGGTGAAGATGCCTGTTAGTTGTTAGAACGTAGAGTGAGGGGGTAACGAGGAAATATGAGCGTACCGAATTGAATGAGGATTTCGCCAAAGTAATTGGGGTGGCGCGTGTACTTGAAGAAACCAACGTCGCATACGGATCCGTCACGACCATGAGCGCTACGGAAGCGGTACTTTTGGATATCGGAGACGGATTCCATGATGAAGCCAATGGAAAATAGGATTACCCCTGCTATGTCGCAGGCGGTGCCGAAGGAAGGTTGCGAGAATTGGGATACGTTGGGGGAGTTGAGGATTGTGACGGGCAGTGAGACAACCCAGACCCAGAGCATTTGGCTGATGAAGCGTTAGTCTAGAGTTTACGAAGACGATGAGATTTGGTAAAGAAGTGCTTGAAAAATGAAGTAGGAAGTGAGGCGAAAAATGATCAAAGTCATAAAAGATAGGGAGGGAGTGAACATACGCTACCCAGAACCCCAGAAACGGGAAGAATTTGTCGCGTTTATCGTCAAATCTATCATCTGACCCAGTTTTCAAGATCCGGAAAAGAAGAAAACCCGAGAGACGTGCTCCCCAGGCCATGATGAAAATCGAAGCGACGATATTGCGTGCATTTCCACGATCACCGCCGAGCGCAAGAGTGACAATGGCAAGAACGACGAAATTTGTACCACCAGCAAAATCAGTTAATTTGTCGAATTTGAGACTGAATGCAATGGAGAAGAAAAAGAGTTGGTAGGCGACCGTAATAAGGAGGGAAATGGCGAGGTAGTAGTTATCCAGGACGTGGACGGTGCCCATGTTTGCGATTACTTCTTTCGTTCTCTATATAGAAATGATAAATGACGTAGAGGAACAATACGAAGGGGCCGTAGCCGTTTTATATAACAATAATAGAGAATCTGATAACTAGGTTGCCTAAATGTCTGGTTGTCTTACGGCCACGAAAATCTAGAAGAAATGAACAAAGAATGGTATCCGCGAACATTATGATCTTGATGATGACGACAGGATCTAGCAGCGGCTCGGCATTACGATCTTTGGAGGTGACATTTCCCTCGACGATCTGGCCCCCCGTTATTTATGGAGTATCCTACCGATGCTGCGCCTGGTTGGCTCTCCAAAAGCTCTTTAGCTCCGATCTTGAGCATTGCTAAAACTCTATCGCGTCGACCCCTTCTGGTTAGGAAAACACAACCACGAACAGAAACCATAAATACGAAGCATGCGCAGCCAAGAGTGCCTAATCCGCATGCCCCATCCTCTCGAATGTCAAGTTGCTCTTCGGATGATTCTTAGGCACGTGAGGATGAAATGGCCATCCTTCATATCTCGGGCAAAAAGTTCCATAGGGGCGATGAAACGCCGCCCGTCTCGTCGGCAATCACCTACAACACTATGCGTGTCAGCCACTTCATCACATTCGTAGCCAGACCTACCTGAGACTGCGATTCGCTAGAACACTGACTTTTGCCCTGGGTGCCTGAGCCGCCAGAAGGCTCTGGACATGGCGGCCACGCAACGGGACGCCGAGGCCGTTACAGCCTGCTGCCATGGGCGCCTCCCGTTCAATTACGGGCCCAGTACTGAGACCTAGCCGCGGCGATGTGCGCCGGGTATCAAACAAAAGTGTTATTTAGTATGACGGAGGCCCATTCTTGGGACCTCTCTTGGTTTTGGATCGCGTGGTGATTTTCGCTCACTATTCTCCCCCCACGATTTCCTTCTTTTCGACAGTCTTTTCTTCGCATGTCTTGACGGCGCGATTCGCTATCCAGCTGGTCTGCTTCTTTAACTCTTATACATTTATTCAAACATCTGAGCGAGCCTCGATTTTCCTATTCATCAACTGAGTCCACATTTGAAGCATGAAGAGAATAAAGAGCGGATGGACGCTAGCCCTTCTTGTCGTGCTGGAGCTTCTTCTAATACCTACTGTTCGTATGGACCTTTGATAAACTTCTGGCAATTATTAATTGATCACCGATAGATCGCTGCAGATAGTCTCGGTGGCGGACTGGGTCATGGGAAGGGTGGGATCAAGCAAGCCAATGATGGTATGCAGGCCCATAAGCAGCAAGACGGTAAAGGGGACTACAATGGTGCAAAGGGCGGCGATAGGAAAGGCAAAGGCAAAGGATATGGGAAAGACGATGGAAATAAGGGCAACAACACCGAGCTTGCTGCCATCACGGTCGCACAAACCCTCACGCTGGCAGAGTTCAGCCTCTCGTAAGTAATGGGTAATTTCACTATTGGATCTTGATTCTGATGGGGTATAGGAATGTCACAGTTACCGAGGAAAGGAAGGTGACCGAAGAAAAAACAGTTACAGACGTCCAGACTCAGGTTCAGACTGCTGCAGTACGTTCATTGAGAATTGATGTCGCGAACAGCGCAACTGACTATGCAAGGTTACTATTACAGAAACTCAGCATGATCAAGTTACTGTCGCTCAGACAGTCTATGCAACGATCACGGCTGTGCAGGTCTCGACCGAGACTGTCACTTCAATGGCTGTTTCCACAGTATCCCAGTTCCAGCTCATAACAATGACTGAGAGTGTAAGCTGATTCTTTACTGATCTCTCTCATCCTTTCTGACGCGCCGTATAGATCTGTCAAGCTAGCGCCGCAGCCACAGCTCCCTTCGTTCTCGCATCTTCCGTGGAATCATCTGCGTCTCTTGTTGAATCAGCAGCCGCGGTAACGGCCCTCACGGACTCCGCTCTAGCACTACCGTCAGTCACGGTGGTGCAACCCTCGACAGTTCTCTCAGCAGACAACAGCATGTGCACGTGCCAGTGCTTGTGCCCAGCGGGAAGCTTTGATGCACAACCCAACGCTGCGCAACCGTTCCAGGTGGCATCATACTCTGCTATGACAGCCGTAACCCCAGCTATGTCGACTCTATTGACTGTTGCTACCGTGGCCTCCGAGGCCTCCGCCGCCGCAGCAGCGTCGTCTGGGTTCGGGCTTTCCCCTGAAGCATTAGGTTCAACTTCGACTATCATTGCCGCATCGACATCTCTCGTAGGATTCAGCTCCTCTGTAGCCTCGGTGGCTGAACCTTCGTCGAGTTCCGCCCTGGCAGAAGCCGCCTCTTCGGTAGCATCGAGTAGTATCGCCTCGTCTGCGGACAGCTCGTCCGCCATTGCGACAGAAAGCTTGCCTGTCGCCTCGTCGGCCCTTGCATCGTCTCCAGAGGCCGTTTCGACTCCAGCAGCTTCGACCACCTCTAGCGAGGCAATCGCCCTTTCGCAAGTAGCTGATTCGTCCTCAACAGTGGGAGCAAATGGACTCCCTTTTGATATCAGTACGATAGCCCTGCAATCGGCAGTAACAGTCAACCTGGGCGCTCGAGATCCGGAGCCCACAGGATGACGGAGGGTCTTCAGACACTGGCGGTCTAATACGGCGATTTCTTATCTTCATCACTAATACCCAGAGTACTTCAGCGATGGTTTTGTAATTTAGTCTTCCATTCGAATAGGCATATTATTAGTAACGCCATTGACTTTAGTGCCTGATGCAGCGTCCTTGGTGGGTGCCACTTCTACCTGGCCCTCAGTCTTTGCTTTCTTCTCTTGTCTCTTGAAGTCTCGCTTCGGTACCGGTTTCGGAGAGTTCCCCGCTAGAGATCCTCCATTGCTGTTCATAGCATCAGCTTTACGCTTCTTCTGGGCTTCTGCCCTCTCTGCCTTTGACAGTGCCGGCGCTTTGGTCACTTGTTCTGGCTTCTCCCCACCATACACCACGTCGACTACGCCCCGGTAGCTCGTCCGCTTCAGTTGCGCCGTGACAGTCACACCCCTCGCCTCTTTACACACCGCGTCCTTGCCCCTCTCCTGCCCAAGGCCCCACACCGACGCAAGATTGATAACATCAGACGGCGCGCGATACGCCAGCGCCGTCTTCGCCTCGCTGCTAATGACCAGACCTCGGCCCCCTCTCGTCGCGCGTATCAGCCCCACCACGTTCCCGATCAGATTCCTGCGTGCGGCCCCGTCTACGGCTAGGATGCCAGGCGCATAGCATATCTCGAAGCGCACGCCGCGCTCAATGGCCTGGCCTAGCATCTTGAACTTGAAGTGGAAGCCCAGTCGCTGTGTCAGGTCCAGGGAGATGAGGTCGCAGTCCAGCGACTCGCAGGCTTGTTTGAGGGTGCGTTCGTCGGTGGGCCGGATTGCGAGGATGTCGTACGCGGCGGAGAGCTGTGAGATGCGGTGGTTTTGGGAGGGGTCGGCTAGGATGAGGGTGCAGCGGCGGAGGAAGCGTAGACGAGAGGGTGTGGGGAATGGGAGGGTGGTCGGGATCGGGCAGGTCTGTAGAAAGGCGTGTGGTTAGTATAGGTACCGCATACATGATGAATTCGGTAGCGACACTTCGTAGATGTTGAGAAAGCCGTTCTAAAATCTAGGAGGATAGTTTGAATTTGAGAAGGAGCAAAAGATAGACTCACCAGGTCTGCGGGCAGCTTCCCTGAAAGGGTGTGGGTGAGGGCGACCACATCGTATCCTACTATGAGGAGTCAAATTTGTGGAAGCTGCAGTTAAGCAAATAGAACTTACGCTCGTCCAGGAATGCAACTGTGCGCTGAAGCTCTCTGTCAGAGGCAGTCCAGGGCACATTCAGATCGTAGAACATATTTCCACCGCAACCTGTTTTATTCGGACCGTGATGTTGTGTTAGAGAGGTGGTAAGTGAATCTGTTCAGAGCTGTTCAATGAAATTCTCGATCACGTGCAGGCAGCGTTGACCAAATCCACACAAGCAGCCTTCCGAAGCCTGCACCACGGTCCCTCTCCCAATCCGAGCGTTCCAGAGACTGCCCCGCCATCACCACAACGAGGGGAGGAAAAGCCTGGCCGCCCTCAGTGCAGTAACCTCGTGCTGCTGACTGCCGTCACCCTCTTCATCACTTTGATTTTCCGCCCTGTGCTTCCACGGTTCCCGCGAGCAGCCGCCCCCGTCTCCCTGGCATAAACAACACCCCCCCAGCACCTCTGAGAGCGAGACCGCTGCCGACATCGAGCAGCCGGTCACTGCGTCGCCATCCTACAAACTGGCTATCAATACTACCGGCGCGGCGACCAGTATGGCGCGCGTGTACACGGACGTGAATGCCCAGATGCCGCGGGCGTACTGGGATTACGACAGCGTCAACATCTCCTGGGGCGTCCTAGAGAACTACGAAGTCGTGCGCAAAATCGGTAAGGTCTTCGTTCACATGCAATCCGCGCGAGAGGCTATATTGACACTTATCGCAGGCCGGGGCAAGTATTCGGAGGTCTTCGAAGGCATAAACGTCGTCAACTACCAGAAATGCGTCATCAAAGTCCTCAAGCCTGTCAAGAAGAAGAAGATAAAGCGAGAGATCAAGATCCTGCAGAACCTCTCCGGCGGGCCCAACATCGTCGCTCTGCTAGACGTCGTGCGGGACAATCAGGTCGGTGGATCCTTTTCGGTAACCAGCTTTCATGTTGATGTGCCTGGGCTGATGTGTTCTTTGTTGACACTTGCAGAGTAAAACACCCTCCTTAATATTCGAATATGTCAACAACACCGATTTCCGGAGCCTTTACCCCAAATTCGTCGACTACGATGTGCGATACTACATTTATGAACTGCTCAAGGCGCTGGACTTTTGCCACAGCAAGGGTATCATGCATCGGGATGTGAAGCCGCACAATGTCATGATAGATCACGAGAAGCGCAAGGTAATTTGTCGAAGCGGCTGGAAGGATGGATGGACACAGGCTAATCGAGTCCAGCTACGATTGATTGATTGGGGCCTCGCCGAGTTCTACCATGCAGGAACCGAATACAACGTTCGCGTAGCATCACGCTATTTCAAGGGTCCGGAACTGCTTGTGGACTTCCAAGAGTACGACTACTCTCTGGATATGTGGTCGCTGGGTGCCATGTTTGCCTCGATGATATTCAGAAAAGAGCCTTTCTTCCACGGCACAAGCAACTCGGATCAGCTCGTCAAGATTGCCAAAGTGCTAGGTACCGAGGACCTGTTCGACTACCTAGACAAGTACGACATCGAGTTGGATGCTCAGTACGATGACATCCTGGGGAGATTCCCGAAGAAGAGCTGGCATTCGTTCATCAACGCGGAGAACCAGCGATTCGTCAGCAATGATGCTATTGATTTCCTGGATAAGCTTCTAAGATACGATCATCAAGTATGTAACCTTCCTGTTGTGCTTACGGCCTACACTAATTGGCCTCAGGAACGACTCACAGCGAAAGAGGCCATGGCGCACCCCTACTTCTCGGCTGTACGACAACAAGCTATGCAGAACCACAACGCGACCGCCTCCCACTCGTGACCGATACCCATCTAGTTTTCTTCTATCCCTTCTGGCGTCTGCATACGTACCATATCCTCTTCTCTCATCCAACCTCTCTTGACCAACTCCTGGATTGTACCTACTAGCGAGAGTGTCTGGACACCAAAATGGCTTTCCAAATCAATGACATTACCTCGACAAGACTTGCTTATAGTGTCTGTGAGCAAAACACATTCGATCCTGAAATGTACCAGCAGCGGCAGCCACTCTTGACGCTGGGGCTTTGGTCGCTGACTCTTCACCAACCCTCCAGGCACCCTCCAGATGCAAGTAGGCAGGTCGTGGAAGGAAAATGGAACAGCGCGTTATACTGACTTCCTGCGGCGTCGGGAAATAGTGGACACCGTAGTAGGATACTGGTTCGCCGGATGAGATGCTCTTTTTTGGACAATCCCTCGTGATGCATGGAGCAGGGGCTTTCCTTCAAGTAGATATCCAAAAGAGATAATGTCTTTAATGGGTGACGCGTGCTGTGAAATTGTTATGTACCATCATAGTTCACGCCAATGCAGAACCGCGGACTATCCATGTATCAAACCTCGGAAAGCATTTTGACTGTTGAATGTTCCCCACCGAAGCCTTGGCGCGCTAAGATTTGACTCACGTGGGTCTTCATGCGGGAGTCACCCCCTCGACTCACACTTTTTGTATGATCAGAGCTATATCCCTCCAACGCGCGCTGCTCCTGCGCATCCCTCGCACTACCCACTCCACTGCAGCTCCAATCCATTCAATTGTACCTCTGGCTGCGTACCGACGCCATAAATCCACGAACATGGCGCTCAATGCCGCTTCCCACAACCCCACGGGCGAGGCAACTGGCCCAGCGACTGGCGCCCCCCCGAGCCTGAGCAATGGCATTAAGAGTGAAATTGTGGGAGCTGCGAGCTCAGACGCCGTGGGACAATCCGCGCCTGGAAAGGATGGGGGCGAGAAGGGCGTCGCGAAGAAAGTGAAGACGGAGAAAGAGCTTGAGAAGGAGCGGAAGAAGGCCGAGAAAGACAAGAAGTTCCAGGACAAACAAGCAAAGCTGAAGGGCGTGGATGGAAGCAAAGGTGGGAAGGAGGCTGCGAAGCCAAAAGAGAAGAAAAAGAAGGAGGAAGTAGAGGTGTTGCCGGCGTATGTGGAGGAGACACCCAAGGGCGAGAAGAAAATTCTGAGGCCGCTAGATGACCCGTTCACCAAGGCATACATCCCAAAGGCTGTGGAGAGTGCGTGGTATGACTGGTGGGAGAAGGAGGGCTTCTTCCAGCCCGAGTTTGTGGATGGAGAGGTCAAGCCTGCCGGCCACTTCGTCATCCCGATTCCTCCACCGAACGTTACTGGAGCTCTACACGTCGGGCATGCTCTTGCCACCGCTTTGCAGGATCTCTTGATCCGTTGGCACAGGATGAAGGGGTTTACTACACTCTATGTACCGGGCTGCGATCACGCTGGTATTTCTACCCAAAGCGTTGTGGAGAACATGCTATGGCGACGAGAAAAGAAGACACGATATGACCTGGGACGGCCGGCATTTGTCGAACGAACATTTGAGTGGAAGGAAGAATATCATACCAAGATCAACAAAGTTCTAAGGCGAATGGGAGGAAGCTTCGACTGGACACGCGAGGCTTTCACCATGGACAAGAACTTGAGCGCCGCTGTCACCGAGACATTTGTGAGACTACACGAGGAAGGCTTAATCTACCGCGAAAATAAGCTTGTCAATTGGTGCACGAAACTCAACACCGCTCTCTCGAACCTAGAAGTCGACAACAAGGAGCTGGAAGGCCGCACACTACTGGACGTCCCAGGCTATGACCGCAAGGTGGAGTTTGGATGCATCACTACATTCAAATATCCTCTAGATGGGGAAGATGGGTTTCTTGAGGTGGCCACCACTCGGCCGGAGACTATGCTTGGCGACTCTGGCATAGCTGTTCATCCCGATGACGCTAGGTACAAGCACCTTGTCGGGAAGAAGGCAAAGCACCCGTTTGTTGATCGTCTCCTACCTATCATAGCTGATAGTTACGTCGATCCGGAGTTTGGTACCGGAGCAGTGAAGCTTACTCCAGCTCACGACCAGAACGATTTTGCACTCGGCAAACGACACAACCTTCAGTTTATCAACATCCTGAACGATGATGGCACTCTGAACCACAATGCTGGACCCTTTGAGGGCAAGAAGCGGTTCGATGTTCGGTACACTGTTGTCGAGGAGCTTACCAAGTTGGGACTTTTCGTGGAGAAGAAGGACAATCCCATGAAGGTAATAGGCCCTTTTATACTCAATTGAGACGCATACTCTAATACTAATGTAACTTATCTAGGTTCCACTTTGTAATAAGTCGAAGGATGTGATTGAGCCCATCATGAAACCGCAATGGTGGATGCGCATGAAGGGCATGGCACAAGAAGCAATCAAGGTCGCCAAGAACGGCGACATCAAAATTCGCCCGGAGAATGTGGAGAAAACCTACTATCACTGGCTCGAGAACATCAATGATTGGTGTCTATCCCGGCAGCTCTGGTGGGGCCACCAGATCCCAGCATATCTTGTCAAGTTTGAGGGTCAAAACGTTGACAGCTCAGACAACGAGGCATGGGTGACCGGTAGGACCGACGAAGAGGCGAAGGCCAAGGCCGAGAAGAAGTTTCCAGGCAAGAAGCTCACTCTTGAGCGAGACGAGGACGTTCTCGACACATGGTTCTCGTCTGGTCTGTGGCCTTTCTCAACGCTAGGATGGCCAAATCAAACTCATGACCTCGAGAAACTGTTCCCTACTTCCGTGCTGGAAACGGGCTGGGTGAGTGAGCAATCTCTTCTGGAATTCAATGTTCTACCAAACGAGGTTAGAGTGTGCTAATTCGCCGTACTTAGGACATTATCTTCTTCTGGGTTGCGCGCATGATCATGTTTTCTCTTCATTTGACCGGAAAAGTCCCGTTCAAAGAAGTATACTGTCACAGCTTGATCCGAGATTCGGAAGGCAGGAAAATGTCTAAATCCCTGGGAAACGTCGTTGATCCCGTAGATATCATGGACTCGATCACACTACCAGAGTTGCACAAGAAGCTGTTGGCGGGCAACCTAGATCCTAAGGAGCTCAAGACTGCCGAGAAGTATCAACGAACAGCTTTCCCGAACGGTATTCCCGAGTGCGGCGCTGATGCTCTGCGTATTGCGCTATGTGGATACACTACGGGAGGTGGAGGTGAGTCATCGAAGTAATTCCTTATATAGCACATGTTCGCTAACTATCGTTCCCAGACATTGCCTTCGATGTGCAGGTCCTTCATGGGTACCGCCGATTCTGTAACAAGGTATACCAAGCCACAAAGTTCGTCCTCGGTCGCATTGGCGAAGACTTTGTGCCACGGAAAACCGTTGCGAAGTCAGGACAGGAGTCTCTCTCAGAACGATGGCTTCTCCACAAATTCTCTAGAGCGGCTAAGGAGATCAACGAGAAGCTGGAGGCTAGGGAATTCAGCAACTCGACCCAGGTTGCGTACAAGTTCTTCTACAACGACATCTGCGACACATTCATCGAGAACTCGAAAGCGATCTTCGAAGACGAGTCCAGCACGCCGGAGCAGAAGGAGAGCGCGAAGAACACACTTTACACTGCGCTAGAGGGCGGCCTCACTATGCTCCACCCATTCACACCATTCTTGACTGAGGAGCTCTGGCAGCGCCTGCCGAGACGCCCAGAAGACTCGTGTCCCTCCATCACACGGGCGAAGTACCCAGAGTACCAGCCCGAAATGGACGACCCTGAGGCAGAGGCACAGTATGAGCTCGTAATAGGCTGCGCGGCTGGTATACGTTCTCTTATGGCAGAGGTAAGTTGAATGGCCTCATTTATCCCTTCTCTACCAGGACGAATATTTACTTGATAATGTAGTACGTGATTAAAGAAGACGGCCATGCTATCGTACAAGCCCTCACCCCCTCCGCCTTGGCTACCGCAACTGCCGAAACCCTGGCAATCAAGGCCCTTGCGGCCAAGGGCGTCGCCACCGTCTCTATCATTGGCCCTGATGCGCCGGTACCTACTGGCTGCGCTGTATTCAGCGTCGGTACGAGCGCGACCGTGTTCGTCGAGGTGAAAGGTCGTGTGGATCTGGACGCGGAAATTAAGAAAGGCACGGAGAAGATGAAGAAGGCCGCAGAGGGTGTGGAGAAGCAGAGGAAGGTGCTCGGCGCGCCGGACTTCGAGAAGAAGGTCAGCGGAGCGGTGCAGCAGGCTGAGAAGCAGAAGCTGGAGGACTTCTTGGCGGAGCAGCGGAATAGGGAGTTGAGCATTCAGCAATTTCAGCAGTTGAAACTAGAATAGATGTAGGGAAGGAGAAGATGCGGAGAGTGTGTGGTTGGATGGGTGTATGAGACTTTGGTCTGCGGACCCTGGATCCTTACGGAACGTTGAGCATACACAGTATAATCGATACCGTAGATAGTATTGATGGGCCAATGCAAGACATCAGAGTCAACGCCATACCTCGAGGGTTCGTTTCGAAAACATGTAGCTGCCTTCCAATTATAGTACCGAAGTAGCCCTAATGATTCGTCAACCTTTTCTTCCCCCGATGAGGATTTAGGTAGACCCTTCGCTCATGGTTTCTGACATGGTTCTTTGTATCTGTTCGTATGTTGGACGTTCTTGACATCTATGAACCACGGAAATCAGTGCAGCTACAGCTTAAGACATAGTTCTAGCCTATCTACGAAGTACGCTAACGTTTTGTCTCTCCTCAAACGTGGCATTGAAGCCATGATGTGTTCTACGCCAATCGGCCTTCCGCCCTAGCGGGTATGTATCTTTGTAGCTGTTAGTGAGTGAGACCATCTCCGACAAAGGCTGACTCTGAATTGAGAGCAGCTTATATCAGAGAATAAAGGAGTTCAATAGGAATAGGTTTGCTTCTGCACAGCTCGCTTCTTCACTGCGCCGGCCCGGTCAGAGACATGGCAGCCACAAAGAGCATTGGCTGCAAAACATGCAGCAGGTCCCGTCAGCTCAAGAGGACAAGTAGACGATTTCTAGAAACGTCTTTGGATGAGGCTGGGGCTTTTCCCGCCATGGCTGATGCACTGCATTCACCAATGGGAAGGCGCGCGCTGGGGCACCACCGCGGCGAAATTAGAAAGTAGTTAAACGGCAATCTGTCCTTCACGCCAGAGCCCGCTCTACATAAAGAATCCCCCACGATTCTGTCCTCCGTCAACCCTGATCCACCACTCTCCCCAAATCACCGAAGAGACCTCTGCCAGCCAGTAGGCAACTCGCTGCCACGATGCGTTTCGGTGTTGTTGCTACCGCCCTCCTGTCGGCCGCCGTCGTGCGCGCAGACATCGCCGACGACCTCGAAGAAGGCGCCTCATCTGTGTCGTCTGCCGTCGAGTCTGCGACGTCCTCTGCCGTGGAGAAGCCTACGTTCACGGTATGCTGGCTGCCCTAGTCCAATGCCTACTCTCTAGCACGCCCTGCTAACTTTGTCTCAGCCCACTACTCTCAAAGCACCCTTCCTTGAGCAATTTACCGACGACTGGGATACCAGGTGGAAGCCGTCCCACTCCAAGAAGGAGAACGATAAGTCGTCCGAAGAGGAGTGGGCCTACATTGGCAACTGGGCCGTTGAGGAGCCCACCGTGCTGAAGGGCATCGAAGGGGACAAGGGCCTGGTGATCAAGGACAAGGCAGCTCACCATGCCATCTCCGCCAAGTTCCCCAAGAAGATTGACAATAAGGGCAAGACCCTTGTTGTGCAGTACGAAGTCAAGCTTCAAAGTGAGACTGCTCCCATTTCCTCTACATGTACGGGATACTGACTGGCTACAGATGGTCTCGAGTGCGGTGGAGCTTATATGAAGCTTCTCCAGGACAACAAGGCCCTCCACGCCGAGGAGTTTTCCAACGCCTCCCCGTACATTATCATGTTTGGTCCTGACAAGTGCGGTGCCACCAACAAGGTTTGTGTAACTTGCTTAACCATATTGGTTTGCTTGCTAATCAGCTATATAGGTCCACTTCATCTTCCGTCACAAGAACCCCAAGACTGGCGAATATGAGGAGAAGCACCTCAAGAACCCGCCCACTGCCCGCATCGTTAAGACCACCTCGCTCTACACTCTCATTGTCAGGCCAGACAACACCTTCGAGATCAAGATCGATGGCGAGTCGATCCGTAACGGCACCCTTCTCGAGGATTTCAGCCCCTCCGTCAACCCGGAGAAGGAGATTGACGATCCCAAGGATGAGAAGCCAGAGAGTTGGGTTGATGAGGCCCGCATTCCTGACCCAGAGGCTACCAAGCCCGAGGATTGGGATGAGGATGCGCCGTTCGAGATCGTTGACACCGAGGCCACCAAGCCTGAGGACTGGCTCGAGGACGAGCCCACCTCTATCCCAGATCCTGAGGCCGAGAAGCCCGAAGATTGGGATGATGAGGAAGATGGTGACTGGATTCCTCCCACTGTCCCCAACCCCAAGTGCGAGGAGGCCTCTGGCTGTGGAAAGTGGGAATCTCCCCTGAAGAAGAACCCAGAATACAAGGGCAAATGGAGCGCACCTGTCATTGACAACCCGGCTTACAAGGGCGTCTGGAAGCCAAGGAAGATCAAGAACCCTGCCTACTTCGAGGACAAGACCCCGGCCAAGTTCGAACCCATTGGTGCTGTAAGTGATATCCTAAACGTGGTAAACTCCAACAGACACTAACATACTCCCAGATTGGCTTTGAAATCTGGACCATGCAGAACGACATCCTTTTCGACAACATCTACATTGGACACTCTGTCGAGGATGCTGAGAAGCTCAAAGAGGAGACTTTCGATTTGAAGCTCCCAGCTGAGAAGGCCGAAGAGGAGGCTACCGCTCCCAAAGCTCCAGAGACACCCGAGAACCCCTTTGAGTCCACCTTCAAGGAGGACCCGGTCGCTTACATCAAGAACAAGATCGACCTCTTCCTTACCATTGCCAAGCGTGACCCCATTGAGGCCATCAAGTTCGTCCCTGAGGTTGCTGGTGGTATTGGTGCCATCGCCCTTACCGTTCTCGCTATTCTCGGGTCTCTCATCTTCGGCGGAGCGTCGGCTCCTTCCAAGGAGCAGGCCAAGGATGCCGCGAAGAAGGCAAAGGATGCCGCGGTCGAGGGCAAGGACAAGGCAGCCGCGGCGGTCGCCAGCGGTGTGGAGAAGGCGCAGGCTGAGGCTAACAAGCGCACTACTCGCTCTACTGCGTCGTAGGGGTTGAAATGTTGGCGGAGGAAGCATTTGAGAAGCCTCGTTAGTAAGTGCGATAAAAGGAATCGACAAAAAGTTGGGCTCGCCGCGATTAGTGGTGAGAGAGCTGGAGAAAGTGCTGTATGCTTGGACTATTCGTGGATATCGTCAATGGTCAAACTATTGCTCTGGGGGCCCTGGTGCTGCTACTTCTGTACTATAGCTCTCGCGCTGAAGATGAAATGTTATGACCCAGTTGCAATGAAGATATATGTATAGCCGACAAACCGAGGGCTAATGGAGACGTCGGGGTGGATATATAAGGCCCCGAAAAGAGTGACGCTATTCGGTTTACGTCCGGCAGCTCGGCTTTAGGCGCGCAGCCCCGCTTGTTGAAGGGCTACCGATGTCGCTCGAATAAAGCGGATAACAACTACCGCATACAAGCTCGCCGAGTCCTCAAAATTGAAGAATTCCTTCCTGCGAGTGCCTGGGCAGTCAGTTCGACCTCAGACTCAGCTTCTACAGCATTTTCAACCTCTTTCTCCTAGCTATGGCGGCTCGGCGTGTGCTCTCCCGAAACATTGCTTCCCTAGCTAGTCGCTCCTCCACACCGCGTATTGCCTCTCTCTCCTCCAGAATGTCATCGCCAAAAATCAGCACAAGCAAGATTGCCGCACGGCGTCTACACGCAACGGTACAGCACCTAAAGCCTGCGACGACGTCTGCTGCTTCGACCCCGGAGTCATTCCCCACGTCCCACGAACCCATCTCCGCACCGATCGACACCACCAACTTCCTGGACAACAAGTTCGTCGAGTCCAAGGCCACAAAATGGATAGACCTGTACGACCCGGCGACAAACAACCTGGTGACTCGCGTGCCGCAGAGCACTGACGAGGAACTCAAGGCGGCCGTCGACAGCGCGCAGAAGGCCTTCCCCGCGTGGCGGGATACCAGCTTACTGGCTCGTCAGGCGATCATGTTCAAGTATGTTGCGCTGATTCGGGAGCACTGGGACCGCCTGGCGGCGAGCATCACGCTGGAGCAGGGCAAGACCACTGCGGACGCGAAGGGGGATGTTCTGCGTGGACTGCAAGTTGCGGAGACTGCGTGTGGTATTACCACTCAGATGACCGGAGAGGTGCTGGAGGTTGCGAAGGATATGGAGACCAGGAGCTACCGGGAGCCATTGGGTGTTGTTGCGGCCATCTGCCCGTTCAGTAAGTTGGGATGCTACCTAGCAATACACAATGACTTGAAGCTAATTTCTCACCAGACTTCCCCGCTATGATTCCGCTGTGGTCCATCCCAATCGCGACAGTCGTCGGCAACACCCTCGTCATCAAGCCTTCGGAGCGTGACCCCGGAGCTTGCATGATCTTGGCCGAGCTCGCTGAGAAGGCTGGTTTCCCTCCTGGCGTGGTCAACATTATTCATGGCTCCGCCCCTACCGTCGACTTCATCCTTGACGAACCCCGCATCAAGGCCATCAGTTTCGTCGGCAGCAACAAGGCCGGTGAATACATCTTCTCCCGCGGCTCTGCCAATGGCAAGCGTGTCCAGGCCAATTTGGGCGCTAAGAACCACGCTGCTGTGTTGCCGGACTGCAACAAGAACCACGCCCTCAATGCGATTGCTGGTGCAGCCTTCGGTGCTGCTGGTCAGCGGTGTATGGCGTTGAGTACTCTGGTCATGATTGGCGAGACCAAGGATTGGGTCCCCGAGATTGCGGAGCGGGCGAAGGCGCTCAAGATGGATGGTGGATTCGAGCCAGGTGCTGATTTGGGTCCTGTCATCAGCCCAGAGGCACAGAAGAGGATTGAGGGTTTGATTGCCAGCGCTGAGGCGGAGGGTGCGACTATCCTGCTGGACGGCAGGGGACAGAAGCCGGAGAAGTACCCCAACGGCAACTGGGTAAGTGATTTCCGAGGCAATTCGCCATGATTCCTCTTGAGCTTGCTCCTAATGCTTAACAGGTCGGCCCAACTATCATCGCAAACGTCAAACCCCACATGAAGTGCTACACCGAGGAAATCTTCGGCCCCGTCCTTGTCTGCCTCAATGTCGAGACCATCGACGAGGCCATTGAGCTGATCAATGCAAACGAGTACGGCAACGGTACCGCCATCTTCACCCGCTCCGGCGCCACTGCTGGCAAGTTCCAGCGCGAGATCGAAGCCGGCCAGGTCGGCATCAATGTCCCCATTCCCGTCCCCGTAAGTGCCCGTTCCCTTTTCAACATGAGCCTCATCGCTAATCGGTTTCCTTCTTTAGCTGCCCATGTTCTCCTTCACCGGTAACAAGAAGAGTGTCGCTGGTGGTGGAGCCAACACGTTCTACGGCAAGCCTGGTCTCCAGTTCTACACCCAGCAGAAGACTGTCACCAGCCTGTGGCGCAGCGAGGATGCTGGATCGCAGAAGGCTAGCGTGAATATGCCTACGCATAGTTAGGCCCTTTCGTCTCGGGATATCTAGGATTTCATCTTCGGAGTATATATATGCATGGCTATCTAGTCAAGGTCGTTCAGGACTGAAATTGAGCTTTCAAAGATTTGAGGGCTTGGAGAGGCAAAATTGGTAGATAGGGCTCTGGGAGAGGGGGATGGGTGGCAGGCTGAGTAATTCGACGCTGTGGATGAGGGATGAAAACTATCATGAATAGTAAAGACTTACGAAGAATGATAGGCTTGCATATGAGTTGTGCTGTTTCAGGTGATATCCGGATATATAAAACCCCTCGCTCACCGACTCCTGAGCTTCTTAAGGAGCGGCGAGACTAGGAGCGGCGAGACTCGGAGTCAACAAACTCGTAGTACTGTTGGTATCTATGGGTGGTGGAAGTGTCTTGGTTCAAATCTTACGCCAGCGCGTTGAATGGTGTGTGGGATGGATTGAACCGGCCCCGATGCCACCGGTATGGAGGTTTGTGGGACTTCAAAGGTTGAACGATAGTGATGGAGACTATCACCCTTTCATTTTGTTTTCATTAGTCCGTTCTTAGTTCATAGAGTGGACTCCGTCACCGTCTCATCTGCCCTATCTCATCATATGTCTTGAGTACTTAAGACCATTGATCGGAGGGAAAGATTCACAGCATCACTATTCCGTCTAACCTTCGACGCTTCACCACTCTACCACTCACTCCATGTCCGCTTTCGCCTTGAGTTTTTGATCCTCCCGAGCAGCCTTCAGTCTGTTAAGCTGGATATTTCGACACACCGCGGACTAGTCCATGTGTAGTATCTACAGCCATTTTTGCACCGACCCCCAAACCCCACACTCCTCCATGCTCTCCAACACCACTCCCTCCAGTCCTTAAATACCCTCCTAGCAGCAGAAGATATCCATGCTTACTAACCATCACGTGCGCCCCCACTACTACACGTGACTGTTGCTCCGCGATCCACTAAAACCGATCTAACTCTTAGCAGCGTCATCGATCGAGGAAGCACGGATGCCATGATGCGGGTGGCTGGTACCTGACACTTGTTTACGTAGGCAAAATTTAAGGCATAACTAACTAGCGAGGAGCCTGCTTATATAGTTTTGTAGTCTTGCGATTCAATTGAGCTACCTCGTACCTATTACTTCATTACGTTTATGTCTCTGTTCTTGCGAAATAGCTTTTTGAAATATACGAGATATACATTCCCGAAGTGTTCATACCGAGGCTCCGTTCCGTAACGCTACCAAATCGCAACTCGTCAACGGAAACAGACGCAGCGCATCAATTCAGCAACCAATCCGCAGCGCATCAACTCACCAACCTATCCAAATGGCCCAAGGCGACATGACCCAGAAGCGGGCCGAGGCGATCGAGTGCACGCACCACTGGGAGAACATGCTCGAAGACGGATCGCGGAGGTACCAGGAGTTCAAGAAGGGGAAGCGGGACGGAGGGAGGGTGACGGAGCAGCACCGGAGCGAGGAATCTGAGGAAATGGAGGGGTATTCGAGCGAGGGGGAGGACGGGGTGGATCAGGGGGAGCAGCCGATGAAGGAGGTGTATATGAAAGCGAGGAGGGGGCAGAAACGGGGGAGTGAGGGGGTAGAGAGTGGGGCGGGTAAGAGGCAGAAGGAGGATGGGGGGAAGAAGAGGATGGTGAGGGAGCTGTATTGATGAGGGTTCTTTGGGGATGTTGCGGGGCAGAGGGTTCGAGAGTTGTATTATTGGGGAGTTTTGCGGAGATATTGCGGCGTTCAAGGTTCGATGTATAAATCTGTGCATTTGATATGGTTTGGTTTGTCGCTCGTGGTATCTGGTGATAAAAGCCAGTAGTGGCCTACCTCGATACGGACTCGAAGCGTGAGTTCAGACCGCTAGAGGCACGCGATGTTTCCGAACATGGCGTGTCGGGAGTTTCGTACCGTCGTCATCCAATCTATATCCTTGCTGTGTCTTCCCACAACACCACTATTTCACCCACGGGGTTAGAACAAGAGAAAACTGTGCAGGGCACGATGCCCAGAAGATTCGGCGTCGATTGCTGGCGTCGATTGCTGGCGTCGAGATGCGACTGCCGTCAAGACTTGCCCTGAGGCTGATCAATCCGTGCAGCACGATACACAGGACCCTGTGCTCGGGACCAATAATATGCAATAAGATGTGATAAAGCTGCGTCTCTGACTCCTATCAGGCGGCGCATTGTCGGGACAACTAGGCATGGACGAAAGGAGAGGCCGTGATAGTGCCAGGAACCCATGGCCATGATCGGCCTCTGCGTTGTTCGGCTGACGTCGAAGCCACACTTCGAAGCTGCTCACGTCTGGCACTTCGGTGACGCGCTGGAGCGCGACTCGAGGCTCGCGGGCCGCTAATGCGCGCAACGTGTGGGGTAGAGGTCAAGGCAGCGCCAAAAGGAGCATGATGGAGGTCACGATGCCGCAGCGTGCGCATCCGAAGCCGCAGAGCGGAGTGAAACGAGCCCTTCTGCTGCAGGTGCTGAGGGTGCCATTCCTCCACACGCTTACGAGATGGGCGTCCGGCAAGCAGCGAACTGGTGCTGTGGGACGTTGCACGCGGCGCGGTATGATGCACGCCATGCCTTTGCGCCGGCGGAGAGCGATGGATGGTTCGATCATGGCGGTATCTCGTCGTCGGCACGCTTCAGGATGCCAAACGAGTTTGCGGTGAGCTACAGGACGCAGGCGAATAGGCAATGGGGAGACCTCTGCAGACGACGGAGCGGAAGCCATTGGGGCATGGCGACACGTCCGACGGCAGTCCGGCAGCCAAACACTTCCACGATAGCAGTGAAGAAAGGATGCCAGGTGCGAGGGGTGAACGGCGAGTGAACGTGGCAGCAGCGTCGTCAATGAGGAGTCTGACAAGCGGGCGCCGTCGTATATGGGAGGGCGTCGACGACAGCAGCGACCAGGCCCAGCAGCTCGTAATCAGACCCAAGAAGCGCGCCCGCTGCAGGCTGACAACAGCATGCAGTGCCAAGCTGGGTGTGGGGGATTCTCGCGAAGATGGATGCTGGGTGGGAGTGGGAGCCACGGCCAGGGCGTCGATGTTGTGCGCCGTGGACGTCGGCGCAGGTCTCTGGCACATGTAGATGAAGCGGCAGAGGCGTGCTGACCGCCTAGCAAGATGAAGCGGGAAGAATGAAGAAGTGGGCCAGATGGGGTTACGATGGGCATATTCAGCATCGCTACCTTTGTATGTCGCAAACACTCTCGAGCTACTATGACTCTGAAGTGCCCCACGCAATCCATGTCCTTGCCTTGCAGCCCGTTGCGGAGCCACGGCACGTCGCATCCAGCCTGCTCTGGCCGGGTCATGAGGCCGCTGTACGGACGACTGTAGCAAATTGCCGGCCTGTTACGGACCTTTGTTGTTGCTATCGTCCACCCCGCCTGCCTGCTAAACCTCACAAAAATTCAGTCCTCGACAATCCACGCCTCACGCTCTTTACTGCTGCAATTCCTCCCCAAGCGCGCCATGCTGTGCTTGTAGGCCCAGGGCCGCGACAATTCGTCCACAGTCCCCGTGCATCCTGCCTCCGCGCCGTCAGCACCGCTTTCACCCGCCAGCATCCATCGTCCTCGACCACGCCGAGTCCCACCCCGTGGTGACGCCCACTGCCCGAGCCTTCTCCCCAGAGCTCACCACCACGATGCTCGCGCTCCCTGCCGGCATATAACCATATCTCTGCCGGTCCTCGGGCGGACGCTCGTTTTCTGGCCTGGGACAGTTGTCGTACCGAACTGGAGCCCGCGCCGCGACAACACTCGCAATGGGCGACCAACTCACATCCGGGACGCTGGTGCCGCCTGCCGTCGCCGCACTGAAGGAGGACGCTGCGGCCACGAGCTCGTCACGCGTGGCCATGGAGAGATCAATCAGTATGGATATCAGGGAAGAGCGGGATGACCTCAAGGAAGCCGCCGAGCAGAGCATGAACGTCATTATGGACCTCAACCTCGACGGGAACATTCGCTGGGTCAGCCCGTCCTGGGAAACTGTCATTGGAACCACGCCAGAGTCTGTCAAAGGGAAAGCCATTGCCGACCTGCTCGTCGGAAACAACACCCAATTCGCCGACACGCAGGAATCTATGAAGAAGGATGACTCCCGCAGCCAGATCATCCGCTTCTCTATACGCATGGGCCCGTCCTCTGTCCTGCTTCCCAAGCGGTCGCCACGTCGAAAGGATTCCGACGAGGACCCTCTTGCCGAGCAGCCATGTGAAGTAGAAGAGGAGCATATTCTCAATCTGGAAGCACAAGGCATCATGGTCTACGACCGCACCTCAGGAGGCGAAAGCCACGTAAGTTTGACTGCACTTGTATGTCTATCCACGATCACTGATCAACCTAGACTATGTGGATGATCCGCCCTTCGGTCATTCGGGAAGTGACCATCGACCTCCCCATGGTTCTCGTTGAAGCTCTGGGAGTCGGTGCTGAGATGCTTGCTAACCACTTGACCGCCTTGGCCGAGGTTGGTGCCAACGATCCGGCCAACCACCCACCTCCCTTACCAGTGCTATGTCGTATTTGCGAGAGACAGATAACGCCATGGTGGTTCGAGAAGCATACGGAACTCTGCCTGCAAGAACATCGAGCGGAGATGGAGGTTCAGCTTGCACAAGAAAGTCTCTCAGACCACCGAAACTCAATCGTCAAAGTCCTGGATGCCCTAGAGGCTCACACTCGCCAACCCAGAGCTACATCTGGCGAGATTGCCACTCCTCCGCCAATACCGGAATATAAAGGCATGCCCATTCAACCCACCTCTACTCCATCCTCTGGCACTCCTTCTGGTAGAAACTCCCCCGCTTCTCCCCCAGCTCGCTCGCGCGACCGTTCAGCAGGCTTTGGACACCACCGTGCGCGATCTTTTGCCATCCGAAGGCCGCTCTCTCGTATCGTGGAGCTTGTTTTGGATCTGTGTGATACTGCGCTGGAGATCAATACACCCGCCATCAAGGATACCAGAGTCCAGTCTGCCTCTGACATCCGAACTCAGTCGCCTCAATCGGAAAATCGCATCTCTCAAGTGCTTCAGTGGCAGTCTCCAAGCACCGGTGCCGTCGAGAACGAGCAGGGGCTCGCTGCTCTCTGTGAAGACACCTCAACTCTTGCTCGGGTTAAAGTCGACGCGGTCTTTCGCCATCGCCGCATTCTAGAGTACTCGGAGCGTATTCGTGTAGAGTTCGATGTTTTAGTTCAGGAATGCATTGAAGCTGCCATGATCAAGGCTGCACGGATAGCCGCGGGCGAGGACAGCTCTTCCGGAGATGAAGAGGAGGACGAGCTACAACAACTACAACAGGACAACGATGACCAGGATTCAATCACACACGAGAATCCTATAGAGGAAGGCGTCTTCCCAGGCTCGTTTGATGGGCCCTCATTGATCTCTGCAGCGCTTCGTCATGGTTCCGACTCCCCTCTCCCATCGCACAGGGAAGCTAGAGAGTCGTCTATTGCGGGGTCAACCAGGTCCAGCAGCCCCAGAGGTTCCCAGACGCCACGTTCACACGCAGGAGCCATGAGTATAATATCGCAGAACAAGCGGCAATCCATGCATTTCGAAAGCGATGCCGGGGCGGACAGCGACAGCAGTGTACGATCATCTGCCATGTCCAACCCTCGTCGAGCGGATTCTCCAGGGTCAGAACTTGGTTTGAGTCGTGTTGCAAGTTCTCGGGACCGGAAGCGGAAGAGTCTGATTCTCCCAAGCGTTATGTCAAGCCGTCAACACTCGCCTGCTAGGTCCATGCAACCACCTTCTTCGCCGTTAAGAATGACAAAGCCACGACTGCCCAGCGGAATGGAGGGTCTCCAGTCTCCCGTCACTTCTCCCGTGCTAGCTGGTAGCGAATTCTCGTCCCCTGCGATCACTGCTCAGATCCCTCACCACCGTAGACAGTCTTCTGCTGCTGGATCAGATGTTCTTCGGCCAGTCTCACCACGCTTGATACCAGTCAGCGCCCCTCAGCCGCGAGCTGTACCGCCTTCCATCAAAGACTTTGAAGTCGTTAAACCGATCAGTCGTGGTGCTTTTGGGGCCGTGTACCTAGCGAAAAAGAGGTCAACCGGCGACTATTTTGCCATCAAAGTGCTTAAGAAAGCCGACATGGTGGCCAAGAACCAAGTCACCAATGTAAAAGCTGAGAGAGCAATCATGATGTGGCAGGGCGAGAGTGACTTCGTGGCGAAACTCTACTGGACTTTCTCGAGCAAAGACTTCTTATACCTGGTGATGGAGTACCTGAATGGAGGAGATTGTGCATCTTTGATCAAAGTCTTGGGTGCACTTCCCGAAGACTGGGCCAAGAAGTACCTCGCCGAAGTCGTCTTAGGAGTCGAGCACCTTCATAGCCGTGGCATCATTCACCGTGATCTCAAACCCGACAATCTCTTGATAGATCAAAAAGGACATCTAAAGCTTACCGACTTTGGTCTTTCCCGGATGGGTCTGATAGGCCGACAAAAACGAAGAGGAAGAGAATCTGAAGAGCCAGCTCCAGATTTACTCAAACAAGGACCCTTCCATCGTGCGCCGTCGGTTGGCTCATCTCGGTCGGCGTCCTTCGATCTCAATCCATCACCGACCAACACTCCGAACTTGACGGCGGCCCTAGGGGGAGACCTTGGACAGCCTTCCTATTTCAGTCTCAACCGAGATGACAGCAGAGAGCCATCTAGAAGAGCGTCAGGCAGCCGAGGTGACAGCGGAGAAGGCGAGGCAATGCAGGCCATGTTCCGTCGTTTCTCCCTCGTCGATAACATGAGCTCCAATCATCGAGCGCGATCACCGATTGAAGAAGAGAGTTATAGCGACGAAGGGTCCCCGGATATATTCACCTTACAACATACTTCCACCAACTCAAGCGCTGCTCAGAATAGTACTCCGCCTCAGACCTCTGGAATGCCTCCTCCTCCAATGACTCTTTTCGATCCAGAGGATGCTTCTAACCGTAAATTCGTTGGTACTCCTGACTACCTTGCTCCTGAAACCATTCGTGGAAGCGGTCAAGACGAGGTCAGCGATTGGTGGTCACTGGGATGCATCTTGTTCGAGTGCTTGTATGGATATCCTCCCTTCCACGCCAACACTCCTGAAGAGGTATTTCATAACATTCTTGCCCGCAAGATCGACTGGCCGGAAGACGATGTCGCTCAAGTTTCAGAAGAGGCGAAGGACTTGATGAACCGTCTCATGTGCCTCGACCCAACACAGCGATTAGGGGCCAACGCCGAGGACAAATATCCAAGTGGTGGAATGGAGATCAGGAGCCATCCCTGGTTCTCAGATATGAATTGGGAGACTCTACGTGAGGATGAGGCATCCTTTATTCCTGCGCCAGAAAATCCCGAGGACACAGAATACTTCGATACGAGAGGAGCAACGCTTCAGAGCTTTGCCCCAGAATTCGAAGACCAAGGAACTTCTTCTGCAGGTACACCAGGTGCGGATTATCCAGACCGACCACACGACGCACTATCACGGGTTCGCTCCCAGATCAGTGTTACATCAATGAAGCGAGGATTAATTCCGCTGCACATCCCCGCTCATGTTCGCGAGGGGAGAAGCAGAAGATTGAGCGAGCCCATGGCAACCGACGACTTTGGCAATTTTAGTTACAAAAATCTTCCGGTTCTTGAGAAAGCGAATAAAGACGTCATTCAGAAGCTTCGTGCAGAAGCTATGCAGGCTCAGATCAAGTCGCCATCCGCAGTTCAATCACCCAGCCTTCCGTCTCCGTCGCCATCCTTAGACTCTAGCCCCATGCTACCAGCGCCTCTGAAGCGAACGCTTTCAACAACAAAACCTACTGGTAGACCGTCGTCTCCCTCAGTGAGCCAGCCTAATTCCTCGCCAAGCCGGCCCTCACAGCCGTCCTCGCCGCTGTTAGTATCCTTTAGCACCGGTCAGAACAATGAAAGGCGGAAGACGTCTAGTAGTAGCTCATCCACTCTTTCTCATCAGCCTAGCAACAACCTCCAGCCAGGAAGTTTTTTCGATGCTCCACACTTAGGATCCGGCTTCAAGCCTTCCTCAAACGCCGTATCGCCTATCAAACTTTCCAAAACACCCAGCGCCATCTCGCAGTCGTTTCAAGAAAAGGCTCTACAGAATCGGCAAACGTCTATGTCGTCTCATGGGAGCGTTTCCTCGCCTAGAGCAAGATCACAAACCATAGGGTCACAAGAAGGCGATGTAGTGAGGGATCTTGTTCCTTCTCACCACAAGAGAAGAAGTCAGGTATTTGATATATCACCCTCGTCTTCTGATACTGAGGATTCTCGAGCGAAAGCACTTCTTCGCGTTCAAAGACGGCGACAAAGCTCACGGAGATTGTCACAAATCAGCGTTGCAGACGGTCCTATGTTCCGGCCCTTGGATGTTCTTGTCTGCGAAGATCATCCAGTCTCTCGACTTGTTATGGAGAAGTTGCTAGAGAAGCTGCGATGTCGAACATTGACTGTTCAGACTGGGTCCGAAGCTGTGCGGTATGCCATGGGAGAAGTCAAGTTCGACATCATCATGATGGAGTTCAAGCTGCCTCAGATCAACGGTGCGGATGTGGCCCGTATGATTCGCGACACCAAGAATGCCAACAACCACACGCCAATTGTTGCTGTCACCGGCTATTTGAAAGAATTACAGGCACCTCATCATTTTGATGGGCTTATTGAGAAGCCGCCTACAATCACCAAGCTGACAGAAGTCATGTCGAGGCTTTGCCAATGGAAAGCGCCTCCGCCAAACTGGACCCCAACAGCTCACTACCCAACTATGACTCCATCCATGCCTTCCAGCTTGCGTCAAGAGTCGACACGGCAAGACGATAGTCCAACATCGAATTCGTCTGGCTTCCCGCCAATGCCATCCGGAAGCTATCATGGGTCGAGTAGAGAAGACTCCATCAGCTCAAGCTTCTTCGGAGATCCAGAAATCCGCGCAGAGGACGTACTTGTTACCATCCAAAAGCACAACATCGATGAGTGGCACGATCGCGATTTGGTTCGTATGATTGGTGGTTTGGGAATATCTGAAGACCCTACGACCGGTGCTGAGCTGAAGAGCGTCGGACAGACTTTATTGCCACCGCTTACGCACGAAATCTCTACACCAGCTGTCATGCAGCACTCGCCATCAATCGCAAAGCAGAGGTCCAATGAACACATTGGGGCAAAGAGGCGCAATCTTGAGGCGAGGAAACATGAGTCTGCGGAGTCAGGTGATGACGAAGACGAAGAGTTGGGTGATGTCAACGTCAGGGCCAAGAGCCCGAAAACTCGACCAAAGTCATCCTCAAAACTTGGCATTGAGATGCTTCGCACCAACAGCAGGGGCAGTGTCATCTCTGTGGAGGACCTTGCAGCTACGGACACGCTTGCCTCGTCTCCTCCACCTTCCATTTCAGAGGATCGGGCTGCCGAGGAACAGAGCCTGACCGCTGCTGAGGAACAGAACCTGACCACTCCCGATGCCAAGCCAATCTCCATTACCACGCCTCCCGAAATTTTTCCGCAGGTTCCTGGTGACGAAGTGGAAGATATCGATATGGACGCTACGCCACAACCGCAAATTGCGAATGTCGAGGATCCAGATCGAACCCCACAAGCTTCCGCATCCGCATTACCTATCAAATAAACCACGCCCGTCATCACCCGAAACTGCTTAGAACGTACACTACATCCACATTTCCTTATTCTCGTTTTTTCTAAAAGGTACTCCTCTCGTTCCATGGCACCATTTCCTATCATGACTTTCAGCAAGGTGTTGGCGGTGTTATTCTGGGAGACCTCGTGGTAACTTGAGTGGGCGTTCAAGGCACATGGCACACACAGAGATTGAGGACTGTTTACATCTTTGATCTTTCATGCGTTCTGTGTTTCGACTCTCTGCATGCTCCATTGAAGCGGGTGTGGGAGGAACGACCCTGAAATTGAATACTCTGCTAAGCGAACAAGTTTCTTTTGTTGTTGATCCCGATGGGATCTTGCGTTTTTACCACACACTGCATACTGGCTTTTTTTTTTTTGGCCAGATAATCCTTCCTTCCTTTCCATTTCCTGGTCACAGCTTGAAACCCTCGTCGGATGACCTGCCTACACAGTCTGTTTTTTCCTCTATTGGCAGCATCCTTTCACTACTCCACAATTTTCACTTTTCTCCTTTGTTCATCACGGGGTCGGGTTTTTGTGATTATTTGATTACTGACCTTTTGGGCGGCTGGCGGCGAGCGGGGGGTGGACTACTCTTCTTGTATCTTAATATGGGGTACGGGAGGAGGTTTTGTGCGAGGGGGAGAGAAAGAAAAACAATACCAGCTGATATGGACATGGTAGGGTGCTGAGCTGGGCTGAGGGAGGCGACGTGACACTTGTATATATACTACGTATACTTGTGCGAGAATGGAAAGTATTTTCGCGTATGCGGATATGTGGTGCCTCACTGACTTGAAGTGGTGTGATGCTGTGATGCGTATATTTGGAGACACTGTGTTACTAGGTATCTACTGGTCGTAGCCTCTTGCATGTCATTCCTACTTCTCACAACAGCACTCGTTGCCCACCGTAATCTCGCCGGAGTGCGGATTTCTGATCTTAACATCACAAGCCCCTGCTACCGCCATATTGCAGTTTACAGAATTCGCGACAACGCCATTAGATCCTTGAGAAAGGATTATTCTGCAACTCTGAGGTTCGTTGATCACAGCGTTGCCGTCCTCGAGAATGTAGATGTCGCAGTTCTGAGGGTCCGTGATGTCGGCTGCACCGTATGCATAGATTTTGATAGTGCAGGTTCTTAGGCTTCTGATGAAACCGGTACTGGATTTCTTAACGTCAATGTTGCAGCTTACGGCGTAGATGGTGCCGAAATGGGCGTTCTGGTTGTGATGTTGGAGCTTGTGGCGTTGACTTTGCCGGAGCTAGGCGCGGAGATGGTGAAGGTTTGGGCGCTGAATGTGTTGGGAGAGATTGATGGTGGGGGCACTACTGGGGTGTAGTCTTGATCCTTTTGATGATAGGGACAGGACATGGTGACTGGATGCTATGTAGTAAGGGGATGTCTATCTACGCAGAATGAATGAGTTTTACATAGAGGTTGTCCAGGACGTCAGGCTGAGGATGTCCAGAGACCATCACATGTGTATGCAGGTGCTGGAAGCCTTCTCAAATGCCCGTATTTCAGTTCGTGTGCTTACACCCCTTTGTTCACCCCTTTGTTCACGCCTTTCTGCACTTCTCCTTCCATAGTTCGCATTAGATTAGCCTTTATTCCATCGTCGAATGAAGGATTATAGAGACATGAGGCCTTACAGATCTAGTGGAACTCTACTTCACTAACTAAAAGTAGCCTAGCCACACGTGTCGGATCGTCAGATCGGAGCCCACTCCAAGATCCATTCACTCCCATTTTGCGCCAAACCCTAACCACCTTTGTCTTCTAACTTCTCTTCATCTACGACCTCTCGTCTAGCCTCACTTTTTCCGCACTTTTCACAGCCCATATTTTGGAGCAGTCACGAGCCTGACGTCATCTTCTTTTCGCCCATGTCAATTTGATACCCCCAATCTTGTGCTTCTTAGACCTCCGTAAACACCGAACATGGCTGAACCAGCACCGCCCCCTGAGGCAAGCTCTCACCACCGGCCGCGTTACTTCCGTAATGATGCGGAGCTATCGCGAAGAGACCCTTACAAGCAACTCAAAGCTTCGCTCAATCGCCTGATCACGGACTACCCGCCCCATCACATCCCGCCTGGAGGCGGTCTTTACGGTGGACCAATATCCATCGCGTACCTCTTCTATGCCTTACACAAACTCTATCCTGAGCTGGAACTTGACGACTACCCCTTGAACACGTGGTCAGCCGCGTATATCGAACAAGCGCAGGCCAACATGAAAGAGTATCCGGGCCCGACCGTCGATAAGTGCGGAGCCAGCGACGATGTTATGGCGCTTCTCGCCCTCTACGCCGTCTCTGCCAAGGACTCTGATACCGTGAAAGAACTCTGTGATTTCGCTGCTGTCACCACCGACGAAGACGCCTCCAATGAATGGCTCTATGGCCGCGCCGGTTACCTGTACCTCCTACGTCTAGCACGGGGCGCCTTCAAGGAGGACAAAGCTACCCTAGAATTGATCGATGACACGTCCGACGAAGTCATTTACGCCATTATGGAGAGCCCCAGACCCTGGAAGTGGGACGGAAAGGCGTACTTCGGCGCCAGTCATGGATCTATCGGAATCATCACTCAAATCGTCCTCACCGACCCTGGAATGGCCCCGAAGTTAGAGGCAGACCTTGGTGCCCTCATCAGCTACCAATACGAAAGCGGAAACTTCCCATCATCAATCCCGCCAGGACGCGATCGTCGAGTGCAGTTCTGTCACGGAGCGCCAGGTGTCATTGCATCGTTAGAGTCAATCAAGAAATACTTCCCTGCCCTGAAAGATCGTATCGAGAAAGTCGTAAAGAAAGGTCGCGCATGTATTCTTGAGAGGGGCCTTCTGACCAAAGAACCTTGTCTTTGCCATGGAATCTCTGGGAACGCTCTTGCTCTTGAGGATAAAGAGTTCGAGCATTTCCTGACTTACACAACAGGAGGGGAGATGAGGTCGATGGAAAGAGATGGCATGATGGAGAAGTCAGAGGACCCCTCTTCACTGTACTGTGGTGAAGCAGGAAGGGCGTGGGCTTGGGCGGTGGCGGACAAGGGTCTGGAGAAGCGTTTCCTTGGTTATAACGACATTTGAAGCCGCCATGCTAGAGTGCTCGGGATCCTGACCACGAATTTGATGATACACGAGCGAACGAATCATGGGAGAGGTCATACACCTTGCGAGAACATTACACAGTTTGTCCGATATCCATCGAAACACCATTCACTTCGTACTATTTCTCAACACTTTCATATGCATCCTTACTGATCGTGAGTAGTCCTTTAATAGTGTGATGCGGTGCTCAATTGACTTCAGCTGTTCCAGTCTGTAATATGGTCACAGCGCCGGGCTTTCAATAAATCTGATCTCAACGTCGTTCAAACCCCTGACCACAGCCTCGGGTTGCATCTGAGGCTCGGAAAAGTTAGCTTTCTTACTGCGATTAGTTAGACCGTGCAACTCCCAGCGGCTCCGAATTGTCAACATCACTGTTTGTGTTATTGAAAGTACTACAATGGCATGCTTCTATATCGAGTCCAGCACTTGCCGATTCACCGGAACCGTTATGTTTCGGCAACCCGCATAATCGGATCGAAGTCTCATCTGGTAGGTAACATCGGCTTGCAATCACTCCATGAGTGCTTCTTATAGAGATATGATCTTCGTTATTGTGTCACTTGTACCCCTCTATACCTGTCCTAAGGTCCCCAATTGCTTCTAGGCTACTCACTTATCACGGGAAACGGCAGTGTCTACCTCGCCATGCGTTCGTCATGGGCATGTCGCATTCAAGCTCAAATTGCCACCCCCTAATCTGGAAATGCTTCCTTCGAGAGGACCCAGCAACTTCAAGCAGCGCACTAAATATAGTTGACCAAGTTCGTCTATAGCATGCCTTGGGCCGGCTACTGCGCACCCCATTGTGCGATCCCTTATTACCGCAAAGGCTAGTTAGATGTACTTGAACATTCTCAAACAAAACTTGTGATAGACTACTACCTACTGACATCGTGGACACCCAAAGCGTCTGATCAACTGTACCATTCACAAATGCACCGCCAACGGCTCAGAATCAGGACCGACATCCTCGCTAAGCTTTCGATTGTGATATGGCTAGCTGGGCTTCTCCTATTAGCAGGCCACCTCCCTGGAACGCATGGTAAACCCTTCATTGGCTCGGCAAAGGGTCCTGAGAGGCTTCTAGAAGCGAGAGGGCCTCATCGAAGGACACCAAACAGTAGTCATTATGTGATTACCGGTGCTCCAGTTGTGAGAACAGCATCTGGTATGTCCTTCGAGAAGAGCAAGAGAGTAATGCACGCTGACACTATCCAAATGTAGGGGCTGTTCCAATTCGAAGGGATATCCGAGACCTTCATGATAATCATGCCGACCTGTTCAACTTGTACATTCTTGGACTTCGCGATTTCTATGCGGCGGACGAGAATGATGACTTGTCTTTTTACAAGATCGCGGGTTCGTTGATTTCAATTGGCTAGTATCTTATCTAGCTGCATACTGACACCAATGACTCTCTAGGAATCCACGGGCGTCCTTATGGGCCATGGCAGGGCGCGGAAGGTATCTCTGGGAAAGATGCAGGATTCTGTCCGCATAGCAACATACTGTTCTTGACTTGGCACCGCGCATATCTACTTCTCTATGAGGTAAGCTTACTTGTCGCGTTATGTTCCGACAGAAGCATTTGCTTCGACAACTATAACCCTCTCTTACAAGTTCATCTCATAGCAACTGCTTCACAAACACGTCGCAGATGTTGCCAGCAAGTTCATCCCCGAACTTCGTCAACGCTACGTCCAAGCCGCTCAAGACTTCCGCATCCCGTACTGGGACTGGTCAGCTTCGATTGACAACCCAGACCATCCAATCCCGACATACATCGCCGAAGACGCGGAAATCCTAGTGACGGAAACGGATGGGACCCAGCAGTTGGTCGATAACCCGCTGCACCATTTCGAGTTCCATCCGTGCGAGCCCGTTCCTGAGACTTTTGACGGGAAGGTATACACACCCCTCTCCTCCACAACACCAGCACTCCCTTGTAGAGTACCTGCCATCTTTTTCTTTTGCACCAAACTGACATCTCCCAGTGGCAAGGCTGGACCACAACCCTCCGCCACCCATCTTCCGACGACGCGAACGCCACGTCCCGCGCCGCCCTCTTCATCTCCCACTTCACCGACTGGAGTGGCCAGCTCCACAACGACGTCGGCTTCGACATGCTCCAAAACCAATCCTTCAACACCTACAGCAAGAGCCACCTCGAGCTAACGCACAACCTCGTGCACAACATCGCCGGCGGCGGGATGGACAGCGACGAAGACAGGTTCTGGGGCCATATGGACCCCCTGGACTACTCAGCCTTCGACCCAGTATTCTGGCTGCATCACGCGTACGCATACCCCTCACACTTCCCCCCCCCCCCAAACCCCTCAAATTCTAACACAGCCCAGCAATGTCGACCACATCCTCGCCCTCTACCAACCCCTCCACCCCGCCCGCTGGCTGCACCCGGACAACATCGCCGCCTCCGGCACCTACGCCATCCCGGACTACAGCACCGTCGACGCCGCCACCCCCTTATCGCCGTTCTGGAACAGCCAAGGGGGGTTCTTTACGTCCAATGACCTCCGCGATACCATCCCCCTCGGCTACGCGTACCCGGAAACGCAGAGGTGGCTCTTCGCCACCGACGGGGCCTTCCAGGATAGCGTCGCGCGCGCGGTAGGGGTGGCGTATAGCCCCGACTGGCGCGCGCTGGTTGCGGATCCCGCAGCGATGAGGACGGGGCCGGTGGGGTTGGTCGAGCGGGGGGTGGTGACGGCGTGGGCGGTGAGGGTTGGGGTGGATAAGGGGGCGGTGGGGGGGAGTTTCGGAATCAGGATTTTGCTGGAGGGGAGGGAGGTTGGGAGGGTGGCGGTATTGATGCCGGAAGGATTGGAGGCGAGGGGGATGGTGGTGAATGCGACGGTGGAGCTGACAAGGGCATTGGTGGGGGAGGTTGGAGAGGGAAGGTTAAGGGATTTAGGGGAGGAGGCTGTGGGGGGTTACTTGCAGGGGAGGCTGGGGTGGAGGGTTGATGCTGTGAGTGGTTTTTCTCTGGTTTTGGTGGTAATGCGGATGAGTGCTGAGGCGGTTGCTAACGTCCCCGAGTAGATTTCCGGAGGGCAAGTCCAGGCCACGGCGCCGAGGGAGGTGGGGTTGGAGGAGGTCGTGGTTGTGAGTAATGAGGTTACGGTGCCGTTGGATCCGGAGATGCCGCTTGTGTACTCTGGGACGTGGGTCAAGCATCCTGAGATTGTTGTGAGTGGGGTTGGGGGTGTCTAGTTTGGAGACGTTTAAGCATGAGGTCGTTCTGGCTGGAAGAGTGGCAGGAAGGGGGTCTGGTTCGACGGGTTTGGTGGGGGAATCGTTTGTTTCATGCGTTGTATTTCGATATGTCTGTCTGAATGTCTCTCTTACTTAGCTGATCAATTCCACTCATTCATCATTCGGGGTTTCCCTTACTTGTGTCCTAAAGCTCGCTTCAGACTTCTCACTATAGAGGACTTCATCAGGGCTTATATAGCCTATTATTTTCTGTGGCTATCGTCCTTCGGGGCCTCTGCTTCCGCGTACGTGGCGCAGTGGTGGACGCTGCAATGATAGCTTCACATTAGAAAATCCCTTGTGGGGATTTTAGTAGGGCTTCGGCCCGAGTTTTTGCAGGTCTGGAGTGAGTTCGATACGCGCGGGAGTGAGAGATTTCTTGTTCTTTTAACTTTTTGGAGTGGACTGCACTCGATGGAATGAATAGAGATTGGTGGGATTTGGAGAAGATTAACTTTTTTTTTATTAGCAAAACATTCGATCTACCCACCTTCTCCCTTTTGTATTTCTGCCTCTATCTTCCATCCAATATCTCAGTGCAGATTCTGGAAGGGATAAGCATGCACTTTGAAGAGCAGAGATGAGCTTGATTCAAAGAGCTAATCGCTCTTTCAAGGGTTTCATATTTTATTAGTTATCGCTTCGGTTGGGCTACCATATACGGTCTGATGCAGGAGAAGTAGCCGCTATTAACTCCAGCTTCCTACCCCCATGAAGGCAAAATTGGTATCGGTTTCGCCGCGAGTGGAACCTCTGTGGTATCTGTGAAACGCCTATCTTACACCTGCCGCCCGCGCCAATACCCAATTTTTCCGGATCGAAATTGATGTCAAGATCGGCCGTCCTCGCGGCCAGGCTGCTTTTTGCACGCATTCTAGTTTGGTGATGAAAATTTGGGGGAATTGAAAAGTCTTATTGTCACGGAAAGTTGCGAAATGTTTCAGTCGATGAAGCGACGTAGCTTTTGCATCTCGTCTAGGAGCTCCTGCAGGTCGTTGTCGGATATCTTGGTGGCGATGGAAGGGATGAGGGTTTTCGCTTCGTCAGCGCTGTCGCAGAGTAGGGAGCCTGTTGCCAAGGTAGAACGTCAGTATTGAAATACAAAGTTACGTAGTTCGGGGCTAGAGAAGGTATTGTGACTGGTATCGGAGAGCCGTACCTAGCTGTGCGCGTTCCACAGGGACGAACTCGGTGCGGGTGGAGAGGAGGTTGGAGAGGGCGTGGATGTTCTCGCTCTGCTTGAAGCGCGAGAACATGTCCATGTACTCGATGAATTTTATGATGGCTCTGTAGACAGCTGTCAGTGACCATCTTCCCGCGTTTACTCTGCAACTGAAATTCGAATTCGTTGACAGGTATTCCATCTCCTCTGCTGCTCTCATCTACACTCTCTGCAAAGCCCAGAGCCACAGCGCACTTACTCCGAGTCATTATGTATCTTGTCTCCGCCGAGTGGATTTGTCGCCGGGTCCTTCTTCCGCCTCGCGTTGTGTACGGCTGAGATGACGGTGCGCGCCTCGCTGACTGACAGGGCGGCCACGTTTTCAAACTCGCCGAGGCGCAGCTCAGTGCCGAGTTCTTCGTCCACAGTTTGGACTTCCTTGGGGCGCGAGACCTGCTTCGGAGCGCGGAAGATGGGCGCAGTGGTGGGGCGTGGCCGGGCGGGCGCGTCCTCGGTCGCCATGGCTGTGGTTGTGGGAGTTGGGGGTGGAGAGAAGAGGGGAGGTTGGCGGTCGGGGTTTAGAGGTGGTGGGTGGTGAAAAGGCCGCGCTTTGTTCCCTGGTCGAGCGCGGTGTGGTGTTAGGGCAGGCCTCTAGACGTCAGCTTGACGGTGGCTCCTGGTATCTATGCGGTCTTGGTGGGAGCGAGGGTGAATAGACGAGGTCCAGGCAGACAGGGCCACTGGCACATGCGGATGAGGTTCACGAAATGCCAAGGCTGCAGTCGTGAATAGCACAGCTGCAGCCCCACACACGACAGCGAACCTTGGGAGGGGCCGTAGCCGGTTCGGGATGCGTCCCAGGTACAGCAGGCCAGCGACGACGTGTAACAGCTGCTTCAGAGTCTGATAGCGCTGGACTACGGAGTAGCTGCCATTGCAGCCGTGTCTTGAGTGCATGCCGCCAACGTCCTGTTATTTCATAATCCTCCAGCGCTCCCCCAACGCCCTGCCCGCCCTGCCCGCCCATGCCTCAGAAACAGGCCGTCTGCTGCGACTGTTGCCGTGCCTGGCGGTGCTGGCCTGCTGACGGCTGTGAGATGAAAATAGGGCCAGCAGCGAGTCGACGTCTGCGCTCGGGCTTTGCTCTCGCTCGTCTCCAAGCCTCTCCGCATTAACACCACGACACCGACATCCACCTCACACCGCCCTCCACTCCACCACCCCTCCCCGCCCGTCGCATATGAAGCGGAATCCTATCCCGAACTATCCCTTGCGAGCTGCTCTCCCAGGGCACGCCCGAGCCTGCGCTGCCTCCGCCTGCCGCTGCGTGAGCCCTGCGTGGCTCCAGCACCGCACCCCTCCCTCGTAGCGGACCCGCCCGTCGATTGCAATACCACAGCACACCCAGCACTGCATTGCCCGTGTTTCTTTCGACCCACGCACCGACGACACACGGAAGCCCGTTCGTACCGTGTCCACAGCGCGTCACCTTTTGCCCGCGACACGCCAACCGAATCGCCTCCATCTCGACCTCGCCCTCGCCCTGCCTCTCCCCACGCCACCCTCGATTGATTGCGACCCGCGCGAGACTGGCCCCCGAGCATAATGAGCGCACCGGTGGAGGGCTGGCCGCCGGCAGACCGTAGCGACATACCGGGCAGCTGGCCGTCAGGCTCGTACACAGATGCTCCAACCACAGGCCCCAGCATGCAGCGCAACAGGACGGAAGATTCAAGCGGCCAGCGAGACGTGTCGCCAATCCGGGACCACAACGGCTCAGACTTGCCCGCGATTGCCCCTCGAAAGTCTGGGGGTAGCAGAAGACCCAGCGGCTCGAGAATATGCGGTAAATGCGGAGAAGGCCTGACAGGCCAATTCGTGCGCGCGCTTGGGGACACCTACCATTTGGAATGCTTTACATGTCACGTAGGTCCAGAAGTTCCCTTCACCTTTCACACGGAATCCGTAGGCCTCGGAGAGAAAAACACGGTATCGGTACTTCCTTTCCTTTGACAAGAAAGCTGCTAAAAACACGGCGTTGCTTAGGACTGTGGCAAAATTGTAGCCTCCAAGTTTTTTCCGGTCCCCGACCATCCTCCTAATCAATACCCGCTCTGTGAGACGGATTATTTCCGGCGGCTCGACCTCTTGTGCTTCGAATGTGGGCAAGCTCTCCGAGGCTCCTACATCACTGCGCTTGACAGGAAATACCATATCGAGCACTTCACCTGTTCAGTATGCCCAACCGTGTTTGGAGCGCAGGACAGCTACTACGAACACGAGGGCAGCGTTTTCTGCCATTTTCACTATTCAACGCAATTCGCCCAGAAATGCAATGGCTGTCTCACAGCTATCCTCAAACAATTCGTGGAAATTTTCCGGAACGGACAGAACCAGCATTGGCATCCCGAGTGCTACATGATCCACAAATACTGGAATGTCCGCTTACACTCGAGTGGCCAACCCGTCATTGAAGATGCACTGGCGAACGGAGAGGCAACAGACGAAATTCGCCAGAAAGTACGACAGCAGGAGGAAGCTGTCGAAGGGAAGGTGAACTGGATCTGGAAGACGCTATCAGCTTTCGAGGAGAAGTCTGCGACGTGCATTTCCGACATGCTTCTTCACGTCAGCAATGGCGCCTACTTCGATGGAGTTATGGCTGCTAAGAAGTTCATTATCCATGTCGACTTGTTATTCACAGCCGCGGATAATCTCGATGGTCTTCTGGGAGAAGTGAGTCCAAAAGGTAAGCATATTCCATGGTTCCGCACGTTTGAATGATTCGGGTGACCCCTCCTACCACGGATAGCAACGCACGTTGTCATCATAAATCAGCAACTGACTTCCTCATCGCAGGTCTCCAGTATTCTCGAGAATCCAAATTACTGTGCAAGAAAGTGGTCGCCTTCTTCCACCTCCTCCGGCAGTCTCAAAACACTGGCGTCCGTCGTCTTGGAGTCACGCAAGAGCTGTTGTCCTTGGTTACTGGACTGGCCCACTACCTTAAACTTCTTATCCGAATTTGCTTGCAAGGCTCTTTGAAGCTCGAAAAAGAGACTGGCAACACTAAAGGCCTCACAGATTTTCTTGCAGAGGTCAACTCACTAGATCAGAGACTGGAGGCCGAGGCAAACGTTGACTACATGGCGGAGGCAGCGGCTCTCGTTCCTCGCGCTGCGGACACCTGTCCCATTTGCGACAACCAGGTTGAGGAAAAATGCCTGCGCCTGAACGATATGTCCTTCAATTATCCATGTATGGTATGCAAAAGCTGTGGCCTTGATATGCGCGACAAGTTTACGGACGCACGATGGAGTCAATCTAACCAGAAGGTGTTTTGCAAGAACTGCGCCCTTAGGGTCCCAGACGCCGAAGGCGGCTTTGTCGCCGTCTCGAAGCTTAGACAGTACATCCACCTTCTGAAAGTCGCACATGCCAGGCTCTTGGCCACACTGAGAACCAGTGGCGCGCTACCGCATACCTCTGGTAAGTTATATCCTTCCGCCCAAACCCACGCAGCACATTATTCACGCTGCGTGACAGACCATCCGCTCTTACTGACGCTTCGTAGACGACCCTAACCTATCTGGCTATGATTCATCTCAAGGCCATCGAATGACACCAACTAATGACCTCGAGCCTCCTTTACTAAGATCTGACACTCGATCGAAATCATTCACAGGCTCAGGCTCGGACCCGCAACCCCAAGGCTCTTACGAGCAATCCATCGGTGACATTCGACGGTTGCGTTCACAACGCATGGACAAACACCTTTCCAGCACCATGAAGCGTGCGCGCACCTCGAGAATAATAGACGGCCCCGATGCGGTACGACCAGGGTCGGCAGGTGATTCTCAGTCCCGAGGAGGAATGCAGATTGTCCAAGAGCGCGATATGAGTGGCGAAGGAGATCAACTGACGCTAGGAGTCAATACGTTGGCCTTAGACGATATATCTCGGATCGTGGCATTAGAGCAAGCAAAGGAGCAACGCCCTAACGCTTACCGATCCGCAGGAGGTGCACTCATCGGTCAAGACCGTCAGCCGAAGCTACTGAACGGTCACCGCCGAGAAGCATCCGGTGGGCAAGAGCTAAACCTTGCCGCCGCCTCTGATAACCGGCCTCGAATGTACTTTTCTGATATCTCGCCGCTCGAATACTTCAGGCTACGAAGTCTCGCTGTGCTGCAGCTCGGTCTATTGCTCGAGGAAAGCCAGTACAACCAAGGCGAGCTTCTGGACCTACTTGAAACCAAACGACCGACTTTCTGGGGCAAATTCGGGATCGGCAAGGCGTTCAAGGCCGACAAGGGCAAAGGGACCAAACCCAAAAAGACTATCACGGAGAAGCCCGTGTCAGACAAGGCTGTCTTTAGGCAGAGTCTCGAGTACCTAGTGGAAAAACATGGCGCAGAATCGACTGACGGCGTAGGCCACGGGACTCTCAAGGTACCAGCCTTGCTTCAAGACGCTATATCCGCAATGAGGAACATGGACATGTCTGTAGAAGGCGTGTTTCGAAAGAATGGCAATCTCAAGAAACTGAGAGAGCTGCAAGAGGAGATCGATGCCAAGGGCGGAGATAATGTTGATTTGAACAAAGAGGCTCCAGTTACGCTGGCAAACTTGCTCAAGAGATTCTTGAGATACATGCCAGACCCAGTTTTGACTCTGAAGCTATACCGACTGTTTATGACTGCCAACAGTAAGTGCATTCGTCTCGGTCGTGTTTCATGTTGGCTTACCAGAAGCAGAAATCCAGGATGAGGACAGACGGCTGCGAGTTCTTCACTTGACGTGCTGTCTCTTACCGAAAGCCCATCGGGACACCATGGAGGTTCTCTTTGCTTTCCTCAATTGGGTCTCATCTTTCCACACCGTCGATGAGGAAACCGGCAATAAGATGGACATTTGGAACCTTGCAACAGTCATTACACCTAACATCCTTCGAGAGAACAACGATCCAGAGGAGAGGGCTCCAGACCAGGCCTCGATAAGGGTCGTGTACACGCTCATCGAATGCAATGAGTCGATGTGCGAAGTATGTTACCTCATTTTCAACGCTTCCTCTAGTTCACAATGCCTCGAAATCCTGCACCTTCCCCTTTTCCGTTTCTGTTGTTTTGATGCTTACCGAGGTTTAGGTACCCGATGAAATCGTGGCGCTTCTTAGCGATGATGGTTCACAAGAAATTACTACCAAGGAAATTATGAGACGCTGGGAGACTGCCGGGAAGGTACCCCAACCAACTGTCGCCTCCCCGAATCCGCAGAAAGCGGGCCCGCCGACCCGAGATGGCCAACCAACCGCGCCCCGCATCACACAGGTCAACGACAATGCACAGACATGGCAAACTGAGAGCTCTGTCCGCCATGTTGGTGGTCCTGGTAACCCAGGCATGAGCTATGGCCCCTCATCAAACCACAACACGCCACCGCAGGGCGAATATAACCTTGCGACACCGAACCTACCGTACGCAAATTCAGCACCCGGCTCAGCAGAGAGCCAGCGGACAGCTTCGCCCCAACGGCATAGCTATCGCTCGCCTGCTTACCAGCGGCAAGGCCCAATGGGCACCGCTGGTGCTGGATAAATTATGTCCATAAATCGTCTTGTTGATGTCGAAGCATAGCAATGATTTGTTGTCGCATCGTGAACTAAATCAAGTCTTAGAGTCCTCATACCCCTGGGACCTAAACTGACTGCACGGAGTTGGGCTTCTGGGTACAGCTTTTTTTGCATGGCATGCGGCTTTCTTACCCATTGACCTGCCAGGGTTTCATCGAATTTCTTCTTTCTTCTCCTTATCGACGATACCACCTCTTCGCGAACTGTTTCTTCTTGAATTTCCGCGGTTGCAAGTGGAAAGCACTATTGGGTCGGGGCGCGACGAAACTTCGAAAATCGGAGAGTCGAAATGAACAAATACGAAAATAGGAAAAATGGTTCAGCACTGGATTGCTTTTTATTTTCACAGCGCAGATCGGAGCGAGCAAGTACCGTTTGGTCTGGTCTCCACGGGGGGCTGTTGTTTTCCGAACATGGGGCATTTGGGTACACTGGAGTTTTTCACTCGTGTTCAGTTCTGGTCAAAGAAGTAAGTGACTTGTCGAAAGACTTTGTTGGTTGTTTTGTTTCATTGCACAGCGTGGGTTGGAGCTGGATGAGCGTGGGCGGTTATTAGGCGGTTGGCTGGCTTTAGGTTGGTTTTGCGGCGGCGGACTGAGTGGCTTTCTTTCGACTGTCTCGACTTTCTGGAATCCGTGAGAAGGACGACGGACTGGCAAGCTTGGCATGGGCACCATCGGAACAACGGTCGAAACATCGCAACCGGGCTTCGAACGGCATCAGCACGGGGCTCAGCACTGCTCTACCCCCGGGCCGGGAATATGATTACGGAACGAGGGTTAATTGGACTTGTTGTAGTTGGTTGGTTGGGGTTGGTTACTACTTGTATGGGGACGAGCACTTAATGCATTGCCCACCCGTTGTTTTTGCGGCATTTCCCTGTTGCTTGCAAAGGAGGCGGTGGATGTAGGATTGATAGGCGTTGTTTCATGTATGGAATCTTGCTTCTTGAGACTGGAATGGAACGGGACTTCAGATCAGATGGTCCATTGTGTGTGGCTTCGCGTGCTTTGTGGAGATGAGTGATAGGATGCTGTTGTGGATAGGTACTTGGGGTGTGTGAGAGATGTCTTTGTATGAATACACTGATGGAAGATGGCAACTCCCGCTTTCCCCCTCCCTTCCCACCGGCGCGATGCGCCCTCAAGGAAAAACAAGATCAAGCCAAAGACATCTTCTGCCTCTTCCGCTCCAGCCCACCTCTCTTCAATAAACCCCCCCGGGCAAAAAAAAAATATTATTCAGAAAAGCGGCTTCTTCTTCAACCACCCAGGCATCGCCGAGTCGATCAATGAAAAAAAGATATATGTCGGTTCTTAGCCAACTAGGGTCCAAAAATTCCCCATCGATCTTGCGACCGAACAGGAGCAGTAGGTCGTTGAAGGTAGTTTTCAACTAGCAAAAAAAACGCGGTCTCAGACGGATCCTCACGGACGCGCGTATTGCCCTTGCACTAGGATGGGGGAGGGAAGTTTGGGCAGGAGGCAGTGGGCTTTCTATAGGGGAGGTGGGAGGGGGGGAGTCAGAGGGGGGATTAGGCAGGGAGGGCAGGGGTGTCAAGGCAGTGAAGTAGCAGGTTCCAAGGTTGGAGGGGGGAAGATTGGTTTGGGGGGGGTGGGGGGCTGCCTGGAGGTTGCCTGGGGTGGGGGCGAAGGGTAGGTTCTTGACGGAATGTGGGAGAGTTGAACCACGGCTTCCCCTGATGTATACGAATCAGGGGGTATGCTTGTATGGAGGCACTTCATTCTGTGCCACGTAGGTGGAATGGAAAATAATTATAGAAACAGTGCATAGTATTGGCTTTTTCCTGATTTTTATTCTTTTCTATCACATGGGGTTCCTCCAATACTTTTCGATATATCTAGCAGGGATGTACGGCTCGTCACAGCAGGTTACGAGGGACGGTCGGGCAAAAGATGTCTTGGAAAGTAGTGAAAACTGATTTTGATATTGAGCGAGTGTCAAGTGAGGAGGCAAAATCTCAACACCCGTAGCTATCGACTTCTACGAACCTAATTGCTGATGTACATACATAGCCATCAGACTTTCTAAATGTAACTATGTAACTGTGGCAGCGGCATACAAGTCGAAGCAGACCTCTGCCCTGGTTCTGTAAGCCCCTTCGAACCCTTCTCTTCTCTTCTTCCCACCGTGCTGCATATCCCTTGACGAACACTCTAAAGACTACTCATCACCCCTTCAAACCCCTCCTCAGTTTCCCCCTCATCCTCTAGGCCGTCGACGTCACCCACAGCGGCGCCGTCATGGGCTCGGCAGGCGTCAGCGATATCTGCAACGTCGGCGCCGTCACAACTACCAGCGATGCCAGCGTCTGTAGCGGAACTGGTGCTGTCACCGTATGAAGTACGACGCTCGTTACCCAGCTGCCGGTGTACTGCGACATCAGCGTCGTAGGGATGGGTCCCGAGTGGAGAGCTTTGCTAGTCTCGAGATCAGAACCAGAGTCGGGGTCGATGGAGGGTGGCGGGTCGTAGACCCGAGTCGTAGAGATGGTTGTGATTGTTTCGGTGACCGTGACGTTTGGAGCTGGGGTTGTGGTTGGCGTAGGCGTGGGTTTGGGTAATTGAGAGTGGTAGAGCCCACGGATTATCACGCCGGTGACGACCACGAGGATCATCAGGAGGAATATGGTGAGGGCGAGGTGGAGTTTGCGGCGCTTACCGTGGAATTTCGGGATAATGGGGATGTAGGGGCGGTATGGAAGCTGGGGAGCAGGTGGTAGAGGAGGCGGAGGGCTGGCATACGGTGGCGGTTCATCCTTGGTATCATCAGGGAATGCGATGACACTGAAAGCTGGGCTGTGGGAATACGGTCCCGGCAGGTACTTTGGGGTTGGATAGGTCGGAAGGTTTGATGGTCCAGAAGTTGTGTTCTGGTGGCTCATGGTAGCGGTGTTAGCTGCACTATGAAAGTGGCTGATAGTTGAGTTGATGGTGGTCAACGCTAGATTGTAAATGTGGTTATGTGCGAACCTGCTTGCCTAAACCTCTGATGATGTTACGGATGTTTAGGTAGGCTAGATATAGATATTGAGATAAAGGATTGTCAATAGATCATGTTCACAGTGTAAAACATCGTACAAGGTTGGCAATGTGAATATTTATTGTTTGTAATTAGAAATAGTGTTAAACATATGAGTTGTGTTGTTCCAATGGCGGGAGAGATAAAGAAATGGCACACCTCACGTTTATCATTGGCCGCAGAGCTTCAGTGATCAGTTTCTGAAGGTTTCTGCATATGACAATCGAAGTTGCTTGCCCAAAAAGTATTTCGAACCACTTCGAACCCTTTGTCCACTAATTCGTAAGCTTTTCCTATGATGATATAGTAAAGGAAGTACTTCGAAGCTTGGCCATGCCTGGCAATGAGATTGAGGAGGTAATTAGCTGCAACATGGGGCAGAAGAATCGTTATCGGTCGGCCCCTCCCTAGAAAGCTTGCTAGCTTCTTCTTCGCGAGTATACGTATCTATGAGTTGCGACCTACCCGTTATTTCCAGGCTCCTAGCTGAAGATAAATGGGCCTATGAATGTACCAGCAAGAAGGCAGATGATAACGAACCGGGTATATGACATGAAAAGCCTGCGAGATGTACCATTAGTGCAACGTGATAGGACTAAGACTAAGGCGTAGACGTACAGCATCACCAGATAAGCGATTACAAATTGAACCATGTGTAGAAACGTACGAAAGGATTGCTGTAGTACCGTCGGTCGACTCTCTCTTTGACACCTATTTCGCTAGCAACGGCAGACTGAAGCCGTCGTCACCCATACCTACCCACCCCTCCTCGTCTTGTTCCTCTGCCTGCTTTTGTCATTCTTGTAGGTAGGTGTCGTGCTCTTTGATGAGCCGTCGGAGGAATTCGAGGACTAATGCGAGGAGGAAGATGCCGATGCGGGATCCAGCGAACATGGCAGGGGATGTGTACGGGATACAACCCAGGTGACGGGTGCGGTGGCTGTACTGGAGCGGACTGAATCGTCAGTCCTTCAGCTCTGAAGTTCTCATAGTTGCTGGCATGTTAGTCATACCCTGGGACAGTGACAGGTCATACCTTTGTAAGTCTGTGCACACCCGTTTACCACTGCTTGGGGTTACCCCGTAGATTTTCGGAAATCCAGGCGCGATGTCAAGTTTCAAGTACTGTAAATTAGACTGTCTCTTGAATAACTAGCTGCTTACTCTCTAAGCTTCTTCTCACAGTGGTGTCCAGTGTGCAAGATTGCAGCCAAGCAGTGATAATTCCGTGTGCCCAGACCTGTGACCCAGGACTGGGTGAGACTTGTTTGAAGCTAACTTCCCTAGATAAAACAATGACGCGAAAGAAGAAGTCAAAAATTCTGAGCAATGTGCTGTCGGCACATGTTGCTCATGTTGTGGTCTCAGGGGCTGCGCCGCTAGCCACGTGATCCCCCTTCGTAGCCACGGTGAACTGGGATTCAAATTTTTGCCTACACATTTCTAATTTCAAACTTCTGCCAGCCCAATTTCAAGCTTTTGCCGACGCATTTTCAAACTTTTGCAGACACATTTTCAAACTTTTGCGGACACGTTTTTCAAACTCTAACAACACGTCTTCCATTTTCTGTCCACGTTAAAGATTGTAACAGAAGTTTAAAGGAGTGATGAAATTCTAATGGTTCTCAGTTAAAAGTTGATATTAGTAACGTAGTTCGGCTGTGTAAAGCGAGAAGTGTCGATATTACCCTGATGACTCGTATAGTGTACACTGAAGATGTTGTCTGAGTTCTCGACGAACATGGACATGACCTGGCTGGAACAATTGAAGAAAATGCGAATCCGCTTGCGCATCTTCATCTATTACTCCAAACCCACCCACTCTTTCAAGACCTGAAGCTCCACCGATTTCTTGGCCCCATTGAAAGGCACAACAAGGTCTTCCACATGGCCTGCACCGTTGATCAAGAGGTATCTTGGCGCTTCTCTATCCGCATCGACGTTAACTGTGAACTGCATTGCTTCCAGCAATACGGTCGGATCGAGCTGTCATCCGGTGAACAGTATTCTAGAAGAATTCGCCAGATCTGCAGGAGAAAAGTGATACCTCTCCTGGAGTTTGTTCTGGGTCGGGCTAGTCACGTTGAAAGATTGCTCGCATTTCGACACGCTGTAATCGGCCGCACTTGCCATCGCAGGAAAAATGGTTCCATTGGGAATATCGTTGACGGGCGCGGGAAGCAGAGCGCCAGTGATGAAGTCCCAGGATTGTGGATCTGTCGGAACCACTTGTGGATTAGCTGTGAGGTCGATGTAAGCGTATGTCTCCAAAAAAAATTGAGAGGGAAGCGTTGAGAACTTCGGTCGCAGACGACGCAGCCAAGGTGGCGCTGATCACCCTGGGTCAGAATCGGAAATAGAAAGAAAGGCATTATCTGCGGAAGTCATGGCCTTCTGTCTCTCGCTGAATCTGCCCCAAATAGGAAACAAGAGAACGCGAAAGTGAATGCGGTAAATTAGAAAGGCGAGAAGCAAAGAGTGCTCCATGTTGTAGGGGTGATAGAGTCGTGAGGCTGTGTTAAAAAGTTTTCCTTTGCGAGGTGTGTTTCCCGTGTGGACTCAGAATGCGAGATTTAGTCCACAAGTGACTGGCCTGCTGGGATGCTGTTCGAAGACGGTTGCTTGCCACTTCAAGAACGCCAGTCACATGATGATATCAATGCTTCTGAACCTATTGGCGGTCCTATAAAGTGGAGAGGCCTAGTATTCTGGGCGAGCAGGAGAGCTGTGGACGGAATTGAGGCCTGGACGGAACCTCACGAACCACTCCATCGTGACCAGAGTCATGGGCTAGAATAAGACCAGGACCGTGCAGGCGGCGCCTGCAAAGAAACCGCTCCCTTTCTTTCTGGAAGCCCCGTCTTGAAGTATCCAAACCGGGCTTATGGGACTTCTCAGGTCGGCAAGATTCACCTTTTCGGAACGACAGTCCATTCACATTTCGTAGACACAAACGTGCTATTGCCTACCAGACGCTATCAGTACAGTTCGAAGATTTCTGGTTCAAAGCTTCCAGCTCTCCATTGTTCAACGGCTTCGCCCTTCATCAAGCCAGGAACGTAGCACTCTCCGATGAATCGATACCTTGTTCCTAATGGCCTTAGCACAAACGGGACTTTGCCGCCAAACAAAACGGCAATTATGTCGCCTTCTTTCATCGTCCTTGGACCTATGCCCATTCGGTCATCTTTAGTCAAGAAGAATCTTCTGTCCATGCATGCGCGGACGAAAGCCTGATGGAAGCGGCCCGAGTCGACTTTACCTGACAAAGCTAGTCTTATCCGGTAGGCCATGGACACAGTCGCAATCCGGTTGCCTAGGTGTTCTACAAACCATCGCTTCGCGTCGTTTAGAAAGCTGGATGTCTCATTCGTAGACGTCGACTCGTTGCTTGGCCCAGCAGTCAATGTGAGAATGAATGTGTGGAAGGTATCGTCTGCCCCTGTCCCATAAGATAATTGAGGACGCTTTGCTAATAGATTCCAAGCTGCTTTCACGAAATCACGCTCTTCTTGGTATGTCTTGAAGCCGAAGCCATAACTTGTAAGCTGATCGCCATATGCTTCTATGACATCAGCTTGTATTCCGTGCAAAGTGATAGCATCGCCACCTCTTCCTGAGGTTTCGGTGCGCAAGGTGTCGGTGCGCAGAGGCTCGTCACTATCCGCATTGTACGCGTTAAGGTTGCAAGAACTTGAGAAAGCCATGGCTGCCTTCTCATAGCACCAATCCGGTACCCACGATGGCCAAGAGGATTGTTCTACCGTCTGAGTCTCGCCTGCATGGGATAAAACCAAAAGATTCCTATGCTTTTCGATTAAGAATAGGGCTACATTCCGATAGGCATTCTTGGTTGACTGATTGTAGTCCGGTTTTATCAACGCGTAGAGTTCTCCGTCTTGGAGTTCCGCATCGACAAACTGTCTTGTTTCCGCTGCGAGGCCGAAGGCTGCATACACCTTGTCGACTGGCTGCGTTGCATGTCGATTCCGAAATTCTATGAGGAGATCGAGAAGGGGAATCTTGCAATCTTGAATCTCGTCGTCGTGGATCTTGCCATCTTGAGTATTGTCCTTGTGGATCCCGCACATCTCCCATGTGGCTGCTGCTGACGAAACTGGCAAGAGGTCTTCCAATTGCTGCAGTGGATATTTAAGAACAGGAGGTATGGCGTATCCCATATTCTGGAACCATAGGGCAGCCTGTCCCAGCGCAGACCATCGAATCTCCCAGTCGCCGAGAATTACTACTGCTTGCTTTCCAAGGACTGCCTCTTGCACTACCTAGAGGGTAGGGAAGTACACGTCAGCAGCTGTCTCATTTGAATATTTGCACCATTCAGACGCCTTCTTGAAGCCTGCCTTGTCCCGGCACCGTTTTGACGGTATGCCAGGGTTTTGCTACAAGACGACGACGGGTTGGAAGGGATAGATGCTGCGATTTTACCTACCCAGACACGCTGGAACCACGGGTTCGAGAAGAATCCACGCATAACATCCCACTCAGAAGCGGACGGGGCGGGAAATCCATAAGCCATATTGCGATTGACGGAGTCCTCGGCAGTTTTCAGTGACGCCAGGCGATTTCGGCCACCTTGTATATTTCTCAACGCCTGTGCAATGAAGGAGAGCACCACTGGCATAACTCCATACCTTCCAATGTGAGAAGGGCCTACGAGATTTACCAAGTGGGCATCCCCTTTGCCAAGCCAGATCTTGACCGTTTCGGCTTGTTCGTATATCCTCCCCATCATTTTCACCTGACTTTCCCTTTCTGCAACATCCTCTTGGTTTATACAAAGCGCATCCAGCCATACCAAAGAATGCAAAGTGCTGTCATTTTCCCGCCGCTCGTTTCGATTCTTCGCAAATTCGCCCCACACATTGCGGCTGGAGTGCAACACGTGCTTCTCGGGCCAAAGGATTACTGAGTCCCAGTTCGGAAAGGGACGCAAGTGCATCAAAGCATCGAAGAGATTTTGGGTAACATTCTTGGGGATTCCGTTGCAAATGATTGGTTCTGGGGCCATCTCGAGGCCCCAGACGTACGAGATGGCCTCGTAGCTCGGTACGTCTTCTGCATCGTTTACGGTGATTAAAGCGCACTCTATACTCTCCGAAGGGAAGGCAGGTTTGATAGATAGAAGCCGTATAGATCTATGCCCTATGGGGTGGTAGATGGTGCTGCCACTGTCCATCTTGCCCAAAGGTAATGAGGCCGTAGATAGAGAAGCCGATGACGAAAACGACGTTCCAAGTAATAGGTGCATATTCAAAGAACGAGGCGTCTCTAATACTTATGTATAAGCAAAGAGCGGTGATGACGTGCCGCAGCTCTTGACATGGGGATGAAACTCGTTTCAGAACCCGTGGGTGGATTGCTTAACGAATGATTGGCTCTCACAGTTGAATGGGGGCTGAGCTCAGCCATCGGGCTGAGCATTAGTTACGTATGCTCCGCCACCTCTGCACTACCGTCAAGAAGGATAGAAAGAGATGTGGCAGTTCCAGGCTGACAAGCTGGTTTTAACTGTTTATTTCCACTCGTCAATAGCTTAAGCATAACACTCTCTGCAAGCCTACAACCCATTATGGATCTTCTCTCTCGTATACGCCATGACGTTAGACTGCGTAACCTCAGTAAGTCTCGCCCAGTGACTTCTACCGGACAAGGGATTCGAACCAGATACTAATTGCGATGATTAGCTGTCTATGCGCAGTGGTAAGCTCTTTTCGCACGCTCTGTCTGTCGGGACCGCAAATCCTGACTTCCAAACATCAGGCTATCTCTGTCTGCGATTCTCGTGTGTTGTATTGCAAACATATGGTTGCTAGTCAATACGATGCTATTTTGGATTCATTATCCTCAGCGTCCTCTCCCATCAGTCTGGCATGCTCGGCCTATAGTACAAACGTTAAACGTGATGTAAGATTTTAGTCCAACACCTATCGCAGAAAGCAAAGACAATACGGGCAATACGTATTGCTAACAAATATCTTGGTGCCAGCTTCTTCCCGATTGCTCCAATCGCAGTAATTATGCCGTACCTTTCTAAATATCATCGCTTTTGGTTCACCCTCGGCGTGATATGGTGGTGCATCCAGCCTGTCTACTATTCTTTTGTCCTCCCGTTCAAAAACGACCTCGGGAATATTATGATGTCAGCACAATACTGCTTCTTCCTCATTTTTCTCGCCGTCTTGCCATGCGCGCCCCTACTAAAGGACACATATTCTTCCAATCGCTTTATCTTCCATATCGGCTTCACGATCTCCATAAGCTTTTGGGTCGGCCGAATCAGTTTTTGGATCCCGGGTTCAATACTGCCGCTATTAGTTAGACCGCATTTTGAATGGGCGGCGGTTCCTGCGGGCCTAGCGGCTGTGTTATATTTCATTGCTGCTAGGAAAGGGCATGGGTTAGTCTTTAGTAGGACACTTGGAGGTCCTGGGGTAGAGCCAATGTCGCTTGCTCTTCCTAGCTTGGAACCAGAGTATAGCGCCATTAGCAATGGGAGAATACGCTTGTAGCCCTCAAAGTAGGAAAGGCGTTACCATTATAGCGGGACTTTGATTACGACGAGCAGAGATAGGCAAAACATTACTTCATGGACGAGCAGTGCCACTTTCTTTGGGAGGGCGTTAAGATCTTGGACGATGTATAAACCCCAAGATGGGAAAGGCGATGCTCGGAACAACTGGGGATGAGACGTAGTTATGGGCCGAGGAGAATGGATGGAAGAGTTAGGTCCGTTCTAGGAGGTGTCGTCGAACAATCACGTGACCTTGAAATTATCCTATCAGCCATCCCTATCTGTCCGCGTCTCAGAAGGAGCCATGTTGGTACCAATTGTCGTCCGCAATGCCCGTAAAATGAACATATTTCTTCAGCGAACTTACCGTGACTACCCCACTTCTCCAGAAACCTCGCCCCTCGGCAAGCTCGCCCGCACTTACTCGACGACACCTGCACGGGTATCTGAGGATGGAGGTGAAACAATGCATTGAACGAGGTAAGTGATGTATTGGATAAGCATCTATCTAGGCTACGTACGCCGTATATATACTCTGTGTATATAGAGGCTTACGTAGCCGTACCGTAGAACTGTGAGTATAGGAACCGTGTTCTATATCAAGGTAGCCGAGCTAACCGTACCATACTCCGTAGGCTAGCTGGCTAAGAATACGTACTCCGTCAGTATCAAGCCTCAACCTCGCTCTCACAGCTTAAGTACATAATGTCTAGGCCCCAGGTAATGCTCTGCATGCGAAGTACAGCTTTGTCACGTCCAAGAAAACGGCATTCGCAACTATGAATCCCGCCCCTAAACAAACCACACGCCACGACCTCCCTGATGTGGCGCTAGGGGCATACCTCCTCCCTCATCTTCCAGGGCTTACTTTACCCATCGTGTCTACAAAGATTGGATATGGCCAAAGCAATCCTACATACTTCGTCGACGATGCTGTAGGCGAGCGGTACATCCTCCGGAAGAAGCCAGCTGGAACCATTATAAGCCCCGTCGCGCATCGAATAGATAGAGAATTTAGGGTTCTTGAAGCGCTTGGGAAGGTGAAAGGGTTCCCAGTTCCCAGAGTCTTCTGTCTATGTACGGATAGCAAGGTTATCGGGACAGCGTTCTATGTTAGCAAAGATAGTCCCTGCAATATGGTTAGAGTAAGCTAATAGTGGCGCGTAGGTCATGGAGTTTGTTTGCGGGCGCATAATCACAGACCCGGACCTTTCTACGCTGAGCAAGGGTGACAGGAGAGCTGCGTGGTTCTCCGTCGTTGAAACGTTGGCGTGGCTGCATAGCATCGACCCGGACGCAATCGGCCTCTCTGGCTTTGGAAAGAAGACAGATTTCTACAAGAGGCACTGCAATACCTTCTCGCGCATCGAGGCACAACAATCCAAAGTCCTCGACATCAAGACTGGTAAACCGCTTGGAAGAGCCCATGAGGCGTTCGACGAGATCATCGACTTTGTTCGAAAGAGGGTACCGGATGATAGAACAAGCATCGTGCATGGCGATTACAAGTTTGATAATGTGATATTACACCCGACTGAGCCTCGTGTGATTGCGATCCTGGACTGGGAGTTGAGCACGATTGGACATCCGCTCATGGATACAGTGTATGTTGTGGGGCCGTACTGGAATCGAGCGGACGGAGCGCAAGCGGGACCGACGCGAGACGATATGGGCGGGAAAGTCTATGAACCCGAGAATCTGGAGGCAGAGGGGATGCCGAGGATGGACGAGTTGTTGGATAAGTACGCACAGGTGGCAGGCTGGGATCCGAGGCAAGACCGGTGGGAAGTTGCGAAAGTGTTTCATTTGATGAGGGTAAGTTGGTCTCGGAATTGTATTAGTATGAGAGAGCTTCTCAGCTTGCTCCCACAACGGACTTCAAAGTATTGGTACACTGACCATATACTAACGTTTCTCATAGGGCGGAACAATATCCCATGGTATCCAAGCTCGCACTATCAGTGGCCAAGCCAGCTCTGAGTTCTCGCATATCTACTTTGAAAATACGCAGCGTAGTCTTGATGCTGCGCTAAGGAAAGTACGGGAGATCAAGATGAAAGAAGGAGGGAAGAGTAGTCTATGAATATTGTATAGCGTGGAACTAACTTGACTGATATCGGCTCCATGACCTAGGCGCGAACGGATAATGTCGCAGCCGCTTGAAGTGGCAATCCAAAAAATCCACCTCAAAGTTGCAGTGAAATCATGGCTTCTGATACATTGAAGACGCGAGCTGGAGTTCTGCGTCTATTACGCTCAACGAGGTCTAGCCAATGAAAGCGGTCTGCTCCCCGCTTTCCATACTACTAAGCTGCAAGTGACTGTTTGCCTTTGCTGAGTACAGCTTCTTCTCCATCCATCATGGCGGACGATATGCACAAGACGCCAGGATCGGCCACTGGGCTCACAAGCCTTGCAAACGAGTTAATCTTGGACATCGCCGACTTCTTGCCAACAATATCAGCCGGTTTTCACGCGTCAGCTATCGGTTCAGATGGTCCTTCTTCGGAACGGTGCGGACCCTGATATCATCATCCAAGGAGACTCGGATGTCGTGGTTACACTACAGCAACTTGGGATGGGATATCCTGACCTACGGGTATGCATTCTTTTTTCGACATCCAGAAAAGAGGCGACATTAGAATATTTCGACGGTGAGGACATAAGCCGGCCTTGGCTGGACTCTGCCGTGAAAGAGGTCACAGGAACAATTGCTAATTCGACTTCTAGACTCGTTTCATGTAGAAAGCGGCCACGGACTCGGATGAGGACTACCCGTCGAACCAGGCGTATGCGCAGGACTCGTATCGAATCTAACCGTTTGCCCAGGACGAGGACTCTGAGACGCACTCAGCGAAGAGGTCGAACTGAACCTTGGACGGCCAAGGCTAGGTCGCGGACTATGCCCCGGGCTAAGTATTCTAGGACTCGGAGTCGGGCTATCACTTTGCGTCTGTGCTTCCAAACTGGAGTAATCGGCCGAGTGGTGAGGCGCTGGATTATACTTCGGCATGAACGTCGTCATCTCGTCGCCTTGGCTGCTGTTGCGGTCGAGTGCATTACCGCTCGGAGTCGTGGCGATTGAGAAGTGCTTCACCCCCCGTTCAGACTCGTCGTGCTCCTCCCAGAAGGATTCCCAGCCTGCGAAGAGCGGGAGAGCGAGGAGGAGCATCGGTAGGAATTGGCCGAATCCCCATTCCTTCTCGCTCCCTTGGATGTCGACTGATGCCACGCCTAAGGCCTGCGTTTTGTGGAGCGCGATACCCCCATATGCGACGCCGTAGATCGCATAGAGAGGAGCCAAGAACCAGTTTCGTATGAATGCCCACCCTTTAAGGATCTTCCCCTGCTTGTTCTCGCTCTCGAGGAAGTACATAGCGATGACAATAGAAAGGTGCCCACCAATCGCGCCAACCAGTAAAGCTCCCCATCTGCCTGCAAACGCAGCTTTGAAAGGCGGTCGGTGGCCCTGGTAGAAACATGCCAATGGAGACGACGCCTTCAAGCCAGCGATGTCATACGAGTACGCGATATACGACGTATACCCTAATAATCCCAAATTCGCCATCATGAAGAAGATCCGTGGTAAGTTCACCCACGGATTTGCCACAAAGAAGTTGCGAAGCGCGACGAGCGTGAGGAGATGCGTGACCGTCGTCAAAAACGCGAGTTCAACAACGATAACAAAATGGTAGACGGAAAGCTCGCAGTGCTTCAGGATAGCGGTGAATTGGACGGCCAGGCCGGTGACGAGCTGCGTGTCGCTGAAGGCGAGGAGGTTCTTGCTGAGGATGCGGAACCAGAACATGTGCGTGCGCCAGCTGTAGTGTTCGCGGGAGTAGTCTTTGGGCGGCAGCTTTTGGATGTGCTTGCGGGAAAAGGCGCGGATGGAGTTGTAGCGCTCGAGGAACATAACGACAAATGCGAGAATGAAGGCGAAACAGGTGGTTGTGATGAATGATAGTATGACCTATTAGGTGTCAGTTTCGTACGATGTAGTATGTATTTGTAATGGAAATGCCTGAATGAGGTTTGGAGAAAAGAACTTACGCCTATACCCGCAATGTCTGGATTCGCTGGTACCACTTGGTTTCGAGCACGGCAATTAACATGGAATTCTTTACAGGTGAGTATCGTCATCGTGAAGCCGGAGCGATTTTTTTTTCTCGGCGTCCGGGGAACTCGGTCAGGATGGACAAGCTATATGTCTTATCGCTCTGTGACAGTTTCACCGTCTGACAAGAGGCTGAGACCGCCCCTGTGAGGCAACAAGGCGTGCCGCAGCACCCAGGCGGCAGCCACAGGCGTGGTGTGCCGGCGATGGAGGCGGTGCGCGATGCTGATCTGGGCACACGGTATGGAGTATTTCCGTCCTCGACCCGCCTTCGCTTTCCTCGCAATACGCCATAGGGGGATCTCTGCAAAGGTTCCACTGTCTTGTGTTCGATAACAACTGCCCTCCCGTGTGAAATGTTCCTAAAATAAATCCAGAGGTGTTGAGGTGCAAGGTTGGGGGCGGACACGTGCATGAAGTATTGGGGGCCGGGGGGCGGTGCATGTCTGAGCCTCCGCCGTCGAACACCACCGTCTCTTTCGCAAACATTCTCTTGACAATACAATAATAACGGCGCATGTATGCTCGACGCTCGCTCAATATGCAATCGCAAGGGTGTTAAAATAAAATAACGGCCAATGCTGCCAGCTTTTTCGCCTAGCGAACTGTATGCTCATGCGGTAGTGAGGCTGAACGGTATTTTGCAACCAGAAAAATTACAATCAGGTACCGTGAAAGCGCCGGCAGAATGCACAGAAACGAAATGCTGAATGACCGCTCTACCCCAGCATCGAAGGAAGGCCTGCTTACTCCAAAGCTCATGCACCATCTATCTCTTACTCATTCCACGTCTTTCGTCACCAGGCCCAATTCTCTTCTCTTAGCCTCCTCTTTAGTCCTTCCGGCCTTTCCCAAGACTTCCATTAGTGGCACCATTCGATATGCTGGACTTCTCCGAGACGGACGATTTTGAGGGTATCGTCAGGCAGTTAATGCCCAAGTATTCGCAGATCCTGCCGATAACTAGGATTGCCCAGTTCGCGTACACTATGGCGGCGAAGATGAAGTAGCACCAGAGGTACACATGCTCAGTTTGGGCAGAGATCGGAGAAAAGAGATCTCCAATAATCGGGAAGTACGGGAAGTTCACGGCCACTCCCGCAATCACCAAAGGTGTCAACATGACTGTGTACATCGGGAAAGGCTGATGCGTCAAGTGAGCGAGAATAATTTTTGTCGTCATCCGGCCGAAGACGAGAGACATGGTCAAGCAGAACAGGACCAGGTGATTGTCTGTGAGGAGATTCGAGTGCGGCGACCCTAGCCATGCGGCAGTTGAGGCGACAAATATTGCCATTGGCGTCCATTCAACGAAGAGGGGGAGAATGGATAGGCCTTGGGCGCGTCGGGCTTTTGATACGTTGACGATGCAGGCTGGGAGATGCGCGATGAGGAAGCTGGAAATAAGAATTGGGACCCAGAGGTCTCGGAAGGTCGTTTGTCCAATGTGAGGCTCGAGGGATGGGAAATGGGCTACAAGCGGTGTCGACCACATCTCAGGGCCGTAGTACCCAGAAAGAATCATTATAGTACATGCAAGTATGAGACCCTCTGATGTGAATTAGTGCAACCGCTTTAGTATGGCAAATAGCAGCAGCCGATGCTCACCTGTTGGCCCATTGAAATATCCAAGGTAGAGGGTATGGGTGTGGTATGTCTCCCAAGTGGAGAAGAACATGGGGAGGCAGGGTATTAACGCCGTGAATGCGCCGGTCTTGGTGGGTCCGTAACCCATCGCGGCAGTCTCTAGGAGACTAGCAAGCGTGCAGTTGAGAGAATCAATACCATGACTTTGATCTGAGTTAGCGTCTTGTTTATAAATTGTGGATGACCGGGTCGAGGCATACTCGAATAGCTCCCCCAACCCACTCGACGTGCCGGTTCTACGTGCTTGTTTACCATCAACATTGTCCATTGTCGAGTACCTAGATGTCGTCCCGTTAGACTTGGCCAGAATATCGCGACCCAGGCTGCTTACATCCATAATCCAACGGCGAAGCTGTAATATAACCATGACGGACCCTGAAGCCGAGCAGATGTCAGTCGGTCGACGTGTCCACAGTCCCAGAGTGTATAATCTTACAGGTCCAACCAGGTCCGGCACGTAAATCGATAACAATGCTACATTCCCGAGTATGAAGAAGAAGCCAAGGAGGGTGACCATGTTCGGCGCGAGCCACAGCGGGAGGAGTTCGACGAAGCCATTCCACTGCGTGTCTCCGAGTCAGAAAGTGTTCGAGAGTGTAGGTTGTAGGGGTGTTTGTTCGTACGTAGTGCTTCAGGATGTACCGTGATATTAGAGACTTGTCGACACTGGAGTATTTGTACGTCTTGAGATGAGCGAGAGCTTCATCGGACACACATTCGTGCGCCGCTTTCTCTATGACACGATGCGTTAGCACTGAAACCCTGCGTCGGGTGTGGAAGCGTCCCATATGCGGACAACCGTGAAGGCGGTGTACGTACTGCTACTCGGCTTCATGTTGGGGGAGGTCGTCACAGGGAGCGGGAGAGACATGGGCCAGGTGTTTGTTGTAGACTTCGCGGGGTGAAATTTGCTATGACGATACAGTCAGGGCCATATCAAGGCGGCATAAGACACAAAGGCAGGTGTTTGTTGAGGTTGGAGAGTGGTGGAACGTCTAGTTTGGCAGCGGCGCAGTAAAGATATTCCATAATCTCGCGATCGGCTGCGCCGGACCAGGGACTACGTACTTGTGCAAACAAGATCCACGGGTCGGCTGAGGGCATCAACGACTCGCGCCTGAGCACCTTACACAATGGCAAACGTACAGCACCCCGGCGTCAATTGAGGCACAGAATGACCGTGAAGGATTGCCATAGAAGTTTATCCCGAGCCTTCAACATGACTCGCGACCCACTAAATCGATGATGGAGACACGACTCGGGCGCATTTTTGGTACTGGACCCTTTCACGTGCTTGCAGTCATACAAAATACCTATTCGGAATGGTACTTTCTTATACCTGACACGCCATTTTGTATTCGAGACCTTATTTCATCAAACTTGCTTGCGTAATGGCGTTTTAAATTATCGTCGGGATCTCGACACTGTTACAAAAAATCGATTAAGATGAGTGTTTGTCACTTTAAATGACCAATAAAATCGCTACGCCGTCTTAGGGAGTAGTATCTGTACAGTTGTCGGAGAAGGTCCGAACTCGAGTGGCATGATACCTATTCCGTCTGACTTCGGAAGACACACGGAAGCCCCCCAAAAGCCCCCTCACATGGGGTCAGAAGAGTATACACAGATCGGTCACGGCGCACTACGCGTCATCTTAAAGTTCAAAAAGGTCCAAAGCTTCTTCCGTCATATAGACAGACATGCAATCATCCTAGTATCCCGGTGGCCGTCCTGTATGAATATAATCCCTAACAGCAACTCAATCCGCCGTCCCAATGCCATGCATTACCAGTTTCCCATTACCATATTCCAATTGTTTGATCAAAGGCCGTCAAATGAGCGTCGATTTACAGTGAAAATATGAAACCAACCGAACTACTACTTCTTCGTGGTAGTCTTCGCAGTCTTAGTTGTCTTCTTTTCATCATTCTTTGTCGTCGTAGTAGCCTTAGTGGTTACCCTTGCGGCCGTTGTTGTGCTCGCTTGTGCGGTGGTAGACTTAATAGATTTAACGCTGGTCTGGAGGGTAGAGGGCACTGCCGAGCTGTGGTTGTCCCAGTATGACACGAGGGCTTCCTCGACTTTGTCAATATCCTTGTACGCATCAATGAGGTACAACTCGTTGATTCGGTCTTGAATATGTTCCTCCTCGAAAGCGCCGTCCGTGATATCCGTAGAGCGGGATCGCTGCTCCATGGGGTCGATAAAGTGGGTGGTCTCAGGGTACCCGAAGTCCGCCAGCACGCTAACGTTGAAGGCGGCCATCATGTCGTGGTCTTCGTGAATCAAGTTGTGGCAATGGAACATGTACACGCCGTCCCAGGGAGCATAGCGAGCGATGACTCGAACAGGGATACGGTTCTCAACTTCGGAAAACGTCACACCATTGATCTGCCATTCGCCATTCGAGCGCTCAAAACGGGAGTTCCTGTCAACTCCGCTCTTTAGGGGGGGGAAAGGAACTTCTCTGAGAGGCGATGGAACGTTTCCGTTTCCTTGTTGGCTTGTAACCGTATTTCCAACAACGAATTTCATGACCTTGTCGGTGCTGTTGTAGTCTTCATCGGCCTGTACTTTGCGGTTGTTTCTTAGCGTGATGTTCTTGCCTGCGAACTGGGTAAAGTCGAAGACCATTTCCCAACGCTCGGCCATCGAGATATGAAGGAGATCCGACGTGATTGGCTTGCTCAATAAGCCAGCATCGGAGCCGATCATTTGGAATGGAATCTTTGTTCCCAATGCACCATCAGCTTCAACCCATAGCTGGAATGCACGGCTGATGGATGTGTCGAGAAATCAGAATCGGTACTTGCGTGGTTCTACCTTGAAGTAGGGCCATGGCTGACCATTGACATGGATCACATCGCCGTACAGACTGAGAGTTTCTGAGGTAGGGCTGAACAAGGTACCGTCGCTGTTATACTGTTTGGCTGCAAGAGCTAGTGCGATGTCGTAATTCCCGGCAGGTAGGCCCAAGGAATCTTCGGCGGGGTCGTGGAGAATGTAGAATCTGGCTTGGCCGAAGTAAGCATTTTCGGCAGTGTGGTGGACAGCGTGATCCTAGGCAGCGTTAAGGAGCGTTGCGTCATACAAAAGCCAAATAACACATACATGGTACCATAGATTGCGGGCGTTCTGCTTGTTTGGGTAGTCTGCAGGGAGCAAATCGGATCAGCCTCTGGATGCCAGTAACAGCTCGAACCTTTAGATTGGCGAACTCGCAATAATCCTTATACTGCCCCTTCTGCGTGGTGTCTTCTGCCCAGCCGTCGAATGGTGCTCGGCCTGTAGATTATGAGCACAAGAAGGTATATCAGGACGAGTCAGACACTTACTGTAACTCCCATGTAAATGAACTGAGTTGGCCAAGTCTCCGTGGTTGATGAATCTCACAACAGCCTCCCTTCCGCGCTCCATGTGGAATGTAGGACCTGGTGAGATTCCATCCTATCCGATGAGTTTGGCCTTTTGTAAGCCGAGATAAACTTGTTGCTCTAACGGTTTGATGTCGACTTCATAGTAGTCAATGACCGCGCCGGTAGTTTGATTCACATATAATCTACAGGCATGAATAGCTGCATTTACGAGTTGAGGAGATGATTCTTACGTCTTTGGCGTCTTAACTGGAGGAAGCGGGAGTGAGTACTGGTAGAAAGCTTTGTACACAGGACTCAGCCACTGGTCATCGCCTGCGAAAGAAGTTCCTGCAAGAACTGCCGCAAGAGCAAGACACCGGAGGCTTGTCATGACCGATGAAGGAAGAGATGTGTCCACGGCGTGCACGTTTTGGGGTAATACGAAGCAAAGCTTCTTTGAAAGCCACTGATCGAGGTGCTGAGCGAGTCCTGAGCAAAGGCCGAACTGCTATATATCTCTCAAACTCCCTCTGCCAGCTCAAGAGCCAGCGCACCTCGTATCGAGAGGCTGATGCCCAACAGAGCCTTCTCTCCGAGCCGAAAGTGCTCGAGTGTGTCCTTCATGGGATCCACTTCGACTCTGCATACGCGAGGTCTTGGGACGCATTTTCGAGACTTCATGGGCTTCCAGACTTTCCCTTTCCAAATTCCGGCGCTATGGTGGGAGGCGCTGAGCCCGTATACGGCCTTGGAGTGAAGCCTTCGGCACGATATTCATGGCTTGCGGCCAAGAGGGGCAAAATTCCGATCTGAGCTTCGCGGACTAGCCGCGTAGGATCGAGTGGCTTATAGGTAGCTCGTGCTGCATGCACACTGATAGCGAGTTGGCCCCAGTTGTATTTTTAAGGCTTCGTTGGTAGACACAAAGCAGCGTAATTAGCACTTTGACACGCATCTTTGCAGATAGATGGACACAGCTTAAATTAGCTTCAAGGAGAGATAGAAAGACGGCCATGGAGGTTTATCTTTTGACAGAATCTAAATAGGAAAGACAGACATAGAAACCTAATGAAGCAAAGGAAAGCAAGGGCATTGACGGTTGGTCAATGAAGGGTGAGCCATTATCAAGAACGCACAGAACCAAAGCAGTGGCGTACGCCACAAGTAGCGTATTCAAGCGGTCAGCCCCGGCCCTGAACCAAAGGCGAGGAGGGCGGAAGAGGTGACAGCTGGCTAGAAAACATCGATCGTGGTAGCCTGGCTAGAGTGTGATCAGTCCTGCGATCATGGCATAGAGGATTGCTAATGTGGAAGTTAGTCGACTCCTCGATCCTCCCATGCCACACAACCAAGCCTCGTCTTCGTCTTGGATGGGGACACGGAGCTGGAGATGCAGGTGGTTGGGTGGAGGGCGGCGGAAAGGTGGAGGAGAGAGCCCGTGCCAAGAAGACCAAGATTCATTATCCGCCACGCCAAGAGACAAGATATTTCCAAGGTTTCAACCACCATCAGCGCCAGGAGAGGCTTGCATTCCCACCCTTTCGGTTGGACCACGTTAGACCATGGCCTGGTGACCGCGTAGGAAGCAACCTGATCCCTGACCTCCAGCTTGACACGGGAGAGCTAATTGCGGCACAGATCGAGTATCTAGACCGAGCCTGGGTCGAGATCGATCGACCACTACGGAACCTGTAGAGTTTCCAGTTCGCCTTGTATTATCGTGCAACTCGGAGTCCCTCCGAAGCGTTGGGCACTGGGAGTGAGCCTCGCGTGCTCACCTTGCCACATCTGAGCAGTGGAACCTCAGGTCCTCGTGTCTGACTCTGTGCTCGAGCACTATTCCAACGGATGACCCAAACCGCGCTCCCTCACGGATTCCCCAGCATTTGGCCCCCTGGCCTTGTCAGTCCTCTGGGTTAGTTACACAAAAGCATTGAGACCAACATTGTGTACTGCATACGTGTCAGGCGTCATCCATACCATGTACGAGTCTATTGCGGCAACAAAAGTAGCTTCGCGCTCGACCATCTAAAGCTCATGCGGTAGCACTTCAGCCAGCTTCTTGCATACTCTGCCAGTATCTAGTGATGGCAGATAGGTGAGAGGAAGTTCGAACATCTCACTCATCGTGCCATTCCTGTTTGGGGATATCCAATCACAGTCACGCAATCTTTGCTGAGAGGCCACAGCAATCGTTTCTCAGGCCACAGCAATCGTTTCTCAGGCCGCAGGATCTGCTCTGCCGTCGGCTCAAAATAGAACTTCTCCTTATTTCGGTCTACCGTATTGCGGTTTCTTCAGCCTCCCACACCACTGCAATCCTTCGCACATGGACTTCAAGAGCATCCCGGCAAGTGCAAAGACTTGGATTCCACTCGCTGGGAAGTCCCTTCTTCTGTTGTCTCCAGACTGTCAGACCTGTGACTTCGAACATCAGCGATGGGCGACACCGCGCCCAAGCCATATCATGCACAATCTATCGGAGAATTGCATGTGGAGGCCAATAATGGGCACGGTCCCAGCGACCAGCCACTCTGGTCTTGCGGTTATCCGAGATGTAAGCTTAGAACACCCCAGATGGGCCTCTTTCGTTCCAGGGGGGCGGGCGCCAAAACCCTCCAGCTGAGGCATGATCTGATAGGCATCAAAACACTCCACTATGACCTTCTAAACATAATTCGTTGTGACAGATTACGGAAGCGCTCACTTGACACTGCAGCCCTCTGCTCAAGTCACAATCGCGCCAGGACTCCGCCAAGGAATTGAGAGAGATTATCCCGAATCCTAGGGTCTCGAGACTTCTCAGAATCGCTTCGAAAAAAGTTGCGATTTTCTTCGAGAAAGTCCTCTCTGATACCTTCCTACCGATGCCAGGATCTTCATATTCCTCTCGAATATGAATCATTGAACTCCCTACGCGCATATCTTCAAACCTTTCGTTGCAAAGGAACGCAATCATCCCCTCGGAATCTCCATCGGTGCAATGCCTCGTCATAGGTTTCTGTATACTTTTCCGTCACTGGATGCGGTACCGAGTTCTCAAAGTACATTTCCCCGATCTCGTTCAGAGGTCCGAACATGCATTGAAGCCCTCTTGATATCATCAAAAGAACCTACAGCCCTTTTTAGAAGAATCTAATACTCTTGTATCTCATATTTCTATCTCTCGTGCTCCTTAGCCCACCCTCGTCAATTGCAAGTCCCCATATCTTTAGAAGAGATGTTCGGAGCACAACTGCCTTGATGCGCACTTTCAGCTCCAAATCGGACTCGCTTTTTCCGTGGGATGGGGGCGGGACGGGCCCTCGATCTCAGGAGGGTTGGAGAATGATGTTGGCAAGTGACTATTAAACACAGCAATTGGTCGGTTGGGCCTTTTACCTTTGTTTTTTAAGAGATTCAAGGAACGAAGATTCCTCCCGAAACGGTGTCCACGGAAAATGATTACCTCTTGTAGAAGAACGCGCATAAGTACAAGCTTAGCCGCGAGGAAGCTGCAGATGACCTCCATGATGCCATGACGGTGCAGAGCTGGCAGAGGCGATTCTGAACATACTAGTATCTTGGTGGTCTTGGATATATATCGTATACACCACGATCTCCACTAAATAGATTAATATTGCGGCTCACCATACGTTTTATACGAGTAAGTACAAAGGTATGCTCGCATGAACCCGCACCGTCCATCCCATCCCAATCCGGCTCCCGCAGCATGGTTTTAGCGAACACTAACGGACGGCCCCGCACCCACCTGCAGTGGAGGACGGACCCATCAACCAGGCACCAGTCCAAAACCCTATTTCCAGCATCCTTGCCCTCCCTCATCCCAACCCTCACATGCTGCCTCACAATCTCTCCTCCTCTTCTAAAGCAATATGAAAGCTCGCTTCTGGGATGGATCCGAAGACCCCTGCCCCCACGACGAGCGCGGCAGACCACCCTACGTGACGCTCCGCGCACCAGACCGCTCTGCTACTTCTCCTTCACCGAAGGTGCCGGCGAAAGTGCCGCCTGGGAGCGCGACGTGGTATCTCTCGCATTCGACGCATGAGCGCTGGAGGGGAAAGCGGAATGTGCGGCTGCGGTGGGTGAAAGCGGAGGAAGGCGATGAGCAGGGCAGCATGGAGCTAGAGTGGTCGTGGCAAGAGATGGACCGAGACGAGGTACAGCGAGTGCGCGTAGCCGCTGCTGCTAGCGAGCATCGCTATGTCGTGCTTGGGACGGGGAAGGAGGGGACTTTGGAGGGTTGGATGATTGAGACGGAGTATGGGATTGAGGATTCTTCGGGTGAGTGATGCTTTCATTAGTAGTAAGGAGAACTCTAGAAGGGGTACTGGGTCTGACGTTGAGACGTGAAGGCGAAGTCCGTGGCGATTGGCGTTCTAGTTGGCTTGTGTTGTTCGCCCCCGCGACTGGACTCGAGTCGGCTGGTGTGGATGTCCTCACGACGAGGCTGAGGATTGAGAAGGAGACGAGGAGAATGTATGTGGCGAAGGCTTCGACTGTAGAGCAGATCAAGGATGCGTTTCTTGGGATGGATACAGACATTCCCAAGGATCTTCTAAGTGATTTGTTTGAGGTTAAGGTTGACGATGAGAGAGATCAAGATGAGTTGCCGAAATTGAGCCCCAAAGAGCAAGGGATCTGGAGTCCGGGAGATGACATCGATGAGACTAAAATCAATGAGCCTAAAAGTGATTGCTGGAAGTGCGTTGTTCAGTAAGCTGTATTGATGGATCTACGAGGAACTGAGATTCATAGTAGATGTGATATAAAGATTCTGATATGTACAAAAGCAGAAAAGTATATACAGGAAAAAGATGAAACGATTGGGATGATACACGACTTGTCAAATTCCTCCTCAAGACATGCCATATCGAGAGTAAGTATGTACAAAGCGAATGTAAGAAAGAGACTTCCGTACTATTTTACAAAACGTTCCGTCGTTCCCGCGTAAAGAACGACATTCACAAGAGCGAGTGACTAGAAAGACTGAAAGAGCGAAATATGCAAGAAATGATTGTAGTAGACGCAAAACGCGAAAGTGCTAGGAGACCGACCACTTCGTCGCAGCACATCTGAGAGCCTGCAATTCTCTCTTCTTTAACCGGCATATCCGCCGACGTAAATTGTCAAGAGTTGAGGATTCGCATCCGACACAACACCAGCCGCATTCTCTCCGGAAGGGTTGACATCGTCGTATGAGAAAGCGTAGCCCTTGTTGTCGGTCTCGTACTTATGCACATACTGACTATAACGATGGGTCGGCGCAGTAGTATAGTAACTACTACTATCCAGGGACGGCTGCACATCACCACCTGAAAGCAGCAACGTCGTGCGAGCAAAGGCAGCACACAACCGCGGCGCCACAGCATAATGGATTGCATTATCGTTGGCACGGTCGATATAAAAGGTCCCGCTATTGCACCCAAAGATATCCTGAGGAACGGGCTTCGCGTAGCTGCGATTATCGCCAGCGCAATTCAACACATCGCCCGACGTCCTGCAAGCGACATCGCCGGAAGTGGACTGAGTGTTGATGGTCAGGTCCTTGGTGGAGTACGTGCTCCAGACGGTGTTGATGTGGTCTGTGAAGTAACTGGAGAACGCATCCGGAGCCAAGTCAAGGTACTTTGTGGGCGCAAGGACACGCAGTAGCTTGCCGTTGCTGTCTTTCATGCAGAGCTGGTCCCAAGGCTGGCCGTCCTGTCCAGCTACTGTGGTCAGGTCGTTGCAGATCGAAGACGCCGCACCGGCTTGAAGGCCTTTGACGGTTTGGACGCTGCCATCTCCGGCGATCATTGACATTGACAGCACGAGGCCAACGAAGTCGACGTAGCTAATGTTGGCGTAGAGGCCGCCATCGTTGTTTGTGAGCTCGACGAAGCCCCAGTTGACGCCGGCGTTGGGATCTGAGGGGTTGTTTGCAGCAGGTTCAACGAGGCCGGCGCCGCCGTTGCTGTCTATTGAGACGACGAAGAACTGAAGATTTCCCTCAGCGAAGTACACTCGAGCGGAGGAGATGTAGCCAGGTAGTTGAATATTGGTCGTAGTTCCTTTGGCACCGAGAGGAATATTCACGTTGCCGGTGATGGCGATTGGCGTTGTGGAACCCTGTGGATTTGGATAGTACCAGGTTCCGTCGGCCTGAAGCATCACAATGTTGTTATCCACATCTCGCCCCGTGACATAGGCACTTATCTGGGCTCCGTCGAAGTTGTTGACGAGAGCGAATGAAAGTTTCTCGGTGGCTTGGATACGAGGCACAGAGACCGTCCCGTTGTGACTTGGATGAACAGTGCCGTTGACGGTGTTATCCGCAGTAATTATAATGTCATCGACGGTACCTGGTGTTACGACGATCCCGGTGGATCTAGATAATAGTCTGCCGGAGATAGGTGCTGCCAGAGCTTGTCCAATAAGGCTGGCAGCAGTAGCAATTGCTAGAGCAGCGAAAGCCCGCATTTCGAAATATGTAAAGGAATGGCTGGACTCTCAATTGAATGGAGAAGACGTAAAATATTTGATGGTAATGATTGACTAGAGCCCCAAAGGACCAAATGAATGGGTTTCAAATAAGGACAGCGATAGAAAAGCGGCAAATGAGTGGCCGGAAAGAGAAGAAAAGACGGTGGAGAAGGAATGACACTTCAAAAGATGATGGAAGAATACAGTTGGGGTATAACGCTACTTATATTCAATGGTACTTTGAGACAGCCCGCGGCAGCTACTTCTGCCTACATCCACACCAGGGCGGCATAGAGCTCTGGTTACATCGAACCCGATCAAGGATCAGTATTGTGGCTTGGTAAATTTGTAGGGGGTGTCGGAAGACTGACTAGGGTAAGACGTAATGGACAAACTGAAGGAAGGTAACGTTCTATTCGGAGCTCGCGCAGAATCGAACACTGGCGAAGGCGCGAGCTGGGGTAGCCCGGCGAAACTGTTTTCATGGGCCAAAATGATATGGTTGCGCCTTTTCCTATTTCTCAATGTCTTCTAACGTGCTCTAAGTAGTGACCGATGAGCGGATATACTTTTGATGAAGTCATTTGCAGCTCGTCGCACACCGTGTTCTCTTTCTTGTGAAATCCGGAGCCTACAGCGTCAAGGCGCATCCGGTGAGCTAGCGCAGATTTGAAGCCACGGATGTAATAGGTAGGATTAGAACGGAGGAAGCCCTTTTCTGGACTAATTCTTACCAAAGCTGATTTATAACTGTTAAAAAGCAAGGTACCAAGAAGCGTTACTTTCCGGATTATCCCACTTCTGCGGCTGACTTTCGTGGCTTGCTTTCCGCGCTCGTTCCCCGGATGCGCCTACATGCTGTAGTATAAGACGTCAACCAAAGCAGTGCTATGTTTTCTGATCGCAATGGGCGGATGAAGGGTGCAAGAAAGACATGGGGGCTAGTTTAGTGGGCCACATGTTCGGTGATAGGGACAGGGCCTCGAAAGGATGCTTGGTCTCCAACTCTAGAGAAGGCTGTGTTGGAGGAGGGAGAATGCGCGAAGGATTCGGTGCGTTCCATCTGCTTGATTAAGAGACAACCACGAAATAGTACGACATGATACGCACGCCACCGCCTACTAGTCCTCGACCTGGAGATGTAGCGGGCAGGGTGAGAGTAATCGGAAGGTGGCTGTTGTACTCCAGGGGTATAAATGAAAGAGATATAGTCATCGGTTTGGTGCTAGGCTGACCTGGTTCCCTATTAGAAAAACATCCGATCGCTCTCATGATGCTGCTAGCACACCAATGGTCGGTAAGTGCGCAGTGCGTGCTAGATGGAGCATCGGTACCTACATCTGCCGGGAGATGACCCTGATCGACAGCTAGCATTGGATGCGTTCCTCGGCATTCGAAAGACCCTGAAAGAAGAGCTGTCTTGTGGGCCCCAAATCCCATAACTGTAACCGTTCGTGGGCGTTGTGATCTATTCTTACGAGCGTGATCAGAAAGCGATAAAACATTCTCTCCTAATTGAACTCAGTAAATGCAATTGAGGGTTCATACTGTATTGGGCAGCAATGTGCAATTCCACGTCGTGGTCCTGCACACCTATCCATGGATGGTTTGAAAATGAGGGGAGACCTTAAACGGAGAGAAAATATCTGCCTTCCTTCGTAACTCTAGCCGTGCAGGGATGAGCATCCAACGAATTAATTGCCGGCACCTCGCTGGCGATTTTTACTTGTATTGGTTAGCAAAACCTGGAAACTGCTTTGTTTCGACAGCAGAGCAGAGGGAAGTATGCCTGACTATTATCGAGACAGGTTAGCCTCATCCAGATCGTCGACCATCGTAGATATTGAAGTCACCCCTGGGGTACTACGCCACGCTGTCAGGGTACAGGGTCCAGGTCCTATGATGCCTGTTCGTAAGCTTGTGAATGCTTACCTGCCACCCGTATGAAGGAGTTCGATACAGTTTCGAGATCCGGTCGGTGTGTGTGATAATCCCCTTGAAAAGATGGAGCACGCGCTTATTAATCTCACGGGTTTGCCTATACCGAGACCTATTCTCGAGCCATTTTCGGACTACTCTACAGCGAGCCGCAGTTAGCTTAGGAGTGAAAAAGGATGCAAGCGGCCGTTGCTGAATCTTTGTGAGAATGCTCAAAGAACTGTAGCTTGTTGCTATACAAGTTTGGTATTATCACATGTCCACAATATGAGGCTAGGTGCTCAGCTTCATTTGGAACAAACCGACTAACGGGCAACCATGGACACTCCGAGCCGCCAAGCTACTAGGGGCAACTTGACGTTTTCTGAGTTGAGGTTCTATTGAATGCGGCTATTGGCCATAGTCAACTTCTTGGTTCTGATACTCATTCGATAGCAGATTACGAGACACAGAACTGTGTGTCGTAAACATTCGGATTGATCGCCGATAGTGCCTGAGAGTATAAATGACGAGGTTTCCTAAATGAGCAATTTTGGAGTGAGAAAATGGGGAGAACTTTAGTAGTCTGACAGTGGCTGCTTTGCACGCATTTCATAGTTTTTGCGGCATGGCCTGACCCAAGAGATACTGCGGAATCCCGTCTCATACTCCTTCCACGGAGATCCTTGGCGAAGTGGAGGGCAAATGGTAAGCCATGTGACACATGACCGGGCTTTCGGGACGCGGAAAGGACCCGATTGCTTTTGGTCAGCAGAGTGTGGTAATCGCGGAGCTATAAGCAGATAGCGTCAGTTGGGGCATTAGTGGACTTACTCATGGGCGCTTGAGGAGGAAAGGCAACGAATAGCTGCTGTTTGGACCTCGTAATGCATGCGAACAGGCCAATGATTGTAGCTCCACCTTTTTGCTTGAATGGTACCTAGAACAGTGTCATGCGCTCAATTTCACGATCATGGAGAATTGTGGCAGTCGTATCGGACGAATGTAGTTCTGCTCGCACTCACTAATATTTGCCTCCCCACCGACTTCTTACCAACGAGCATGTCTTTCTTCAATGTGAACGCCGTAAGTGAGCACCACGTGACAAATGAAAGATGCCGTCAGAAGTGCATTGAATCATAGAGAAATTAGGTTGAGACAGCAAACCCCGTCCCGCCTCCGTCTAACGCATAAACCGATTGAAAGAAAGCAGGAATAAACAATGCAAGCAAAGGAGCTATGGAGTAGCCAAAGCACTTCCATGTAGAGCAAGTTCAGTCTCCTTGAACTTACTCCTTTCTTCTCGTTGTTCGCCTTGGGCTGATGAGGTCCCATTTCTCCACCCAATGAAACTCTTTCGTTCATGTCTCGTCGTACGTCCCAGATCTTCGTAGCTTGTCACTCTCTTTTCGCTACGGCGCTTATTGAGATGCGCATTGTACACGCTCGGCTCCTGGGTGCATCTCGTCGTCATCATCATCCATGGCCATACCTCTGGCGCGTGCCTGTTCTCGAGTAGGATCGACGGAGTCCAAAGTGAAGTCCTCCGTCATCGCATCAGGAGGTGGCTGGATGTCGACCTTTCGGGGGGGTAGTATCCGCTCAAGAGCCTGCCTGGCCTCCTCGGTCATTGGGCCGTCGTCAGGACCGGTGATCTTTTCGGGGAACTTGACGTCGAATTGGATGTAGAGGTTTCCATGGTCATGGTGGCGGTAGGATGGCATACCCTGACCACGGATGACCTTAACTTCACCTGTTCGAGGTTAAATATGAATTTTCTTCAAACTGCAGAGTTTGGGATTACTTACCTGGGCTGATGACTTCACCCGGAGTGATCTCCACGGTCAGCCATCTCTCGTCGAGGTGCTCGATATGGATTGCGCCGCCAGCCAAAGCAGTCAAAAGGTCGATTTCAGCGTGGTAGAAGAGATCGTCATCCTTGCGTTGGAATCGAGCGTGTGGCTTCTGCTCAATCTCGAAGACCACATCTCCAGGCTCAACACCGGGGAGCTGGTCGCCCTCGCCACGGAACTCGATTTTAGTGCCAGGCTTAACGCCACGGTCAACATGAACGTGCAGAACCTTCCGCTCGATGGTAGTCTTCTTGCCGTTGCACTGCTTGCACCGGTCGCGATCGCGGATGATCTCGCCCTCGCCCTGGCAGTCTGGGCAGACGGTCTGGAAGCGTTGGATCATGGGACCCATCTGGCGCATCATGGTCTTCATGCCACGGCCGTCGCATCCGGTGCACTTCTTGACTGCTCCTTCTTTGCCACCACGGCCATCGCATTTGGGGCAGATGACCGACTTCTGCAGGGCGAGTTTCGAGATCTTGCCGCGGTAGATATCTTCGAGGGAGACTTTGTGAACGTGCGAAATCGTTCTCGCTTTCTTTGGGCCCGTCTCGCGCATACCGCCGCCAAACATGCCCCCGAAGGGTCCTCCACCCCCACCAAAGAATTGTGCGAAAAGGTCCTCAGCGGCCATGCCGCCACCTGCGCCACCCTGCTCAAGACCCTCCTCTCCATACTGATCGTAGAGACTCCTCCTCTGGGGATCCGATAGGACTTCGTACGCATGTGAAAGGTCCTTGAACTTATCGGCGGCATCTGGGTTGTGGGCATTCTTGTCTGCAAAGCGGCGGTTAGAGATCTGATGAGTGGACACTTTGGTTGTCTGGGCCCTTACCTGGATGGTGCTTCAGTGCGCCCTTCTTGTAGGCGGACTTCAGCTGGGCCTCTGTGCAGTCTGTGGGGACCTGCGAAGGTTAGCACTAGGTTCAAATTACTCAGAGAAAGTTGTCCATACCCCCAGAATATCGTAAAACTTTGTTTCCTTCACCATGATTGCGATCTGGAGCTTTTTCGGCTACTCGACGGTTGGATGAGGGGAAGTGGCGGGGAGAAGGCGAGGTGTGGACGGAGGTTGAAGCGTCTGCAAGGCTTCTATTCGCACTGGGCCTGTTGCAAAAGAGAGGTCAGTCAAGTGCGCTGGAGAGGAGGGGTCCGGTTAGCGAGTTATTTGGGGTTGTGAGCTCGCACAAGCATGCGCAAGCAGGCTGACGGAGGTTGAACTGACCTTGTCGAGGTACAAAGGCGATGCTCTTGTGGCGGCCGGACTGTGCTGGAAGTTCGAGGGCGGAAAAGCTAGGTGCAAAGCGACTCGGTTGGAGTGTTATTTGAAGTGCTGAGTTGTTGAAAAGTTGTGGGGGAATAATGGGAGCCGTAGATGTTGAAGGAGTGATCCACGGGTCGAATGCGGCGCCGAGCCAAGATTCCAATTCTTTCGATTGTCTTCCACAAGGCGCTGCAGCCTTGCACAACGTTAACGCACCGGCAAATGCCTCACGAGGAACGATGAGGTGAGCGAGGTGGCGAGGCAGAGCTTGCGACCACGAAATCACTGGCTGGAGGCGTGTAGGAGCGATGAGGAAGCAAATGGAGGCGTGTACACTTTGGTACGGCACAACTCACAGGCCCGACGTCCTGCATCCGCGCCAGCACAGCAAATCAGCGTGAGAGCTATTCAAAGAGCCCAGCCGCCTTATCCTCGCCGATTGGCGAGCGACGGCGAGGAACGGCGTGTCCGTAATAGAGCGCTAAATCCAGCCTGCTTCTAGGCGCTGCTGTCTCCCCACCACTGTCCTTCTATTTCCTTCTATCCGTCTTGATAATGGAGAGTGACATCGGCTTCACGGCAGCCCTGGAAGAGGCGAAGCAAGGCAGCCAGGAGGGTGGAGTTCCAATTGGAGCTGCCTTGGTCTCCGCCGACGGGAAGATTCTGGGTCGAGGCCATAATCAGCGCATTCAAAAGGGAAGCGCCACTCTCCATGTGAGTCGGGATAGTTTCACCGCAGGAGCTGCGCTGTTTTATTGGCCCTGACGTTTCTTGTACCAGGCGGAAATATCAGCGCTTGAAAATGCTGGAAGATTGCCGGCTGCAACGTATCGGGGTGCCACAATGTATACCACACTTTCGCCGTGTGACATGTGCACGGGGGCTTGTGTCATGTACCAAGTAAAACGAGTAGTTATCGGTATGTAGTCTTGGAAACCGATGTTCAGCCTGTTACTGTGCACAATAGGCTGAACGCTCCAGGCGAAAACAAAACATTCGTGGGCGGCGAAGACTACCTTAAGCAGAAAGGGGTTGAAGTGGTCATTCTGAAGAGCGACGAATGTCAGGAGTTGATGAAGAAGTTTATCAAGGAGAAGCCTGATGACTGGTTCGTTATGAACTATGCTCTATATAGACTAATATCTAATACATCTACTAGGAATGAAGACATAGGCGAGGAGCTATAGATCTAGCGCCCTTTTTATCTAATACAATCAAGGAGTTCTTTCATTGACGCTTTTGTTGATACACATCATGATGATCCAGCATACTTGTGGATTTCTTCAAAGAAGAACTTCAAATCCTCTGGCTTGACGAAAGGAGTGATGCCTGGGTCACGTTAGAAGAGGGCGCGACTTTCATAGAATGAAGAACTCACCATGCCCGAGATTAGCAATCCATCCCTGTTTGCCTCCCCCAAATCCTGTCACCATCTGCTTCACGACGCTCGTTATTGCTTCCCTGCCGCCATACAACACTCCTGGATCTGCGTTTCCCTGGAGCACCTTCCCTTTCGCTTGAGCGATCTTGTACGCCGCCGCCGGGTCCTGGAGCCAATCGAGACCGATCACGTTGTAGTTCGACTCGCAGAGGTCCTCCAGCGCATACCACGCGCCTTTAGCAAACACTGTCATAGGAACCGGCTCTTGGCCCAATTCTTTTAGCCGCGCAGGCAGGTGGTCGGCAATGTAGTTCAGGTATGGAAGTGAGAATGTTTTGAACGATGCTGGCGAAAGTTCTCCGGCCCACGAGTCAAATACCTGAATCATCTGTTCCGTGTCAGTACACCTGCCGTCCTCGAGGAAGCACATCACGCACCTGTGCTCCTGCAACTACTTGCAAAGCCAAGTACTCGACGCAAAGCTCGGCTATCTTTTGGAGAAGGGCCTGGCTTTCTTTGGGATACCTGAATACCCAAGTCTTGACCTGAATGAACATTTTGCTCCCGCCGCCTTCCACCATGTAGCTGAGCAACGTCCAAGGGGCACCGCAGAAGCCTATAAGGGGAACTCTGCCTCTTAGCTTCTGTCTTGTGAGTGTGATGGCCTTGTATACATAGTCAAGCGACTCCTTGACGTCGACCTTGCGCTCCATGACCTCTTTATATTGCTTGTCGTCGGGTGACTCTAATGGCTCCGGGAAATGCGGCCCTTTCTTGTCCACCATTATAACCTCCATGCCCATCGCTTGTGGAATGACTAGAATGTCCGAAAATATGATTGCTGCGTCGATGAGACCGGCGAAGCGTTCGATGGGTTGGAGAGTGAGGGTAGAGGCAATCTCAGGCGAGCGGCAGCATTCGAAGAAATCGTGCCCTCCTTTTGCTTCATGATACTCGGGGAGATACCGTCCAGCTGCAGAACCAGGTGAGCGAATGCATTCTTCGAGGTCTGTATTTCTTACCTTGACGCATAACCCACATAGGCGGACGTTCCACCCTCTCCCCTGCTCCATTGATTAGCTTGTGGCCATGGAAACATTGACGGGGGCGGTGGACTACCTCTTGCAGTCCTCAACAGCAGATCATTCTGCATCTCTTCGAATTGCGGTGCCATGGTGTCTTGCTGGTGGGGTGTCCAAACTCCGATTTCGATGACACCAGTTCCCCCGCGTCACACTAGTGTTCATTTCGAGTTAGACCAAGTCGAACCCCTGTATCTCGAAGAGCAACACCACACAGATATCTCCGTCCATCACGCCGTCACACAATCCGTCTGCTTCAGATGATGCTCATCGATAATGTTGCGCGCCGAAGCAGCACTAGAGCGTTGAGGTTGATTTCCTCTCGCACCATACATTCTAGTCGTCACCTATCCCAAAACTTCTCTTACTCCTTGCTTGCTTCGCGTCCTGCAACGCGTGCATACGAGCCATTGGCGAGATGCTATCCATCCATTTGTCGAAGGGGCGGAAAAACTAAATCTACAGTGCAATTTGACGACCTCTCTCTTGACGATTTACCTCAAGCCAGCATCACCGCAGGCCTGGAGAAGAGACCTGGAAAAGATGAAGTACCCGAATATCCAACCGTTGTCCAACAGGCGCGGAACAACATGCTCAGGTTTGGCCACTGCATTGTCCTTACCCGCGTTGGTGGCTTCTATGAGGTACTCACGAATCCGGCATCAATTTCGAAGATAGCTAATGATAGCTGAAGCTATTTTTCGACCATGCTGAAACTTACGGACCTCTTATGAACTTGAAAGTTTCAAAACGGAAAGGCAGCACTGTGCCCATGGTATGAGGATGCAAACCATTTACATTACCGAGCTAAACAACGTTCAGGCTGGATTTCCTGCCCATCAACTCGAGCGCTTTCTCAAGATTTTGGTACAAGATTTGAACAAGTCTGTCGCCGTCAGCGAAGAAATCCCCAATGATGCTTCGAAAAAAGTCAAATCTGGAGAGCTCAAGTTTGACCGCAAAGTTACTCGCATCATCACACCCGGAACGTTGATTGATGAGAGTTTCATGGACCCCTGGAAGAACAATTACCTACTCAGCATTCATGTTGACCATGAAGCCCTCAAGTCTCTCGATCCTGTCCAAGATACGCCTGGTATGGACAAAGTACCCTCAGTACTGAATCTGCCTCGAACAGAAGTGGGTCTGGCATGGGTTGACCTTTCAAGCGGGGACTTCCTTACGCAAAGTACGGATGTTGCCTCTCTACCATCGGCTGTTGCGCGAATCGGACCGCGTGAAATCATTCTGGACAGCAGCTTCAAAGACCAACGGGAATCACGCATTGTTTCCATGCTTCAAGAGGATGGTTATGTCATCACTTATCAAGAGCCTCTAGGGCAAAAGCTCGCGCTTGCAGACTGGATTCCGATGCTCGAAGATGTGATAGAGGACTTTGATACGACGAATTTCAGCCCGGCAGAAGTGGCTGCTGGTGGATCTCTCCTACATTATGTTAATACGCAGCTACAAGGCTCGAAGGCGAGGTTGCAAGCTCCAATCAGCCACCAGCCTGAGAATTTCATGAGTATCGACAGGAATAGCTTGAGAGCTTTGGAGATTCGAACGACGATGAGAGATGGACGACAGGAAGGCAGCTTGCTTCACACACTTAGGAAGACTGTGACGAAAAGCGGCACTCGCCTTCTGATCGAACGACTTAGTAAGTTTATCTCCTTCCTTTTGGGAAGGACAAGATTGAAAGAAAATACTGACTGCTCCTAGCTGAGCCTTCGATGTCTTTACCTGTCATCAATGATCGACTAGATCTAGTCGAAGAGATGCTAGAATACCCACAACTCCAGCAAGATCTCGTCATCCAACTCCGCCGTACTTTCGACACTCTCAGGCTGGTTCAAAAGTTCTCGTTCGGCCGAGGTGATGCAGATGACCTTGTTGAGCTATCAAAAACGATTTTTAGGACTACGGACATCGCTAATCTGGTGGCGGAGCATTCGTCATCCCGTAACGCTATATCATTGGACGCTGAAGCAACCGAAGCTGATACACGCCGCCGAGGATGTCTTTCTTCGCTGTCTAACCGGTTTGATCTGGTGTCTCCAATGAAGCTTGCATCCCGGATCTTGGAAGCTATCGACGAAGACGGGTTGTCCGAGCGACACAGGCTTGAAGATGACGAAAAGAGCGCAATAGCTGAGATGGCTCAAGACGTGCTCGGCCAAGAAGCCGGAGAGGAAGACTTGAAGCAAATGCCGAAGAAAATCCGACCAAAATCTAATGCCATAGCACCTAGCTTCAAAAGCGCAACTGACGGTAGAGATGACATCTGGATCATGAGACGAAGGTATGACCGTTCATATCATTTAAACGTCCGCAGTGACTAACCTCATGTAGCGCTAGTAAAAACCTGACCAAGTTACATGACGCTCTAGATCATCTCACTGGACAAAAGACAGAGCTTGAGTCCAACCTCAAGAAGAGGCTAGGTAGAAACTCCTCGTTCAACGATTCGACCAAAACTAATTTTCATAAGGTGCCGAAAGTCTAACGCTGAAATGGACCCCAAACCTCGGCCATATTTGTCATGTCAAGGGGAAGGATGTCGCACGTGCCGCGACTCAACTCACGAAGAGTGTCAGCAGCACCAAATCAACACGATCGTTCCACCTTCTCGAATGGACGCACTTAGGAACGCAACTTGACGAGACAAGGTTTCGGATTCGATCAGAGGAGACTAGGGCACTAGGAGACCTTCGCGCGGAGGTGGTTCAGAACCTCGTGAAGTTGAGACGAAACGCTGCAGTGCTGGACGAGCTTGATGTCGCTTGCTCTTTTGCAGTGCTGGCTCTGGAGAAGAGTCTCGTTCGACCCATTTTGAATTCGGGGTAAATTGAATCGTATTTGCGTTTTGTTAATACTACAACTAACAGGCGGCAGTACGACACATAATATAGTTGGTGGAAGGCATCCAGTTGTTGAGGCTGGCCTTGGAGACCAAGGTCGTAATTTTACCTCCAACGACTGTGCAGTAGGAGAAGATGAACGTATTTGGCTGATCACAGGGTGAGTCTAAACTTCTACAGCACCTAATAGATCCGAGTACACTTCTCTGCCACCGCTTGTGGTGCTTCGTAGTATTTTCAGGATCCTGAACGGGAGGGAAGTTTGGCATTTTGAGCAACTGGTAAACTCGTGATTCCACCCCAGGCAGTATCAGAAGGGTGTACACAAATAGAAGTTTGCTCCGTTGCACCAGAGAGCTAATCCGGTGCTCTAGGCCCAACATGGCCGGTAAAAGTACATTCCTTCGCCAGAATGCCCTCATATCGATCTTGGCCCAGACGGGATCCTTTGTCCCCGCGGAGTATGCAGAAATTGGATTGGTGGACAAGGTGTTCAGCAGAGTTGGCTCCGCAGACAACCTCTATCAAGACCAGTCAACCTTTATGGTGGAGATGCTTGAGACTGCTCAAATTCTCAAGCAGGCTACACCACGGTCCTTCGTAAGTCCGCTTTCCAGAGCCATATGAGAAAGCTCCTCACTTTGTCAGGTCATCATGGACGAGGTCGGTCGCGGCACCACTCCTGAAGACGGCGTAGCAGTTGGCTACGCCTGTCTACATCATCTTCACAACGTGAATCAGTGCCGTGCGTTATTCGCGACCCATTTCCATGCGCTCGCCGATATGACTAAGGATTTCGAGTCGCTTGGTTGCTACAGCACGGACGTTGCCGAGGAACCTGATGGGACTTTCTCATATGTTCACAGACTTCGGAAAGGCGTCAACAGGCGGTCTCATGCCTTGAAAGTAGCAAGGGTAGCCGGTATGTTCTCTCCTCTCACGGCGACGCGACTTCTCTAACGAAAGCATGGTCAGGACTCCCGGAAGAGGCAATTGAGATCGCCGCCAGAGTGTTATCCCAATCGATGCCGGCTCATCCTTCCACGACACGCTAGAGCAAGCGCAATGTAAACACACTAGGACTTTATTTCTGAAAATCCGCACCCTTACTTTCTCCTTCCCTTCATCCCATTTTTCCACAGCTTAGCAAAACCGGCCTGTCTCATTACCACGACCTATCTCTTCACCGCGACCTGTCTCTTTGCAACGACCACGTAACACTTCGAAGCACCTCAAACGCCGGCAAGAGAGCGTACACAAGCTACTCGACTCGCCCCGCCAGCATAGGCATTCGTCAAATGGACCCTACCGTACTCCTTGGCTTCATTGTGTTCTCTTTGTTTGGCATCATAGCCGCGGTCCTACCCGCTGCCTGCCCAGGCCGTCGCGGTGGTCGTCGCAGTGGTCGTCCGTGGTTTATCATCTTTAACAGACATTTTCGTCGTTAATAGAGATTGTCCCCACGCTGCTGACCCCTCCATCGCTCATTCATCATCACGGTCGGCAGCATAATCGATCGACTTACCTCTCATCTCTACACATTTTCACAACCGGTAAACACGTCGAAGCACCTCCAAGAGCGGCAAAAACGTGTACACAAGCCTTCAACCGGTCCCTTCTTACGCATCTAATCCCATTTCATGATGTACAGCTGGTAATCGCACACGTGGAGCGTCACCGCCTTCGACTCGCTTTGGGGCCTTGTTTACTTCCTTTGGCTCCTCGTCCGCCTGGCAGTCTGCTGTTTCCTAAGCTGGTTTTCTGGTCTAATTTTCGATTCATTCAAATTGGCCTCATTGGATGGTAATCTTGCCGCCTCATTACCACCGTCAGACTGGCCTAAACTCCGTTAGACAATCCTGGACTGACAGCAATTGGCAGATAGCTCGGACACCTTGAGGGCGCTCCTCCATCCGCAAACCAGCCTACCACGTGTCAGAATCAATCCCTTACCACGACCTTCTTTCGTCGACGCCGCAAACTATCCCTGTCCAGCATGACATCTTCCAAGTCTATCGACTCATCGCTTCCTTCACGCAGGGGAATTCGGACAGTACCTCTACCCCCATTTCCACTAACGCCAACACAACCACCGCCTGCGGCCCCTCGTCTACCAACAATATCGCGCCTATGTATCAACAACATACTCTTGATAACGTGGGACCGACGTTTCGTCAACCCTTGGACCACTAGCCACTCGCATTTTCTCCGCCAACTCTACTTTGCACCGTTCGAGCCAAAGGTCCCAGGACCACTTACCAAGGAGGAGACTGATTATGTGGATTTCTTTGCTAAGTGGTGGCGTGAATCATTGCCTTGGCCAGAGATGCGTGATCCATATCGTGTCTTCCCGCACCCATTCGATGTCGAGTCGGAACAGTCGCGGTGGCGTGAGCGGGTTGAAGAAACTGCTCGTCGCCAGAAGAGGAGGATAGCATTCAAGACGGGCGAGTTGGAAGACTTTGGCAAGAGGGTGTTTATGGGGAGAAAGAAGTTTCGCTCTCGTTAAACTGCTCTGTACTGTATTGCTTCTCATAATTCCCTTTCTGGCTTTGTAGGCGGCTTTTCTCTTTCAGCGGCATGGCATGGACGGAGTCATTGTTTTGTACTAGGCTAGGCGCGTGAATTTCCAATCTCAGCTCTTTCCAACACTGGTATCTGACGTCGTCTGAGGTGGCTTCGTGAGTTTACCGGCCGCCCAAAATGATCAACTTACATCCCGGTCAGGATCTTGGAAGCGTGTTGAGGGACCTCAGACAGCGGTAGACATTTGTACTCTAACTCTTGTCGCAGTACTGCGAGATTCTTTTTCAGGTTTCATCTATCGCGTACGGCGCATCTCACGTGACCTAAGTAAGAGCCACGTGCAAGCTTTTCTTTTCTACTATAAAAGATCTTCAGCCTCTAAATCTCAACTGCACAGGTCGGGAGCGGCATCGACTCTTTCAAAATCGCGGCTGTTGACTCTTGATGGAGTGCAGTGGTCGCTAGTTTGGGGTTCAAAAAGAGGCAGCATCAGATGCCTTGGAGGGGATCAAAATCCCACCAATGGAACCCAGGCATGTCGGTGCTGCAAAAAATCGGAGGAGGTGACCACGGATGTTGCCGGGAGGTACTCCAGTTCGGCGTTGATCATCTCAAGTTCTCAGTACTGACAGTCATCTTTCTAAGCCCTGCGTAGGAAAGTCTCACCGGTAAAGCCGATTTCCTACCTTCGCGAATGAGGACTTGGATCGGGCTCCAAAGGAGCTTCACATCATCACTGTTAGGGCTTTCAAGAGCGCCCCCCCCCTCCTCCTCCTCCTCCCGTTCCATTGCGAAGATGAACAATTTCAACACACGCTCCCGTTGACTCTTTCTTCGAGCATTTTGAACGTCTCGAGACGCGACCCAGCCTAACCCAGCTCCAGTCATTCCACAATTCGGAAGAGGACGTTGATATCCCCCCAAGCCAATCCAACCCCGCTCCATTGACATCCATACGTCGCAGTCTTCTTTGTATCTCCCTCAACCCTCCCTCGTCCACCTCTGGAGAAGAAAACGAGAACGCGACGGAGGACGATGTTTTATACAGTTGGTCGGCACGTGAGTACGGTGACTAGCACATGACGCGATTCACTCATGCTTCGGGTCCAAAGGCTGCCGAGATGGGAAGTTGGGAAAGACACGTGAAGTCACGAGAGAACGTGACGAGGCTTGGATCTTTCGTAGAACAGCTTTCAGGTTGGGGGGGATTTCTTGGGCATGAGAGTTGGAAGGGTGGTTCGTCTTCAGAATGGAACGAGGGAAGTCTTCATGGAGTTGGTGTTCAACCACGCGAGACTTGGTTGGCCATGGAGTGCCCTGGGTCCGGTTTGGTTTTAAGCCTGGGAGATGCATTGCTGGATGGAGTTGGAGTCGGTGATTTAAAAGCACAGCGAGAGGTTGGAATGTGTTGGATTATGACAGCCACCTACAGCAATCACTGCCGGTAGCAAACAGGGCTTTCATGAACATAATGTTCGCGTCCCATCAATGTTCAGATGCTACGGCCTGCAAACCAATAGAATGTGCGGAGGCGGGCAATTTAAGACACGCTGCTTAGCACCCTTTCGAAGCAGTGGTCTTCAGTACTATATTGCGCTTTCGAAGAACATACACTCCGTGAGTGCTTTTGGGTCGTTATTTTCGTGGGATGGGCACTCACCACCATCAGTTGGTAGTTATCAACTCTGAACTGTTCCCCTGTTGCAGAAAATAAGTCCAGTCCAATCCCACTCGCGCCCATAGAACTTTGGGTTGAGAGACTTTGATCCCGCCCCAGAACCTCCTCCCTGCCGTAGAAGAAACTCTAAACACGAATGAAGAAGAATCGTTTATACCCCCCAACCGCCCAACCGAAGCCCATCTGCACGTGGAAGTCACGCCCCATCCCTCTCCCATCGACTCTCGATGACGTCTGATGAGAGATGAGCTAAGTAACGCCGTGCCTCACGTGCTCGCTTCCGTAGGCGAGTATAAATCTTCCTCGTCGAGCGGCTCGACCGAGTTTCAGAGGTAGAGGGGTTTGGACGCCGGACAACAAATCTCGACGTTGCTATGCGATGTGCGGTGGTCCTGTGTTCTGGGAAAGGCGGAGGAGTCGGGGTCGAAACAGAAGCGCAGGGGGATCTATGGAAAGAGGGGAGAGAGGTGGGTGCCACCTCGCCTATCCCATCGTGATGATACTCTCAATCTGTCCCCCCGTCTTCCCCATCTCCATTACATCTTCCCACCGCTTACGTCCGCCAGGTTCGCTAGACCGTGTAGTTCATCATTCGAATGAGCAAACTTCTCTCCACCATCAATGAACCATACCCACCGCCAGCTCTCCCCTCTCCCTTCTCTCCATCGACAATCACAGCCTATGATTTGAACCGAACCACCACCCACTCCAGCAACAACAACATGATGAGTTTCGCAGTCCCAATTTTGCTTGCACCCCAATCCCCAGCACGATCCGACCTTCTCATCACCGGTGAGGTCGATAACTTTTGATCGAGGCCCGCCTCAAACTCTCCTCCGCCCATGAAGAAGAAACGGCGGCAGATGGAAGGAGAAGTTTATATACCTACCGGAAGCGAAAGGAAAACAAAATCACGTGACTATCCTAAGCGAGGAAGGTGACTAAGAAGAGTGAAGGCACTGGAGATTAGAGATTGGAGACACGTGACTCATGCGAGGATGAAGAGAAGGAAAGTGAGGGTAAAGCGAAGTTTAAAGAGCGTGCCAGACACAGCAAGTCACGTGCTCGGCTAATTAAGTAAATGATCTAAGCGGAAAAATGAGCACGTGATAGGACTAGATGAGTAAGCGTCAAGATCTGGTCAGGTGATGAGCGAGAAGACTAAAGAACCACAAACCGAGCAGAAAAGTGTACCAAGAGAGGTCGAAGAACTATCAATCTTTTCTATTCGCTCTTCTTCCACTATAGCAGAGCACCACCGCCCAATTACGAAATTAGGCATACGTATGTAATCGAACCACCCGAAAGCCCACTACCATGGTATCAGCAACTCCATAATGCCCTCCTTCCCCATAATGCAGTTCCACAACCTGCTCACACAACAAAAGAAAAAGGCTAAGCCACCACTGAGACCAGACACCTGGCCCCCATGCACCAGACCGTATGCCTTTCGCTAAAACCGCATGTGGAAACGAAAGGAAAGAGAGAAGCTGGAAGGCCTAGCCTCATGAAACCGCTTAACCCGAACCCAGCACCCGATCCCAGCACCATTTCCCCCCCTCCACACATAGGAACGGGTATCGGTATCAGCCCCCACGGAAAAGCAAATAACGCCCGCTAGAAGTGCTGCAGAGGTATAGTTTGAGAGAGAAACTTGAAAGAGGAAAAAAGAGAGAAGACAGTCATACAAATCGTGAATCTTTCGAGACGACGGGAAGAGAAGCGCTCAAACTCCGAATCATGCGGGCTTTGGAAGCATGCAAGTATGAAGCGATGTGGTCAATCTATCGTGCTCTGTGTTGTGATCGGTCCAGTGGTGGTACTGCTCTAGGAGAGAAGTCGACTATGATTTCTGCATCGTCTTGACCTTGCTGAAGAAACGACTGACGAAACCCTTGTGGCCGTTGGACTTGACGGCGAACGCGCCCCTTGAGCCGGTCATGTCGTCGGTCAGATTCAGCTCCTCCAGAGCGAGCGGGTCGGCATTAGTCCCTCGGTGTGCCTGCCAGCCATACAGTGCGTCCTCGTCAGAACGAAGGTCAGGCCGTGTGAGTGTCATCCGCAACGTCATCTCGCGATTGCCGTTCAAGGCCTGAGAGTAGAGTTCTTGAGTCTTTGACCGACCATGCATGGGATGGAAGGGTGGCAGGCCGGCAGAGTCGAGGGAAGAGAAGTTGGACGACGGCAGACGGGTCGGGTGGAATGGAGTAGGGTCGGACGGGGTGACTGGGGACTCGAGTTCGCCCATGGACTCATCGTCGGAGTCTGGCGGGGATTCCGGCCCGATTTCGTCGTCGTTGTCTTCGAGGAACGAGATCTTGTCGTCTTTGAGAAAGGTTTGGACGTCGTGACTGATCTTGCGGGCGTGGGTGACTTCTTTGGGGAGCTCCAGCTGTGGGGCAACGCTGTTGGCACCGGTGGACGGGAAGCCGAACTCGATGGCCTCATCGAACTTCTGCGGTGAGGCTAAGTAGAGTCGGAGCTTCATCCGAGCTTCAGGGTCCTGGTAGTGCTTGGCTTCGGGGTCGTAGATCGGCGCGGCGGGCTCGCTGGAGTATCGTGGGCCCGAGTTGGACTGTGCACGAGGTCTCCATGCTTGCTGAGAGGCCGAGAAGAAGGGCGGAGCTGACGTTGGCGGCGCGGAGGAGGTTGAGTTGCGGGTGAAGGGTATAGCGGTGAGCGACAGTGTCCGCCTGAACGACGACCTCCTTGACCGGTGCTCCCTGGGCGGCTCTGGTGGTGGCATCTCGTCGAAGTGGATGAAGGTGTCTTCGTCCTTGTTGTCTGAATCGTCGGTGCTGTTGTTGAGCACCGAGTCGTGCGTGAAAGACCGCTTTCGAGATCGGCCTCGTGCCGGTGTGCTCTCTTTGTCCTCAAAGAGCTCGACGCGTTCCTGCAGCCGGTCGTAGTCGGTTACGGCGAGGTCTTGGTATGATTCGGTCTGCTCGTGGTACAATTGCTCGTCGGCGGGATCGAGGATGTACGTCTCACAGCGGCCGGCGAGTAGCACCTGCTCTTCGCGGGAGAAATGGCGTCGTCGAATTTTTTCCGGTAGGGACAGGAACCATTGGGCTTCGGCCTGCGAGATGTTGTACTCTTGACGGATCGACTGCTGCTTTCTCAGTCGTCGGCGGGCTCGGGTGCCAGAGGTGGTCAGGCCATTGGGGTTGAAGGTCGACTGGCGGAGGGAGGAGGAGCGTTGAGGTTGCGGGCGGAAGGCGCCTTCAGCAATGCGCAGGCGCTCGAGCGACGAGAAGTACTTTCTCCTGAGACGGGGTGAGGTTAGCTTGGACGGTTTGCATGTGCTGTCAGTGGCCGGGTTCGCGCGTGTGGGGAGTTTTGTCACGCAGCTGCAGACAGCCAGCCGACATGCAGCGTGAGAACCAATGCGGGCGAGGCATGCAGGAGACGGCGTGCGAACCACCAGTAGACCGCCTGTTGGCCCACCACGGCGCAGGTTAGGGCCGGCAGCGCAGGAATTGGTAGGAACAGGCAACGCTGGCCGTGGCCGCGCAATGGGAGGGAGGGGTGGAGTCTGGAGTTGATAGTGCGAGTGTTGACTTACTGCACCGAGATGGGGAGGGCCTCGTACGCTGCCTCGGACAGCAGCACCGGCTTCATGGCGGAGGAGCCGCGGAGAGACGGCGAGGAGGCAATTGCGCGGGACGGAGCAGACGAGAGACGAACAGCAGCGGGGCGGGCTGCTTTTGAGGGCAGCGTGGAGCCAGGCATGGCGGTTGGCGGTGGTGTATCTGGAGCTGCGGTGCGCTGGACGCTCCATCAATATGGATACGGATCGTGGACGCGACGGGGATTGCCTGGACGGCAGCGGGCGAATGAGAGGGTATGGCGCGCAGGCTCGAGATGCACCACGCCGAACAGCTGGCCGTCAGCAAGACAGCACAGCAAAGCAGAGGCTGAAGCAGTGTGATGGGGTGGAGCAAACGGAGCAGCTGCGGAAGCACTCTGGCATGGCATTCACGGCCTCCAGCGCTAATTAAGTCGCGATGTCTGCGTCTGCTCGCGGGGCCCCTTGGTGTCCCGACCACCCCGACCACCACGACCTCTCTCCACACCTCAGGCCGGCCAATTGCTCCCCACCTTGGCGCAAGGATAGACACCCCCCGCAAGGGGAACGCGCCCTCGTCGCCCGGGTGCCAAGCGGCGACCTCGGACGCTGTTCCTGGCCGTGAGGGGCGGCCACATTCATCTCCATGCACGCCGCCTCCCTGGCCATAAACATCTGCGTGGCCCTCTGGTCAGACACTCGCGTCCCAGCGGCGGAGCACAGAGGCAGCATCCATCCACACCGCTCCTCGCACGCGGCCGCAAGCAGCGCCCTTCGCGCCCAGCAGAGACTGCTCTCCGCGCTAGACGACTGCCGTCGGACGGCATCGTCCGGTAGCCGCCCGCCAGGTACGCGCAGAGACGGCTCTGCTAGTGTCGTGAATGGTGCTCGCTGCGCTGGCCTCGTTGCGGGAAACCTCGTGTGGATCGGGCTCGAAGCAGCATTCGGCCCGCTCGCCGACGCCTTGAGCGCGACTTCCCAGCGTTCGGCCTGGACTGAGCATGCCAGCCAGTGCCAGCCAGTGCCAGCCAGTGCCAGCCAGTGCCAGCCAGTGTTCTGACTCCGGAACCTGGCAAATGGCCGCCTTGGCCGCTGGGAAAACGGCCGCACTGGTTGAATTCTCCGGCCTCGCGGCCAGCTCTGGACAGCGCCTTTTGCATAACGTGGACCATGTCAGACACCGTGTCAGACGCCATGTCGACGACCCTGTCGAACTCTGCAAGAGAAGCTCTGAAGACCTTGACGCCCGCCAGATAGATGTGCTGCTATCGGCGGGGATCGCCAAGCGGTCCTCAACACCACGCATGTCGTCTCCCACCATCGCCAGCCTCAACCTCGCCGCGCGCTGTGTCTCGGATGCCTCGTCTCACTGCCCGTGGCCTCAGCACGATTCACAGATCAGGCACGCGAACAGAGAAACATTGGACCGCTCGGGCCTTCCTGCAGTCGGACTTTGCGCACTGTCGCCATCGTGGCCAGCACCGCTCTCTTCCCGTCGGTTTCAAGAGGCACCTTCTCGGCCGCGCGAACCCGCGAAGCTGGCCTCTCCCGCTGCCCGGGACCCCAGTTCTTTTCCCAATTCATCTGCCGCGCTGATCTCCACCAGATTGAGTGGCGGACGGAAGTGCAAGGCTGAGAAATCCATCACACCAATTGCTCCGCCCGGCGAATCAAAGCCCTGATATTTCTGTAAATTGTGAGCGACACGATTTCCAGAATTTCCACCGTCACACCCGCGGGATGAGATAACACGCAATCCCCACAATCAGCACCGCCAACTATTGATTCTCTCATCCGTCTGCGCCGCCATTGGATCGGCAGAGTTCAAGCGCGAGAAGAGATAAGCTTTTCTCCTCCAGCAGTCCTCCTTTACCCGCGTGATCATCGGGAGCATTGCTCTGAGGATCCTTGAATAACGGGCCGTCAGCTTCACAAGGCTCCCTTCTCCTGCACCTCACAAAGACGCCACAACGCCAAAAGATGCGGCACCGTTCGCGCATCAAGAGATCCTCATCCCTGTTGCGAGCGGATAGTGGACTTCGGAAGTCATCGCTTCCTCGTGTGTGGCCGTGATGATATGCCCCGGGATCCCCTATAACTTAAATAGAACCCTGCACTACCCGGGCGTTGTTGGTGGACTCACAAGTAATCCACCATCTCCCGTTTTGCTAGCGTAGGAGCGGTTGATGCAAGCCCAAGTCAAGCTGAACTGCTGCGTCAGGAGTGTGTTCGATGGGTTGAGGCATTTGGATGTCGTGAGCAGAAGTGGTTTGAGAATCCCCCAGTCACACGGAACAATTATTTACTCTATAGCTGCAGGGCACTGAAACGCGACGTCTGTCAATTATACAGCACGGAAACCACATACCATACATCGCATCTTGCTTGTCCGTGTACACAATGCTCCTAGCCTACCGATGGCATAGAACCGTGTCAAGCGTGTTACAAAACTCCGATAGTCCTTGGATTTCTGGAATAGATCCGTTCGCTGTTTCTGGCCCTGAGGACTCAACCCCTCAGCGTCAGGGTACATGCAGGATCCTCCCTGTACGAAGTAGCTCTGGCGACGCCATAATATGCGCTTGAATGACACTGCCGAACACGAGTTCCCAGCAATTACTTCAGAGCCAGCCGTGGGAAAACGCCTGTACATTTGCGTAACTAGCACACCAGTCAAAAGTGACTACAACATCATGCTCTTATTCGCTCTTTCACGCTCTCCTCGCGTCTCAGGAAACTACTGTCTCACGACATTCGCAGATGAAGAACACGTCTCTGGCACCGCGAAGCTGCAGCTCCACGTCGGCATGCGTCATCCCTTACACATCCGTCCGCAAAGCACACAAAAGTCCGTGGATGGGTAAGTGGAAACCCCGCAGCATGTTTCATATTCTATGCCAACATGAAGTCCGTCGTGACTCCATCTTTTCTTTTCATACCTCATCCTTGCGCCTCATCAATCCCATACCCCTCGAACGCCCAAAATACCAATCCAACCGTCCGGCTACCCCACCGGACATCTGCATATGCGTTCGTCCCACCGACGCGTCTTGAAACAAACCACTCTCGTAGTTCGATCCTGCGTGTTGGAATACCCAATTTTCAAGACGTCACATGAGCGGTGAAGAATATGTTCGCATGCGCAGCGCTGTGCGGACCGTACTCCGAGCATTAGCTAATCAAGTAACGGTCCAAAACACACCGCCAGCCGCCACGTCCACCATCGTCTATCGTCGACAGTGCTTCATGTCGTGGATATTGTAAGGTCACGTTGAAATCGCGTGAAGAATGTAGGTACCTCAAGTCGTAAACCAAAAGGTAACGCTCCAAAACACACCGCTGGCCGCCGTAGTCCTCGTCGTCCTCCACCACTCTTTCATGCTGTGGTCTACGCTCGACGTGGTCAAGTTGGGGTCCACGTACGACGTTGACCTGAAATGGACGTCATGGGCGCGTGGGTGATGGTAGCTTGGTGTCGGGGTCTTCTTGTGTACGTACCACAGGGGTATAATAGCATCGACAAATATATTCTGCATCATCCTACCAAGACCTCTGTATCTCTTACCCACGCGTGCAAGCCTCCTGAATCTTCCCTCGCATCATCGTTTCTCCACTCCTTGCCTCATCTTCCGTTGTTCTACAAGACCGCGCGTGTTTTTGAGAAAGTGGACCTTGCCTTGCTCTCCGCCCCGCAATCGAGCTCGTACGACCACCAGCTCGGTCCTCACTTCCTTGCATATTGTAGTGGGTAACTCCAGCAATCGACTGCCTGCACCAAACGTAGGACTCCCTTTTCCTGCCGAACTTCGCGTAAACCCTTACTCAACGCCTCTTCCAATATTTTTCCCACCCCCCTCCATCTGGACTTATGCAGCTAATTGAGTAGGCTTTGCCTTACACTGCGCCCTCACACTCAACTCCGTTCAAGCTCGTATCAACTAGCAATTCGTAGCATGCAGGATTTCATTCTAAACCCTAAGTAATAAGCCTCCTATTTTCTCCCTGATTTCTATTAGCCCTTGCTTCACTCCCGCGCCTTCGGCAAGCCGTGAACGGCAGTGTGAGGTCTCAGAGGAAGTCCCCTCCCCCCCCAAAAAAAGAGCAAAAGACCACCCTCCTCGGGGGGAGGGTGTAGAAACCACCGGACGGTTTACTCCGTGACGATGGACTTATTACGTTTCCGCGCGACTTTTCAGTCGACTTTATAGGAAAGAGAGCCATAATGTTCGAATTCCTGACAAGGGGCGGGATTCGAACCCAGCGCCCTCGTAGGAGGGTGGTGTTTTGCGCGGGACCATTGCCACTGCGGCGCCCGACCGGCCTGCTGTTCCAATTAGTTGGGGAGTTGGCCGAGTTAAACCGAAGATATAGACTCAAAACGAGCCGCTGTCAAGCCCACAGGGTGAAAGATTGTGGCGCTGCAGCCTCTACCGGCGGCGGAGCTTCACCACACTCACGGCATTACTTACCAGCACAGCTCTCTCTCTCACACATCTAAATCAACATGCCTCTTCGCCAAATCAATCCTCCCATCTCTACCGCTCCCGTCTAGACTTCTACTGACTTCACTCATGCGTCTTCGTCCCGATATCTCTCGCCTTGCCTTCGGTGAGCTTGCGCGCGACGCGACGAGGAATCCGCAGCTGCCGGCTTCCATGTTACGAGAAGGCTCTTCGGCACGCACTGTAGAGGCTATCCCAAGAAGACTTTCCATACTTCACCTGAACCCTTCCTTACGCGACCGACCACCTTTTCGGCGTCAACGGCTGTACTGCGCACCACCGCATTCCATCTCATCTCACTTACTCGCCTTCCCATTCCTTACACCCCAACTCTCATGATTGCATAGCATTTCGCGAGGCGCACGCAAACTTTGGCCTGACAAGTAGGAGAATTGATAGATATCAGTTAGTTACATAGGGGGGTATCTTAAGAAAAAAAAAAAAAAATAATCAAACCTCCACTACCCTTTTTTCTCTCGCCCGATTTCTTGTTGCATCAACCCAACCCTTCCTCGACGACATGCCGAACCCCCCCCCCCCCGGCATCTAGAAACTCCTCATCTCGCGTATCCAAGACACATATCAGCTTCCATCTCCAAACCTCCTTCACCTCCTCTTTCCCGACATCCAGAACCCCCCTTTCGCCCGACTTCTCACGCGGCACTACGCTACACCCCCTCCACCCCAATATCATAAAAATATTCCTCATCCGCCAACCCCTCCCTGCTCGGCAACACGGGCTCCTCGAGCCCCACATCCTCATACCGCACATTCAGCAACCGGATCTTCAGTCCATAACCCCCAATTAGATTCACCAGCTTACTCGTATCCGCCGTAATCGGCTGCTGGTTCAGCAGCATCAGCAGCCCGTCCAGCCACTCCGACGCCAGCGTGTGCGACTGCGGGTGCAGCTGCAGGAGGATGGATTCGGCGGTCGATGTCGACCTCGCGCGCGAGTGGCTGCGGGAGTGCGAGGTGGAGGGGTGGTCCGGGGGCAGGTAGCCGTGGATGGTGATTTTGGTGGATGTGGAGGCCGTGGCGGAGGTGCTGTTGAGGGAGTGCGGGTGCGGGCCGTTGTTGGGGGCCGTAGGGAGGGTTTTGAGGGTGCTGTCCGAGGAGGACGTCGAGGGGGCGGAGGCGGAGACGTTGGAGACGACCGAGGAGACGATGGAGAGGTCGACTGGTGTTGCATTTAGCATGCTGATCGAAGTTTTTGGAGATATTTGAATATGGTAAGGGTGGTTAAGGAACGTGGGATGCTCACTCTTCTCTTGTAAGGCGTCTAATCGCGGCTCTGTGTCCCCTCTTACATCGAAATCTGCGTAGTGGAGGTATCTTCTGTTATGTGATAAACGAACATATCGCCATGAGGAGGGAATCGTTCGTGACAGGCTCTTGCTAGTGATGGGCCCAGCGTCGGTGGCGTAGTTCATGGTTTGCGGGAACCAGGCGCCTTGTAGAAGACAACGGATGCGTTGTTCCTTGACGAATTGGAGGGCTTCGTGGTTGAGCTCATCGCGGACTTGGCTGAGAAGATGTTAGATTCTGATAGTTTATGAAAGGGTGAGGAAGTTGAGGGGGAAATACCGTAAATGATGCCCCCAAGCGTCTTCATATGTCAACTCTAACAGTTCCATCTGAAGTTCGCGCAGTCTTTGACAATCGAACTCTGCTAGCTCCTCTTCCACGTCTTTAATCTCCCGCACTCTAGGCGCTTGCCCGACGACCTGCTCAATCAAGATCCTGACTAACTCCTCAATCTTTTCGAAATCTTCCACTTCAGCTCCGGCAGCTTTCCATAGCCGGATGAAGGAATTCAATCCACTGGTATGTAGCCTCGACCAATGCAGCAGCATAGGCTTAAACGCTCTATCGAAATTCGACCGCGACTCATGATTCACATACCGCTGCGAATCACTCTCATCGCTCTTATCCACCTCAAAGTGCTCGTACAGAATCGACGTAACCGCCAGACTCGCCCTCGCAATCGGACACCTCTGCTCCGCGGGCTCAGCCGACTGCTCCAGTAACAACTTCTGGAACCCGTCCTCATTCTTATACACGAAATCCGTCAAGTCCATTAAGCCGAGGAAGCCCGTAGCGTCGAACTCCCACGCCGGACTCTCCGTCTCGAACCCCAACCTCCGCCACTTCTCTGGATGCGACTTCTGGCTCTTCTTCGGATCCGCGGGCTTCGAGGGGTCACTCGCGACATGCAGCCCCCGTATAGCGCGCCTGTGATCCGGCTTCTCCAGGTCGACCTTCTCCTCTCTCCACTTCCGCAACAGCACCTTTGTCAAGCTCTGGAACTCTAGTAACGGATGCGCAAGATCCTGCACCGCGCTGCTCTGCATGAGCCCGTATACGCTCTTAATCACCCCCAGCTCCTGCAGCTGCTTTATGAACTTGGGCCACTCCGTATCCTCATCATTGGCAACCGCATCCCGCATGAGCGAGTTAATGAGCTGCAGTGAATTCGCGCAGAGTGCATGGTCGGCCGACGTGATTTTCTCGACGAGCATCGGGAGGAACTGGGGATGCAGGTCCACGGCGGGCTTCAGGCGCTGGAAGCCCGTGATGCCGGGTTGGGAGTCGCGGCGGTGGGGGTGGGAGACTATGGCGGCGAGGACGGACATGGCGCCGCGGTTGACGTTGACGAGGGGTTGGGCGACGACGAGTTCGACGACCTAGATGTTCGATATCCATGTTAGCAAAGCTCTTGTATACCTCAATCCCCGATTAAGACCAGAGCCACAGAAAAGAGAGTTGTCGACCAACCCGTCCAATCAACTCATCGCTAACCCCCTCCCACCCCTTGTCCAGCTCCAGCAGCCTACTTAAGCTTGTCAAGCAATACGCCAGCGTATTCCCCGTACTATGCAGCGCCAGAAACCGCAGCTTCGGCAGCCCGCCCTCGTAGATAAACACGTCGGCGAAGGACGGGTCCCCGATCGCGGACTGTAGCTTGAAGACGGCCATCTTGCGCACGCTCTCCTCGTCGCTGCTGAGCCGCTCGACGAGCTCCGAGACGTTGATGTTGTCCATAATTATATCTTTCTCGCGGGCGCGGCGCAGAGGGGGGAAGGAGTTGAGGAAGCGGTTCGGGCGGCCAATGGAGGTCGAGAGTCGCGGTTTTGGGTATCAATTCGACAGCGTCGTGGTCGCGCGGGGGGCTCGGAGAGTTGTATCTGACAGGCGACGGTGCGGTTTTGCGCGGAGAACTAACTGGATCTCTTTTTTCAGGTCGTTTACGCGTTGGAAGAAGGTCCGAAGTCAAACTCAGGGACCAACCGCGACGAAGGCTTGGCGGATTTCCCGAACCGACCCACACCACGGAAGTGGTCCACTTGGGCGGGAAATGTGACAGCTCAGCTTTTGATTTTGGGACCCACACCCATTGAGAATGCCCCTGTGCAAATCAATCTTGCAAGTGAGTGCGTTATCTTAGACCAATTAGCCAATGATCCATTTTAAGTATTTATTGTATATAGATTTTTAATAACGTGCTGAACCTCTGAACAGCGGCGAGATGAGTACCACATAAGTTACCTTTGTAGCATGGGATACCCATCCAAGTTTCCGAAAGTGTTCACAGACTTCTGTCCACTCCACGTAGTAGTCGAATGCGCACGCACAATTAAACTGTCTAAGTTGGGTGCAGTATATTATTCTCAACCATATAGCAGCGTAAAAGCTACCCGGCATTGTCGTTGATATCGAGCCCATGCATCTCGTAAATGCTTATGCAATGGCACTCCGAGTCCCGTGGGACGACGTCCAAATTCGACCCGTGAACTCCATCGCCTGCAAAATGCCACATCAGTGGCCTTAAAAAAACAAGGCATGTGAAGCGAATAAAACCACCTGAGCAAATGCAACCACCCAAATCCGCTTTCAAAATCCAGGTCCGAGGGACCGATATGAACACCGTGATCTTCCTAGCGATCAACTCCGCCAACCCACGTTCCAGATGACGTGTGCAATGTCGCGAGCCGTATTAACTGTGTCTACCACTCGTCCTATTATTCCTGGCGCTACTGGCTCGTCGTCCGCTTCGTCGTAAGGCATGAACATACCTGATGCTGTGCGTCGTAGCCCGACTGATGCTTCGCCGCTCTCGGCTTCTGTCTCCGGTGAGCTTCGTCCCATTGCGGATTCTTGTCCGTCCTTGAACGCTCCTGATGGCTCCCAGGAGATATCGTCATCTTCCTCATCGTCGTCGGCGAGTAGAAAGTTGGTCGACGGGTTTGAAGGGCGAAGTGTTTCTTGGGAGGGGGAGGGAGATAGCCTGCTCGATCGCCAATATCCCAACGAATGGGTAGGAGGCTGGTCGGGCATGTCGGGTGAGTCGGTTCGGTATTTGAGTGTTGTTGAGGGTAATTTTGCAATCGTTTTGCTGTCGCTGCTGAAACTGTTTCTTGAATTGGTCCGGGATAGCTGCTTTTTCTTTTTTGACTTTTTCATCATGACCACTCCATCATCAGACGACGAATCATCGTCACGGAGGGCCCAATTTTGGCGTTCGTCATCATCGTCGTCGTACTCGCCATCTTTGAGATCTACTGCAATGCACTGTTCCACCTTGTCGTCGAATCGGATATGCTTCCGCTCACCATGATCTGGTGTCTGCAATCCTGATGTCGATCGGGAGGAGGTAGAGTAGTCGGTGGTATCTCGACTAATTGTACGGGATGGTATCGATGAAGTAACGAAATCTGACACAGCCCGCTCCATGGTAGGTCGATTTCGTGATGATTTGCTGTTCTCTTGCTGTGCTTGGACGGCCGCCGCTGCTTGCTTTACTAGCGACGATGCCGATATCGATCGCTGCAGCATCACTTCAGACACGCTACGCTTCTTGAGGATGGGCTTCTTGTTGAGGAATGAGTTGCTCTTCGATAGCCTGCTAATAGGCTCCGAGGCATGCTGGGAGTACGATCGGTTTGATGCAGTCTGTAGCGGGCCGTAGAGCCACGTTACGTCGCAATCTTTCAGCCTGATTGGTCTGTTAGCAATTGATGGAAACCTTACGAACGTTTGCTTCATCGAATGGAATCCATGGAATTGTCAATGCGTCCGAAATTGTTGGCCGTGCATGTTTCCGACGAGAAGGTAGTGAAAGAGAAGGGATTTCACGAACCAATTGAGAGTCTCGGGAGACACCGTTCGTAGCTTGTACTTCGATTTGGCCCACGTCCTCCAAGAAGCATTCTCCAATCTCGATCGTTCTCCGTAGATTTTTCGTTTTCCAACGATATGCCTCCAAGACGACCAGATGTCTTCCTCTTGCCAGTCATGCGATAGATAGTCGACGTGTTGGGACGGCTCGTGTTTTATCGCGGTGTCGTCCTCGCTCTTGGGCAATGGCTCGGGGCTCGTCGTTGTTGGCGATATGGGGTCGTCGTCGCCGACCTCATCATCCGAATTGAGCGTGAGCTCGGTGTAGACCGTGACGGGACTGGAGGGCGGGTTGAGTCCTTTGTGCGGCTCGTTGGGTGCGGTGGAGGAATAGCCCGGAAACGAGAATTCGCCATCCTCATCCTCCTCCTCGTCAAGACTAGTTTCTAGCGACAAGGTGCTCGCGGGCGTGGACTGGTAGGAGGCGTAGCTGGAGAGATTGGTCGAGGATGCTCGCGGCGAGGAGGGTGCAGACGAAGGGAGTGAGCCAAAGTTGGACCGGCGCGACGAGGAGTACGAGGACGAGTTGTTGCCGAGGAAGAAGGAGGTCTGCGAGTGCGAGGAGCGGCGGAGCGGCGAATTGGAGTAGTTGTTCAGCTGTCCGTCCGAGACGTGTACGGGCAGTACTTCGGCCATGTCGCTGGAAGACGTCGAGCGGCGGTTTACGGTGCAACGCGAGACGATGGCCCAGTACCCTCCTCCGCTGTAGTTCCCACTGCTGGTTGGACCACGCTCCACATGCGTTCCGCGGTGTCTGAAGAGACTGGCAGTGAAGTGGTGGTGATGTCCGAAGAGTCGTGGGGTGGCGAGGTGAGGCGGGCGTGTTGATTTGTGATGTGGGCGAAGGTGGAGGAGAGACGGCGGAGGGTTGTGGCGTCGAGGGATGGGCAGGGTGATCAGGGCCGTGGGCGTGGGGAAGAAGGGCGCGATAGAGCACGAGGATGGCGCTCAGACCGCAAAGCTTGTGCGCGATCTAGAAGAATTTGAGGTGGAGTCGCGAGCAACGGCCACCCCCAGATGCGGGGCTGCCAGTCGCGCGAGCACTGCGACGCTGAGACGCTGGTACGCTGGTAGCCTTGGGCGGCCGGAGCGGAGGCTGGACTCGAGAGACGCAATTGGGCCACAGGCGGCGGCGTAGAGTTTGTGAATGCACGGAGGCGCAGGCCTGGTGTTCGACAGGACGAGAGGCAGGAGAATCGCGGGATGATCAGCCGGCGCTCAAGGCCTCAGAACGGCCCTCTTAGGCCTTTGAGGCCCTGGACACGGCGAAGAATGCCGCTGCTGAGCATCGACCAAATCACAGGGCGATCCCGCCGCGGCGGGTTGAGCGTTGCGACGAGCTCCTGCCGCGTTCCGGCTGCGGATTCGCCCCATCCATATTCAGTCCCACGGTGCTCTGTTTTCGTGTGCCTCAGGACGATGGATGCCACACCAGGCCATGGCACAATGGCAGCACACACCCAGACAACGTCGCCATGGCCCCCCCGGCTGCGCATCTGCATGGCCTGGCAATTCACCAGATAGCAGTCCCGATAAGCCGCCGCCTCCATGCCACCCACGGCTGATCGGCCTGGCCTGACGCCTGCATCGACCCGCCCGCCCTCCATCTGACGACTCAACACCATGCACCCGTTCCGTGCCAGCAGCGCCTTTGACGAAGGGAACAGCACTGCCCGTACGGCCATTCTGTTTGGAGCCCTGCCTCTGCCCTAACACGCCCAATTGAGGCCGACTAGACAGCTCGTAGGCATCTTCTAGACAACTCCTGGGCGAGACGACGAGGACAGCGGAAGGATTCAGCTTCACTCGCCCGCAGCGGCGACTCCACACCAGACAGCGCTACTCAAATAGGTTCTCGCCGCGCTCGCTGCCGCCCATGGATATCCTGTTTTCACCCTGTGTTCCCTGTTGTGGGCGACGAGATCCCCGTCTGTGTTTGATGCACTTGCAGCAAAACACCATGATAACATCCGCATATCCAAGCCCAGCAGCGCTACCCTACCCCTCACTCGTGCCCATACAAAGCCAGGCAAGTCAGACTCGTTCTTTGGATCCACAATGCCGACGACGTGCTCAGCTCTGTCGATTGGTGCCGTCTTGGCAACCTGGCGGTAGCGTAGCGGTTCATCGAGCCATTTTCACACATCCGATGTCTGGACGACTGACTGCTCCAGCGGCACAGGCATCAGCACTACGAGGTGTGCACGCGTGGACCGTCCGTCACCTTCCGCGTCCATGTCTGGGTAGAGCGTGCATTGGAGGCCTGGCGCTCGCTCGGCTGGGTGCTTAGGCATTATGTCGGGCATTTCCACGTCGCCACACGCAGGCCGTTGCACAGCGGCTCTTCCAAGAGGCCACCAGGAGGGCACCGCTCCGGCATGCGACGAGGTTGGCGATAGCCTAGCTCCGCAACCGGCAGCCGGAGGAGGCGCTGGTGTTGCGGCATGCAGCTGCCATGAGCTCTTGGCGCGGCGCTGGCGGGGAACCACTCTTCCAGCCCTCCCTGACCAGCCTGCAACCATAACCGACGTTGACGAACGCGTCCCGGCCGTGGTGCTGCTGGAATCCTCCGGCTTGCCTGTGTGGGCGTCGCGGCGAGGGCGTTTTAGACGATAGGACGTCGTTTGTTTTGCTTGCAGCTCTTGCCGCAAGCAGGCCGCCCAACGGCCCAGCATACCCCATGCTGCCCTCCAGACTTTAAAGTGTGCGTGGCTTGCAGCGCAGTGGGGGCTCTGCATCGACACTGCAGCCGAAACCGTCCAATCCCGCCATTGAGGCTGGTGTGACAAAGGGCTTCCCCCCAATTGGCCTGCCGTGCCCTCACCGACTCTCGCAGGGCTGGCGTCGTGGTGTACCGAGCCTGGCCGCCGCCATGGTTTCCCACTTCCCCGCCAGGCTTACGAGTTGGCATTTGCATCCATCACGACAATCTGGAGTAGCTTCTCCGGCCCGCTGCTACCGCCACGCCTCTCCCTTGCTTCCGTCCGAAGTCTTTAGTGATGGGACCTGGTATTTGCGCCGCAAATTCTCCCGTTCCCCTCCGAGCTCCTAGATTTCCCGATACAATATCGCCGCCGCGGTGCCCCCATCGATAGAGTTTGCGGACAGTGAGAAGCAGCAGGCGTTTTCCCCGTTGCAGTAAGCCGCGAAACCTCGTATCCTGCCGCCGTCACGACATTTACAGTTTTTGCTGCATCTCCAGGCAGTAATCCGGAGTTACCGATCTCCATTGCGCGTACAGAACGTTGCCAGGTGAGTTTGCAACGCAATTTCTGTGATGGAAGACGCGCGCTCTCCACTCAGGTTCATTGCTGCTGGCCGCCTACGTAGAAAGGGGCTTGGAAACCTGAAAATGTTCACGGCGAGCTCGTTTAGAGCGGGGATGGCATATGACGCCGGCCATTTGCTAGGGCTAGTTGCTAGGACGACATGCAAGCCTCCTCCTTTGCGCCATCAGCCCAACATCATAGGCAGTACTCTTCGGGAAGATCCTCGAGGATTCGTTTGGACCGGCCGTCCTGCTGCTAAATCTATACGCACATGGGCTATCTAGTACTGAATTTACATGTCCCTATTCCCTGCATCACTTCAATACGTCTACTATGTGTATCAGTTTACAACAACAACTCGAAACCCAATCATCTACCAGGGTGCCGAGTCCGACGGAGACATGGGTCGCAACACTTCTGCAATGCACGTACGTATGTCGTGCAGAATCTTCAGATTGATAGTGAGCCACTCCAACCCAGCAACACATCTAACCCCCTCCTCGTTTGCTGTCTTTCTTCCACATCTATCCCACATCCCGCGCTCGCAGACGATCCCAGTTCTTCCGTTGCTCGGCTCCTTGACATCGTTCCCTGGGGCACTCGCAGACCCCGCTTTGACCTTCAGTTCTACCATGTGAAGCTCCATGTCTCCTCAAATCTCCAACATGGTCCGACTGCAAGACATCGAGATCGATAGAGAGCCTGCGAATTATCGCTTTCAACATCAAGGATCGTCGCACATGATTGCATAGCACAGCGTCACGCGGAATATTGCCTTTCGCGGAAGCCGGACAAAGCATTTCACCTTCCAGCTCCGTACGAAGATTATATTGTCTTTCTTCCGCGGCGGGGACTACTCCGTACTTGCCTTCTCTGTTATGTAACTGGCTTCTGGGAACATGTCCATCCAACGTTCCACTGCATGATCTTCAGTCAACTAGTCTGTTCTCGCAGCCATGGCTTCAAACCTCGAAGAACACGATCGTCGATTTGCCAGCGTATAGAGGTCGTGATGAGTTCAAGGCTCTAGACTTTCCACCAACTGCGATACCAAGCCATTAGACCCTACAAGTTCTTGCCGCAGTGGCAATGAGTTTCTCTCTGGTAACCACAACACCAAGGGCGAAAGTCACGTATCAAGCCACTGAGATCACCGCGAACAAAGAATACTATTTTTGACCCCATAAATCCACTCTCGTTATCTATCCCACCAACGACTGCCACGTGCTTACAAAGGGCAATCCGTCACGGCTTGCCCCGCTAAAAACGTCTTTTTCTTCTGTCCCCTAGTCGGGTCTGTTTCGCTTGATTGCAGCAAAAACTGTGGATATTTGACGTCGAAATCTTTTCGACTCGGCCTGGCGGTCTCCGCGTCTTTGTTGTCGAGATAACGTTCTACTGATCAATCTGGCAGGTGGGTGCGAAGTTCCTTGGATGGTGTGATCGCCAGCCCACCTTTTCTTCTGTCTAGTAAGGCTTTCAACCATGGCTCAGTGCGAATTCCCACGCCATAACGCGCGCATCTTTAAATGGAGCAATATGGTTTACTAGTCCCCACTCAGGGAAGCCTAACCCGCGGGACTGTCCGTCGCCAGATTCTAGACACCCGTTCGATGTACCCCGGATGTTTCACCTTCCTTAGCTTCCTTATCTCAAGACTCGCACTAGAGCCATGAGGTGTTTTTGTGAGCCGCCAAGTAGGACGCTAGAATTGCAAGGAGTTGCACCATGCTTACCCGCATCGTTCATCATGGTGCTCAGGAACAAGAACCTACCTCAATGAGCAAGTTCTATTTCCATCGAAATGGTACACTAAACTGATCTCATGTGATAATGACTCTCTGTCAACATATCTGGTAGCATAACCCCTCAATCAAACTTTGGTACGGCTCCTGCAATCTCAACATCCGAAACATCCCATTTCGGCGTCTGTTCTTCCCCGCACTCCCACTTCGATGGTTGATGACACGTCCAGCCAACTCGCTACCAAGGCATCGTTTGGAATCGAACCGTTCACAACCTAAGAAACTTCTCAACCCTCATTACGTGACGCCGTCAAGGAACTAACCTCCTTCCCCACCCGAGTATCTGACGTCCGTCCGTCACTCCCGCTACCATATCCCTCATCGCTAAACCTGCTCAGCCGTCATACCATATTAAGGAATCCTTCACCGCCCTCTTCGCTACCGTAATAGCTTCTTCCATTGAACCCTCCGTACTCTTGGAACCTGCTCATTGACGGACTAATCCCCGTGCGAGCCGACCGGTGAAGGCAAACTTCCACTCGAGACGCACATCTAGACGTCATAACTTGAAACATAGCTCATTTCTCTTATCTCGCGCTGTGTCTCAGAATCTACAAATATGTTTCATTTATATATTTTCGTCTCTATGTCGACGCGTCGGAGACGGACTGTTGGATTCGTGATTTAGTCCCAGCGATGATGCCACTTGGAGGATGTTTGCACTGGGTCAACTGGTAATGCGTGCTGCACGTCGGAAAGAGGGTCATGCACCGTTGTAAGGAGACTCGCCCGCATCGGAAAGAAAGTCGTTCACACCGATGACAGCGTCACTCGCGCCAAGCGGACATTCGGTTCCCCTCTCTCTCTTCAACACACTATCAAACCCTTCCCCCCTCTTTCCTGAACCTAAGAACCTCGTGACAACTCACGTGCCGCTGACTAACCCGCGAATTTTCTCGTTTCCTGCTGTAAAACTCACGGCCACCTTTGCAACTTCGAGTCCGCCATGGGCATGCGAAGGGGGTTGGATCAATTCGATGAGGACGTAGTATTCTATGGTCCAGCAGTGCCTCAGAACTGAGTTGGGATATGGCTAATGCTGCCAAAGAGCCATCTGAACAGCAACATGGTGCTGGGAGGAGGGGAGGTTTTGCTGATCAACACTCTGCCGCTTTCCCCCCCATGGAGGAGTGGACTTGGGGGTGGGATCAACACACATGCCATTGCCAACATGGAGAAGTTGGAGGAAGAGAGGGGTAGGTAGTAGTGATGAGCTGTATCGGTGGCCAGCGAAGGTGGTCGGGCTATGATGGGTGGGTGTTCTGAGGATGGACGTTGTCTGAAGATGAGGTTGACGGGTGGTGTTAGGGTTCGTAGATGGTGGGTATCGTCGTAGTTCAACAAGCCGCACCAACTTCTCCATTGTCGTCGACTGTGAAACGGTTTGATGCACCCACCACCACCCCTCCATGCTTGTGTTGTACGGTTCTGCTTTACTGCCAGCTAGTCCTCTCTGGGGCATCGGTTACGCTGTTGGGTGCTTTGAGCTCAGGACTGCTCACGCTACTCCATAACATGAGAGATCGAAGAGGTTTCGATCCACTGACCTATCTCCATGACGAGAAAACTCAGCCATGCAGCTGTCCACCTTTCTCTCCTTAACAGACGTCGAACCCAGCTCGCGCTAACCTAATCCACATCGCCAAGAAACCAGCCTCTCTGCACGTGAAGTCTGACAAGATTATTTACTAAAACGGGTGCTTACTGCACGGATGTAGGAAGAGGTCGCGAGATATCTGTCGAAACGATGAAGCATGACGAGCAACCGTAGCTTGATATCTAGGCTACGGTAGATATGATTCCAGCAAACCCTGATATATATGGTGCGTTTATGAAGTAGTACTCCTCCGAACTTCTCGTACGTAGCATTCTTATTCTCGTTCAAAATGCAGCATAAAAAAAGGCCGCAGATTTAAGGAGCTGGTGGGAAATGATCATTACCGCGTGGGGAATATTGAGAGGCCTCCTAAAGCGGAATCTGACTGCCGAGTAGTAGATTAACGACTGGAAAGAACACGAAAAGATGACCTATACATGTAAACATAAGATTACTCTAGTGAGGTGCAGATGCGATGGAGAAGAACCTCAGAGGTCGAATATAGGATTGCTTAATAAGCATCCCTAGCGCGATTCCGTCCTATCTCGTCACCCAGGGATTCTATCAACTCTCTTCGCATCCATCAGCAAACTCAATGATTCCTACTCAGAACTTGTCAACACGTCTTTCACGATTCCGCCTTGCTTTGCGAGGTATGTGATCCATGGCGATGTACGCGAACGTGAGGGCTGGACCCAGAGTCCACCCCGGATCTGTATATCTGTGTTCCATCACCGATGCCGTCGTGTTGCCAGCACCATACAACCCAGGAATCGCCTTCTCATCTTCATCCAGGACTCCGGCGTATCGATCTGTCAAAGGCCGCCTGCCGGGGTTGCAGCGGCATTGCAGAAGTTGTGGAACAGTGCTTTCGAGAGCTACGCTCACTCGTGGATGGGTAGGGAAGCTCCGGCCATGGGACTGGCCAAGGCATTGCAAGGCTGTCATTCTGCAAGAACGGTAAAGCAGGCTTATCAGTCGAAGTGCGGCTGTTCAACTGAACGTAGGTATGAGTAAAAGTCAAAACCGCAAGCCTACCAAGTGCGTCGTTTCTTCTCTGGTTTGATGCTTTGCGCTTCATGGCTTACCAGGCTTAATCTCAGGATGCGGGGATGCGGGCCCAACAGTATTGTGAGTATGTGGTGCGTCATCTCACTATCAAATATCATCAATATATTCTCATTTTCTTTTCTGGAAGTTTCATGATTTCAATAGGCAACTTTCTATATCTTCCAGCTTTGTTTTTTCTAATCCGAATTGTAAGTCGTTTCATGCTTTTGCTATTGGAACGACTACACCTAGTGCCTCAGCCAGGTTCAAGTACCTAAACATGCTACTGCTGTTCTCGTATGCTACTAACCTATGTAGGGGATATTCGGGGTAATAGATGTGGGACGGGTTTCTCAGTTCCCGAGAGCCGAACCAGAGGCTGCAGTATCCTTGCTCAACGCCACCAGCTTCAAGGGCGACGGGAGCGTCTGAATCTGGCATTGTCCGGGCTTTGTTGTATCTGTGCGAGAAGCTAGTCCGACGGAATCGTCCTAGGGTAGTCAACGACGTCTCTTGTCCTTGTTGTGGAGCCCGGGCTCGATCTCAGCAAGAGGAATTAAAAGTGCAAAAAATGCAAACGCCATAGTCCCAGCGGGAATCGAACTTCTTGGCGGCAAAAACAAAATGGCAAAACGTAACCACCCAGCTACCGCTGCGCTACTACACTGTAGAGTCGCAATTTTTTACGGGATCGCTGAGTGGCTACGTTTCTCTGTTGGTTAGTTGAATGGCGACCAAAAATTATAGGTATATTAGGTATCATTTAAGGTTGGACCCTGAAAACCTGAGATCATAACAAACGCTCGCCATCACGTGTAACCCGCGCGCCTCACCTGCACCAAGCTCTTTCGACGCCGCATTCTGAAGGTGAGCTATAATTCCAGGACACTATATCACGTGCTACACTACTTAAAGGAGACTGCTATGTGGAAACAATTTACGCGGTTTTCACTTGATACTAGTGGCTAAAATCTAATTATGGGTATATAAAACAAGAGCAAGAGAGGAGTCAAGAAATACATCCGTGGGCATCGGCGATCTTATTCGCAATACTCAATCAGTTCCAACGTTTCACTTACTCCGACGCCGGCACTAACATCATATAAACGCTTTCGAATAGCTTCACCATTCGCGGTCCCCACGAATCTGCTCAGGCACAGGTCCAGTCTCTCTCTCATGGACCGGTTGTCCCTGACACAAACTTCTCAGATCCACCCTGATGATTATCACACTCCGGCCGATAGAAACAAAGCCTCGGCGTAGGACGCGCTGCGCAATTCGAATCCTTGTTCTCGTGAACCGTTTCCCAGAGCGAGCACTTTAGCACATCATTCCCGCTGTCAAGGCAATCCCAATCCACCTCCTGATGACTGCGGACGGTAGTGAGGCTATAAAGCCTTTCCGTCTTTCGAAACTCATCCACATCGCTGTTCGCAGGAACGTTGATCCTGCGATACTGCGCATCTCCGCAGAAGCCGCTCATCTGGAAATCCCACGTCGCGCCGCTCTTGTCAAGAAGACCGTGCCAGTTCCATCGCGTTGCGTGGTGCGCGTTCTTCTCGCCGTGCAGGAGGAAGGTGTAGTGGCCGTCTATGTAGACTTGGACGTCCATCGTGCTTCTGAACTCCCGGACTCCCGGTGGCCCTTGTGAGGCAGAGCAGTGGACTTGCACGCAAGGGAGGTTTGAAGGGCGCCTCTCGGTGGTGCCGGCGTGCGGGTGCCATGTTTCGCGGATGGGGATTTGGAGGGGTGGGCGCGCGTTGCTTACGGATACGGCGAGGAAGAGTACTATTAGGGCGACGAGTGGTACGGATATCATCTTGGATGCAAGCAAGCAAATAATGCACGCCGCCGCAGCCTGCTCAAGATATCGAGCACAAAACGGGTTAGATAAGGTAGTTCTGAAGGTGAGCTCATGTGCGATACTGGCAGAAATGGTGAGTTTGGGGATGTTAAGACTGAAGGCGTTGCTCCGCCCTCCCCCCCCCATATTCCGAACTGTGCCGTACGGTGCTGCGCATTGCGTCGTTTGGAACCACTTTGGGGGCCAACTTGGGCTCGTATCTTTCGTTCTAAGCTTGCTGTACAAGGGGGTAACCTGAGCGGGCTGCTCGCCCTCCTTGTCAGTTTTAGGGGCATTATAGTCGTACCCGCACAATTTTCCTAGGATATTACTATAATGCCCCCAAAACTGACAAGGAGGGCGAGCAGCCCGCTCAGGTTACCCCCTTGTACTTGGTCAGCTTGAACGTCTAGGATGGCCCTCCCAGCCTCGCCAAGCATGAGTGGTGGCGCAGCGACAGGTAAGCGATTTGCATTCTTATCCTTCTGACTAGAAGTATGGAACTCCATTATCATGCCAACTTTTTGTTTGGTTTGTCTCCTGTGAAATGGCTTCAAAGTGCTTCGGTGGCATCCCGTAAGATTCTCACTGGATATGCGAATTAGACGCTCGGGAACTTGACATTCACCCCAGCTGAGTCTTCGATGCCCTAGGAGCGTCTCACGCTATTTCCTACATACCCCAACCGCAATATCCCTGCCTTTCAACTTGGGGCCACCAGTACTTCGAATCAGCGGGTAGATTCACAGCCTCAAGGCTTTGACATTCACGAAATCCAAGTATGATATCACGCAGTGGAGTCTCACACCATTTCCTTTGTACCCAAACGCAATATCATTAGCGTTCCATTCACGACCATGATCCCATTTGATTCATCAAGCAGATCAACACGATGTTGAGGTCAGATGCGGTTGCAAATGAGGTTGTCTCTTGACTGAATGGCTGTCTGCTTGCTGGGCCAGTCCTGACAGTGGTGTCGAGCGAGCAAGAGTGGAGCCCGAGCAGTGGTATGTCCATGTTCACGACGTTATGATCTACTACTGTGTAATTTGGTGTTTTTGGGGGAAATTCTTCCAATTTGTCTATTTATTGTAGTCCACGGAAAGGGCCAAAGAGCAAAAGAGAGCAGTTTAAGGCCCGAGAGGAGAGTGAAGAGGAAGCCGTAGCTCATCCCAAATGCCAGAACCAAAGAAAAGAACCAAACATTAATACAAGTAGAAGAAAAGAAGCCCGCCTCGTCCCAAAGACCATTCACCAACCACCCTTTGGTGCAGGAGCGCCACTGCTCCAGCCGCCACCGCCAGCTCCACTCTCCCAATTGTCGTTGTTATTGTCATCATTCTTCACCGAACCGCCCCATCCGTTGTTGGTGTCATTCTTCTTCGCCGACCCCTCCGCCGAGCCTCCCCAGCCGTTCTTGTCGTTGCTCTTCTTCGCTGACTCCTTTGCAGAGCCCTTCTGAGACTGCGATCCCCATCCTCCACCTGTTTCAGCCGGAGCGTCATTGCCCCAACCACCGCCATTCCCAGCGTCTCCCTTATCGTCATTCTTGCCCCAATCAGCCACCGAAGCCGCCTTTTGTGACCCGGAATGGTGCGAACGCGACTTGTTGCCCTCGGACTTCTTCCCCGAGCGCTCGCTCCGCTTCGTCGCGCCACTACTAGACCGCAGTCTCAGCATCGCCTCAACCATCTCCTCTTTGCTCATATTGAGCAGCTTGTCTCGAAGGTCGTCTTCGTTCTGCGTCTCCACCATCATCTCATCTAGGTCGTTATCCAGCACGTCTTTGCCGAGGATTTTCTTCAGCGCGTCTCGAGAGCGGTACTTGAAGCGGAAGACGGCGTAGGGTTTCTCGAGCGAGTCCATGTACTCTGGTCTGCCGATACGGTGGTGATAATCTGAGCCCTTGCCGGCGCGGACTTGGTGGTCTAGGGCCTCCTTCTTTGCGTGCGAAGAGGGGATCCTAAGGAGAGGCTCTTCGGGTTCAAGATAGACTTGCTTCGCTTTGGGTGCTCTAGCCGATATGTCGGAGAAGGTGTCGGAGAAATCGTCACGAAGAGTGGGCTTCTTGTCGTTCCAGGTGGACCAGTACGACCGAGGGGCTGTCGATGGAGGCGGAAGGTACGTAGAAGGTTTGTGGTTCGATGAGTCGTGGGAGGATTTGTGTGAGGACTTGGAGTCACTCTTTCGGGAGGTCGATTTATTGTCGTTGTCTCCCGTGCCCCATGCGTCACCGGCCTGAGACGCTGGCTTGTCGTTATTGTCCTCATTGCCCCAGCCAGCATTACCGGCGTCGTTGCCCCATCCTCCACTATTGCTCTCGGGTTTGTCCCCATTGGCCGAACCTGTCTTTTCATCTTCGTTTCCCCAGCCCGTGTTGGCATCTTGGTCGTTTCCGCCCCCTCCCCATCCATCCCCATCATTATTTGTGTCGTCCTCTTTCGAATCTTGATTTTCGGTCGAACCCCAACCATTATCGTCGTTCTCCTGCTTGTCGTTTGACCCCCAGCCATCATCATCGTTCTTCGCTTGATCATCTCCGCCGGTAGCCCATCCATCATCGTTCTTGTCTTCTTCAGGTTGGGTTTCTTGGGTGCCCCATCCATCAGTGTCTCCTCCGCTTTCTTTCTGGGTATCATCGTTTCCAGCTCCCCACCCGGCCCCCCCACCCTTGTCTCCTCCGCTACTCCAAGGATCGGCATCTTCTTTTTTCTTCTTATCTTTCTTGCTGCTGCCTCCCCAGGAGTCATCGGCATCGGCTGTCTTCCCGGAACCCCATCCTTGGTCCACAGAGGCGTCATCTTTCTCCTTCGAGGTGTCGTCTCCCCAACCCGAAGTTTTCTTGTTACCCCAGCTCGTGTCCGATTTATTATCATCGTCTTTTTTTTCTCCGGCTTCGCCCCAAGGTTCACTGACTTCTTCGGCACCCCAGCCGTCCTTCTTACTCTTCTCACTCTTGCTGGTGCCCTGGCCGAGCTCCTCGAGTTGCTTCATGAGCAGCTGGATGCTTGACTGCAGTTCTACCGTCTTATCCACCTTGTCCTCTTCTTCAGTCTTGTCTACACCCCATGTATCATCGTCGTCACTGGTCTCTTTGATCGTAGCCCGGCTCGTTCGGCGGCTGGTACGTCTGGATGTCGATGGGCTCCAGGACACTTCCTTGAACTTCGGATCTTTCTCCTTTGTCAGCTTCTTGAGCGCCTTCAGCTCATTCATGATATGCTTTAAGTCTGAATCATCTCGGGACTTGCGGCGAGATCGTCCCGACTTTTGTCCTGATGCTTTGACAGTAGTTTCAGAGGTCCAAGAGTCCTGGTCGTCGGCGGCTTCCCAGGGATCATTGTTTGATTCGCCTTTTCTACTGCTGCCCCATTTCGCACTTGCACGGCGATTTTTGGTCGAGACGTCGTCGACGTCGGCCTCCCAGAGATCATCTTTCGACTGACCTCCGCCATTTCCGGTGCTACCCCATTTTCCACCCGCATGGCTCTCTTTAGACGAGACGTGGTCGTCATCAATCTCCCAGGGATCACCTTGCAAGCCGCCTTTTCCATTCTCCGTACCACCCCATTGTCTATTCGAGCGGCGGTCTTTGGAAGAGACTCCACCGCGGCCCCTTGAGTTCCGAGATCTTGAGCTGTGGGAGGTGGCGCCTGATTTATGACGGGATCCAGAGAAGACTACCGAGCCTGAGTCGCTCTCGGAGGATGGATAAGTGCCTGGCACTTTACCATGGCGAGCACGATGGCGTCGCTGGCTCTCTCGGCTCCCGGGCGAGTGTTCATCTGAAGGTTCGTAAGCTGTATGCCCTTTGTTAGCATGCTGTTGACAGGCAAAAGAACTAGAAATCAAATTACACAGATCATCGCTAAAATGAACATGTTTTTGCATACCATGTGTCTGACGCAGATGAGTATAGTACTTCGGATGAGCGCGCTCATCAATCCAACTCGCTTCATCGTGCTGGTCTTGCGTGCTTGGGCGGCGACGAGTTTCTTCCACAGGATCGTTCACCAACCTCAGACTGGAAAGTAGCTTGCTGATGTTATCGCTGATGTCGTCACTAGATTCGCGACGCCACTCTGGGCGGTAGGTCTCGGGAATATCGAGGGGACTGTGTAGGCCGTGAGCAGTGTGTTTTCCACGTCGGCTTCCCCTACGGCTGTCGTAAGATGGTCCCCAGTCGTCTGCGCTTCCATCCAAAAACTGGGGTAGTCGTGGAGGCGAATCGCAAGCGCCATCGAAGAGACCGAACAAGCCGCCAATGCTGCCTCCATTGTCAGACTTGGCCGGTGGTGGAGTCACAGCGCGCCCAGGTGCTTTCTTCGTAGCTATCACAGCGTTCTTGCCTTTCGGAGCTGGCTTCACTAGTGTAGGTTTCGACAGGCGTGGGATGGGGCCATTTGTGAAGACGTCTCCGGTGCATCGTAATACAATAATCTCAATGGTGCCGACAGCGTAGAGGACATCGGGAGAGATATCGGGAGCTTCATCAGCCGAGACTGTATCTGTCAGATCAGGATGTGGAAGATTCGCGAATCGAACGTTTTTACCAACATTGAGCTTTTCGAAGCTCCACTCACGGCCGAGGAATCTTCCATCTGAGCGCGTCTCCTCTTTCTGGCGGACACGAAAGTCGACAAGTGTACGATCCAATGACACAGTGCCGTCCGGAATGATGAGGCCTTGCCGATTACGGTTGCACTGGTAGACACCGTCTATGTATACAAACATGGCGAGACCAGGTGCGATATACCCCGATGTGGTGAGGTGTACAGTGAAGGGTTTCGGATTCGTCGGGATCGGAATGTAGGCTTCGACGACTCCATCGCTGTAGGTAACTCCATATTCGTGGAGCTTCTCATACGAACCAGCGAGCTCGATAGAGCAGTTGATGTCTTTGAGGGAAGGCATAGGTAGGTTTGGAGTGAGATCAATTCAGATGAGCCGATGTAGACATGTAAACACCAAGTCTTGTTGTGACAGTTTAGTTGACAGCCGGATTAGGGCAGGGTGATGTTATGTCGAGAGGCAGATGAGGTCGGGCGCAGGGGTGTTACGTCTGAGCCAATGTAGGAGGATGGTGAAGCTGACGCCAAAGGCCCTGCTCACCGCCGTCAGCTGGAGGTTCACGCCGCACGTTCACGCGCACACGAGCGAGGTTGACGATAGTGGAGAGGAGAAGAGAAGGGTGGGAGTGACTAACTTTTCAAGTGAACGTGTGCAGAGCCCCGCCGAGCGTGTGCTGGAGATGTGGGAGAGTTTTGCGGGCCCGCCGCCGCAAAGCGAAAACAAAAGGGCAGGAGCGGCAGCCTGCGTTCACGTGATCTGGATAGCAACGGCAACGATCCCAATCGACTCATCGAACAATAGGAAGAATAGCTATTGACGAAGGAGGCGGAGTATAGTTCTTCTATATAGATGCGGGTGCTCCAGAGGTTCCTTCCTTCAACACTTTCTTGGGTAGCTTTTCTCATCGCGGAATGTCCATATATCAACCCCTACCAGAAACGGCACTTTGAGAAAAGCAGGGGTTCTTACCGTTGCTAGACTTACATTACGCTCTAGTCTATTGAGGTTACCCGAATCGTAGCTACTATGGGGCCAGTAAGAGATCTATCCTAAGGTTATGGCTCCATGAAGGGACCATAGTTGTGGGAATTGGAGCGTCTTCTGTGTTGGACCTACCACCCTTTCGAATTGGGACCCCAACCAGCTCCTGAGCATGCCCAAGGACTTGTAAGTCTAAGACCACTACCTTTGTCTTGAAGGCATTGGTTCTGCTGTCGTGGGGAGCCAGTGACGTCGCAGCCCCTCCAAACCCACCGATCACGGAGCGCTCCTCTTCCAGAGGGTGCCGCACGTTCTTCTCAGGCCCATGTGATTTTGAATGAAAGATAAGAGTGCTCGGCGGGCATGTGCGCGAGCAATTCTACTTCCTTGTGGTCGCACAAATGGCGGATGATACTTCTGAGAGATAAGAAAGGGGTAACATACCAATACAGGACAGCTCACCCAATGGCCTTACGTATGCCAGCATCGTCATCCCGGGCCGGAGAACATGAGTGTCTGATTTGCGACAACTACGACTAAATCGCCAACGCGCCGCCCGTTGTGCTTACAGAAGCGCTGGCTCTAATGGACCTCTTACGGCAGCCCTACCATCTACGACTGTCGCGTCTGCAGCGCCGCGTGATATTTAATTCACAGGCGCAACCACCAGGAAACAGGCGTCATATGCTTTTATCCTAATGTCGATGCCGCGATACTGCGTACCCGGAGATGAGGCTGTAGGGCTGCGATGCTGCCAGGCCCTCAACAGCCGGGGCTGTCCCGGCGCTATGGCTCGCCAAATCCGCGCTAGTCCCAAAGCGTTGTCCCATTTCACAACCACCACGCTGCGTGGTCGACGATGTATTGCTCCACGCCTCCCAGAGCTTCAAGCGACATATCGTAGGGTGTGAATTGTGACTGCGCAGCACGATGGCACTTTTGCTGTCTTTTCGCATGCTGTTTGGCGAATTGGTGGTGCTTCAAGTACTTCAGCATCGCGGTGAGCTCGTGGCCCTCATGGCACGGTGAATGCGCCCGTGCCCAGTTGGCCGCCGCGCTTCAGATACTTCGAATTTGACCCGCCACCGTCTTTTCCTCCCACAGTATTTTCACTTCGCTCGCTGCGCTGAGAACCTTCTCTTCTACATCCTCTGCGCGCGGTCGCCATCTCACGAATCTCTTTACATCTACGCTTCTTCTTCATGGCCTAGGACAGTCGCACGTAGTGCAGCTGTTTTGGGTATCCTCTCCACTCCTCTTAGCTCTTTCTCGGGATCTGGCGTTTCGACGGTTTGGCGTTGACGTTTTCTTTCGATCACCATGTAAGTCGCGCCGGCAGCTCACTATGCTGCGTTCTTCCCATACGCTGGCATTCCTTGCGTCAATTGCCTGATGCTGACAAGGCGCAGGTCTCTCCTCTTTCTTCGTCGCCGCTACGAACGAGTCGTCAAGCGCATCGTTGAAGTTCATCATCCCAAGGCCGCAATCCCTCTCGCGCAGCTCTTCCTCGACTCTCTCACGGTCTCCGATTTCGCGAACCTCCCCGATCCGTAAGTAGCTCTCATTCTGTCGTATCAAACCGCTTCTGACCCTTTTATAGGGATGATTTCTTCACCGCCTTCCTCGACCAAGACCACCTCCCACCCCACACCTGGGATCTCATCGTCCAAAAGCTCAATTCTGCTGTTGTCGACTATGTGCACTATCTCGAGACCAACAGATTGGACGACTTGAAGGTCACCTGGCCAGTCAGCCTCCAAATCGACCCTCCAGCTCAGCTCTCCTGGCTTCGTGGATACGCCGGCGAATTCCCCCCCGAGGAAGCGAAAGCAATGCAAGCCGCATGGGACTTACGCTACACCGCGGAGCCCTTCGACCCCTCCACCGGCTGTGCAGGCTTCTCCGTCGTCTGTCGCAAATCTGTGGTCACGTGGTTCGAGTCGCAATGCCCACACTGGAACGTCTGCTTCGAGGAAAACATCGAACCAGCCCTGCGCCCCGACGTCTCCCTCGCTCCCACCTCCGAGGCCCTCCGTGCTGCCCACATCACCCGCTGCGAGGCCCTCTTTCGTCAGAAGATGGGGAACTACGTCCCGATGGACCTGACGCGGGGTGACGACCCGTGGTACCCCTTTCCCCGCCCCGGCCACACGAGACGTCCCAACTCGGACAAGCCTGCGCGTCCTCTTGTCGCTGTCGTCACCAAGTCGAAGGAAGCCAGACAGACGGTCCAAGACGCCAAAATCGACGCGAAAGTGAGCCGAATCACGAGCACCTGGCGCCCCGTCTTCGAAACCAAGGCCAGAGCGCAGCAGTACCTCAAGGAATGGAACAAGCGCTTCAAATCGCGCCGTCCTGCGCCCCCGCCTGCTCTGCCTGTCGCCAAGCCGGAGGACCCCCAGGAGGGCAGCTGGGCCTCGACAGCGTGCTCGGGGGAGAGCCTGCCAATTGAGGCGTCGTTCAAGACTGCACAGGAGATGATGCGGAATCGGGCGAAGTCTGCTGCGGGTTTGGGGACCCCGATCCCGGGTCGAGGTGCTCCGGAGGAGGTGAGTGTGAGCTACGGAGTCAAGCTCGGGTCGAAGCCTTGTGATTCAGGCTTCATGGAAGCGTATGTTGGATCCCGTCTTGGTCGCATTGAGGAGGCGTAGGGGCGGGTTTCGGGCCTTTTGGTGGTTATTTGGACGGTTCTGTCCCCTCTTTGGGGCCTTTTGGGCGATTTTGCGTACGAAGTGGCCAGGTATAGGGGTACTTCTGGTAGTAATAGTGACCAGAGAAGGGAGTAGGGCTTGGGAGATATCCGGGTGTGTGTTTTCCGTAGGTTTTGAATCTGATTATCTGAACTTTGCTTCTGAACACGTGAGAAATTGTGTGAGACACCTCTGAGCGTTTGAACATGATGAAATCATGAATGTCAAATGCTAGAGGCTTGGAATCGGAGCGTTGACCATCACTTACGGATAGACAGTGTGAGACGCCCCAGAAGGAGTGAACATGATGAAATCGTGAATGTCAAATTCCAGAGGCTGCAAATCGGAACCTTGGCCACCACTTACACATATATCTGAATCTGAGCACTCGAACATCGCTTTTGACCGCACAGGGAATAGTGAGACACTCCAGAGGGTTTGACCTTGATGAAATCGTGAATGTCAAATTCCAGAGGCTGTGAATTAGAACCCTAGCTACTACTTACGCACGGGTTTAAATCTTAGCACTCGGGCATTGTTTTTGACCACACAGGAAATAGCGTGAGACATCCCGGGACTATTGAGCATGGTGATTTCATGAATGTTAAGTTTCAGAGGCCCTGAATTGGACCGTCGCTCACAATATACGCATGTGTCCGAATCTGGTCATTACACAGTTGCTTTTGACCACCTCGGAAATAGCGTGAGACACACCCGAGGGTTTGAACATGATAAATAGTGAATGTCAAATTCCAGAGACTGCGAATCAGACCCCAGCTACCACTTACCCAATGGATCTAGATCTGAGCACTCGGGCATGACTTTTGGTCTCTTAGGAAATAGCGTGAGATACTCCTGAGGGTTTGACATAATGAAATTGTGGATGTCAAGTTCCAGAGGCTCTAAATCGTGTGACGATAGTAGACCTACCGCAAACAATGCCCGAAAGCATATTGGAGGATTCCTCCGCATCCGCACAAAGAACAAAGAAACGATGTAACCAGCCAACTTACAGATAACCCGACTCGCCATCATTCATCTTAGCTATCTAAATAATCCATCTACCAGCTTGTCTCGCCTTACCAGCAACCATGTGCTACCACCGCCTCTACATATTTACTACCTGCGGCCACTCCTGCTATGCAACCTACCCTATCCTCCCATGCGACGCCGTCCGCAACGCCCCTCGAGATCCCACGAAGTCGAGCTCTGAAATCACCAAGCCTCTGCCAGTAGCCCGGCCTTCCCAACCCCCATCCTCACCCATCTTTTCAGACGAGCCCTTGAACAAAGGCAAAGGCAAAGAGAAAGCCCAAACCGACGTCACCAGCTGCCCAGGCCCACAGTCCCACCCCCTCCAGTCCCTCCGCCTCCATCGCCTCTGCGCCGTCTGCACCCGCCGCCGCGACGCCTTACTCTGCGAAGTTGAGTCAGGCCACGTCGTACGCTTCGAGGACTGGCGCTGGAAAGTCAAGTATCAATCCCAATTAAGGGTAGAGTTGACTGACTGGAACGGCGCGAGCGTCGGAGAGGTACTGGGGAGCTGGGTCGGGGGGTGGGGAGGGGACTGGAGCGCTGAGAGGAGTGGAGGGAAAGGACCGGGAGGGTGGCTGGCTGCGTTGAGGGATGTCGCTGCGAGCCCGGTTCCGGCTCCGGCGAAAGGAGATAGTAAGGATGGTTCGAGGGTAGGATTTCGAGGCGGGATTGGGAGTAGTTGATGTTGAAGGTTGCAAGCGGAAGTTGGGGTGGTGAAGACAATCACGTGTCAAAGGCTTGGCGTTTTTGGCTATTGCGTTCAACCTCATTCATCGTTACTCGTCGCCGCGAACAGCTCCAGCAATCCGCCCGACAGCTCAATTGACGCTTGCCGTCCGAACGAACGAGTTCAGAGGTTCGATCTACCACTCAATCACTACTCGATCTTCCTCCTTCGCGACTTCCACCGACTTCCTCATCCGCCGCAATGCCGACGCCCGAATCGGCGGCCTTCCTGGCCAAGAAGCCTACCGTCCCGCCGACCTTCGATGGCGTCGACTACGATGACAACAAGGCGCTGAAGGCAGCGCAGGACTCGATTTTGAGGGAGCAATGGGTCAGGAGCATGATGGCGCGGCTGGTGCGGGAGGAGATGGGGAAGTGCTATTACCGGGAAGGCGTGAATCACTTGGAGAAGTGTGGGCATTTGAGGGGTGAGTTCGGTTGTCTTCTCTTTCATTGCTAAGCATGGCACTTGTTGGAGGTCATGAAATTGCAATCAGGACCTGCTTTGTTCGAATGGAACGAATGGCCAATATTTGATGTGTTGGTGCTAACTATCACGCTGTAGAACGATACTTCGAGCTCCTCAAGGAGTCCAAGGTCCGCGGATACCTATTTGAGCAAGGCAATATCATTCCCAAGTCATAGTCGGTGGTCAGGACAATGACAAAGAAGATGGGGGTGGCAAGCGGATCCCGGAGCTCAGGATGTGGACATCAACGACATCACACGACAGAAGGGACAATTGGGCGCTCTGAATTTCCGGCAGAGGTTTTTGTAAATACCGGGAAGCCTGTGCTTTTCTCCTTGGCTGTATCATAGCTCGATGTCGTGGCGTGAGTGTCGAGGCTACTTGAGCATAAAGGTCGACGCAATGCGAACAATACCATACACGCCAATGCAAATCGTACACCAACAACAATGTGCCTCATACGGAATCATGGGACAACCGTGCCTTGACTGAACTGGCTCTCTTCGTATTCGATTCGGGTGATGTACTGGCCTGGTACCACGACAAGGCCGACATATCTGCTCATCAAAGGCACTTGGGCGGAGGGATTGCCGGAGGATTCGACCGTCTTTCTTATAGTAGCTTCTGAGGGTTGCCGATATTCGTATGTGAGAGCGAGAATGATGTTGCGGTCCTATTTTCGGATTAGCTTGTAGCTCGCAAAGCTTTTGATGCTTTGTTCGTACCTTGTCTGTACACTTCATCTGACCCACAAAGATGCGGCTATCACTCGTATATAACCTCAGGCTCCTGCCAATCAATTGCTCGAGGTATGCGGTAGCCTCTTGATTGTTCATGGTGGCCTTTCTTGGTGTGTAGCTTTCCTCTCCAGCTTCAAAAGTTCCGCCCCACCACCATAACCTCAACCCACTACTAGTGCCATCGCATCCTCCACCGACAACTAATACACAGAAACCATGCCCTTCCCTTTCACCCTCCCTACAACCTCCAGCCTCTCTTTCCCAGACTTCTACACCTCCGCGACCCACCCCTCCCTCCCGCTCTCTGCAACCACCCACCGCGGCGTCCTCCGCGACACGCTCAAGAAACACAAGCGCCTCCCGCCCGCCTCCCAACCCTCGAACCTCCCCTCCGTCCTCTCCGCCCTAAATGCCTACATACCATACCTCTTCGCGCTGGACGCCGGGCTCGGCGGGCGCAGCATCGCGGGGGAGGAAGTCGACGTCGTGCTCGTGCGAGAACTGGAGGTCGAATGGCGGGCGACCCTCTCCGCCTCAATACCCGGGCGCGAAGCTTCACGCGTAAAATTAAAGAGCCTAGAAAGCGAGCTCTGCTTTGTGCTCCTATGCGCAGCAGAAGTCCACGCTCTGCTCGCGCGCAGCCAGCTGCATACGCTCTACAACGCGACTATGCCCACGGCCGATCAACGCGCCACAGCCATTGCGGCGGCGATGCGGCACTTCCTCGACGCGAACGCGGTGTGCGGGTATCTGGTTAGCAGGGTACAGCAGTGGGCTATGCCGCCTGTAGCGGTGGATATCTCAGTCCCGGTGCTTAGTGCTCTGGGGGAATTGACGATTGCGGAGGCGACGCTGATTACAGTGCTGAAGGATGATCCGTACCCGGGCGTTGTGCTAGAGGATCGGAATAAGCAGAGTAAGGACTGGATGTTCAAGAGTGTGGAGATCCCGAAGGTGCGGGCGCATTTGTTTGCGAGGTTGTGTCTCAGTGCTGCGGAGCATGCTGCTAAAGCACAGGCTATGCTTAGCAGCGCTGGCAAAGTTGATGAGGGGTTAGTGAAATATGTGGATGATTTGAGGCGGACGGCGAGGGGGAAGGCGTGCAGATTCTTAGGGATTGATGCTGAGTTAGCGGGAAAGACGGGTGAGGGGATTGCGTGGGTGAGGGGGGCGAGGAGAGAGTTGGGGTTCCAGGCAATTGGGAAGGAGGAAGAGAGGAAGGGGGGCACGTTTTCGAAGTTAAAGAAGGATTGGGCGGAGAAGAGGGAGGATCGGAAGGTGGAGAAGGGTGGTGATTGGGGGACGGATGGTGGAAAGTTTGAGGAGGGGAGGGTGCTGGAGATGTTGGAGAGGAAGTGGGTCAAGATGAATGATACGGTGAGTTCATGTCTAAGTACGATAATGTGGCATCGGTGTACTAATTCTATTGTAGGTTGGAGTTCAGTTGATTCCACCGTCTGAACCCCTACTCGCTAGCATGCCTTCAGGAAGGGAATATCACACGCCAAAGCTGTACATCACACCTAGCCTAGATGAGGACGTCATATCACCAATGAGAGCACCTCCTGATCCTAGCGAGTCGGGATTCAAGGGGGACGAGGACGACAGTAACGATGAAGACGAAAACAAGAGCTCTCCTGTTGGAGCATTCCCTGGAACAAAGGGAGAGTACTCTGGTGGGACAACGTACTACTAGGAGCTTCTTGAAATCAGTGACTTCAATCTGAAGGTCCCACAAGGCAACGACGCTACATCATCTAGATGAACCTCATTTCACCTCTGCGGCGTTTAGTAGGAAAACTTGGATAGCCCGGCGTTTTACCAGCCGTTAAGTTCGACTTTACAGACGCCTGGATGACGACCCATTAGCAGCCCGGGGTCTGGCATGCTGCAGGAACCGTGCTTCTTAGATCTTGGGTCTGCCATCCCAGGCTATCGGAACGAATTATACCCGATCAATCACCAGTCAGCTGCTCGTCAGCGTGATACCAAAATACCAATCTGGTTGGACGTCTTTTGAAGGGTCAACAGTGCATGTCCATTCGAATTTCCATTACGACATAGATTCTACCCCACACTGCGCTATCGTCTGGGCATCTCGATTGCCGCAACTACTTTGAACCTCACCCCTCGCCGGACCGCGTGGAAAACCAGGACCTTGGGCACCGAGAATCTCTCGATTCGCCGTCACGTAGTTCTATCTCGGCCTCATAGGGGATCTGAGCTGCTATCCCGAAGGGGTAGGTACAGGCGTGTAATTGGGGGTTGGTTACAGGGTCCACACCGGCCAAGTGCGCGGTGCAAACACAGCGTAAATTTAGGGCTGAATCAGATGCCGTTGCGTTTCGTCCTTATCAGTTCCGTTGTGACCTCTCGTGTCAATTGGCGAACTCCCAGGCGCGTCAACAGCCGACTCTGAGCAGCGGACGCGCTAGATAGCGGCGTGCGGCCCACAATCCAGCGAGGTGCTCCCCCAAGGTGCGCCACCTCGCCTGCAGCCGACTCTCCCGCATCGCAATTCCAAGCTTCGCAAGCGCCCTGAGGTCTGCACTTGTGATACGGGCGCGGAGTGCTCGCCACATGATAAGGACTGCTTTGCACGACTGCAACGAACCCAAGGCAGGCGAGACCCCTGCAAGTAGCACAGCTTCTCCTCCACTGAACTCCAGTGCCGGCCCGCCCACTTGGACCGTCACTGGCTCCGGCTCCCGCACCGTATCTTCGCCTGTCGGGCTGCAGATGCCTCTTTCAGGACGGGGCCGATCTCTCTGGATGCTCGTGCGCTGCGAAGCCTACGCCTACTTATCTGAACGACGCCCATGAGCGCGGCCGGCTTCTCAAGTCTGCAACAGCCTCTCCGCCAGATATTCCCAAACAAACCACCATGTCGGCCCGGAATCTCAGCGTTACCTCTGCCGGCGCGCGTAGGAAGAGCGTGGCTGAGGAGCCCGTGACGTCGGTCCTCCCCGGTGGGGACGTGCCCTACGACCCCAACCATGAATACAGCGCCGACGACGAGGTGCTGGCCGCCCTGGGCTACAAGCCTGAGTTCAAGAGAGAGTTTAGCTTGTTCACGACTTTCTGTGTCAGTTTCGCCGTTCTGGGGCTGCTTCCTAGCTTTGCGAGTACGCTATACTATGGCATGGGTTATGCAGGAACTGCAGGTATGATTTGACACTTTTTTCATTCTTTGTCATCCTTCAAAACGTCAATCTAACGTCGGCAGGCATGACTTGGGGTTGGCTCGTCGCCATGATCGGTATCCAGGCCGTAGCCATGAGCATGGCTGAGCTGTGCTCCTCTATGCCCACCAGCGGCGGGCTCTACTACGCAGCTGCAGTCCTCGCCCCGCCAGGATGGGGACCACTCGCGGCTTGGGTCACTGGATGGTCCAATTGGCTAGGGCAGGTGACGGCTGCACCGTCCGTCAACTGGGGAATTTCTTCAATGATACTGGCTGCAGCTTCAATCACGAACCCCGACTACGTCCCTACCGATTACCAGGTCTTCCTCCTCACCACCTTCATCATGCTTATCCACGGCGTCATGTCCTCCCTACCCACACGATGGCTAGCACAGATCAACTCTGGAGGCTCAACCTTCAACTTTATCGCTTTGATTGTTGTCATCATCCTCATTCCCGCCGGCACAGATCGTGAATCTCGCGGCCTGCCGAAGTTCACCAAATCGAGCGAAGTCTGGGGCGACATCTATGCCGGTACCGAGTTTCCCGCTGGCATCTCCGTCTTGATGAGCTTCATCGGTGTCATTTGGACCATGAGCGGCTACGACAGCCCATTTCATCTTGCAGAAGAGTGCTCCAACGCCAACTTGGCTTCACCCCGTGCCATTGTCCTCACCTCTGCAACCGGGGGAATTTTCGGCTGGTTCCTCCAGCTTGTAGTCGCCTACACCGTCGTCGACATCGACTCTGTGCTGGGCTCTGATCTCGGCCAGCCTTTTGCGGCCTATCTTATGCAGTGCATGCCGCAGAAGATCACCCTCGCTATCCTCGCCATCACCATCATTGCCGGCTTCGCTATGGGCCAGGGTTGCATGATCGCCGCCTCCCGAGTCACCTTTGCCTACGCCCGCGATGACTGCTTCCCGATGTCCAATTATTGGAAGCAGGTCAACCCCGTCACCCACACTCCTGTCAATGCTGTGTGGTTTAATTGCATCATTGGCATCTTGCTTCTCTTTCTCATTTTCGCTGGCAACGTCGCCATTGGCGCGCTCTTCTCCATTGGCGCCATCGCCGCGTTCGTCGCGTTCACGACACCCATTTTCATCCGGGTTTTCTTCGTCGGCAATCGGTTCAGGCCTGGCCCGTGGCATCTTGGCAAATTCAGCATCCCGATCGGTGTGGTTGCAAGCGCGTTTGTGGCTCTCATGGTGCCGATCTTGTGCTTGCCGAGTGTGAAGGGTGCGGATTTGACGTGAGTATCCTTTCAACTACGAGCACTGAAACAAAGTACTAACTTCGACAATACAGTCCTGACCTCATGAACTGGACCTGCCTCGTGTACGGCGCACCCATGCTCGGCGCTATGGTTTGGTGGTTCGTCTCCGCGCGCAAGTGGTTCAAGGGACCGAAGGTGAACGTCGAACACATGATGTTGGGCCGCGACGGCAACGTCGTTGAAGGGGAGGCGAAGGGAAATGACAGTGGTTCAGAAGATGGACCGACGGTTGCGGAGCTGGCTGATTCGAAGAAGGCTGCGGAGCTGGCTGATTCGAAGAGGGCTGCGGATGCTCTATGACTGCGATGAGGAATGAGTCTGTCTAGGTATGATTATCTTATTTACGTGATATAATTAGTTCTGCTACTTAAGCTAAGGCGTGCTTGATGAGCGATACCATGTATCAATTCAATTTTTAGTTTACTATCGTATTTGATTTGTGGAGATGAGATTCCTGCTGGAGGAATGGATGTATGAGTTTATGGGAGCTGTAGAACGATGCACGGGCGGTTAGAACGTTTCCACATTCCCTTTGGAAACAAAGTTTCTCTCCCGTCACTTTAAGTCGGAGTCGGAACATTCAAGAGTCTCTTAAGGGGAGTCAAGCACTGGCTGTTGACGCCACGATCCGAAACCGTGTTTGAAACGCGTTGACGATGCGGCCAATCATCGCGCGTCGTGGGACACCACGTGACTAATGCAAAACGTCTTCTTCCTTCCAACCCCGTCGCTTGACTAAACTTCACCGCGAAGGCCGCAAGGCACTGGCCACAATCATCGCTGTAGACTTCACGATGCCCCTGAGGGGGCCAAGGTAGGGTATTACACAGACTCATACGGGGTGCGAAGTATATTACAATGAGTTTCCCCTCTCTGTGCACTGCTCCCTTGCAACGCGACAATCCTTTCATCGTTATACCGTAAGACTCTTTGTGTACATTGTACGTTGTTCAGTGGCATTCCGCGTAGATTCATCGCTGTGCTATAAGAGTCACCGTGTCTCATTTTCTTGTATAAAATCTTCTTTTCTCACTACTTTCTTCCTAACCTATCCACCTACACGCATCGATCTGGTTATCGCCCTCTTACGCCAACAACACCGAAACGACTTTCAAGACTTACCACAACCACTACAACTCAAACGAACGAGAAACTCTAGCATAATGTATCTCCAAACCGCTCTCATCGCCGCGACTTTCGCAACCCTGTCAACCCTCGCTACCGCGGCTCCAGTCCCATCCGCTTGTGAGGCCCCTCCTGCTTCGAGTGCCACGCCCGCCTCGACCGCAACTCCAACCCCGAATGCTAATTCCCCGATCGCAGCACCTTCTGGAGGCCTTACTGCGGCGATAATCACGACCATCCTACCAGCCACCGCCGCTTGTACCGGCACAGATCAATATGCCAATCAGTGCCGCACCGCCGAACAAGCCGCGCCCCTCATCAACAATTCTTTCAAAAAATATGGCATCAGCTCGAAAGCGGAGCAGGTCGCCCTACTCAGCATCATGCTCTTCGAATCCGTCGGCTTCAAGTACAATCACAACATTAGTCCCGGCCGCCCGGGCCAAGGCACCCGGAACATGCAGATGATAGGCTTCAACTTGCAGTATGCGCAGTCACTGTTCCCTCCCGATAAGGTGGCAGCAGCAAATGCGTCTGGTCCCAACGATGTGTTAGCGCTTGTCAATACGGATGACTATAGCTTTGCGAGCGCGGCGTGGTTCTTGACGAGCCAGCCAGCGTGCAGTGCTATTCGCACCGAGCTGCAGACGGGAAGCACGGCGGGCTGGACGGCATATCTGACACAGTGTGTCGGTACGACGGACACTCCTGATCGGGACGTGATCTGGAACGCTGCGAAGGCGGCGATGGGAGTTTAGGGTATGTGTGGTTACTAGACACTTCCCTTCTCGCCTTCTTGACTGTAACACTGACATCACGCAGTACAAGCTTGATGCGGCTATTCCCGCTTCTACTTTGTATTCTGCTTCGATCTAGGCTTTGCTCTCTGTGAGAGTGGAAGTCTAGATATTCCTTTTTCGATGGTTTTGTAATGTCTAGGTCATTTTGCATAGACTCATGTCTCTTAATGATTCTCAATGCTGATGAAATTTCTCTAATTTTTGTTCTTGTCTAAACGTGAGACTTGTTACGTTAATCCACCAAAAAAATTGACCAACGCTTGAGCGTTCCCTAAGAATATAATAGAACCTCGAGAACGGCTTGCGGAGGTGAGACGACATTATCAGAAGTGAGATATCATGAGGCAAGAATACTCCTGAGGTCAAGTTCCATCACGTGCTCTCACTGAATCAAAGGGAACCTCCTCACATCCATCCATCTATATATTTCAAAATATTTGAATCCTCCCCGTACTAACCAGCAGGAATCTTGCCCCAGTGGCACCGGCCCCATCACCTAACATGCTAACCTTAGGTTTTTCTCTTCTTTTGCTCTTTACTTTTTTGCTTAGCGTCGGGTTCGACTCCCGCTCTCATCAGAATCTTTTTAGAGAAACCATTTTTGGAGGGTAGCTACACCCCTCCCCTGGGAAGGGTGATGTTTTGCTCTTTTCTATACTTTCGATCTAGGGATCTATTTTTGCTATATTTATGCGGTAACGTAGGTGCGGTAGTTTGAACTGTCCTATAGAGCAACAAGTAGAAACAGGTGCGCCGTTCAACTTTTTTGCTGTGGTAGAATATACCCTACTTTTAAAAAGTCACCACAACCTCGCAGGTTAAATACTCTCACCTACGTCACTCTTAGCTATTTGGAGTGAAGTAGGTAGAAACCCTCGTTTCTGAAGCATGCTCGGGGTTAGATCAAAAGACGTTGGATGTCAGGAAATGAAAGTTTTGGCGGTGAGGACTACACCTATTCGGGGTATATGCAGCGCTCGGCTACCTAATTGGTGGGTTGAGTCATCCTTCTATATTCGCTACATTACTTAAAGGACCATTATGCTCCCCTTCCCACCTTTAAAGAAATATCAAACCTTTCATTTCTACTCTCCATTTCAGCCTCAGGTTTCATCTCTTCGTGTTAAAGTTAGTTTATCCTTACTTCGCTGCGAAGTTTCCACACTCCCTCCAACGAAGCATCACAATGTCATCAAAACCTCCTTCTCCATCACGAACCGCCTCAACATCAGAATACCATCATGCCCTCCGCCCTCAAACAAATCGCGCTCTCCGCTCCACCGCCGCCCTTACCGCAATCACAGCCGGCATGGCCGCATCGCTAGCCTGCCTATCACCCCTCCTACACTCCAACCTCCTCCTAGACCCATACTCCCCAGCAGTCCCACCAGGCACGCCAATTCTTCGCTGGACGCCAGGCCTCCTCCTTGCCAGCAACTTCTTCAGCGCCGTCCACGTCCCTACCTCGTTACTTATCGAGCGCTACATCTACCACCAACCCACAGGCTCCCTCTCCTCAACCTCCAACCATTTCCGATGGAATTGGCTATTGAAATTAGCAAAACGCGTCGTCCCCACCGCGATCATATGCGGTGGGCTCATGCAACTCGTAAAACCCGCCGGCTGGCCTCAGCTCAGCTACCGCAATGTCGGCATGTCTCTCCTGACCGCCTTCCTAATGCCTTGGGCCGCCGCCGCCGAAGAGTACATCGTCCGCGGTCTGCTACAACGCATCACCGCATCCTGGTTCGTAGACCGGGGCACCGCGTTCTGGGTGTCCACGGGCATCACGAGTGCATTCTTCGCGGGTATCCATATGACAACCAGCGTGTGGATGAACGCATACTGTGTGCTTTCGAGTGTGAGCGGGAGTCTGATGACGCGGTGGACCGGGGGGTTGGAGGCGAGTGTGTTGTTGCATGCGGTTAGTAATGTGGTGCTGATGGTGCCGCCGATGTTGGCGGGGAATATGGGGTATCTTGAGGATTTGACGGATAAGGGGCCACCAGGGGGAATGGTAGTGTTGGCGGGGTTGAATGTGGCGGTGGTGACGTGGGTAGTGAGGCGGGCTGCGAAGATGGAGGGGGAGAAGGAGAAGGAGGTGTGAGGCGGGAGGCTGGGATAGGCTCAAGCTAGGGGGAGAAGGGAGAGGGTTGTAAGATATGGGCTTCTCTTTACTCTATTGTATTCTCCACTCCGTATTAGAAGCCTTTGGTAAGCAGTTTCTACATCAGATATCTTCCATTCTTTTTGAGTTGATCTTTTGACTGAGAACTATAAAATCAAACCATTACTCTGAGACCACTATCTTATTAAATTGATATCTGATTTAGTATCGTGCTCCATGAAAACCTCCGAAAGTTCCCATCATTCATTCCTGGTCAGCATCATATGAAGTAACCTCAACATTATTTCCCATCTGGATTATACCGCGTTAGCCATACTCAAAGACTAGATGACAGCACAATGCCTTTCTTACCGGATCAATGACAAAGGCGCCATAGTACTTCGGTCCAAACTTCGGCCTAGGGCCCGGTGGGCCTTGGTCCTTGCCACCAGTGGCCAGGCCTGCCTCGTGGAACGCCGCGACGGCCTTCTTATCTGTATAATTCGATCCGTATTAGTGCCTACTACCAAGCAACACACACAACCCGCACGACGTACCTTTTGCAAGGAAAGCGAAATGGAAGCCAGGGCCCTCGCTGAACGTCATTGTCTCCTTTGAAAAGATCCAGAAGTCGTTCTTGCCGTCAATGCCGAAGCCGACTACGGTGCCGTAGTTCGCGGTTTCGGAATATCCGAGGGGAGCAATGGCTTTCTTGTAGAAGGCGACTGTCTCCTCGAACTTGGCGGGGGTGGTAGTGATTGCGATATGGGTGTACGGCATATTGAACGTTGGTTGTTGGGATTGGAAGGTGATTGTGTTAGGATTGCAATAATGTTAGGTATGAGGGTGTAGGATGGTTTTCAGCATACTCATTCTTTCTCGTCTTTATACGCATTCCACCTCTTACCTACTCAGGCCATTATAGACCCCGCACGTTGCCAGGTCCCTGAAACGCGAGCGACGCGCGCTCTCTTGTGACTCAGGCTATATATCATCTACTAAAGACATGCTAATTGGTAGGAATACGCCTTTTGTGCTTACATACATGGTACCATAAGCACATCCAAGCCTCGAAAAATTGCCTTTCGAGGACTACGGCATGATTACTGAACTTGCTGATGACTTGTAGATACGAGTGCCGTTAGCTTGCCCTTGTGGCATCTGAAGTGTACCCATCTGGATAAGAGAAGGCGCTTGCTACTGCGAAAGGGCCACCTCATCCCTTGGGGGTCACATCCAATTTAGACCTCGATAGTGAGGAAGCACAAAAGCTATTCGACCTCGGCGACGATTGAGTTTTGTTGGCCCGCGGGAACTAGAGCACAAGAAAGAACCGCTAGCCCCAGCTTAAATCCGACAGCCCCGCCAGTATCGTCATCAAGAGCCCTCCTGTGGAGAAGACGCACAGCAGAATCACACCACACGACAAATCTCGCTTACAAGAATCACACTTCACGACAAATCTCGTTTACAAAGAGGTATCTTTTCCTCCCTAAAGCCCTTTCTCCGTCCTATGCGCCCAAATCGGGCATGGCATCTTACCTTCTGCTTTCAAATGCACTTCCGGCGTTTGTGACCCTTAACACGACGACCCCGCCGCTCGCGCATGCAGTGCAGACTGGGATGACGTGCGGTATCGCTGGACCTTAGGTAACAAAACGCCATTGATAAAACCCTTTTTAAACCCCACTACTCCCGTATGTTTCTCAGCAGAAAAGTTCAACCTGTACTCTTTGCTGCAACGAAACTCGCGCCAACGAAACTCGCTTTTCCGATCAAGACTTCTATTCGTACCGTCACAATGGCTGGCCCTGTTGAGTCTAAATTTAGCCCCAAGGACATGGAGTTCCGTAACTTGGGGCCGAGTGGGTTGAAGGTTTCTGTGTTGTCGCTTGGCGGTATGTTTTCTTTTTTTTTTTTTTTTTTTTTTTAAAGGACGCTTTTGTAGTTTCTGACGATGCTGCGCCAGGCTGGTTGACCTACGGCGGCACGCAAAAGGGCAGCATTGTGAAGGACTGCATGCAAGCAGCCTGGGACCATGGTATCAACTTCTTTGATACCGCTGAGACTTATGCCAATGGCCAGTCTGAGATCGAGATGGGTCAGGCGTTGAAGGAGCTGGCGTGGCCAAGGGACGAGTATGTGCTGAGCACGAAGGTATGGATTTTATACCGTCATTTTGACATACACCTCGCTAAACATACTTCAGATCTTCTTTGGAACTGGCCGTAAAGAGCCAAACACCAGGGGGCTCAGCAAGAAGCACGTTGTCGAAGGCCTAAAGAGCTCGCTGGCTAGGCTACAGCAGCCATACGTGGATATTGTCCTTGCCCACCGAATCGATGTTGCGTAAGTCATCACATACTAAATCTCCCGATGTCGCTAACTTAAGATAGCACCCCGATGAAGGAGATCGTGGAAGGCTTCACCCAAGTCATCCGCAACCTCAACCTCGCCTACGTGAGCTTAGGCCCTCCCTTCAACACCGTTAAAAATCTAACCTGTAGCAGTACTGGGGCACCTCAGAATGGAGCGCCGCCCAAATCATGGAAGCCACCCAAATCGCCGAGAAATACAACCTCATCGCCCCAATCGCCGAGCAACCCCAATACAACGCCTTCCACCGCCAGCGCTTCGAAGTCGAGTACGCCCCCCTCTACGAGAAATTCCAATACGGCACCACCATCTGGTCACCCCTCGCGTCCGGCCTCCTGACCGGTAAATACAACGACGGCGTCCCCGAAGACTCTCGCTTCGCCACAAACTCAGCCGTCTTTAGCGACTCCGTCAAGCAACTGCAGACCGAAGAGGGCAAAGCCAAGATCGAGAAGGTCAAGAAGCTGACCACCATCGCGGAGAAGCTCGGCGGCAACGCTTCGCAACTAGCGTTGGCGTGGTGCGCGAAGAACCCGAACGTCTCCACCGTCATCCTCGGCGCTACGAAGGTCGAGCAGATCGTAGACAACTGCAAAGCGCTCACCCTGCTACCAAAGCTCACGCCAGAGCTGATGGAGGAGATCGAAAAGATTCTGGACAACAAGCCCGCGCCGACTCCTTCATACGGGCGGTCGAGGTAAGCTGTCATCTGTGGAGCTCTTCGTAGATCCGCTTGACGATTGACATGGCCAGAATGCCGCGCGTGGGGAAGAGGGCGAAGTTGTGAGCATTAGAACTTAGATTTCGGTCGACCTTATAAATTATATATTATAAATCCTGCCTCACCATCAGCACCCAGGGGATATCTTCATACCGGCCCTGCTCACGTGATTCGTTAATACTCCAGCTCGTCGGCTTCCCACTCCTCCCCCCTCTCCAGTTTTCTCTTCAAGTCATCCAACCGATTCCCCTTCTGCACCCACCTCGTCTCCAGCCACTGACTCAGTCCCTCCGCCGTTTCCGGTAGCTCAGCTATCGGATAACGATCCACGTGCACGTAAAACCGGTACCCCGTTGCAGCGAAGTTCGTCGTGAAGGTGTCCCAGAAAGAGGGCGCCTGCATGAAGTTCTGACCGTGGGCGTAGGCAATGGTCATATCGTAGACGGCGCGCACGTGCTTAGTGTGGCGCAACGCGTTGACGGTCGCGACGAAGCCGTGCATGCGGGGATACAGGACGTGCTTCATGACGGGGCGGTTGTGGTCGCGGCTCCATTGGATGCTGGAGCGTTGTTTGGCGGGGGTGAGGCGGGTGCCTTCGCTGTAAGAGATGAGCCCTGGGGGTGTTAGAGAGGGATATGTTGGATGCTTTTGGGTTGTTCATGATGGAGAGACCTTGAAGTAGACAGTATCTAAGAAGATGCAACGAAAGTAGAAAATCTTCGAAGGAGGCGAGATGAATGGCGCAGATACTTACAAACAGGCCACTTCTTCTGTACAACCCCTCTAAACACCTTCTCCAACTCCCTCTCGTCCTTCGTCCAGTTCCTCGATACTAGCGGCATCCCCATCGCCCACAGCCCCCACCCTAGAAACGGTACCCACCGTAGGCTCTTCTTCGCAAACCAGCGACACAGACCCAGCATCCCCGACCGCTGCGCAACCTCTTGGATCAGGTAGAAATCCGACCAGGACACGTGATTCGCGACCACAATCGCCGATTCTCCTTTCGGTAGTCTCTGATTCGAAGAAATGGTAATGCTAGCGCGATTCCAGGTGACGAAGATACCTTGGACCCACGCCCATACGCTGTTTGCGATGAGAGAGGATGCGTTGAAGACGAGGGTCGGGAAGAGCAGTTTTAGAGGCAGAAGCAGCGAGAGCACGACGTCGGCGCCGAGGAGGTAGGCGGTCCATGGGAGGAGGAGAGCCAGCCCACGGAGCTGGGCGAGGGGAGACAGAGGCATGAGTGATGAGACACGGAGGAGCGATGAGGGAGAGGTGGGATGAGGCTGGTGATGAAATGTATAATCAACGACGCTGAGGTGCTTTTATTGGTTGGAGGGTCCCCGCTAGTCGCTAGTGCATTTGGAGGTTCCTAGGTACCCGGAGGTATCTTGGGAGAGAGCTGTCAGGGAGGTCGCCAGTCGGTTCTGGGGTCTGGCTTCAAGTGGGCTTTGGGACAGCTGATGTTTGATGGCATAGGAAAGGGCCCCTTGCAGGCTGAAAGCGGTGTTGTGCAACGACGATCGGCTGTTTGGCTCTAGGGCTACAGAATGGAGACTTTTACTTTGAATTTTGTTCTTATTCCCTTACCTTTTCAAGCTCAATTGGGCGAAGACGGAAGACACAAGACGACAAGACCAATTAACTTAAACCGACTTCATACTATTTTCTTGAGTTGATGTTGAAACTGCAACTCCGCTGGCCAGTCATTTTCTCGGTCCACGGCACAACCGGTCCAGCCGGCGGGTAGCTTGGTAGAGCCTTAGGATTGGGACCCACCTCAGGGCCCAAAGATCTTCCCTGGGTCATCCAGGCACGTGCCGGGGTCAGTTTGGGTGAAAGCGGTTCGAATGTGAGGCTGAAGGCGGGAAGAAGGACCAATGCACATCGAGATCTAGACTCTGCTGACGCAGCGGCTTGCATTCTGGCCTTTGCTGTGTGCGCTTTGACAGAATGGCGATGACCTCAACTACCCACACCCATTTTGCACGTCTAGTCGCCACTTTCCTCAGTAGTACTGCTCTGCTGCTGATGTGGCCGTATGCCACCTACAGCGCCGGAAGCACTCTGCCCTCCGAAGTGACGAAGACGTGCGACAGGACGACCTCGCAAGCCGCAAGCCTGGCCTAGGCGTTGTCAGAAGCGCACGTAGCACCTCGCCGGAAACTTGCTGCTCCCTGCGTTTCGTCGGCCGACCCGACCTCCAATTCACTCAGCTTCTTCACCACGCCGTCAGCGTCCGCCGACGACGACCCTCTCCTCCCCCACGCCCTGCCTGTCACCTCGCAACGGCTGTAGCGGCCAGCTGAAGGCATACAAGCCGCTGCATTACCCTCCATCCGGCACCAAACCCCGCGCTCCGCCGGCTTTCGTGCCGCCGTAACACCCAAACTCCACCCAGCCCTACCATCCCATGTTCCAGGATTCCAAATAATCAAACCTCTTGGGGCTGTGCAAATTCTTACACGTTCTGACCACCGATTGTAACGCATCACTCAAAGCATTGTCTTTGCAGCTTCCATCGTGTGAGTCTTGTTGTTGCTTCGACTTCTCCATCTCACGTTTGCACACCCATCCTACTACACAATGTATGCTACACTTCCACTCCAATCTCCCCGAGAGCCCCATCTCCTCGTCCTACCGCGCGCGATTTCGCATATCTCACCATATATTCTTCCGCGCTATTTACTGTTATCCCCCAAACTCCCTTGCCGTTGAGATATCTGGGTCCGCTTGCACAACATCCAGAGCTCTCCGCTACCCCGTGAACATTGTCTCAGCTGCGCCATACGTTTGAAGCTACATAAAACTTACACTTGTCCAGATAGCTCATCGCCTTGACAGCGACTTCTGTCGATCAATGCGCGAATTATAGCATGGCAACTATATCACCCGACCAGAAAGGTAGCACCGACCTGGGCGACCTGCATTCGATTCGCAATGGCTCCGGTACGTTTTCTTCTTTCATGCTGTGCCGTCGCTTTGATGCTTTTCGTCTGAGCGACGTTGTCTATGTTCCATCCTCGGGCCTCATTCCATGCGATCTTCGTGCCTGTTTTGCTAGGTGACCGCGTCGTCGACCTATCATCGGCTAGATCATCTCGATTCGTATACTCTTTATGGGCTACTCTGCAAGCGTTCTCTCTTTCGAGAAACCCCGGCAACACGGAGTCGTCCTGGGTCTTCGCCGAACTCAAGACGACGCAGAATAGACCTCTAGCATGGGTAAACTTCATGTTTCTATCGGCTTTTCAATATGCCGGTCGCGTGTCGCGGCCGTTGGTCTCATCAGCCCGCACATAGAGGATGGCTATTTCTTTTGGCACAAGAATACATATACTGCGCTATGGGACTTCATTTCCGGTCCATCTCGATTCCAACGCCACAGCATCTAATTTCTTATTGTCTTATAAATATCTCCTTCAATCGTCATGTCTCATCAAAGATATCCGCCATGGTCAGATATGCTGACGTCTCCGCCCAACTACTCTCCTTCCGACGTACCAGTTGGACATACACCGTTTCATGTTCCTCGACAGTTTCCCTCTGAGGGTCTGTCTATGGGCAGTCACAGGCGGGGTAGTTCATCTGGCCTCGTGTCGGTAAAGGAGAGTATGGGGCATTGGCCATCTGCAGGCAGTGAATCAGCCAAGTCACAGAGTCCGTTAGCGAACTTCGGTTTCTTCAAAAGCTTGACCAGCGATAAGAAGACTACTAGAGGTTCGTGTTGCTGAACCTCTATAAAGCTGACTCTGACCGTGTTTTAGATGGACAAACACCCAAGCGGAGGGGTCCCAAACCTGATAGTAAACCCGCCTTGACTCGGAGGCAGGAACTGAATCGGCAAGCTCAGAGGCAGGCACCATGTGTACCCTGTATGGGATATCACTAACAACTTGATTAGGACGCATCGAGAACGTAAAGAGATGTACATCAAAGCTCTGGAGCAAGAAGTACTTCGCCTAAAAGATACCTTCGGTACCACTGCTAGGGAACGAGACGCTATGGCGGAAGAGAATCGAAGACTAAAGGAAATCCTTATCGCGCACGGCATCTCATTCGACTTATCTAGCCCAGGTACGGCTGGCTTCGGCAGAGTTGGTAGTTCCAACTACGGTAGTAGCTCAACCGGTAGCATTTCCGGCAGCTACGGACCCGGTTCAAACTCTACCGGCTACACATCACCTCCGAGCGCGACGCCACAAAATCAAGGCGTTGGACAGATGTCCCCCTCACAGCACCCCAGACAACAGCCAAATAACGGCATGGACTATGACCAAGTCGGGATTGACTTCGTTTTGACGTACGATCGAACGCCCTATCTTTCTCCTCCACCCCAGCAGTAGCCTACTATCTCCCTCCATACCACCTCCATCAATGATCTCTCCACAAATACATCGTTTTGTTTCCACCTCTCACGAGGCGCAAGACAAGAGAAGACACCACCATCCGTCAGCCACCCACTATTCCCGAAGAATCATTCTGACACCTCTCTGTGTCCCCACAGTCTCGAGCGACCTTGCATGGACCACATGCAGATGCTGATGGTGCGTGCCTCCGACTCCGACGCCGACGTATCCGGCCACGCGCTCATGGCCACCTGCCCACCCGAGTCGCATATTGTGTCCACTCCCAACGACCCATATCCGCACCGAATGCCCGACATCACGATGCCAGACCTGCTGAAGCTGCTTGATCTGAGCAACCGGCTACCGCTGGATGGCGAGATTACGCCCATCATGGCGTGGGCGATGATCATGAAGCATGAGCGCTTCTTTGAAATCACGAGGGAGGAGTTTGAGGCTATCAAGGGAGACTTGTTGGCGAAGGTCAGGTGTTATGGGTGCGTTGAGCTTTCTTTCTTTATGCTGAACTTCCTATCTGACGTCTGCATCTACAGATTCGGCGCTGTTCTCGAGGAATTCGAGGTTCATGACGCGCTCATGGCTGTCTCAGCTGCTAAGAGCAATGTGAATATGATTATGCAGTAATGTCAATGCGCTGGGAGGAAAAGAGCTCGGACTAATGCTAAGTCGCTCGCTTTGCTTTGACGGTTCCTGATGTGGCCTGTCGCTTTTGCTTCAGTAGTAGTTTTACGAATTCACGCTTTCATGCTTGCTGTGTACATGTTTGCCACTGCTTAGAGTGCTTCGATAAACTATCTCAAGCTGTAGGTGTATCCGTGTGACCACTTTGATACCTCGCTTAGTTACTTCAAACGCCTTAAGATGCATCTATCCACGGATGAAATGGACCCTTGAATATCTCTTAGCGTCCCAATGAGGTTAGGCTCATCTGCAGGGGTCTTAGTGGAGCAGCTTAGTTCCACCTCGACTTCGACGCGCCAACACATCTCCTTTTTTTCTCAACTGTCCCTCGTTCTCACTGCTTGCCTCGGAACTTTCCCGAGCTCTGTGCCCTCTTCAGCTTCACCCTCCAAGGCGACCGATCATGGAGCTCGCGGTGTTCGACACTGACCCCACCCTCTACCTCTTTACCTCGCTCACTGCGGGGTCCTCCCATATCGTTACCGCGACTTCACGTATTGAGACGATCTTGAAGGCGAATAATATCCCATTCACGTACAAGGACACCGCGACAGATGATTTGGCACGGAAGCTGTTTCAGAGGAGGGCTATGGGGAAGAAGCTCCCGATGCTAGTGCAGGGGGGTTACGTTATTGCTGTAAGTGCAGCTTCTTTATACAATAGTATATGACACCCGGTGACAGCAAGGAGCTAGAAGACGTCAATTGCTTCAAATCGTTACTACAAGCTAGTCTAACAATCTCTCAGGACCTTGAGGAGGTCGAAGAATGGAACGAATACGGTGAGCTTCACGACAACATCAAGGTCGTCGCTGCTGCTCCCATGACCACAAAACCTGTCCCTGGCGCATCCTCTGCCCCCACGCCCACTGCTCAAGCCCCCGCCAAGCAGGAGAACAAGGACCCGGCCGCTGCCCTCGCCATGCGCACCCTCAGCGCTGAGGCCGCAGCTAAGGGCGCCGCGAAGAAACCCATACCTATCAACATCGCTACCACCAATCCGCTGATGACGGAGAAGGTGAACACTCCCACAACACCGTCGAAGGCCGCTGCGGCTAGTGGCATTCTGAGCCCGAAGTCGGTGCCGCTGCCCGCAACCCCTACCGCTGGGGCTACAAAAAAAGAGGCAGTCAAGGATACTGAGAAGGCGGATACCAGCAAGTCTGCTGAGACGAAGGGTGCTGTTCCAGCTCCTGAGAAGAAGGATACCAGCAAGTCTGCTGAGAAGAAGGAAACTGCCAAGTCGGCTGTAAAGAAGAATACTGCCAAGTCGGCTGTAAAGAAGAATACCACCAAGTCTGCTGTGAGGAAGGTTGCCGCCAGGTCTGTTGTGAAGAAGACTGCCGCCAAGCCTGTTGAGAAGAAGGCTACCGCCAAGTCGGCTCAGAAAAAGGATACTACTAAGTCTGCTGAGAAAAAGGAAGAGAAGCCAGGCGACTCGGAGAAGGCTATACCAGGCCTAGCTAAACCCGGGGACAACAAGTACAAGTCTGATGCGCCGCCCAAGGAAATTGCTACTGGCGGAGTCCCCGAAGCGCCCGTGGCTGTGTTGCAACATCGTGGGTCGAATGTGGGAGAGGCGAGCCAGGAAGAGATTAAGGCGATTGAGGACAGCCAGGCGATCAAGGAGGAGGACGATGAAGACGAGGAGAGTGAGGATGAGGAGAGCGAGGAAGATAGCGAAGAGGAAGAGAGCGAGGAAGAAGAAAGCAGTGAAGATGAGACAGACGAGGAGGCGGGTGACCCCGGACCGGATGTGATGAGCACATTGAGCCCACTTTACAGGAGGCCGAAACCGGAGCATCTCGAAGAAAAGGTAGTGACACCCATCAAGAAAGAGGAAAGTAGTAAAAAAGAGAGTAGCGAAGAGGAGAGTAGTGAAGAGGATGAAGACGGCGAGGATGACGCTGACGAGGATGACGAAGATGACGACGACGACGACTCTTCAGAGGAGGATGAGAGCGAAGAAGAAGCTCCAACCGCCTCAAAGGCTCCTGCCGCAAAGAAGCCGGAGTCGAGCGCGAAGGCTGGAGAAAAGTCTGTTGTCAGCGCAAAAGCTAACGAGAAGGTTTCACAGGAAAAAGAGTCGAAGACTCAAGCTCAGAGTGCGAAGGCGGGAGACAAGGCAGGCGTAAGTGTCGAGGATTGAAGTATCTTACTGGACAGTTGGAGGAACCCATTTAACAGTGTTGAGGATAGGATTCGCAGGGCAAGGCCAGCCATTTCAGCCTGATGTGTTGCGTTGGTCCCCGAAAGCAGGCCAAAGCGGGAGAATGAGTAGGGTACCTGAGCGGACATATTTGGGAGCGGAGCTTGGAGCCGCTAGCACTCATCTGCATGTTTGAGATTGGAGTTCGGCCATTTGTACGATGGGGGTCTGGCTTTTTCTAGAGTGTGGGCGTTTGGTCTGTCTTCAGCTCTCACACGAACCGGCACATGTGGTGGCTGGGGATGTTTTCTAGCATAGCGGCATTGTATTCTAATCGATACGATGAGATTCTTTCAACGTTACCTTCGTTGTGTGAGTGTTTTTAAGTGCACGTTTCTGCTTGATACTGTCATGGGTGCCTCAATCTGCTTTTATCAAATCCCAATTTATCATCTTGCACGATTAGTGACCTTGCTAGGTCGCCTCAAGCAGGATCAGATAGGTGTATATAGACTAGAAGTGTAGCACATCGAGTCAAATTTAGATTAGTGCATTGAGGCACTACGGCCGGTGAATAAACTGTAGACACATATCACCTGCAGTGACGAGGTATTGTATTTTACTTAATGCTTCTGCAGGGTTCTAAGGTGATCATCCCAGTCGGGGTGTGTCATGTCTGTGAACTGACTACGACTCATAGCTTGTATATATGTGTGGTTATGTTATTATTAATTCCTTCATGTTTCTTCGGATCTTTAAGGAGTCGATCGCGCTCGTGATGAAAGTCACGTGCGATCGATATGATAATCCAGTCCTAAAATCCAGCTCTAATAGAACGAGCTTCTAAAGCATGTCTTGTCGATTTATGAATAGGGTGAAAGTGTGAGTGCCAAGGCATATCCATTTATACATGTCAAAGAAAAAAGAAGAGAGTGAAGCCCTGGGGGGGTTAGTTGAACGTACGTCACGTGCTGAAATAGGTCAACCAAGAGGAAGGCTATTCACTTTACTTCCTACCTATAAGGGTCGGTTGCTGCTCTTGAATTAAGTTGGCTGATGGGAAATAGAATTAATACGCAGCTTTGCGGAGGCACGTGGAAGTATCTCGTTGAGTTAGCGTTCTTCTGCAATTCAACCTTCAAACCCGTCATCTCCTCTCTGCAACTACCTACAACCCTGGCAGCTATGAAAGCAACACCCAATCATGATCAACACGAAGAGATTTTGTTTTCACGTTGCGTATTCCGATACTGCGCAGCCTCGGAGGATGTCTGCCTAGCCACGTCACACAGGAGAGCCTTGCGCCAGAGGAAAGCCTTAGACCAAGAGGGCTGAGCGCAAAGTTGAGACTTGAGCCTTCGAGATTTCAGCCGCCCTAAAGTTCAACATTTCTTCTGCAATGCAAACTCATCTACTCCTGGCATCGCCGTAATCACTGAAGCCCAACATGGCAGACCCATTGTCAATCGCGGCTTCTATCTGTGGGATCGCATCTCTTGCAAAGACGGTCGTAAGCAAAGGATACAAGTACGTCAAGGCTGTCAAAGATTATCGTGAAGATGTTAGCAGGCTCTTTCTTGAAGCCAACATTCTCTGCGGCGTCTTGGATCGACTAAGCAGGATGCTTGAAGAAGGTGAGGAAGACGAAGATGAGGATCAGATTACCAGCAGAAGTAAGCCTGCTGCAGTCGCGCCTATAGCAACTAAATGACTGATATCTCCACCAGTTTCGGGGATCCCGAATTATGTCCTAGTGTGTCAAAAGACTCTGAACGAGATTCTTCGTGTTCTCAACGGCTTCGAGAGAAAAGCAGTGACTGCCAACCAAGGTGCGGGCAAAAAGAAGAAGAAATCATTTTTAACGTGTCTCTCCAAAAGTGATTTGAAATGGCCTCTTTCGAAAGAGTCTACCATGGCACTCGTTGAATCTCTCGAGAGACACAAGGCGACGTGCATCCTCCCACTTTCTGCCAACGAGCATTCGCTTTTAGAGTCCATACCCACCTCTGCTACGGAGACCAACAAGCATTTGCAGCAGATTCGAAAAGACCACAATACGCTCACAGAGGGTATAAAGACCCAAGAAAATACGCGTGTGCTCCAATGGCTGTCTCCCGTCAACCCGCAGCACAAACACCGCATCTTTCGAGAGGATTATCAGGAAGGTACTTGTCTTTGGGTCTTTGATTTGCCAGAATACAAAGCATGGGCGACAGAAGAGAATACCGCGCTTTTCATTTATGGCATACCAGGTGCCGGAAAAACGACGTTGGCTTCGCTGATCATCGACACTTTACTGGTGCAGAAACCTGCCGGATTTGCGTTCTTTTATTGCCGCCATGACGACCAGGCTACGCATGTCGGAGCTAATGTTCTTGGCTCACTCATGGTACAGCTTGCGATGCAACATCCTTCAGCTTTTTCCGATTTCCTTGAATTCTACAAGCTATATCATCCAGAAGGCAAACTCAGCACGAAATCGAATGAAATCCAACTGGTCACCGGAATTCTATCAATGTCGCAATACTTTTTCAGGAGATGACCCTGGTAATAGACGGTTTAGATGAATGCGGAACGCCATCTTCTAGAGCAAAAATGCTCAATGCTCTCTCTGGAATACACAAAATGTGGACACCAAGTTCAGGAAAAACGCATGATCCCAATATCAGACTGCTGGTCTTCGGACGAGCGGAGCCTGATATCCGAGACACTCTTGACGAGTTTTCCTGTATCTCCATTGCTGCAACGTCCTCAGATCTGCAGTTATTCGTCGCCGCCCATCTGAACACGATCAAGACAAAGAGCATGGACTTAAGAGAAGACATCGTTACCACTCTAACGCAAGAGGCGAATGGCATGTTTCAATGGGCAAAACTCCAGGTCGACTATCTTTCCAGGCTACCAAATGATAGGGAAAGACGAAAAGCGTTGAGATCTCTTCCACCTGATCTCCCGGCTACATACGTAAGAATACTAGAGAGTATCGACTCTCATTACCCGGAACAAACGAGGGTGTACATTCGGCGTGCGCTTAAGTGGCTTGTATTGGAAGAAACCCCGCCCAGTTCAAGACAAAACCTTTTGACCGACGGTTAACGAAATCAGCCTTGTGCCATGCTATAAGTATCGAGCTGAACACGGCCACATTGGACAACGATACTGTTCCGATCGAGACGGAGCTTATCAATTGGCTGTCTAGCCTGGTCAAACATGATAAGAAACAGCAAGATCCACTCCTTCATCTCAGTCACTTCACAGTTAAAGAATTCTTGCTCAGCTCACCAGATACCGTTCCTAGCCGAGTAGCCAGGAGCTATCTCGTCGATCGAGGAACTGATTCCAGCTACCTTGCCGAAACATGCATTGGCTATCTCTCCCTGGACGACCTCTTACTACTCGGTGTGAATTCACATGCCGAAAGAGCCAATTTCGCAAAAAAGTATCCGTTCTACTGCCATGCAACGGCATTGTTCCACATCTATTTTTATCACTACGATACCGCGCGCCCTGAACCACCGTCTTACTTAAGGTTCTTTTCTTCTCCGCAAAGCCCCTTTTATTCTCTATGGAACTTGTTCTATAGCACCTGGATGCCAACATGGACAGAATACACTTACTTTGACTGCGAGGGGGAAATGAATGAGTCATATTTGCCATCAGGACTCAGCCCGTTGCAGTGTGCTGCCGCAAGTCTTCTTCCACGAACCTGTGCCAGACTCTTAGCCGAGAATGCAGATCCTAACGGAAGATTAGAAGGTGCTCCTGCTCCGATTCATCTAGCAATATCTAAGTGTCACTACAACGAATTTTTTGGCCTCTCATCTCTCGAGCTCTTTCGCAATACCAACATCCGACCTTTGCTCAAAAAAATGGAAATCTCAAACCGAAGGCTAAACACTGTTCATATATTAGTCGATCACGGCGCCGATTTGGGTTCGGTATACGAGTTTCGAAGTAACAGGACAAGCTCTATTGAAGTATCGTTTATGGGAGACTTCGACATATCACCTCTATGTCTTGCGCTCATGTTTTTTGAGCTGGAGGTGAGCAATCTGCTCCTTGAACTTGGCGCGAGTCTTGAACCAAGCCCCGCTGGACTTGGTATGTTTTACATGGCTTTCGAAGCCGTACTTCAATACATCTCATTCAATGAACCGTTCATGCCATCTCTACTCAAGACGGGATTAGAGAGTCTCGTTGCCAGAATCTCCGCCCATATTGAATCCAACAAAAAGGAGGAGCCTTCACCTGAGCCAAAGTTCAGATCACATCGTGACCGAGGTCAATTTGTTGTCGAGGAGAAAATAGACATTGAACCAGTCCGTTCTACATCCGATTTGATGTTACCTACTGGAGATGAAATTTGCGTCGAAGCCACTCGCCAGAATGATGAAACTAGCACCTTCAAGGATGAAATTTCAGCAATGTCGTTTGCTAGCGGGATGTACCAGAATGGCTCCCCTGAAGCAACCATATTGTCTACTCAACCTTCTGAAAAGGCGGAGTACCGAAATTCGGATCTCGACATGGCTTTAGCCACGAGAGATGTCGAGTTACTTATCCAGAGAATCGAGTTCAACCATGGAGAATCCCGCAAATCACAGAGCCCATTAATGATGGCCTACCATCTCGGAAGACCAGATATCGTCAAGTATCTTCGCAAGGAGGGATTCAACCTATACACGCGCGAGGTGGTCCAATTCTATAGCGAAAATACAAAGCTCGCGAAAGAACTGCTTGGCCCTATCAAACACCACCTTATCTCGGTATCACGAGCTCAGTTACGATGCGCATTTGTGGATTTCCTTGACAACAAGCCGTTTCCCAATTTTGAGGAGCTGGACTACATATTGGACAATGCAAGCACGGATAATAGCGACATCCTGGCCAGACTGACCTCGTTGGCAGTCCGTCGCAAGCACAATCTCCGCGCTCCAAATTAGAGCCTCTAGGATTTGACATTCAAGGTTTCATCATGTCAAAAGCAATGCACGAGTGCTCACATTCAGATCCGTGTATGACAAGGGGTAGCTAAGGTTCCCATTTGCAGCCTCTGAAATTTGACATTACCGATTTTATCATGTTTAAACTCCGGGGGTGTCACACACGATCTACTTGTAAGTAACAGCCAAAATTTCAATTCACCGCCTCCAGAACTTGACATTCACGATTTAATTGCTCAAACGCTCGGGGGTATCTCACGCTATTTTCAAGGTGTTCACAGGCAAATTTCCAGCAGTCAGATTCAGAACCTATGTAAACACTCAAATACACGAAACGAGCGTGTATAGATTCAGGACTGTCCCAAATGGCATAGTTGATCCTCCAATAATCAACAGCCTCACACAAGATCTTTCCATGTCCAGGTGATATTCCGTGCCGGTAGCTCGCGTAAAGTCCAGGGAATCGGTGTTAGGGTTAGAACGTTTTATAACTGCTCTTATATTTGTATTCTCGGGACGTGCGAATCTGGGTTCTCGCTTGACCGTTTGTAATGAAATCGCTCTTCATCGAACCCTTGGCCGCATGCCGCCAATGGAATTAAGCTCCGGAGGCTGTACCATCCGCGCCGTAGTGCATTTGTCACCTATCAAAACTTTACGCTTACGCGAACCACGAATCGGAGAACAATAGATATAATGGTCGCGCTGACCTCAGATTGTCCGAATCATACTCGCGATAAGTCATCTCAATGGCAAAACAACGCATCCTCGTCCTTGGGGCCACTGGTGAGAGAAATCCTAACATTTATCGCATTAACTAACATAGATTAGGTGGTACTGGCCTAGCCTTCATCAAAGAAGCGCTCGTTCACGCTTCCCAGCCAAACCTCACGCTTTTGATACGCACTCCCTCAAAAGTGTCGCAGGAGTACCGCAACAATTCCCGCATCACTATTGTCAAAGGCGAACTAAATGACCGAATTGCCGTTGAGAAGGCCTTACAAGGCGTCACTGCAGTTGTTTCGTTTCTTGGGCCATACATGACGCTAAAGGCGACGCTGCTTCGCGACACTAGCACGCCAATTGCGGACTCTTTACCCAGTTTGTCTCATCCAATGAACCCTGAATCGACTTAATACTCACTTAGGCCCCAGCACTCTTCACAGCCATGCGCTCCGCAAACATCACCCGCATGCTTGCTCTATCCACCCCAACCGGGCTTCCTCAACCCACTTTCGAAGAGAAGTCTTGGTCCTGGTGGGCAGCGGGCTGGTTTATCTACCTTGTAGCTCCGCAAGGCAACGCCGAGATGACGAAGATCGGGAAGCTGGTGTCCAGTCAAACCGATCTGGAATGGACTGTTTTCCGCGTTCCATCACTGACGAATGGGAGCGCGGATAAAGTGGTTGAGGTGGGTTATCTGGGGGGAAAGGAGTTTAATGTCACGGCTGAGCTGACGAGGGGGAGTTTGGCGAGGTGGGTGCTTGGGGAGGTGGAGGGAAAGGAGTGGGTGGGACGGGCGCCGGCGGTTGCGAATGGGGGGTAGGCGAGGAGATGTGGAAAAAGTAGGATGGGGTCGGAGATACGGGGGTGGTGGTGCTACGGGGTGAGACCAGGTTTGATATAGGAATACCTTTGGTGAAGTAGATCACGTGATCAGGGAACGCTTATCCCTGGAGCTGCTGGAATAGCAATCTACCTAGTCCTTTAGGTCCAAGATGAAGGATAAACTGCCGTAACAAACTGAAACCCAACTTCGTACTCCGCAAAGGAATCGACTAGTCAGCAACCTTGGAAGGACCTAGTTAAGTATGACTGCGCCACATCGTGCAATTAGGTATACAGCGCAGGATCTCCGTAATATCTCCTTCTATCTTCACCATTCTTTGTTGTTCTACTTAAACCAACTACCAGTGCGATCTTCTTGCGTCTTCAAATTATGCGGATACAGGGCGGCACAGGAATGATGCAGGAGCGGGCCAGAAAGCAACTCATTCGGGAGCAAAAAGTGTTCGACCATCGCTCTAGCCTCATGATGATTCGGAAGCGAGCCTTGACGCAGGCATTTGAAATGCCACCACGGAGTAAGAGCTTCAAAAATGGATAGGGACTCTCCAAATTAAAGACTGGAGCTCGGGATCAATCAACCTGTCCACTATTTGCGAAACTCCTTGCTGAATTACGTCTTCGTATATATCGAGAGGTCCTCTGCGGCAGCCCCTCTTTGCACATTCAACGGACAAACCAAAAGACCATACGAATGAGGCGCCCCTGGTGGCGGAGAAGCAACCTTTCGGAAAAGGCGCCGTGGCATGGATACAGCCCGTGTTCATTTCTTGAGTGCAATTTGCGCAGATGGCCACACTCAAAATTTTCTTCTATTACCCTGGAGCAAACGCGACACTATTATCGCTGCTCTTATCATGTCGCGCAATGTATGCTGCTCTTATGTTTTCAGCCAGAGCCTACGTCTTTTCTTTCAAAACTTTGCTGATCTTGCAGCTAGATATCTTGAAGCCATTGACCTGCTATATACCCACAACACTTTCTACTTCCACGAGTTCGTCGACTTCGCACACTTTTCTAGACTTGTCCTCCCGTATCGGTTTCGTTCGATCCGCACTCTCGCGGTTCATTTCGAGTTCGACCCTTGGAAAATGCGTCTAGGCGGCCCGCTAGAGTACCGGACGCAAGGTTGGGAGCAGTTGTGGAGCGCCCTGCTAGAATTGGAGCATCTTGGCACAATCCATGGGAAGATGTCTGTCTCGAAGGGGATCATCCTGTACGAATGGAGGGAAGGGCGGGGGAAGTGGACAGAAAAATTGGAGCTTTTAGCACCTCTGAGGAAAGTGAGATGCAGTGGAGATTTTGTCTTGTTGTTTGACTAATGGACCGTCTTCGTGCCGATGAAGTATTTGAACGCCTTACGACGGGTCCAAAGTACTCTCGAAGTGCTTGAAATGACAGCATAATGGCAGAAGTGGCCTGGCCTGGGAGCCGCATACTTCAATCTCTCAAGCTTTGGCAAACTGCGCAAAGTCATTTTACCGTCCATCTGCTTCTTCGGACGAGCCCAGCTACCGGACGATATATACACACTTTGTAGCCAGTTTCCAGCTTCATTAGAAGAATCATAATAGCGCCTGACTCTCGTTTCTCATTTTCTATAAAAGCCTTCTTTTCGCGTTCAACTATCTTTTTCCTTCTAGATACATCCAGCGCTATTGGGTTAAAGCCCCAGACTCAAACGTTCAATGGCTAGTGAAGTTGAAAATTTGCAGAGATTCAAGCACATGGGAAAGGGCTCAGACGGAATCGTCATTTGCGCTTTGATTCTCCAATGCTGATGTCTATCTCCACGGCCTTCTATGATCCTCTATCAGTTTTTTATTAAGTTGACAACCCGAGATCACCTTGAAGTGTAGATCGACAACAGCTGCTATAAATGCCGTTTATTTCTAACCAGCGCTGAAGTCTACTGGAGAAGAATTGTATGGCTCCTCCACATCATCGATTCGCAGTCAACTCAGGATGTCCATCATCACCGCCTGGGCATCATAGAGGAAGACGACAGCTTCGCTCCACGAGCCCCCGCCATTTGAATCCACTTCGGGCAATTCTGCACACCAACCCAAATTCGCTCCCGTATGATTCCTCGACCCTACCGCAACAGCCATTCCCAAGCACCAACATAGTTGGTTTACATCCCCATTGTTGCAGAAGTAGTCGAGAGGATTCGAAAACCTCCATCATGCCGCTCTCAGAAGTATCTCGATTGATCATGCTTCGCCCAGCCGTCAATGGAGAAAAAAAGGCTGCAGCGTGGAAAGAGCACGCTTTATACCTCCGCCAGACCTCCGAAATCGGCACGCACGCAGAACACGTAAGTTCAAACACGACAAGCCACGACATGTATGTACCGTTGTCAGGTGAGACTGAGTGCCTCCTCCAGCTGGGTAAACGTATTCAGAGAATTAGTCATCTTTCACCGAGGATTGAAGTAGCAAGATCGAGCACGTGCACGCCCGGTGGCAGTGCGTTTGAAAGTTAGACATACTGTAGGTACCATTTAGGGGAGTCCAAGAGTAGATAGTTATTAGAAACGCATCGAGATACATGAATATGGAATGAAGATCATGCTCGGGGTGGCGACTTACTATTAGTCCAATGATAATTTCCACCCGTCCGGCTTTCTGCGCGTTTTCTAAGCACCACCCTTCCATCTGCTCGAATTACCCTCTTCAATATTCCACACCAGGTGAAAGTATCAATGAGGATTTTTAGTCCCGGGTTGAAGCCTTCGCCGCCATTCAGTGACTAATGTGGAGAATTCAGCGACAGCAAGAAACGCTCGTGCAGTCCAAAAGAGAAGTGCAGGATGCGTAGCGAATGCATGGCCGGAAAACTCCGCGAAATCAAGAACGAAAAAGCTAAAAACAAAGGGCGGGCCCCATACAGGGCCTACCTCTTCGATAAGCAAGAATGAACCTCGCAAATCGAAAACGCTAAATACAAAAGGGCGGGCCCCATACAGGGCCTATACCTCTTCGACAAGGAAGAATGAATCTCGCACAATCGAAAACGAAAAAACAAAGGCCTCTCTGCTGCAGTTATCCTTGAGGACCAGCTCTGGGCGGCATGCCCAACGGCCAATGTTTGGTCACTAGTAACGGCCTTGGCCATTTGGAGGGTGGTCAGAAGGGTCGTCTTTGTTTCCGGAGCATGCTGGGCCCTCTGATTGATTGCAGTCAACTCTTCTAACCGCTCCTGGAGACGGGCAGTTTCGTGGCGAAATTGTATCGCTTGGTTGTCCCTTTCTTCGTTATAGGCCACCAAGTTCCTCATACATGGGGTGCATTTCTGAACCCATAAGTTTGCCTTGATCTAAGCTTTTCTGCTTGGGCCTGTGGTTGTCGTTTGCGCACTACCTCTAGCAGCCGCGACGTTGAAGCCTGTACCCGTTGAGGCGTAGCTTTCGCTAACGCATGCCAGGAAGGCCTCTGAGGCAGCCGCGTACGTAGGTCAGGCGATGAAGTAGAGAATGAATGGCCTTGTTTTGACGCTTAGCCTAATCCTTGCTCTGAAAACCGCTTCCATTAGGGCCATGAGGTAGCTGGAAGAAGAGCCGCTATATTCATGGTCATCCCTCGTCCGATTGTTTATCGTGTAACCAATGTACTTCAAGGGAGAATGTAGAGGGACATCCTGTTCATCCCGAGGGATGGCCCAGAGACGGCGCTCCAGGGCCTCGCAGAAGCTGAGCAAGACCGACTATTTTGCTTCTGAAATGATAGAAGCGTTGTCAGCGTTCAGGTATCGACGGCTGCCTTTCTCGCATTCTTCCTTCGTCCATGTCCGTTTCTCAGTACTCATGACATTGTCAATGTCATAAGCCAATGCATAGCTCTCGGGATACTGATCTGCGTAAATGTGAAGATAATGAACCGCGCGAACTTGTTCGCGCGGGGTTGGGGACAACCCTGTATCGTCAGTTAAGTACCGAGCGAATATGCTAGGATGAGCCGGGACGTCGTATGTGCTATGCTCCCGATTGGCCTCCAATGCTTGCTTGACGCCTTGTGCTCTTGATGGATGAGGGCGTGCCAAGTTCCCACCCATGATTTCAAGAAGCAATGATTTGGCAATTGAGCAAGTTAACGTCACGCAGCTCTCGAACCCTATATTCCAGTCATCATTCTGAATGTCCCCGTCTGGCGTTGCTTTGACGCGGCCGTAGGCTTTCCTGATAAAGTCGTACTGGCCCTTCTGCAATTCGATTACAAACTCGTACCCAGAATCGGCGAGCTCTTTAAGCTGTTCGAGAGAGAGCGGGCAAAGGGTCCCGACAGGCGTTGGCAATTCGTCATCGTAGACACCAGCTGAGGCATTGTTGCCGGAAGAACGCGTCGCAAGACTGGCGATGTACTGTTCCGGCTCGTCCCCTTCAATGTCATCGGAATCGTTTTCATCGTCTGTATCGTAGATGCAGATGACGACGTCTCAGGCGGACAACGATCGCTTTATAGATCGCTCGGAATCAAGCCCGTCGTGTGGACCCTTTCGTGCCGAGTTCGAACTTGAGGTGAAAGCCGACCGAGGGTTGGGCGGAATTCCCGCAGGCATGTTGCCATGAGACAAGTCCATCGTGCAGCGGTGCGACGCTGTGCGGACAAATGGTACTTAAGCGCTCTTGATGTCGTGTGACATGATAGATAAAGGGTGGACAGAGCAATGTGACGTTAGAAGATTTCAAAATAACGGGTTAGTCAGCGAGAGGCGCGACACGTAGAACACAGAAGAGCCACCAACATCGACACCTCTACCATCACACAGTCCCGCGAAGACCGTAGCAGCATTGCTAAATTCACGCGCCTCATCGTTGCCTTTGCGCATCCAAAATGACGCCACCACGCGAGCGGCCTTCGGCCAACATGGGGAGAGTGGAAGACGTAATTACCGTCTGGCAACAGGAGCTGAAGGGCGAGTGCGCTCGTCGGCTAGGCGTCCTCCCACCTTTTATCAGCACTAATCTGAACACTCTGAAGGGACGCCTAGCCAAGGCGACCCAAGAGACTTATGTTCTCCGGAGCGAAGGTATTGTTGACGGTGAGAATTTTCAATCTTTGCATTCGAGCAGCGGGCGTCTCCAATCCACTCTTGGATCTTTTCAATCGAGCATCTTGAGTTTCGACCCGTTGCTCGCGAGTCTGATGGACATCAAGTCTTCGCTCGTCTCCTTTTCATCCAAGTCAAGCGTAGGGGCTGTACGGCCCTTGCTTGCAAATGCCGACCGGGAGCAATTCCAACGGGCAGACTTTCCATCCAATCCCGTGAATGCGGGGGCCGGAGATGGCGTGCATTTGTTGAATTCCTTAAATGCGGATGCAAACAATAGCACCTCCACTCAGAGCAGCAAGCTTGTAGACGATGGCACTGACATCACCCACATCCTCCTTGCTCTGAATGCTGCAAATGCTAAAGTGGAACGCAAACACCAAGAGTTTGCTGACCTGGCACGGCTCATCAAGACTCTCGTCAAGTCGGTGGAAGATGACGCGGTGGAAGAGTGCTCCAGACTCACGACTACGTTGGAGAGTCTCCGAATCAGCTCTGAAAAGGAGCCACGTCGGGCAAAAAGCACTAACCAGCAGCGTCAGAGACAAGCCGCCGCCAAGGCAGAGCTCTTAACCAGTCGGCTCAGGATCCAGCGGAGAATGCACATGTCAACAAGCCGTCAGCTGAAGAGACAGATGGACCACATGACTCAGGCATCCAAGCGGAACACCATCAGCTACGTGCAGGACAAGCTCGACCTGACCGAGCAGCTGGGACAAAAGGACGCTGAAGTCAACGAGTCGAAAACCTCTCTCCAAGAGTTGAGAAATTCGTTTGACGAGCAGAAAGAGGCCTTAGTCAAAGAAAAGGCGAGAGCGAAACGTCTTGATGAAGACCTTACCTCGAAGAGCACTGCCGCCACCAACGCAAAGGACGAGGTCAGACGCATCCAAGGCCTACTCGATGGCGCCAACTCAGAGACTAGTCGCGTCCAAGAGCTGCTCAACGGTCAGACCGCAGAGACCAGCCGCATCCAAGTGCAGCTCGATGGCGCCAACTCAGAGAACGACCGTCTCCAAGCGCTGGGTGACAAGTCAACTGCAGAGAACGACCGCCTCCAAGAGCTGATCAAAGGCGCCAATTCGGAGACCAGTCGCGTCCAAGAGCTGCTCAACGGTCAGACCGCGGAAACCGGCCGCATCCAAGCGCTGCTGGACAGTTCGACGGCAGACAGACCGCGTCCAAGGTCTGCTCGTCGAAGAGACAGCCCGTCTAGTAGAAGCTAGGAATAGGCTTCACGCACGGGAAGTAACCATACTTCAGATGGTCGCTGCAGTGACGATAGCCAACGTGGCGGCTGCACGTGTACCAGCAAATCCTTAAAAAGGTGTTGCGCCCGCGAAAATGGGACGCGTAGTCGCCAGAAATCCTGGCGGCGATGGCTTCGGCCCGGGACTAAAATCTTCATTGATACTCTCACCTGGTGTGGGATATTGAAGATGGTTATCGAGAGCTTCATCTATGCAGAAGCGCCAAAGGCAGGACAGTCTGTCATACGCCTGGAGTGCTGATCTGGAAGCGACCGTTCTTCAACGCAGTAATCTAATCAAGGCTAACAACGGTGCTGCCAGGTGATAAAGATGCATTATGATATTTTTGTTACCTGCTAGAGCAAACAGCCGTCCTATATCGCGATCTGACGCGTTGATTTACTGCGCTGCAATCTGCATCCGCGTCCTCGGATTTTGAAGGCCTTACGCGATCTCGATGCTTCTAATACTCTCAGCTACAGTCTAGAATAGACCCGCTGCTCTTATCAATTATATCGGCCCTTAGTTGAGCATAGGTATAGGGAATTGCGGGAGAACAAGCCGGTGAACTTGACAGTCGACTTGAGGTGGTTCGCAGCGGCACGAAATCTACTAGTCTGGGAGGATGTTAACTAAGCTCAACGGTCGAGAACTTCGGAACAAACACTTAGACATACTTAGCATGTACCTGGAGAGAAAGAGACCGACATCATAGAACATGGAGGAACCTGAAGGTCGAGGGACGGACGAGGTTGCCGGCCGGAGTATATTGTGTTTAGTCATCATCCTCAACTCCAACGTCAATCGATTTTTCTTTTCTGCTCTTACACAACAAGCAGTGATATAAAGGAGACGATTCTCAGTTTTGTTCGGGAATAGATGTATAGAGCCTCCTTATCCCGCCCACCTTCTAAGATGCACGGTACTGGCGCTTTGACTTCCGACAGCGAGCTTCTTAGCTCCATTCACAATCTTGTAGCCTCCAGGACTGTACTACCATACGCCCCTGGAGACTTTCAGTTTCTTTAATACTGCGTTTATCCCGTTGTATGAATCACGTTGTGGTGAACTTCGCGTCAACTCCTAGTTGTCTCTATTGTTCCAGAGGAGAATAGACAACGTCAAACATATTGGAAAACGCAACTCAAAAGCTATTCCAATCCACGGTCTAGTAGATTTTGCTTCCCGCTCCGACTTCTTTTGCTGCGCTAGAGCACATCAGACAATGTCAAATGTTCCGAACATGACCGCTTGGACAACAGCTTGATTCACAATGTCATAGGATTTACATCCCGTTCAGTCTTTCCGCGACGCATTAGAGCACTTCAGACAGTGGCATGGCAGGGTGAGTAGAGCGATTCAGACACCAGCCTGATCCACGACGTCGCAGAATTTACGTCGGTCCCTTTATCTATCTGTCCATCGAAGTTTCTCAGACGGTGTCAAACGGTCTGACTATGACGGCTCAGACATCGGCCTAATTCACGACATCACGAAATTTACATCCCGTCCAGGTTTTCTGGGATGGATCAGAGGACCTCAGGCAGTGCCATCCCAACGCCAAACTCCTTCCTTTCCCACATCAGACGTCTCGGCATCCCGGTCACGAATGTCATGTGATATCCCACGAGTCTCCAGTCGGGGTGGGGTATAAATCCTCTTCCTCGACCCTGGGAAAGTTGCTTTGCAGAAGTTTCCGCACTGAACAACAAAAGATAGCACACGCTGCTGCTCTTATGTCCAGTGGCGGTGGTAGCGGCGGCGTACTAACATTTTCGAGCGTTTGGAACATGAAAGAGCTGGAGCACTCGAGATGAATAAAATTGATCGACACCTGTAAATGATGGAGAGGAGGGAGTTTGCATGCTGGCCCCTTAGTACCTTTGGATCAATGATGCTGTCTACCACTCTCTTCTCTATCTTTTTCACACTATTCGATCTTGCTAATTAGCAGTATTTGCAAGAGGAGATGAACCATTTCATTTAGAATAGCATCTAGATACCTTTAACTTGGTAAAGTGGTGTTCATTACCGAAATCGCTCGCATGCTGCCCTCTCTGGCCATTCGTTCATGGATCGCGACTTTGATTCTCCACTTCCCCTTCAAATTGTGACGGGCTGTATTTCAAACACGGCGCTTCTCTCCGAAAACTCACATGGGCAGCTGTCTTCTTGCGATGATGCAGAGCTACACCCCTCAAGGCATGGATCAGCGTCTAGGCCGTTGTTGATTGATTGATCTCCTCCCCTTCCATAATCCAGGAACACAGCTTTTTCGCGAGCAGCGAAAGATTTTATACCCAGCCGAAGCTCAGCGCACGTGATACGTCGCGCTCTCTTCCCGCCTTGTTCTTATCATGTGCCACCCACGTGTCTCCCCCTTCAATAAGGTATAACTCTCCCGCTTCGAGCTACGGATGAGCCTCTTTTCTTCAGGGACATGCAAGCTGGACAATCAAAAGAAGATCGAATCCTATACAACGGCTGGTGGTATTGTGTTTTTTCCAAGTACTTCAATCCGACCCGTGCGAAGGTGGACTGTGTGTGGGATCAAATCGAGGCTTCCCACAGTCTGTGGAGAAGAAGATACACACCTTATTAATGCTCTCCATCTCTATACACTCCTGCCCTACTTTATCATCTCTTCATACTGCTGTTCCTCAGAGATCCCATATCAAGATGAGCGTCATCTCCACCTAGATACTAACAATCCAGGACTCGTAGCGGGGATGGCGAGTACCACTACAAACAACAGCGAGCGCCGCATTCCCTCGTCCTCTCTCCTCAACCATGTGAACCTTTCCGGGGAGTTTTTGACCCACGCTCTCTCCTCCTCCGAGCCATCATGGGGTTTCTCGTTCCCTTTTGATCCGCCAAATCTGCTCCAGTCATGGAAAGAATCGGGCGAAGGGTTTCGATCCGCCACTCCCCCTCCCCAGCCATGAGATCATCTGTCCATATTTTTGACACACGGCACCCTCCTCCCCACTCATCGAGGATGCCCGTCCTAATTCTTGATCCACCACCACCACCACACCCTCTCCCATTGCATCCCTCGTCGAGTCGTTTTTGATCCCCACCCCACTCCCTCTCCACCCATTCCGCAATTTCCCTTTGTTCGTTTGATCCGCCACACCACTCCAGACCACCACCAACCATTAGCTTCTGCCGGGTTGTTTTTGATCCCCATCCCCTCCCCTCCGCCCAGGACTAGGCAGGCCCAAGTACTCCTAACACCCTCTTCGATATTTATTTGAACACTGCCTAGTCCTTCCCTCTGAGGAACACAGAAGAGCAGCTGCAGCCGACGTTATATACCCTCCAGCGAAGAAAAGATTCGAGGGCTTACGTAAGCAGCACGTGTGGCGGCACGTGAATCGGGCTCCCGACCTTTGGTTCAACGCCCGGCACGAAAAAAAGCGGGCACACTCATCAAGTACTCTTTGCTCGTGTGTATGTACACCAGTCTGCCGCTGCATGGAGCTGCGTCACCAAATTTCCCACGTAGCCCCAAGGATGAAGGGCCATCTATCTTCTTGTAGAGTCCTGGAAATTACATTGAAAGCAACCCAAGCAGTGGCAGACGGGTGTATGTATGTACAGACGAGACAGCTTGTTCTGGAATTGGTGTGCCCGCCTTTTCCATGCCCCGCGGGCCTTTGTGCCGACGAGCGGAGGGGAGAGGGATCCTAGGATTCGGAGTATACAAAGATAGGAGCACACGTATGCATATTTTATACTGGACCGAATAGGAGATTACTTCACTGTAGGAAGCAGAACAATGACAGGGGCAGTGACCGTGATAGTCTGATTGACTTGAAGAAATATACACGAAAGGCACACACTACTCAAGATGCGAAAGAAATAGCCGTCATAGTAAGCGAACCATTTCCAACGACTAGTCCTCCCCACTGAAGAAGAAAAAAGAGCCCAAGACATCCAGCCCACAGTTTTCCTATCCCGTTTTGCAGTGCAGCCGTCGAAGTTCGTAGCGGAGCGTAGCGCCAGCCGTTTCGTCTCCAAACCACCCACCCCTCTTCCCCAACTCGCTCGCTCAAGAGCGAACAAATAGCCAGAAGGGGAGAAGTTATACAAAAGAGAGCAACCTCGTCGACAAGAGAAGGACAAGCTCTTCACCAAAAGAAACAGAAAAAAAAAGGAGAGACATCCATAGCCGTCCGTATCATAGAACCCATGGACTCATCCGTAAACATCGTTACCCCTTGACCATACACCTCGACCTCTTACACCTGCGTCTTCACTTACTCAAAAGTCCCAGAAGCCCTTGCTCTCCTCCTCCTTCTTCCCGCCCTTCGGCCTCACCGCTTCATAGTCATCTCCCTCATTGCCAATCCCCCACTGCCGTCCCGCATCCTTGCGCCCACCCATGCCATCGCCCGTGCTCTTGATACCGCGCTCCTTGTTGAACTTCACATTCTCCTTCTTCGCCTGCTCGGGGCTGTCCTCATACAAACCCCAGTGCGACTCCAAGCCCTTGATCTGAGCTTTGCGGTCTTCGGTTTGGTGGCGCTCGATCGGCGCCTTCTTCTCCGCAGTGCCGTTCCCGTTCTCGCCAGCCGGAGCAACCTTCACGGGGACGGGGGAGTCATCGCGCATCTCCCACTGCGGGCCAAAGTCCTTCTTGCGGATTTCGTTGTTGATGGTGTGGGTGACGTCGCCGAGGGAGCGCTTGTTGTCGCCGCGGGAGACGGGCTTGTCGTCGTCTTCGAAGCCGTCGTCTTCGGCCTGGTGCACGACGTGGTCGCGGTACAGGCCCATGCCTGCGTTCTGCAGCGTGCCCTTGCCCGAGACGTGCTTCTTCTTGTCGGCGGCGGGAGTGTTGGAGTCGTCGAATTGGAAGTGGGGGTCGAGGGGACGGGCTTTATGGACGATGGGGCGCTTGATGGGGGATTCTACGTCCTGTGGTCAGAAACACAGGTTAGCCAGGTGTTCATCAAGACATAGAAGTAAAGAAAGCAACCTCGAATCTAACAAATAAACGGACCTCATCGTCACTCCATCCAAAGTGGCGCACTGCTTGGGCGGGGATCTTCTCCTTGACTTTCTCAGGCGTAACAAAGTCTTCAAAGTCCCACTGGCTGAAGTGCTTGGACTTTCCAACGGGGCTGGTCTTCACTGCTGCCTTGGGGGTGTCGTCTTCGGCGTCGCCAATGTTAAAGTGGTTGTACTTCTGCTTGTTGGTCTTGATACCCCTCTCCTTGACGGGAGTGTGCGCTGCATCCTCGTCTTCCTCGAACAGGCGGCTGGGCTTGAAGTTCTTTCCGGCGCCAGCTTTGGCGGGAATACCGTTCTTGCGGGGGGACGAGTAGGCGGTGGATTGTGCCGGAGATGGGGCGACATTTTCCTCACCTGCGAATAGCTCAGACCATTCGCGGGGAGGGGGCTTCGCAGATGTCGCGCGCGGTGCGTTGGACTTGCTGTAGGAGGCGCTCGGCACATTGACATCGCGGGGCTGGAACAGGGACAAACTCGCATGGGGATCACCAGTCGCACTGACAGAGCTCCTGCTCCTGCCCTCACGGGAACCCGCTCTCGGATTGCCGCTGGTTATCTCAACCGAGGCCGAGTCCTTCGAAGCTGTCGAGCGGCGCGACGAGGCTGCGGAAGGAGGAGGAGAGCCAGCGGCCGCGGCGCTCAAGGAAATCAGACGCGTCTGGTCCTTTCCATCGCGGATGGGCCAATTGCGGGCGCGGGCGCCGATGACATCGATCTGCTTGAGGAGCGAGCCCTGGTCCCAGTAGAGGCGGATCTGCTCGATCTGCCTCTGGGCGTCGAACTGCACGATGTGGACCTAGAGAGAGGAACAGGTTAGCGAGTGCATGGGGGAAGAATAAATAGATCCACGGCCGCCACAGCCAGCGCCAAAACAAACACACATACCACTGGGAACGTCACAATCCTGTCGGAGAGGAAGTTGTCGTCAAGTCCCGGCAGATATGCGCCGCCGCCAGAGATGAATTCGATGGTTGTCTCCACGTCGACGCAGAGGCCGTTGCTGCTCTCAATCGAGCTCAGCACCTTCTCGCCCTTCTTCTTGAGCTGTTTGTCCTGCGCGCTGAGGTGCTTCACTATGCCGGCGGCATCGTTGACCGTGACGAGGGTGGTGATGTAGTGTATCGCAGCGCTGTCGGCGAGCGCACCGGCGGAGGGACTGGCTAGAAAGCGCTGGTATTTTGCGCTGAGCGTCATGGTGGCGTCGCGCTGGTATCTCTGTCGTCGCTAAAGAAGGCAAATATCGAATCAAAGGCTGTGGTGATGAAGCTGGCGGAGTATTATGTGGCTGTGGAGTTCTGGCGGAGTGTGAGAAATGTTGTTGTGGGAGGGTGTGGACAGGAGGGCGCCCAGGAGAGAAGTAAACAGTCCCTGTCGTGAAACTTGAAACGAGGTAGGCGAAATGCAGGCTGGTGCTCCTGTCGAAAGCGTGGACGGCAAGTCAGGGACGTGTTGCTGCACGTCAATGCAGGGGAAACGCGCCATGGTGTTTTGGCCGAAACCCCGCCCGCGTCAACATCGTGAAGAGTCTGCTGGGAAGCATTCACTGTATTCCATCTTCTCCTAGACACATCTCACATTGCCACAAGAGAATACACAGGCCGTTAAGACAACAACAAGACAGTTGCCACGTCCTGCCCACTAAGCTTCACTAAGTCTGAAACACGCTATGCTAACGACTGCTGGACCCTTGGTAACCACGGGCCTTGAACGCACGTGACAAACTGCACCCGCTTGACCGCCCTACTACCTTGCGGGGTAGCCTAATCAGGCACGTATCCCTTGAAATGACTCGTGAAGTCAATTGATTCAGACAGTATCAGAATTGACATTGTTGAGCACTCGTCACAGCACGTAAACAATTGGCGAAATAATATAAACAAAGCAAATATCATAGCACTAGACGAATACACGAGAAACTAAGTAGATAAGAGACATGACAAGTCATCAACCACAATCCTCGCCCCAAGAAGTCGTAAATGCTGTCATTCCTCACAGAGAGCCGCCGCCTGGCTACTTCTTCCACCATCTCCATTGACAAAAAGGAAAAAAGCTCTGTGAGCGTGGTAGTGTGTGCAGAGATTCCATCTTCAGGTTGGATCCATCTCACAGCTCGCCATCCGCATCAAAACATGTCTCCCAGCATAGAACCTCAGCCGGGAAATCTCTCTCTACACTCGGGCGTTCCCTTACGAACCAGGCGAGCGCCGCACCGACCGCGCCAAACGCGACCAATACTGCCCAAAGCGCGTAATTAGTCGTCGCGACGCTGTAGTCGCTGCTGAGATAGAAGCTCGCTCCACTGACCGCGACCGCAAGCGCCTTGAAGAGGTTGGCGACCTGCATAAGCCCGACCACGGTGCCGGTGGAGAAGGAGTCAGGCGTTGTGTTGAGAATGAGGAGTGCCACAAGGACGGAAGCGGAACCGGCGAGAGCGTGCTTGATGAGGATAGCCGCGGTAGAGATGAGCGCAGTGAGAGAGGGTGAAAAGGCGACAATGATCGCCAACAACGGGGTAACTATGTACACCGCGGGGAAAAGCATGCTGAGCGCGCGGTAGGGCGATAGCAGTCCCATCTTCTCGACAGCGGTAGGGATCGTACGGAGGATGCAAAGCCCGGCAACGCCGCGCACAAGTAGGACGGTGAGGCCGAGCCAGGAGCATGGGATCCCAAGGCCGCCATGCGAAGTGCTGCTGTGGCCGAGGTGAGGAAGGAGGGTGTCGAAGACGGAGGCATGGAGGGAGAGGAGCGAGAAGGAAGAAATGAGGACCAGGAGGGAGGGCGCGCGGAGGAAGGCGGAGATGGAGATCGGGAGAGGTCGGGGAGTATCGAGGTCGACGATGTGGATGGAGGGGGAGAGAAGGTCTTGGTTGAGGAAGGCGGCTTTTTCGGAGTCGATATCAATTGCGAGAGGCTTGCTTGGTTGCATTGGGAGGGTCTATGACTGTTAATATATGGGTAGTTATAGGATGGCGGAGAGAAGCTTACCTCGTTCAGCATGATGCAGCTGGTGACAGCAATGAGGAAGACCAGACTTCCGCAAGTAATCTGGCTGCTGAGAATCGGGAATTGCTGCCAGATGGCTCCCGTAGCTTCAATGCTTCCTGAGACCATGCCCTGCATGATAGGTCCAATTGATCCGCAAAGAGCAATCAATGGCAACCTCGCCACGTTCTTAGCCCTCTCGGCATGTCCAACACTGATATCCCCGATCATGGTCAATGTTGTAACCACAATAGTCGAGCTGGACAACCCAGCAACGAAGCGGAAGATCGTGCAGCTGACGACATCCGTAGCAAAGCCCATGCCGAGACAGCAGAAGCTCATGGCGAACAGTCCCATCAACGCTACAGGCCTTCGTCCAATACGGTCGGCCAGGTATCCCCAGAAGATTCCAGCGGTGCCACCAAAGGCATAGGCACAGTCGAGGATGCTGCGGAGGTAGGAGGTGGAGAGGCTGCCGCAGAAGTCTTCGTTGGAGATGAGCATCTTGAGTTGAGGTTGGAGGCTCGAGGCCATGATACTGTCCAACATGGTCATTAGCACCAACCCATAATCATTGATCAAGGAGGGATTGGTTTACTCACGCCTCAGCCAAGAAGATGACATATATCAACGTCAACTGCCTCTGCTTCCTCTTCGCAGGCGCCGCCTCGATCGTGACGTTGTACTCCTCCATGTCCTCTTCGTCGGTATCGTAATCCTCCTCATTCAGCTCCACCTTGTCATACTTCCCCAAATCCTTCACCGGAATCAACGACCGCGTGCGTCTGTGAAAGCCCAACATGTTCAAAAAAAGGTGAAACGGTATACAGCCAACGGTATACTTCTGACAAACGCGAGCTTGCTTCGAGTTTGGTGAGGTTCAGGAGATCCGCGAGCCAGCGCGTGTAGGTGATATGCAAGGACAGTGGTGGTCGCGATGACCAAAGTGGGTGATGAAAGAGTGAGAAGAAAGTCCTACGGACGTTCAAGAGAGCGACGAGCCTCGAAACAGAGGGCGAAGAGAGTGGAACATGAGGGGACGGCCGTCTAGGTCTGGTCAAACAGGTAGCAAGGGTTGCACCGAAATGGATGGACGCAGCGAGGGTCCAAGCTGTTTCGTATTGGGCGCCACTCGGTCAGCGCCAGGGGAAGCAGCGAATGAGCGCGAAGGAGCCTGCACACCATCCAGTCTGGCGTGGCACTAGCGATACGCCCCGACATTTTGCGTGAACGAGCTGCGGACGGCTGGCCTGATCAACTGCGACACCGCCGGGCGAGTGTTACAAGACGGCGAGAATTGTACCGGCGAGGCCGATTCGCTGCTCTCCGGTTCCAAAGTCAACCTATTTAGATATGAATGTTGCGGGAGAAAGAACAGCGGCAACCTAATTTACTGACGTCCGCGGCTCCGGCGTTCGCGTAGAATACCGCTCCAGCTAGCTTGGGCGTTGTTTATCGTATCGAATGAGGGCCACTCCCAACATCGTAGGATCGCCAATCGCAATTCGAGCTGAGGGACGAATGAGGGGATAGAATGTATGATGTCACACTGTGCAGACCTTTGAATGGTGTGGGCGTGGTAATAGTTCATAGGAGGATGTCGTGTATATCTGCATTCCTCTACCAAGAGACCACATCACGTGTTTGAATGCTTGCGAATTGATAGAGCTTCTTCAATCAAGTCGCTTTCTAAAACTAAAGCTATCACACTACAGTATGTACATCATACCAAATTTTCATCACATCATCAAGGTTGTAACCCAAACAGTCAACCAACCACCCTGGGTATCCACACCAAAAGCGCTATACAACGCACATCCACCCCGTCTAACTCGTATCCCCATTTTGAATTGGAAAGGGAAGCTGCAAGCCTCAACCCATACTCGTCGGCGTATCCCCGCCTAAACTCTCGCTCGCAAACTGCTCAAATGGCTCGTTGGCAAACCCTTGGAAACTGAGACTCGCACTCGAGTTCAATCGCGACAAATTTCCAACTCCTTGCCCATCCCCGGTCATATCTACGTCTGCCCCTCTCATCTGCTGCCGCTGCGGTGCTGGTGGTACGCCAGACATGCTGACCTGGCTTTGCGCAAGACTCGGTTTCTCCGCTAGGTTGTTCAGCATGGTTCTCGACGCATCTAACATCTGAACGGCGTAGTCTAGGAATTCCGCCCGCTTAGCGCTGACGGACAAGGTCCAGCGATACTCCCGTAAGCGGGTTTTATAGAACTCGGCTTCCTCATGTGCAGGCGCTGTGGCCCAGAGGAGCGACCCAAAGGTGCCAATGAGTGTGAAGTTTATTTTGGAGGCAAAATACCAAAAGGCCTGCAGGTGCTCTGGTTTGAGGCGGTTGACAAAATCCATAGCGGAGATAAGCCGGGTTTTAGCTGCCGAGCGGCAGATGTAGAGAAGGTAGGGATCTGAGGTCATTGGGTCGATGGATTGCACTATGCGGCGATGTAGGGTGATTTCGGTGGCGAAGTAGGCTAGATGGAGGTACCCAGTGGTGGAGAGCCGGTTGGAGGAAGAGTTGTCCATGCGCGTCGAGGCTGGAAGTTTTGCGAACCACTCTTTGAGCTTAATTTGAACCGGCTTCGCTCGTTCGAGGATCAGCCGTGTAGAGTTCTTGCCTGCGTTGGCGAAGTCTTGGATGGCGACTTGAGTGTAGAAGGTATCCATTACCTCAGCCATGATGGCCGTTAGTGCGATCATCTGAGCAAATAGGATGAGACCTTTTTCGTTCTCGCTCATGTCATCTTCACTCTCTTCTCGTTTCGTCTCGTAGCCATCGCCTTCTTCCTTGAAGTCTTCATCGGAGATGGGCTTGACGGCCCAGTTGGCACTAAAGATGTGAGATGGACGGCCATGGATTAACGAGCTCCACTTGTCTTGCATATATAATGCCCAAGCGATTCGTTTTCTGAGCCCACGCTCCCATAGCGGTATTGACCACGTGGAGCAGTCGAGATGGAGACCAAGTTCTTGGCCAATGGCGACCAATTGGGTAGTCAGACTCCATGAATCCGCTTCTGGTCTTTGCAGCAGTAGTAGGCCGGCTTGAATGGTGGAGAGTTTTGGTCGCTCCATAGCGACGGAGAGCGCTTTTGACGCAATGGCTTCCAGACGGCTTGCATCCGGTTTTGGGTAGGGCGCGAGGTTGGAATCAAAGGACCACCAGTTCAGCGCCAGTATATACATGCCGGCAATGAGTGGTGGGGAGAAGGTTCGATCACCAATCCGATGTCGTTCGATAAACAAGTGCTTTTGGATAATCGGAAAACTGGGGTGGACGGTACGAAAGTAAATATCAATCAAAGCAGGGCCATGGGGGTGCACGATCTGCTCAATCGCGTTGAAGGCCTCGGTGTCATCCCCATAGTCTTGAGTATTTTCGTCAGGCAACATGATGAAACATTCATGATCATTTACTCTCCTTAGCGTCCCCAAGTCAAACTTGCTTTCGTTACGGGAATCAAAATGAGAAAGACCGATAAGGAGTGAGTCAAACGGAGTGGTGAGACCAATGTATCTGCTATGCTGTCGTCGCTGCAGGCCCAAGGTTTCTCCAAGGGCGGTGGTGTCCCTGCTGTTGAAAGAGTGTTGTTGAGGGCGTTGAGGGAGGGGGCTTGGCGCGGTGGCTGTTATCGTGGGTGTCGGGAGCGCTAGCGGAGGCGGCTCTGCGTCCACGGATCTGCTCCGATTCGGTCAGCCATGACATACAGGGTCTATATCGACGTCAAGAACAAGAGAACAACTGCTACGTGTCGACAATATGCCGTGCGATCTTTGGTATCGACACGCGGTGCCAGGGTTGATCTGGTCTTACCTCCCCCTACATATATCGAAGCAGCTAGTCGAAGATGTGGTCTTGTAGGTCTTCTTTATATTACGATAGATTGGACCTTGCTTACCTCTTCTTTTGACTGCCGTTGTTCCCGCTATCGTCTTTCTTTAGGTCGCTGGTAACCTTCCTCTTCCGCGGCTGCGGACTCTGCACAAAGGTGCACTCCTGCTTGTGGAAATCACACAGCACACAAAGGACAGCACCCTCGTGTATAACACAACGACTCTTCCTCCTTCGGCAAGCGTCACAGGGTCGTTCCCTTCTCGTGCGGATGTTGGCAACGGGGCCAACGGAGGAAACGGGCTTTGCTTGCACCAAGTTCTCCTTCCCCGACGGCGAGCGCTTTTGTTTGGGTTTGGCGGCGGCGATAGGGATAGGAGTGGGACGTGGCATGGCAGGCTGGATGGCTACGGCGGTCGTCATATCGATCGAGTAACTGCACAGCGGGAATATGGTTCGTTCAAGATAAGGATGCGTCTCGTCGCAGTTAGACACACAACCCCGGTCCTAGATTCTGCGGGTAAGCCGTTGTTAGTGCCCGCCGAGAAAGAGGGACGACGATGCAGCACTCACCAGTCACACGACGGTGTCTGGGCGAAGTCGCCAGATCGGGTGGACCAACGCTTATCGCGTGGGAGCTGGCAGAGGCTCAGGTCCCGTCCGGCAAAAGGAAAGCGTGGATGAGGTAATGAGGGGTGCGAACGGTGAGGCAGAGCGATTTTTAGGGACCGAGATTGCCAGTAATGGCCTGGAGAAGGATGAGGTGGTGAATGCTGCGTGCCGTCATTGAGTCCCGAGCTGGAGGGACGAGGCGGGAGGTTCTAGGGAGGGCCGCAGTCAGAGGGCGTGAGCGTCGCACATGGCCTGGGGGAGGAGTCTGGGAAAGTGCCGAGCAGCGTGTCCAGGAGTCTTTTGAGGGCGCTGAACGTGAACATGTCGAAGTACAAGCGCTGGAAGCCCTTACGTGATGGGAAAGCTGTGAGAGGCGTTTGGGGTTAGGCGCATCCTCAGATCTCCCGAGCTGTGTAGTGTTCCGGACGACATTGTGATAAGGAACGCGAACAGCGAATCACGGCAGGGCGGAGCCCCCACAGAGAGGTCAGGTCGTGTGCGACCATGTCTGCTGCCGTAAAAATATCTGTCAGGGCATCGCAGCAGCAGATAGGCATCCCTGCTGTGCCACCAGCGCTGCGCAGCCCGATATCCAGACTCCACCAGCCATCGTCCTCGCCAGCGACATCGCAGCCTCCGCTGCACCAAATCGCTGCAGTCGTATCCAGTACCTAACGGGAATGCCCGGTACCACCCACCCTGCCAGCCTGTCCCGTCTCCAGTGACTGTGGAGCCTCTGGATTCTCGAGCCCAGAAGGTGCCCTTTCATGCGAGTACACTGGCGGTCATGCGAGAGATTTCCCTCATGCAAGACCACATGCAAGACCACATGCAAGAAACCTCATGCGCAGACTGCCCCATCCGACGACAGTCCTCGATTGGCCACAGGCAGCCACGGCTCATATATTGCATTTTCCCTCAGGCTTTGCAACAGCACACGACCATCGTGGGTTTGACATTATTGGGCTTCCATCCTGAGTGCATCCAGACTTCACCGATAGCTGCAGCTCGTTCTCGTGACGGCTGATGCGGGCTCAAGTCGGCCTGGCATGTCACTGCCGAGCAAGTATACACCAAGTAAAGAGCCAGAGATATCCATGTTCCGCTTGTCCTTCCCTGGAGCCGGAGTATACAGTACGTACTGGAAACGGTTGCGCGATTCATGACGTCGAGTCGTTGAGGTGGTCGCTGAATAGTAATCGCCAACGGCTGAATCGTGGTTGGTTGTGGAGTTGGGGTCTGGATAAGGTACGTCACGTGTCTGATTCCATTGTTAAAGAAGAGGAAGTTGCACCGTTCTAGATGGTGGTAGTATAGGGGTCTTCTTCCGCTCTTCGTCCCATGGATGAAGACTCCTCAAATGCTTCAGATAAGACACCAAACGCTTAGTGTAGCTGTGTTACCATCCATCGTTTTTCACTCAAGCTTTTATCAATCCATCAATTTCATCTTCTGTCATTTCTTCGATCTGAGACCATCAAATCTTGGCTCGATCCCCGCCATCTCCGCCAAGTTAGGGGTCAGTCCAGATCTTTGGGCCCCAACGCTGAGGAATCTGGGGTAAGTGGCACGTGTAATCACGTAATTTTTGACGCCATAACCTTCTCCTCACCCAAAACTATGACGAGGTGATTTCTTACGATGCAAGACGATCTAGGCCTTTCACAATGCTCTAAGCTGTGCATCACTTGATCTGGTCACTCTAGGTACCAAAAAGTTCCCAGCTTTCATCCTTGTTATCCTCCGCTCTTTCATACCGTACAGACTTCATTCATCAATAGACACATCTAGTCCAACACAGTAAGGCACAGCCTAACTGAGGCTTATTTAATAGTGCGACTGACGTTTAGAAGTCTGAATGCTTCTCTCTCTTAGTCACACTGCTCATCCCAAGTAAAGGGAAGTCTTGACACATACGTCACGTGCTGAACGTCCGCAAACCGGAAGCCCCGGATCGTCTGGGGGTATGCGAACGCACTGCCTGGAGTCTACCAAGACTTGCATCTTTGGACGAGGTAGTAAACCAAAAGGCTAAGGCAGAGACACCAAGTATCGTAGTTGGTATTGAAGTGCAGGCATATCTAGCTCTCCACAGAAAAGTTCAACGTCGAATTGCCACGCCCCAACCTCCACCTCGTAGCCCCCGCTTCCCCACCATTCAATTTATCTAGACCAGGAGAGTTCGACGTTTTGGTTCAATCAACCGATCACGGCATCTGCAGATCTTGGATCCGAGTGAGCAGTAGAAGTGCGTGAAAACGTTGAGGGCAGTATCATCGTCAATGTGGGGGAAGCGTTGTCGCATTTTACGGACGGGCATCTGAAATTAATGATTCATCGCACTGTTAAGCCGCGAAGAGACCAAGTAAATTTAAGGCGGTAGAGTAGTGTCAAATGATAATGCAACTTGATTGACTAACAGGGTATCAATAGACGCATCTCGGGCTTCTATTTCGTGCGGACACTCGACGTGTGCCCGTCAACGCCTCCCGAGAGCGACGTTCTCAACGGACGATGGCATCAGACCTTTGCTGAGGCGATGGCGCAGTATGCGTCTGCGTGTGGTATGAAGGGTTCAGAAGAGTGGAAGAAGATCCGCCGTCTTCATAAATGAAATCTTTCAACCGATGAACCGGATGATAGTGTTTCCGATGAACAGGACGACGGCGTCGTCCCGCATTTCCGCTGGTATCGATAGCCGTACTGTGTCGGGGTCCGATGCGACTCAATGGCTTCCAAAACATCTTCTATTCTCCGGCCGATCTGCTCCTTTCTGTCGGCTTCGATAGCATCCAAAACCTCTCTCATAGTCGCATACTCCAAGTTCCAGCACTTCCGAATGACCTCCGCTAGGATCGGAAGGCAACTTGTATCAGGCATTTCTCTCTTTTGTATCCTCCTCCTGACCTCCGCCCAGTCATTGGCGTGCTCCAGCTCCACAAAGGGGTCGTGGCCTTGGATCATGGCATACATAGCAGAGCCCAGAGCAAAGATTTCTGACTGCACGGTGATCTTCATACCCTTGCCCTTGTTGCAGTCATCGTCGCCGGGTTCAAAGAGTCGATGAGAGTAGCGATAGCAGGACCACGATCTCGAACCGTCAATCGATGCGCCTGCGAAGTCCGCAACTTTTAGGTCTAGGTTTGAGTCTAGCAGAAAGTTGGAACAATGGATATCTGCATGCAACACGCCGCACGAATGCGCAAACGACAGAGCCTCTGCTGCCTGGCGCGCCCAGCGGTAGATGTGTTCTGGAGGCGGCGGTGATTGCTCGACCATATTGCAGAGCCAGAGGTGGTCCCGCAGGTTGCCCTTTTCCGCGAATTCAAGGATAAGTCCGCCGGGATGGTTTTGGTCGATGCCATAGTATCTCGGGATGGTAGAGGGTGCTTTCCGGGCTGCGAAGCGCTCGTAGGCGATCTTCTCGGCGATGAAATTTGTGTTTTGGCATATCTCCAAGGATACCTTGCATACTTTTTTCGTGCCAGGCACTCGGTAGACCGTGGATGTGTAGCCTCTGTCGTCGAGGAGCTCGAAGGAGCTTTGGGAGCTGAGCGTGCTTTCAGACATGGCTTGACAGAGAGCGGTCCTCTGGGATATACGGGAGTTATAGTCGAGCGCTGAGTATAAAACGAACGGCGTTGGGATATGGTGAGGCGACAGGACACAAGCTGGTTGTACTACGTAGGCTGGCGGTCGATCAGAGACTGATCAATTACCTTAAGAGGCTACTGCAAGATATCCGATGGTCAGCATTTGAAACACAAGAGATGCTATTGGCTCACCTTGAACGAGTAGCCAAGACAAGAACTTTTTCGAACTTAGCGACTCAGCGTATAGTCTGCCAGTAACGAGCACTTCGAACAATTGGTATGCTGGTTAAGGTCGTATTAAGAAGAGACGAGAACGGCTTTCTTGCTTTATTTTGGTCATTTATGGGGAAGGTTCCACCGAGTGCTCGTTCGTTGCCTTGCCTAAGTAGGAGAGACCAAGTGTTTTGAACCTTGACGTGGCCATCATCTGACCTATCAAGAAGATCATACCCCACGCCCCGCACCATTGCAGCAAGACAAGTCCTCAGTAACGAATGAGACTTGTGAGTATGCAAGATAGCCTGCAAAGTGCCTACCTGGGCATAGTTGATGATACTGGCGATAGCCGGAGGTCAATGGGTGCGGGTGCTCCCGAGGTCCCGCCAGATCGAGAGCAGGACGGCAGTGATTATCAGATTATGGATCGTAGATCAGCTGCAGTTGACGTTTTTCTCTCTCTCTGAGATGGCTTGCGGCACAGTCGATAGCTTCATGTTCGGCACCTCTACGGGTGTTCTAATTTACTGTTCCACCTGTGTGAGTAGGAGAGATGTCCGGAGAGTCGCCGAATAGCATGTCGTACATATCCAAAGACTGGATAGCCAGTTTTTATTCGTGCATAGCTTTGAAGCTACAGAAAGCTTTGTCAATTAAACTGTGTGGCCTCGTCACAGCCCACGTCACTCGCAGGTAACTCAGTACGTAAGGATAAGGATCTTGGTCGGAGATCAACAGTAAGTCCGAGTCCCCGTAGGCTTGTCCGATATCATTACCATATCGGAGTGTAAGACATTCACCACAACTTCGTAAGGGTGGGATGTAAGTTGTCATGCTCCATTGCTGGGGAGGTAAAAGTGAAAAATAGCGGAGACGAGTGTTGTGTGGATACGATGGACGATATTTGGGCTCTCTTCGCCCTAAGTATTGATCCTGAAGTCGATTTGATTAGAGATACGTAGTCGGATGTACTCAGCCTTATCGGTGACGCGCCGAAAGCGTTGAAACAAAGTATGGGGCGAGAATCCAATCTAGTTTGTGAGAGCGAGATCGAGGGCATGCAACGAGAGATTATCCCTCTCCATGGCAAGTATCTGACGTGTGAGTGTGGGTTTAGCAGCTCCACACTTCGTGTTTAGCATGCTGTTTATTGTTAGCCAAGGCTTCAGGCATGGGTCCTGACAAAGGGATATATTGAAGTGCATTACTGACGAAAGCAGGAGGAAGAAGAAAAAGCGCGAAAGGGTCCAGAAATAGCAACAAAATGCATGTCGAATGCCGCTAATGAGTGTAAAGATCCACTAGATGACTTACTTTGTTGTGACAGCCTCACGAAGACCGTCTTTTCAGTGGACTAGACTAGTCAGAACCAGAGGTCATTGGAAATCCGGGGACGGCTCGGGAGGTGGCGCAAGTGGCAGTGCATTCCCCAATTGATCATCATCGTCCCTAGGTGTAACCTCGGCAAAGCGGATAATCCCGACCACACTCATGCTCCACCATATCAACATCACCTCAACATCCTCTATGATATCTGCTGTATATCTCTAATGAGTCCACCACCAGGAGCAAATGTATATATGCTTTCCTGCTTCTCATTTGACTAAGTCATAAGCTAATGCATCTTCCCACAGGACTCCAAAACGCCCCCAATAGTCTCCCTCCTCGCTGGGGGTGTGGCTGGCGGAATCGAAGCTGCGGCATCCGTTAGTATAATGTTATTCCAAATACCTGGGATTGGTTCTTATGGATTTCATAGTATCCGTTCGAATTTGCGAAGACTCGAGTCCAGCTTCGTAGCCAGAAAGGTGTCCCCACACCTAAGAATCCATTCATTGTAGTTTCCCAAGTGTATCGCTCAGAGGGCCTCCGCGCCTTATATAAAGGATGTGGCGCATTAGTTGTGGTATGTACTTCCATCCTTTCATCGGCTCGGGAAGTCTCGTTTACTTTTAAGCTTCAATCAACTGGCCCAACTGTTCTCTTTGAATCACGTGCTCACTTTTTATCTCAATCACATCTCTGGCTCTATATCTAGTACACCTTGCCCGCCCTCCTCCTTTCATTCAATACTATTCAACTGTTTCATTACGTCTGTCTCATACATTTCTATCATCTAACACATCATCCCAAGGGATCCATCGCCAAAGACGGCGTCCGCTTCCTCTTCTTTGACGCCATCAAAAACTCCTTCGCCGACCCCGTCACCGGCACTACCTCTCCCCTGCGTAATCTCCTCGGTGGCATGACCGCCGGCGTCGTCGCCTCCATCACCGCCGTCACCCCAACTGAGCGCATCAAAACCGCCCTCATCGACGACGCCCGCACGGAAAAGCGCTTCCGGGGCGGCTTTCACGCCACTAAGGTCATCTGGCAAGAAGGCGGCATCTTGGGCCTATACCGCGGTTTCGCAGGCACAACGCTCAAGCAAGCATCTGCCACCGCGTTCCGTATGGGTACGTACAACATCCTCAAAGACTTCGAGACAGTTAGGGATATTCCGCAGAACACGGCGACGAACTTCGCAAACGGGAGTGTGGCGGGCGTGGTGACGACGTTGTGTACGCAGCCTTTTGATGTGATCAAGACGCGGAGCCAAAGCGCGCATGGGGCGAGCACGATGGAGGCGGTGAAGAGCGTGTGGTTGGATTATGGACTCAAGGGGTTCTGGAGGGGGACGACGATGAGGTTGGGGCGGACGGTGTTTAGTGGCGGGATTTTGTTTACGTCTTATGAGGCTGTGGCCGCGATTTTGAATCCGATGTTTGCGGTGGTGAAGGAGAAGTTGCCGATAGATGGATAGACGGATAGACGGATAGTTTTCGTTTTGGAGCTTGACTGCTAAGTCATGGTTTCCGGATGTTCAGGTACCAAGATATAACATATGCCCCTGGATAATATACCGTGAGGAGACAAGTAACCGTTGCGAATCCGAGTAATGTACCCCTATAGTGTCCGTTCATCGTAGCAAACATCCAATGACCAACGCTCGTCGGCCGTGTCATTGGCTGCATGCGCATGCGTGTTCGAGAGGCAGTGTCAATGTTAGGTTGTCTGTAAAACTCCGATTCCCACCGAGCGGCCTGATGGGGGTCCAAAACCGTCATGGCGAGAAAAAATCCGCCTCCAATCATGGCTACCAGGGTCCAGATCTCGAGATTTCCCGTAGCCACAATTTCGTGACAGCGCGTCATAAATTCTTTCTGGAGTCTTCTTACAATCCAGTAAGTAGCTTGTCCCGTGTAGAGTAGTGCCCTCTTCGTAAGCGACGGTATATTGCCATTAACAACATCGTCGTAACTTAGGCCTCTATAAGAATCGCATATCGTCGAGTTCATGAGATTCTCGAGCCCGTTAGTTTTCTCGTTGGAACTTCAGCTAACGTAGAACTTACAAGGCTCTCATCACGGCAGTCTTTCCAAGTTTGAATGCGGTCAGCCTTCTTCGCGAGGTCCGTTTGCGTCTTCGCGAGGGCAGTCTGCGTCGATCCGTACTCATCTTGCCTCTGGCTCCAGTAGATCATGAGGCCGAACGTAGGTATTCCAATTACTGCAAAGATTCCAGTAATGATTTCGCAAGTGGAGAGGCCTTTCAACCACGCAATTGGAGACTTTCTCCCACTGGGTGTGGTACTAACGTTCGAGGCTGGAACGGTCGCATTGGCGGCCTGGTTACCCTGAAAACCAGTGTTCTGAGTTTGACTTCCCGCAGAGGTATTGACCTGAGTCTGGCTGCTCTGAGTGGCGCCCGTACTGCTGCCGATTTGTCCTCCACCTTGGGCGTTGTTGGGTAGAGTCTGCAGTGGTACTGACATCTTCTGCCGACGCGCAAGCCTCAACCGCTAACCAAAAAAATGGAAGAATTGAAGGGGTGCGAAATCTTTGCAGTACGTCGAGGGAATGTTGCGATATAATATGCCCGCCTTTCACAATTTAAGCGCCGCACGGACGGCGCCCTGCAGGAATATCCAAAAATAGGTAACGAGCCACACTTTCGCCAAGTGGGGAGCCAAGTGATTAGCCAAGAGGCAAGGCTGAGACTTCGCGGTTGCTCCGTTTCGTGAAATGGGGCCAAAACGAGATGAGTGCTGCAAGGCTGAGAAATGGGTTGTGAGATTGGACGACGATGCAGCGGTGTGCAGACCAAGGCCGTCCATGGCGATCCTGCAACCTCCCGAAGGACGGAATGCTTTCAAGGGCTGCTATGCCGAATATCTGAAGGTACTGGAATTGGTGTTGAAGCAGTGCTGAGTACATGCATCTTAAGGTGTCCGTCCCTTTGACCTATTGGTAATCACGTGGACTTAAAGTGATTAATTAGGCACTCATCTCGAGTTGTGGTCCTATGACCCTTGAATTCCATTCTTTTGAAAAAAAGTTCGACAAAATGCCTTCCCTATGCCAGACTCAGATCTAGGAACATTTTCCAGAACAGTTATCGCCTATCCCGTAGGACCAGCTTCAATGCCTCAGAAGGCTGCCAAAATACTGCCACCGCTAAATACCATCAAACTACAAAATGCTAAGAAGGACCGTTGCCCCTAAATATAATATCACATACCAGCAATCGCTCCATGCAATGCATCCTTAGCCTAGCTTACCATGCAACCCATGCTCCCGAAAACTTTTCCACATTCCGCTCCCCTTAGTCCATGAGCCCTTCGCAGTCTATTTCACTGCCTCCCTCGTAACCCCATCGGACACCCACTTCCCCTCGAATTTCTCCTGCAGCACCCTCAAGCGACTGAAGAAGACGTCGTCGTCCACATATGCCCCCTTGAGCCAGCGCTCCCCTTCATCGGCATCAAACGCACGCCGAGCATGGACGACACGCCTGTTGTCGAAGACGACGCATTCGCCCTCTTTTAGCCGATACTCGAGCATGTTTTCTTCGCTGCTCAGTGCCTTCTCAAACGCCTTGCTGGCCGAGAGGTAATTGCTTAGTGCGGACTGGTTCTCGCCGCCGATGCGGGCCTCAAAGGGGCCCTGGAAGGGAGGGGACCAGTTGACGCGACGTATGGCGAGGTTGGTGGGCTCCGAGTACTTCGGGTACGGGAAGAGCTCGATAGTAGGCCGGGTGTAGTGGTAGTGCTGAGAGTCGTTGTGATAGTGGTAGGTCACTGGGAAGGTGCACAAGGTGCGGAAGTGGAAGGCGGATGAGGTGTGGATCTCAGCCGCAGCGTAGAAAGTATCGGCGAAGAGAGAGGAGCCACCTGGGGATTGTGCTCGAAGAGAGTGCAGGAACTGGAGGTGCGGTGGATTCGCGGTGTAGCTAATTCGACGTTAGTCAAGAAATAGCTCGATTTAAGAGTTTTATATACAGTTTGTAGGTGACCTAGGCTGATATAGAGAGGAACCTCATAGGGCGATTGGGAAAAACAGTGTGTGACAGTGAGAGAGAATGGGAAGAAGATTTGAACATGCTTGATGATAGAAGATAGTCGGGTAACTTACAGTAGATCCATATGCAGACCTAAGAACTGACTGGTGTACGCAATGTTCTTAGCATTAGGGATGGACTTCACATCCCATGTCCGGCCATAGAAGGAATCTTTCAGGGTTCCAATCCGCTCAGCAATATCCTCAACCGACTTCTCCGAGTCTGGCACCCCTTTGAAGAACAGTAGTCCATACTTGTTCAGATGAACGAGGGCCTCGAATAAGGTGTGGTCGTTGGCCATGTAGTCGTCATAGTCCAGCCATTTATTGTTCTTGGTCATGATCTCTTTATTCCATACGACTCGCTCATCGCTCCGCACACCTCCTCGAAGCTCCACTTCCGTAGTAAGAGCCCGCTTCAGCCAATTGATGGAATGCTTGGTCCGGTGCTCAGAAGAATATCCAGGAACGTCGCTCTGCCAGGCAACCTCCACCATCCAGCCATGTTCTTTGTCGACAATGGTCTGGCATACACCCTCGATGTTCTCTGGGATATCGCACGTCTGGAAGAGCTTCTGCTTGTTGGAGGGATCTACGCATTCGGGGCACGTGCAGCTGTCTCTAAGGAAGATGCTGTCGAAGATCTTGGGCTCGCCGTCAATGCTCACAGCCAGGTTCTTCGACGACTTGCCATCGAACTGGCCTGCGTTAGATGCATCGTGAACGAGGTGTTCCTGAGGTGTTGTTGCTTCCTGGGCGGGGCTGGTGGAGTTCTTCCAGAACTGGCGGGCGGGCACAACATTCCTCGCAGAGAGTCCAGGACGGTACTTGCGCGATCCAGCGCGAGCAATGGCCGTCAGCGGACGCAGACCGGCGCGGGTGAGGAGGTTTATGGACATGGCTTCGGTGTTGGGGGGCCGACGATCCTTTTTGCGGGGGAGGCGTGCACTTGTACCTCAGCAGAGAATTGGTCCGAGGATAAGATGAAGAGCTGGTCCGCTGTCCCGACGCAAACAACACGAACTCCACTACATCAGCCGATCCCTCCTGTGCCCTTAGTACGCGTCGCTTGCTGGGCGAAGGAGCTGGGTGTATGTCGGGCGGTGTGGCACAGCTCAAAGATGAGGTAACGACAACCTGCTGGCGGAGGTGATGGCACGAGACGAACAGCTGATCCAACTTGCTTGTTCCAGGGCTCCTCAAAGCAGGTCATCGTTGCGGGGTCTGTCGCAGGCCTGGTGTCTCGGTGAGAGCCTCAGCATGGCTTGTGGGATTCCCATATGCTAATTACATTCACGCGTTCAAGGTTCTGTATAGCACCTCTCGACGTCATCAAGATCCGCCTGCAACTCCAAATCCACTCCCTCTCCGATCCGACGAGCATACGTGGCATCGATGGACCTGTCTACAAGGGGACGCTGGGCACGCTCAAGCAGATACTGCGCGAGGAGGGTCTCACCGGGCTATGGAAGGGGAATATCCCGGCAGAGGCCATGTATCTCATGTACGGAGCCATCCAATTCTCCGCCTACACGCACGCCTCCCATGCCTTGAACGACCTACCCTCGCCGTACAAACTCCCCGACTCCGCCAACTCGTTCATTTCGGGTGCGCTGGCTGGAGCTTGCGCGACGACTACCACCTATCCACTAGACCTCCTTCGGACCCGATTTGCAGCCCAGGGGAAAGATCGAGTCTACTTTTCAATCCTGTCATCGGTCCGCCAGATCGCAACTACTGAAGGCCTTCCAGGATTCTTCCGAGGGTTGGGGGCAGGTGTGAGCCAGATTGTGCCGTACATGGGCCTGTTCTTTGCTGGATACGAGGCTCTCAAACCGGTACTTTCGAAAGACGTTGTGCCGCTACCATTCGGGAGTTCAGACGCAGTCTCCGGTGTCGTTGCTAGTGTGCTTGCAAAAACTGCGGTGTACCCACTGGATACTACGAGGAAGCGATTACAAGTGCAAGGGCCCACGCGATCACAATACGTACACCGTAACATACCTCTCTACAAGGGCGTCATTTCGACGGTTGGTCGTATCTGGAAGAATGAGGGGCGGAGAGGCATGTATCGAGGCCTTACTGTGAGTCTGATGAAGGCAGCTCCCGCCAGCGCTGTAACAATGTGGACATACGAGAGGACTATGGGCGTTCTGACTTCGATGGATGAGAAGCTAAAGGAAGTATGATATGGGTCACAATAGGCATTAGCGGCGTAGTACAATAGCGGGATACTCTGGAGTAGGCGAACTTGGTGCTTGGGTGTCTGTCCGACGTCAAACTTCAACGGATAGACTTAGAATTAGTAGCCTCCAGGATTAGCGAGGAACATGTATAATGCAATGATACTCTAATATATTTTATAGAAGTTCGAATGCCATGACGTGAAGATAAGCTACTCGTCCCCGCAGTGGAGTGATGGTGGTGCCAGAGATCGGCGAACTAAACCACGAAAATTTCGAGCTCGAAACTCCACCAAGAATCTTTCACAACGAAAGTTACGTTCTCTCCTCAAAGATGAAGCGCAAGAACGATACACCAGCCAATGGCGCCTCCAAAAAGCGCGCCATTTCCGACTCAGAAGCAGAAAAGAACTTTCGCGCCGGCCTTTTTGATAGCAAAGTGCTTGACGACTACACTCAGCAATACGCAAAATCATCACCGTAAGACCTCAATTCCCCACTCTAGTACAATTGATTGTTTCTAACCATCCTACAGCTACAAACATGCCGTAATCCACAACCTGATCTCCTCACCCCTCCTCCGCGCTGTCCGCACCGAAATCCGCGAGCACATCTCCTTCACGCCCAAGGAAACCGACATCTACAAAATCCACCAGTCCGGCGACCTCGCAAACCTCGACGGTCTCGACGATGCTGCTCTGCGTAGGCTTCCATCGCTTCTCACGCTCCGCGATGCCCTCTACTCGGCTGCGTTTCGGAGATATATCGCGAGTGTTGCGGGATCGGGGCCGCTGAGCGGAGTCAAGACGGATATGGCTGTGGTATGTTCGTCTGGACTCGTCTTGGAGAATTGAAGCTGATCCAACGTACAGAATGTGTATACGCCGGGATGTCACCTCCTCTGCCACGACGACGTTATTGGGAGTCGGCGCGTAAGCTGGATTCTATACCTGTTGGACCCGGATCGGGACTGGAAGCCGGAATGGGGTGGGGCTTTGCGTCTGTATCCCACAGAGGTGCTCAAGAATCAGGACGGTGACGAGGTGAAGATTCCACAACCGGACTTCTCTGTGTCGATCCCGCCGGCGTGGAACCAATTGTCCTTCTTCACGGTACAGCCTGGGGAGAGCTTTCACGATGTTGAGGAGGTCTACCGGCGCAGCAAAGATGAGTCAGAAGAGGAAGATGGAGGTCGAGTGCGGATGGCGATCAGTGGCTGGTTCCACATACCCCAAGAAGGCGAGGAGGGATACGAAGAGGGTCTTGAAGAGAAGCTAGCTGAGAAGAGTTCACTCGCTCAATTGCAAAGAGGGAAAGCAGACGCTTTCGACCGACCTCAACCACAATGGGTCGAATTTGAGGACAATTCTGAGGACAACGAGGAGGAAGAGGAGCTCTCGACCGCAGAGATCGAATTCCTTCTAAACTACCTAAACCCAAATTACCTCACCCCCGACACCGTCGACGAGCTCCAGGCGATGTTCGCAGACGAATCATCCCTCCAACTCTCCACCTTCCTCTCCAACAAGTTCTCCGCTCGTCTACAAACATGGATTGAGTCCAAAGACCACGAGGAGTACCCAAGCCTCCCCGCCCACCCTTCAGCTCTAAAAGGAGACTCCACAGGCGTCGCATGCCCGCCACATAAACACCGCTTCCTATACCGCCAACCTGTCCTCCCACTCCCCACACCAACCCCTGACCTGGAGCTCAGCCCATACGACGAACTCGTCGACGTCCTCTTCCCCCACCCCTCATTCCGCAAATGGCTCGCCCTCGCCACCGGTCTCACCCTCACAAAATCCAACATTCTCGCCCGCCGCTTTCGCCGCGGCGTCGACTACTCCCTCGCCACCGCCTATGAGGAGGAGGAACCGCAGCTCGAGATTTGTCTCGGTATAACGCCGTCAAGCGGATGGGCGCCTGAGGAAGCCGAAGAAGACGACGCCACCGCCGGCGCCGAGGAGAAAAACGGTTCCAGCAGCAACGGCAAGGCAAAATCGATAGCGAAAGAGCTAGTACCTCCGGCCCCAGCAACAGAGGAGCCCGAAGTCGGGGGTTACGAGATGTACATGGCCGGCGATGACGATGAGGCCTCTGCCCCTGCTGCCTCGAACGCTGAGTCGTCAACACATACAGGAGCTGGGCAGCGGAGAAAGACGAAAGCAGATCCGGCGGTATATCGCAGCGCGGCGGATGATGAGGATGATGGGGTGTTGTTTTCTATGCCGGCGAGTTGGAACGCCTTAAGTGTGGTTCTGAGGGACCAGGGTGTGCTGAGGTTCGTGAAGTATGTGAGTAAGGCGGCGAAGGGGGATCGGTGGGATGTTTGTGCGGAGTTTGGGGTGGAGTTTGGGGAGGAGGGGAGTGATGAGGAGGAAGGGGATGAGGAGTAAGTCGGGAAAAGGGAGAAGGGTTAGATGGAAGGCGAGGATAATCTAGAGGAGGACAAGGTCTGGATGAGAGATCCGAGATTCTGTGGCTTGGTAGGGACTGAAGTTGGGTATCAGGTAACCTTCCTTAAGCAACTATCAGCTCACACGTCTTTCCCGCCTTACCCGTGTTTTCTCACCCGCATTGGTGTATAAATCTCCTGCATCGACCGCCGAAATTAGCGTCTTTGTTCAATGACACCCTTTGCGGGAGACATCAATGAGTCTCCCAAACATGGACATGTCTGGTGGCGGTGGTGATGGTGGAGGGCGAAACACGTGCCGAGCCGGTGACGGCCGTTTGTTATTCGGCATGCCGAAATTCAGGGTCCGTCCCTCAAGAACTCAGTCTTTGTATACCTTTTATTTTTTGAACCCCTTCGGTAAACTAACGTGTATTAAGGAGACAGAAGTACGCCGCTCAGCACTGAACGGGTGAACGTGATCTGGCAGCTACACGTCATTTGATAGGTGAACGTTGTTTGGGAGGTGAACGTTGTTTGGGAGGTGAACGTTGTTTGGGAGGTGAACGTTGTTTGGGAGGTGAACGGGATTTTACAGGTGAACGTGATTTAGCAGGTAAATGTGACTTAGCAGGTAAACGTAACTCGACTCAATCCACCTACCTAGGTATATATTTCCAAAAATTCGGCGCCTCCTCCATAGCGCCATCGGTGCCCGTCCGGCAGGCCGGGGGGCACCACGTAAGTCGCCCCGATGGCTGGGTTGGAATCCAGCCTCTGGTGTAACACGACCTTCCACACGACAAGGATGTAGTGCAGGGCTCGGCCCGACGAACCTTTTGCTCCTTGGGAACTCTTTTTTGGGACCCGTCGGCAAGGGCTGAGCTCGAGCCGCGATGAGGAAGAACCTTTTTTCCCCCTTTTTTTGAAAAGAAAGAGAGGGTCTAGAGATATCGAGTAATTGGAATAGTAGCTGGGCGCTTAGCAGAACTGTTTTGGTACTTGAGAGCGAGGAGATCGAGCTTCGTGGTGGATGGCTTTTTTCTTCTTTTGATTACGAAATGCGTAAGAGATGGATCGGCGGCGGGGTGTTCAAAATCGAAGGCCTCTCCGCGCCATGGAGAACCGCTGTGCTGCAATGGATATTAGTCCATGATGTTCTCTATCTTCAAACTCTTCTCACACTCTTCACCACCTCCACTCCTTCACGAAACGCAGCGCGACGACGCTCTACTAGTGCTGGAAGTGAGTGGCCTTCTGTAATTTTGGTGGTTATCATCAATGAAAGATAAGGGGATTGGACGCTATCGTCCTCCAAACCATAGCTCGTAGCTGTTGCCAATTTTCATCCGGGACTCCACCACCATCCATCCTCGTAGTCGCCAATAGTCTTTTGATACTCCATCGACGAACTCATTTCCATTCATTGCAGGAAGGTACCGTCTGTGTGATCCACCAGTCCACAGACTCAGCCATGAGGTCGACCTAGGTCTGCTTTTCGATCCTCTACACCACCCATGTTTTCTGCCCGACGAAACTTTTGAAACTTGATCAGCCAACTGCACCTAGCCCAGGTATGGAACTTTCGAAGTGAGTTTTTTGATCCTCCACGTGACCCATTATTGTGTCACTAGCATGATTTTGGACCTCCACTCAACCCAGGCTGTCTTATCTTGCTGAAAAATCAGACCGGGAGCGGGGGAGGCGTAACGTAGGTGATGGGGTTATTACGGTGGAGGTAGTTATTACGGTGGTCTAAGCTTTTACATGCATTCGGAATCAGTGCACCTGCCAAGCTTTTTCTTGATGTTCGGAACCGTAATAACTACCTCCACCGTAATAACCCCATCACCTACGTTAGGTTTTATAGACGAGCAAGCCAGGAGAAATTCTGGGGCACGTGATGGGCACGTTGGCACGTGAGTGGAAGACCTTGGAGTCACTGGCTAGAGATTTATTTGTGTGGAGTCTGGGGAAGGTAAGGGATGACTCTGATAAGATAATACCTACCCTTTGAACAAAAATGCCGTACTCATCGATTGAAGGTTCTAACAGACTACCCACAACGCACTTCCATGTTCCCAAACCCCCTCAACATCCCTACGTTACCTTCTCTAGCAACAGACTATGCTCAGGGTGCCCAGAGCTCTTCACCTGAATCTGCATGCTCTCTAGCACCCTCTTCTTAACATCCGAGCCTCTGACATCCTGTCCCGTGAAACCACCATAGGTAGCCTCGAACTCGAGCGGCTGAAGTGCTTTCCAGATATCATGGATCTTGGAAGGAGGTAGCGGGATCATATTGGGGATAGACCACATGAAAGAGTAGCTAGATGTTCCGGACTGGCGGGGAGAAGGAGTTTGCGCAGACTGGTTATATTAAACATCAGCCTACCGTCAACGCAACACAAACAGAGTCGATGACACAGAAGATATGAAGGAGAGAGGATGGACGAACCGGCACCGTATACATTGAATCCGCAATGAACAACTTCTTGTCCCAATGCAGCACCATACTACCATCGAAGTGCCCCCCTACTTTAACGGCCGTGACATCCGGTACGATTGTTTCAGTCGGCCCTTCAATGAGGCGGCGTGCATTGAGATGGTCGGCGCGGTTCAGCCATTGTGAGTCTTCGGCTGCGACGTAGACGGGACAATTAAAGATCCTGGCCCATTCGAGGTGCGTGGTGTAGAAGTGTGGGTGAGAGATTACAATGGCGGAGAGGCCGCCTTTGGATGTGATCTGACTTTGTGAGATGAGATGTTTGAGAAGGGACTGGGGTGATATCTAGAGATGATGAGAAGTGGAGCTTACGAAGTCGATGGTTTTCTGGTCGATGAAGGCGATGAGATCCCAGAGGACGTTGCCGTTTGGGGTCTGAAGGAGTATAGCTCGTTCTCCAATACCGCACTGTAGTCACGTTGTCACGCGTGAGCACAACTTCTAGCGTGAAGTAGTTGACGGCGACTGACCTTCGGCTCGGTAGTTATGAATGAGATCTTCTCATTTGTAGGGTCCTGCTCAAAGAAATTCTCATGCTTCCCCTTCAACTGCCCCAAAGTGGTCCAGACTTGGCCTCCAGGAGGGACATATTGTCGCGGATCCTAAAGTGGGGTTGTCAGGCGAGTGAAGCATACCGAGAGACCATTTGGAAGTAACTCACCTCACAAATACGACAGCCTTTTAGAGGCGAGCCGAACTGCAACGGCACATCGAACTGTGTACCGCAGGTGTAGCAGATAAGCAGGTCCTGTCCATCAGTTGTCATGGCTGTTAGATGGTCGAGAGGATGGGGTTGCTGGCTGGCGAGGGGCTTTTCTACTATTGGTCAGGTCTGGCCGTATGCGGCTTATCAATGCTGCTTTGCAACACGAGAATCTTGGATGCCTCGAGCTGAAAAGGAAATGCAAGATTTAGGAAGATGATGTCTGTAGAACGCGGAGTACTAGACACTGGATATCTTGCAAGCTGGGGGATGGTCTCCAAGGGTGGGGTAGAGCATTCAGAATCATTCCAGTCCACCATGCCATTATGACAATCTCATGTTTTATTACCGCTTCGTTCATCCATGTTACAACAGTGTACATACCAAACCCATCAGTGGAGCCATGCAAAATGGGAATGCTTCCAAGTGTGAATTCCTCGTAATGTCTCAATGAACGCCGCCCATGCTCCAAGTCCGCTTTCCGTAATATCCCTCATATGCCACTGACAACCAGATCACGCTAATAGTTTACAACGTTCTTCAATATCCATACCTCGCCGTTGCCAACTTTATCAGCAATACTAAGAACTTCGATATTACCGGGTTGAATCTAGATTTATATCAGCAATACTCTGACGCTTACATGACTACTAGGCATACCATCTTCTTCCCCCCTTTGCTCTCGTACCAAATAGTGTTTCCATTCAGCGTCTGGACTTTGTGGTGCTCCGTCCACGGACTCTCCGGTACAATATGTGCCTCTACGAACCGTCGCATATTACGATGCGCGCGGTCCTCGCCCGCTTCGCCTTTGTATGCATTCTCCCCCAGAGCGTTGTACTCTTTCGGGTCCTCCCAGGGCTTCCGGGGCAGACTCCTCATAGCGCCGTTGTCGGGCGCGAGAACGGTAGCATTCTGTGAAGCATCGTCCAACCGCTCGGATACGGAGTCGATGTCTCGAGTAAGGCCGCTGAAGATGGCGATATCCTGAGTCTTTCCCATCACGTCGGATATTATGATACCAGCCGACATCTCCGGCGAGGACTTGTCGTCGTTTGTGGGAGGCATGGCGATGTTTGGAGGATCCGTGAGCGGGGACTGATTCCCGCGGATGTGAAGTGATTTGAGGAAGGAGGAGAGGGGCCTTGAATGTGCGGAGGCAGTAAGGGCGAGACAGATGGCGGCGGCTGGGTATCCGAAGAGTATCTGGGCCTTCATCGTGTTTGACAACTTGTAGACTTCAGGATGCAGATGGAATGTCCGGCCAGTGGAAGGGCCGAAGACGACGTCATCTGGACTCACGTGAGAGCGCGGCACGGAAGTTGCTGTCTAGCTTTGTTCTTAGCGGCTTCTTGAGCTGCACCTCACTTTCTCTCATCCACCAACCTCCTCCATGAACAAGCTTCATCTGTACAACTAACGAATGGATCTTCCTACTGTTACAGAGGTAAGCAAATCCTTCTTCTCTTCTACAACGTCTCTGACACGCTCCAGGAAGATCTGCGAGGTTTCCATTCCAAGCACTTCCCATCTGCCCCACTTCCCGCGGTCTTCTTCCATGTCGACGACACGTCTGTCGAGGCATACGAGGAAGAAGATGACGACGGGCTGGGCTACTACGTAGACGGCGTGAAGCGTACTCTCACCGACGAACAGATTGCCATCTTTCGGCACACTGAGATCCAGACGATCATCAAAGAGCTGCGACAGGCTCGCCAAGACAAGGAAGCCGATGGAGCATGCACGCCAACCAGCGAGGAGTCAGACCACGGGTTGAAGAAAACCATGGCTGAGTTCACGCCCTATGGAGAGGGCGTGAAGCGGAAGAGGCTCGACTTGTCCTCACTAGTACCCCGAAAGCGCTCCAACAACCGTCTGCCTGATCCCGAACCCGGCTGGGAAGATATCAGCAAAATGCGCAACTGGGAGCCGGAGATGACTTGGGAGGGTGGTGACAAATCTCCAGATCACTTTGCAAGCGATGAGATGGACGACAAGATGCCGAGACGCGTCGCGAGAGAGGAGGATGACCTCAAAGTTGAAAATATAGAGCTGGACTACTGAAGTCGAAGGCAGCCTTGAAAATCTGATTGCAACGTGCAGCCTCACCCCGGACAGGACCCACAGCTACGACTAGCTAATTCAATGATCTCTCACAACCTCATCCTGGTTAGTACTCATCTCGTACCTTCTTTCTGATCTATGCAATGATGAGCACAATATCATCCTTAGTCCGAGCCTGGCCTCGACTAACTCTCCTGAAGACGGTCCGTCCTCTCATGCATTGCACTCTGTGTGATTGGGCTGGCTGTCCGACGTTGTGACCTGCTTGGTTGGCAATGGGGACGCCGAATTAATCTTCTCTCTGATTCAGACTTTATGCACCAGCGTTATCGTTTCTTCAACTTTTGTCTTCGCATATATGCTAATACAAGGAGTCACATAGGCATAAAGGAACACCAGCGCGTACATCTAGAGTCCTAGGATATCAGTCTACGTATACTTGGGCGCCACGGTCTGAAGTCCTTCCATACTTTTCAAGCCTTTGGACAAGGCTCATTGGAACGACTTGAAAATATGCCAGGCCACCTCGGACGCTGGCCGGGCCGTTTTCGGGTGCTCGCCATCCCCTCTTCCTCGTCACCATGGCGTTGATGAAGGTCATCTTAGACAGCGAAGGAGGAAGTATATGCCCACGCCTCGCTTCATTCTCAGCATCATTTCCGACCCTTCATAGAAAGGGACGTGAGATTGAGCGGGAGTAGGGCCTAGACCCGCCCACACAGTGAGTAGGCCGGGTGGACATGAACGGTACACAGCGTAGTACGACAGTGGTGTGGTTTAGGTGGATTTAGTGATATTGTTTCTCACAAATAGCAATCTATTGAATATTTGATATCTCTCACAACCTCTTGAAGTTCCGTGGGAAACCCAACCTCGCATTCATCAATTTTGAACCTAATGGTAAACAAGAGTTGACCTGACTCATTATCGATAGCGCTAGACATTTGGGTAAATGGGCACGGGGCGTGACCTGGCTGGTGAGGCACTGCGGGACGATCCCGGTGATCGCGGCCTTTGTCAGTGTCTGCGGGACAGCTGCAGAACGCAGGTCCACTCTCGAAGATCATACCTCAACTCAATTATCGACCATGGCTAGCATACCGCCAGAACCAAGCACCGAAGACTCCAGTGCTGCGCTCTCGCAGTCACTATGGGCCGACAAGTACCGCGGGGTAGGTTGAACGCATAGTGGGACAGCTATGGCTGCTCCGCAAAAATTTCGTAACTCTTCAACATGCTAATATGATGCATAGGCCACGATTGAAGACCTTGATCCTCCTCCGGCGCTGTCCGTGAAACCCTCAGACCCGATCTCACATGCCTTGATGAGCGCCTTCGAACGAGACTACACCCACCTTACCGTTGTGTCGCAAGAGAACCGCGCCCTGCTCGGATACCTGAGCATCCCGCGGCTAAAGGAGTTACTGAAGGAGGGAAAGGTCAAGGAGAGTGACCCGGTGGAGCAGGCAATGTTGAAGTTCAGGCGCAAAGGCAAAGTCTACAAGGTCATCACGATGGACACCCCGCTGGAAGAGCTGGAGGCATTCTTCAACGGCGGAGTCAACGGCAGCGGAGTGCAAGACTTTGCAGTGGTCACGGATGGCAACAGGAGGTTTGTCCTAGGCGTTGCGACCAAATCGGACCTGGCCACGTTTGTCCAGCGCCGGCCTGCATGATGGGATTGAGGGGATCCGTGGAATGAGGGTTGAGCATCATGGCTTCGGCGTTTGGGCGTCTTTGGTGTATTCTATGCAAACTTCACGACTCCACAGCGCTGGATAGAGTGCTGCTTTGCGCCGTAGAAGCGAAGAGTACCGCTTCCATTAAACATAGCATCAAAAGAAATCCATTCAGAAATTCCTAGCGCTCGCTGCGTCATGGCTGGAATTACGTGAGCGGACATCTATCACGGCAACCAGCGGCGATATCTGGGTGGCCGAGAGCAACCTCAACACTTCCCTCTCCCAGGCGCCTCTCTCTCCCCAGGTCAGCCGCCCTCGCACACAACTCCGTTCCGCTGGTATGCTCCCGTTGCGAGTGAGAGCTTCATCCATCGGCGTGCTCCACCGCCTGCCACTCCGCCGCCTTCTCACCCCCGCCCCATTTCCTCGATGCTACTCCGCCGCGCGCGCGGTGCAAGAGCCCCGAACAGGCACCACGACTCCAGTCCCAGAGGAGAGCGCGCATATTATTTCGAAATCGCCCTTTTACTTCGAGGCTGGATATGCCCTCTATGCGAAAAGGCCCTCGAGGCCTTTTCCGCCGCCGTTCCTCTCATACCCATCTGGATCCTTCTCCGACCCGCTGAGCACACATGATAAGAGCCGGGATAAGAGGCCGACTGTGAACGGGGAGATGATACGGGGTGTGACCAACGGTGACGATGCCGTGCTGGTCAGCGACAGCTTCATCGGCGCCAATGACGGCGTTGGGGCGTGGGCGACGAGGGAGAAGGGACATGCACCGTATGGCTCTCGATCGCGTTCACGGTACACTGCTTGATTTATATCATACTAACGCGGAGTCGTTCTCCTTCAATAGCCTTTGGTCCCGCCTAATTCTTCATTTCTGGGCCCTCGAGGCCGAGCGCGCAAAGTATGGTGGCAATGCAACACCCGATCCTGTTTCCTACCTCCAACGCGCATTCGAGCAGACAAAAGAAGCCACGGCGGAGCCGAACGAGTGGCATGGTACAACGACTGCAAGCGGTGCGCTGCTAAGCTCTGATGACAGTGGCGGAAATGGTGCTCACCCCATCCTCTATGTCACGCAATTAGGAGACTCCCGAATCCTTGTTCTACGACCGCGCGACCAGGAAATAATATTCAAGACTAAGGAGCAGTGGCACTGGTTCGACTGTCCGCGACAGCTAGGAACGAACAGCCCGGATACGCCCCTCAATAATGCAGTGCTTGATCGTGTTGAGATCGAGGAAGACGACATCGTGCTGGCCATGACGGATGGGGTAGTGGACAATTTATGGGATCACGAGGTGCTACAAAACGTGCTGGATAGCATGGACAAGTGGAAAAATGGGGCGGGTTCGAATAAGCAGCAGGATGGGAAAGAGCCGGGAGAACAGAGCTACGCAGATGGTATGCGTTTTGTGGCGCAAGAGCTAGTCAATGCCGCAAGGGTAATAGCTGAAGACCCGTTTGCGGAGAGTCCGTACATGGAGAAGGCAGTCGATGAAGGACTATCCATTGAAGGAGGTATGTTGCTCCATGTCTGCGTTGGCAAACTTGGTTACTGACGAAGTGCTTCCAATAGGCAAACTGGACGACATCAGCGTTGTTGCGGCGCAATGCAAACGTAGGAAGGTCTGATGAAGCTCTTATAGTGGACTTGATTTCCATATCGCATAGAGAGGGACTCAGAAACCTAGGGGACAAAACCCATGCTCTCCAGAAGAGGTCCTAAGGAAACCTAGCGTTGCACTTTCGGCTTCACGGCTATTCCGATATCCGGACTAGGAGGAGAGGGGATTTTACTTACCAAGCTCCTCGACAGCATGGACTAGACGGCTCCGTCGATATTGGATAGTCTCCAGCATCAGTCTGTCACTGGACTAAAAGCCGCCTAGGCTGAATCCCGCATTTCAATGGGAGATATACGGAGTATGAGGGCCTTGCAAGTCTCAGAATGGGCCTCCATGTCACCTAACAGGGCATCAACGTGCCGCTATCAAGCGTAGTGCAAGAACACGTTGCTCTCCGAGCAATGGAGCATTATAGATGAAGAGGAGAGCCTGCATCGCAGCGTAATGGCAGAAGTATGACCAAGTGGAAGGCACGCGGTGTGATCACGTAGGTTGAGAAAATTAGAACGTTGCGCGAATGCCGTGAAGCATATGAAGCAATCAATTTCCAAGATTCTTGGCACATTTCTCCTAATCTCTATCCGCCGACGTCGGAGTGCCTTGGACATGTTATCGAGAATTCAAGTGAGATGGAAATCTACCAATTCTCATCATCGGTAGACCAAATGGGTTACGTCAAATGGCGATATCTGCAAATTGGGCCATGAAGAGTGAGGATTGTTTCATTGCTACATGATGTCTACAGAAGGGTATGTGCCCCTATCTCCAATCTGGGTGATGTTGATGTCTCGCAGCTACTCTGGCTGGCCATATCTAATTAATGCTAGATGTCAAGCTAGCAGTGTCTCCGCAAAGAAAGTATGCCAGAACTACCATCCCGGCCTGTCCCAACCCGCTTGTCCTAAACATGTCGTCTGAGACTCGAAATAAGTGGATCTCCAAACCGTCCCTCGCTGTTCCGATTGAGTCAAGAGTGGAGTGTGTAGTCTATCCTGAGCTTCAGCTTTAGGAGTCTAGTGACTCGAAGTAAGCAGCCCACGTCAATATGTCCATCCCAACCGTTCAATGAATCAGTCCTCCAAAAGCAATGTCCAAAATCCAAACTTTTCCTCCAGTCTCCGGAACCAACATGCCTCTATCCGCTACCGAATCTTCCTTCAGGACTCAGCTTGTCTTCCCATTCCCAAACAACCGGACCTTCAGATCGGCATCAATCATCAACTGCCTCATATACATCCCCCCAGCAATCCAAAACCCCTCATCCGCCTCCGCCTCATCCCCCCTCAACTCCTCATGCACCGGCACAACCGCCCACTCCTGCCCAGCAACCTTCCGGACGCGGGGCCTGCCTTGCACGGAGCAATGATAGCACGCTCGCAGGGCTGTTCCAACCGGGTATAAAGACTTGCCACAGCCCTTGATGCTGTCCAGATACTTCTGGCTCGTTGTTGGGATGTCGAACCACCACTTCTCTTTTCCGTCCTCGATGAGCTGGGCGATGGCGTGCGTGACGGCGGCGGGGAGGGTGATGTTGCAATTGTTGTCGTCGATGTAGCCCTCGACTTCGGAGGGGTAGAAGGCGAGGAGGCGAGGGCGCTTGCGGTGGCGGCGCTGGGAGGTTTCTGAGGCTTCTGCTTCGAGGCTGGTGTTGGGGTAGGTCGAAGACGGGGAGGAAGGTAGGCCCACCGCTGGGTGCTGGTCGAAGGGCGTCTGTGACGAGGATGGCTGTGTTGTAAGATCTCCGGCCAGTGACCATCCTGTGGCTTGCTGTTCGCCAGAAAGACCGATCGGGAGGTGTGGGTTATCGATTCCTGGGTGGTCAGGCAGTCCGTTCGGTGTGTACGAAGAGCGGATTGGGGTCCTGGTGGTAGACGGTGCGTCGTTGTTCACCGGTTGGCGCATATCCACGTTGGCTAGTCGTCACTTGGAAGCTGGGTGGGTTGTGCTGGGCAGGTGGAGAGACTGTGCTGTGATGTTGCTCGTGGCTGGCTTGCTGCTGGCGGAGGATCTCAAAGTTCTGAGTAAGTGTAAGGACTTTGGCCTCAAGTGTCGCGATTCGTTGTTGTGAGTCCGTTTCATTTGAGGTAGGTTCCACAACTTGACGGACTTCTTGATGGACTTCTTGATGGGACGCCTGATCGTCCTCCTGATTGTCATCCTGGTAAAACTCTTGGTCGTCTCCTCGTAAGGCTTCTTGACGAAGTTCCCCTTGGACTTCGCGCAGCTTGTCGAGCTTCCTCTTCAGGCAGCCAGCGCGTCGATTGCAACTATCGCCGTAGCTCTTCCACTGCTTCAGGTCTTCCTTTGCGTCCCTCAGTTGTCCCCTCAAAGCCTCGTTCTCCGCCTCCAAGACCTCAAAGTGTGATCGAGGATCAGGCGCAGGCCCATACTTCTCCCGAAGCCATGTACCCATGCGGGCGGGAGAGGCGAGTTCGGCCTGGAGTGGGTTGCCGGACATGGTCGAAAGAGGAGGAGGAGGCTGCCGCTTTGGCACGTCCGGTGGGTGAAGTGGGAGTGAGCGACCACTAGCTGTAGGTGGCAATAAGAAGGGAGGAGGCAGAATAGGAGAGTGTAGTAGAGGAAGATAGAGGTGAAGAGGTACTGGGAGGGCTCAAGGGCTATCTAATCTCTTTATACCTACGCCGCCTTTCCCTAAGCCCCGCGTTGCCGACGTGTAGGGAAGATAGGCGGCAGGGTATCGCACCGCCAAAGCCTTATAGATGTCGGGCATATCGATGCATAGATAGGTCACGCGATCTACCTGGCGGCACATGTATGGCACAATTTGGGTGAACGTACTCGGCTAAGTATACTCTTTTCGGCTTAAAGACGCGTTTACTTGCTGAGGTTATGATACACAGTGCGTCATTTCTAGTAAGATGTTCCGTCTCTTTCCGTCTCTAAAACACTATAATACTAGCTTTAGGGAACACTACTCCGCTTTAAATGTAGTGGATAGGGGCTAAGTAGAGCCTCTGCCTCCCCGCCTTAATGCCCCTATCTGGCACTTGATCTGGCTTTTCCACCAAACCAGCCTACCCTAGGAGTCCACACATTGCTAACCGCTCTACAGTACTATTAGGTTATTTGTCTGGGCACACGGATTCATCACTACCTGGCTCCAATCTTGTTCACCCGACGCCACTGTGAGGAGCAACCCCGAGGGTAAGCAGCCAGTTAGTCAAAAGGCAGCCTAATTTACGCGTTTTGAGAACTTTACATGATTATATGCTCGGCTTTGTTCTTTTGTTCGCCGCCTATCATTGTTACTCGGGCGCTTTGTTGCTCGACTAGTGACAAGGGGAACAAAGCGCACATTTTGGCGGCATTTCGCTTTGAGAACTGCCCATGCTAGTCTGGACGACATATTGGTCTATTGTCCACACATTGGGAATATTGAAGGTCTTTGTTGGTTTTCTTGCTGCCTCATGGTCAGGTCCAGTTGTTCTAAGAGATGTAAATGCAGCCATTGGCGCTGAACGGCCAACACTTAAACATACAATGCCCATGAGCAGGTTAATTCAATTCTCCGTTATCTATAGTCGTTGCCTTTTTAGCCATCTCTCATTTGTTCTTCTTACCTCCATTCGTTAGGTTTAGCTGGTCTTCTCTAGCACCACTCGACTTCCAAAGATCACCACTAGCTTTTCTATCAAGAACCAGGACTTACATTTCAATAGCCAAAAATGAGTCTAATCTACCTTAGACTTGTCTTTCTTTTGCTGGTGCTCGACTCAAACAAGAGCTTCGCGGGGCCATTACCTGTGTCGACCTTGTCGCCCGTGTCGCCAGCAAGTCTAGCAAGTCTAGCATCGAATGAAAGCACCCATAATAGTCTGTCTGGCACAGACTCTGCAGCGTTTGGAACCAGAAGTACGGCATTCGAGAACACTTCAGGACCTACCACTAGAACATCTTCTGAAAGTGCGCCGTTCTTTAGTTTATTATTCGGCGGTCCGACGTCCGCTCCGCCGCCTCCATTTGGAACAGGATCCCCTATATCTACACTAGTATCGCCGCTGGAGTCGGCATCCACAGCACCAACACGTGTACCTTTGGGAACAGGTGCTTCTACGGGCGAAGCACAGCCTACGCCTTTGACGACCCAGGAAACTCTTTCTCCCACGGGAAGCTCGCTCAAGAGCGTAAGCTCAGGATTACTCTCTTTCGTTCCACCACCACTGAAATTTTCTTCCCAGTCAAGTCTAAAATCAGATGTTGCAACTCCTCTTTCTTCAGGGTTGCTCTCATTTGTTCCACCCCCTTTAGCATTTTCTCCCCAATCAACCCTGAAGTCAGATGCTGCAACTACTCATTCTTCAGGGTTATTCTCATTCGTTCCACCACCACTACAATTTTCTGCACCCTCGGCAATCCCCACGGGCTCAACAAGCCACCTGAAAGCCTCAGCCTCATTTACAACTACCAGCCCCCAGTCATCATTCAGTTTTCCGAGCAAAGAGTCGTTTTCTGGTGCTCCAACTATAACTAGTAGCCCCGGATCGTCATTCGTTCCTCCGAGCCGATCGTTGGGTTGGCTTACATCATCTAGGAGTGCTTTCTCTGACAATGAGCCTGTCATCCAGACCGTGACATCGGTTGTATCTGGCAAAACTGATCTGGTTGCTGTTCTGTTTGGTGGTGCCTTCGCTACTCCTATGGTTCTGCCATCGCCGGCCACAAAGAAGCTCGATGCAACTGGCACGGCCGCAGTGGCGAGCGCAAGTGCCTTCTCTGATCAGATGGCGGGTATCTTCCCACAGATCGAGGCTTTCATTAATAATCCGGTGAAGTCTGAGGCAGATGGTGCCACCAAGGCCATTGGAGGAGCTTTGTCGGCTGGAGCTGGTCTCCTCGGTAGCCTTCCGGGAGGTGGAGGGAAGTCTGGGGGTGGTGGGGGAGGTGGTGGATGTGGAGGCAAGCGTCGCCGAGATCTACATCGTAGAGGACTACTGGGTGATATTCTTGGTGCGGTCAGTTGTGTGGTTGAGGGTGCGAAGGAAATCGGCAATACGATCGAGGGAGGCGTGAAGGGAACCGAATCGGAGCTGGAGAACGCGGCCAAAGAAGTCGCGTCGCATCTGAAGAACTTGAAGCCCGAAGTAGCAGCTCTTAAGAACATTGGCCCTGCCGACGAGAACGGCGAACCCTCCAAATCGGATTCGAAGCATACCTCTACAAGCAAATCTAAATCGTCTACCGCTTCAACGGCCTCTTCAAGCTCTTCCTGTAAGGGAACCCAGACGGTTACTAACTGCAACGCGGTCTGCACTACAACTGCCTCAGTGCACCCAAGAAATGTGAATCGCGGAGAAGCCTGCAGTCGTACCTGTTCTGCAGTTACTTTTAAAGGCTGCAAGACTGTTTCGCCAACCATTACTTCCTCGACGGTCACGGTATCACCGTCTAGCCACCCAGTCTTCTGTGGCATAGCTAATCCCCAGTGCCTGTCCAACAAATTAACTCCCCCGAAGGGTCCTATCGCAAAATGCAAAGACTGTTTGACGGACTCGCACTCCATGGCGTACATTGCTCCAAGCACGCTTACAAAATTGCCCTCGGGCGCGGAGGTCAGCAAGAGGTCAGGTCCTACAATGCCTTCGCATCCACTAGATTTCCAGATTCACGCATCGAAAATCAATGAGAAAGCACCTAGTGAACCGACTCCTGCCACTCCTAGCGATTCTAAGGTGTTAGATCCTTCGGTAGCTATGAATCTAACAGCGCGTGCTATGCCTCGCCCGGAACATTTTTACAGCCAAGACCAGTTTCTGTTCTCCGAGTTAAGCCAGGCGAAAATGGTTCCTCATGGTGGACGCATGACCAACGGCAAGGATCTCGCAGCGTCGACTGCTATAACGAGGGAGTTCCTTAACCAGCCAGTGAAGCTGGGAGTAGTCAACCTTTATGGGTGCACTTCTGTCATCGTGGCGTCCAGTCGAGGTAAGTAAATACAGCCCAAAGCTCGAGTAGCAAATTTCGAGAAGTTGCTAACAGTGACATAGGTGTTTGGCAATCCCATTTTTGGGAAATTGGGTCGTTCATGATGAACAAGGGCGACAATGACGAAGAAATATTATTCTCAGATTTGTATTTTGACGAGGACCAATTTACCAAGGACGTGCTAGACGCATTCGACCGGGGCAGTACGTGGGATCCAAACCAAAGTGACCACGGGGTTCGCGTGCACGCCCAACCTGGAGGAATATTCGCCAAAGAGTACGACCCAGAGGTTGTAATCATCACTCCACGAGATAGAGATATAGGCGAGGAAGGCTTTGTAGAGTTCCCTATTCAAGTTGGCCAAATCAAAGACAAGATCAACGAGATCTTTGGATGGAACTCCAACGAAAATCGCCCACGTGTCGTCGAATACGATTCTCTACCTGGAGCAGACCCGGCCGTCCAAGACCCCTCGAATCCTCAGGGTTTTTCCTGGCCCCAGGGTAAGGCCCTCTTCCAGTACGACCCATTAGAAGCCATAGAGGAGGATACCAACCTTTTTGCATACCCCGGTTGCAATCCGGATCAGCAGCTGGCAGCGTTTCAGATTTGGGTCGAAGACCAGCCAACTCCAGTTCTCAGGAAAATGTGGCCAGCTTTGCCCGCCCAGTTGCATCCAGAAATGGCCCCTCACCGCAAAAGAGCAGACGCTCCTGCGTGTACTAAGCCGGTAAGTATACGTGATTTGTTTACCTTTGATAACAGCCTTGCTAATTTAGTTTGCAGAACCCGAAGTCAGCACCCGCGACACCATCAGCCACATTGAAGCCTTCCACTCCGATTACAAAATCGAAGTTAGCACCCTCGAGCACTGTGTCTCCCTCGACGGCCTTGAAGCCATCGCATTCTTCGTCAACTTTGCTTCCAAAAGTCTCGCTGTCATTAGGGGTACCAGTCCAAGGAGGGCATCACTCTACGACTCGGCCGACTTCGACGCCATCTCCAGCCCATCCACCTCCACCACCTCCTGCATACCAAACAGGCACCTGCAAACTTCGCATCAAAGAGTGGAAGGAAGCTCCCGCCGGCAATCCATATGTGAACTGGGACATCGCCATCACCGACAACGGTGGGAAGGAGCTCTTCAACAAAACCTCGCGATCCGAATTAGGCGATACCATGGCCATCGAAAAGGCTGACAGCAAGCTCCCTTACTCCGTCTTTGTCGAATTCTTGAAGAATACTAAAAGACCCAGCGCCCACAAGCGAAACATCTGGAAGCGCACCCTGGAGCGATTCACCAGGAATCCCGTTCTCATTCCGAAGGACGAGAAAACATACAAGACCTGGCCTATCGAGATCGAGGCAGGGAGTTTCATCTTTGATTCTTGGGATCAGGGTAGCAAGTTGCCGAGCTGCAGTGCTTGGAAACTTGACGACAGTGATGAAAAGAAACCAGTAAGCAACCCCGACGCGTGGTTTTAGAGACCTCAATGTGCTGACTTATTCTAGATCGTGCAAACAGACTGCTCTTGGGTGTGCTGAAGAGCGAGATCATGACGACGCTGGCGCCGTAGAGGCTTAATGTGATTGAACTAGAATTTGATGCAGTGGAAATAGGGCTACCGTTTGACTGACCGAAGACATGCTAGCTGGGGTAGTCCTTAGAGTGGTATCGAACGAGCAAGAGTGGAGCGCGAGCAGCGGTATATCCGAGTCTCCAAATTATGACCTAGTACATACCAGTAAAAGGGTCACCAGTCTGTGCACACCCGTTTGTCACTGCTTGGAGTACCCTCGTAGATTTTTAAAACCCTAGCAATGTCAAGTATTCAAGGACCTTAAATTACACTGCCTTTTGACTAACGGGCTGCTGACCCTTTAGGCTGCTCCTCACAGTGGCGTTGAATGAACAATATGGAACCAATTAGTGATGATTTCGTGTGCCCAGACTTATAACCTGTTACAATCCTCTCTAACAAGCGGTGCTAGGTGAGCGATTAAGAATTGATTGTGTACTATATGCCACCATCTCGCTCCGTCGGCTTACTCATCACACTTCAAGGCAACATAATGAGCCGGACCACGACAATAAGCGATTAGAACTCATTACCACCTAGACAGCTTGCTTGCGTGGAAGTGTCATCACCTTCTCTTACCCATCATGGTCAGCTTATTATCTCGGCCAGGTGTTTCAGAGCACGCTCATAAACATTACGCTCCTACGAATCGCAGGAAACATCACGTGTAATCAGAGTAAAGTAAAATGTGGTGTCATTGGCAGCTTGTCTACACTCAAAGGATCACCTAGTCCTAGGAACTCGTACCTGATGCCCGCTATTGTTCTATCTAGAAGACAGGAGACCTATAGGCTATAGCTACAGAAATCAAACCCAAACTCCTACTAGCCGATCTATGCCGAATCCTAAGATATCGTTTCTTGTCAACGTTCCGCTGATTCCACTTAGCCCCGGAGACTTGCAATCCATCTTCCCCGTAGTTCAATTTTCCGATTTGAGGATCATGAGCTAAGAACTTCAACCGAACCTCCGCCTGCTGTTGTTCTCAATTTAGATCAGCAAGCCCCGAGTTCTCGACTTCAGTCACAACGCCTGCTCTAATCCTTGTCAAGATACCGAAGGGGCACGACCGCGCACGCAGGCTGGAGATAAGCCCGCAAGAAATCCTCAGCGCCCGCCCGGAGTATGTATTTACTCGGCCCTCCGGAAGTGCGGGGCTGGAACACGGCGGCCATCTTCTGGTCAGCCTTCCAAGCGATCGCTAACTTCTTGAGCCCCGAACTCTTCGCAGCAAAGATCAGTAGACCAAGAGTCAAATTTACTTCGCAGGTCCTGTTATGCCTAACTTTGGCAGCGGCTACGCATCGCTTTCGACCTTCTTCGAAGTCACTCCTGTTGGCTCCAGCTGATGCTTGTATGGGCCAGAGCGGTTGCAGCCACTCTACGAGCGGTTGGGGAGAGGGACCGGCGCTACCAAAGACCTCAGAGGTGTCCAGGTAGATGAACAGGGATTGGAGGTTCTTGCAAAGGCTTAGCTGCGTGGTCACAATCTGGAACTGCTGCATAACCTGGTAGCAGTATCGGTGGGCCTCCAAAGTGTCGGGGTCTAGTACTATGCCTTCGGCTACAGAGCCGACATTGTGGAGCTCGATGTTTCGAGTCTGTTTGCGACCTCCAGGACCGATTGCTTTCATGAACGCACGTGCAATTTGGTAAGGGGTCTCGCCGTCTCCATACATTTCTAGGAGTCGGAACGTATTCTCTCGGAAGAAGAGCGCCTGAGACTCGCGATGAACGTTTTGGCTACCCATAGCTCCGAATGCGGCCAGTGCAGACGCCGAATCCCCTGTGGTAGCGCCCGTGGCCTTCACACGCCGGTTGAGGTTGGGCCCGGTCCGTTCGAGAGTGATATTCATGGCGATGGGGTTAGTCAGTCCGCTGTATCCATAGACCTAGTTGCGAAGCTCTCCTGGGAGGCCATTGAGGTCAAACTTCCCAGACATGGTAGAGGTCGAGTGCCGAAAAGTGGTTGTTAAGAAGAAGCCTTGGTGTATGACAACTTGTGTGGGAGGTAACTGGTGGTGTGGGTGGAGACGCAGTGGAAAGTATGAGGTTCTAGATCCGGGGATGACTGGAAAAATGAAAGTACACCGGGGCCCCTGAATTCACGCAGCTGCCATAGAAGGAGGTGAATTTGAAGAGGTAAAAGCAGTGCCGCTAGTAAGAGCGTACTGCCGGCCCGTCGACACATTGTGTACCCTAACGTTCGAGTACATGGTTCGCGTTGTTCACTTACCATGGTTCTCGACACCACCGTCCATAAATACATCTCGAATCACCACAACAACAACAATTTCCCCCTTTCCCTGCAAATTCCACTGACTAGATGCACAATGTCGAACACTCAAAGCCCATATGTTACTCTCGGCGTCGCTCGTGGCGCAGACGAGAAGACCATCCGTTCGGCCTACCATCGGCTTGCACGGGAACACCACCCAGACAAGATTCAGGATTCCGCCCTCAGCGCCGCAGGAGAGGAGAAGTTCAAGACCATTCAGCATGCCTATGAGCTTCTCACCGGCAAGGCAAAGCATGCCGAGGTTGATAACCAAGCAGAGCCACAACCGGCGAGGCCTCCCCCTAGACGACGAACTCCGTCACCCTCTCCATACGATGGAATTTTCAGAGCCCCAAGCGACTCTGGTTCTTGCACTGACGATGAGGATGCTTACAGATTCCGCAAGATGGGCCGCGCTGAGGCCGCTGCCCACTCTACTGCACGGAAAGCAAATCATGCCTTCAAGTGGGCCCAGGAGCAGTGGTCAGAAGCGGAAGCGATGCTCGTGCACGCGAAGAATGCAGAGCCAAAGCCCATGATACTCTATTCCAACATCGAACCAACCCGTGGGCCAGAGTCCTGCCGCGAGGCTATCGCTAAAGGGCGCGTTCCAGAGTCCGTGTTGAGCATGCATACGATCAAGTGGCAGAATTCTGAGAGTAACTTGCGAAGCGCTATTCAGCACTTCGACGAAGCTTCCGCGTCCTACAAGCGCGCCGAAAGAGTGTTCAAACGAGCTGCTCGGCTGTTTGACAACCTCGACCTCGACGAACACTACCGCGAGAACAGGAATATGGCGGAAGAAGCGCGACGCTTGGCGGCCGAGGCTACTGTCAAGGCCGATGAGAGCGAGAAGAAGTTCGAGGAGACTGCGGCTGTGGCTTCGGCGTGGAGCCATGCGGGCTCGGGGTTCTAGTTGCAGTTATCCTAAGTATGTGAGTGCAATAAATCTGTTAGTTCCAAGATTTTTTAATATGATAATGTGATGCTGATGTGAGAATATATACCAAGAAACACATGCTATTGCTAGCGAGGTCTTGCATAAGTGAATGTGCACAGATGTATGTCCTGGGTATCTTCCAGCGCTTCATGTCCCCGCAAAACGAACGCCCCAGCGGGCCCAATCCAGGCGTACAACAAAAGAGATGCGGGATTGCTTCTTACTGACTGAGATCTGATTTACGGCTTCAAGAACATGACATTCACTTCTTAGGATCCCGCACCACCAAGAGGTGGCTCGAAGGCCTGTCCATGCCCGCAAAACGCACCACTACACGACTCTGTTCTACTGGTGCGGTAATAACATATGAGAATGCTTCCTACAGAAGCAGGACTAGATCTAGGGCCTCTGGAATGTGGCATTCACGTGTTTTGGTCTTCCCACCTCCGGGGGTGTCTTCGGGCGCTATCTGAGCCTTCAAAATGTATGAGGAAGGCAACACGATCCGCAGAGCGTCGCAGATAGGTGTAGGAATACTGGCCACACGACCACCATCTGATTCTCACCCTCCAGAACGTGACATCCACCTCCTCAAGCCTCTCAAACCTTGTGGGATGTCTTACATGGTTAACCGTACCCCTAAACCACACTCCCACATGGCCTAATATCGCACGTGCCGTACCAGGATGCAGGAATACCAACCCAATGTACCTCGAAAGTGGTTCCTGTGTGACAAGACGATGTGTTAGATACTTTGGTGATAATTTAGTATTCGAGGAGCAATTGGTGGATAAAGTCTCTTCTATGTACATTGTTAGAGTCTCCAGTAGGAAATACCGGTCGCATTAACACGTAAGAGTCCTCTAGTCCAATAATGCACTTTTATGTACGGTCTATCAAAACACCAGAAAAGCAAAGCAGGCCGTTGATGGCATTACATTAGAAGTAGAAGCTCTGAATGAGCGGTACATCAAGACGAAGCATCTTCCCAGGGTATACTCAAACACGTACTACTTGAAATCAAGCAGGTACAGTGGTCGTGGTAGTCGCTGGAGTGCAGACAACGCCCACGGGAGCAATCGTAAATGCATCCCACATAAACCCGTTCGAGCTTACTACGCTTGCCGCGGTAATGGTGAGCGCGGCAGTATCGCTCGTCGCCGTGAAAGTGAAGGTATTTTGATACCACGCAGTATCCGGAACAGCAGGCGTAGTCAAAACGGCGGTGCCGTCGATTGAGATTACGACTTTGCCGTTCGAATTCCTTCTCTGCCAAAACGACACGCTGTAGGTAACGCCCGCTGTGAGTCGCAGAATAGTGTTGCCGATGGTAGCGCTGTCTCCAGTTCCGTAGGTGGCTATGTATGCGACATGCGTGCCGTCCTTTGACCCAGATGTGCCTTCCGCTAAGGACAAGGCGACGTAGGGAGCCTGTGCACCACCGGTGTGCAAGGTGCTGATTGTAGACCAATCGGGAGTGGTAGCACCCGGGTTTTCGAAACTCGGGTCGTTAATCAGTCCACAGCCAATTGCTGTTGGAGTAGGGGTAGCTGAAGATGTGCTAGACGTGGTTGAGCTTGCAGCAGCGGACGACGTCGAGCTGGTGGCTGCCGCGGACGATGTCGAGCTAGTGGCTGCCGCGGACGATGTCGAGCTAGTGGCTGCTGCGCTTGACGTGGTGGTGCTTGAAGAGGGTGCGCTAACGCGGTAGGCTCCCCAAATTCCGGAATCGGTTCGTACATCCTGCGTGTAGCTGTACTTCATGTAGCATGGACCGGGGGTTCCAAAACGGTACGAAACATCGACACAACCTGCAGTTGCTTCACAGGCCTATATGCTGGTCAATCTTCTGTACTGTAGTGACAAGTCGTAAGTCTGTGCACACGCGTTTACCACTGCTTGGAGTACCCTCAGGGGATGTTGAAAACCCAGGAGCAATGTCAAGTTTCAAGTCGTGCAAATTGCACTGCCTCTTGACTAGCTGACTGCTTACTAGCCGAGCTGCTCCTCACAGTTGTGTAGAGAGAGCAAGGTTAGAGCCCACCAGTGATGATTGCGTGTACCCAGACTTATGACCTAGTACTGTATAAATGAATGTCCGTCACTCACCTCGAGGCAGCTTGGGAGGTCAGACACCCAGGCGATGTCCAAATCCGATCCATACCGATCCGCCGAGCATTCAATTTTGTAAACGGCTCCATCCCTCGCAGTATAGGTCGACCCGTCAGCCGCCGGGCAGGCCACGGCCCCGACCTTTTTCGCGGCCCAGATGTTGGCGTTTGTCTGAGGGCCGTCGTCCTGGTTCTTCATGTAGCAGGCGGCGCCATTGTAGGAAACAATGATACATCCTGTCGTGCTCTCGCAAGTAGCGATGCAGTTCTCGAGGCTGGTTTCCCAAGATAAGCTCAAATCGCCCCCGTACTGGAGGTGTATTAGCCCATCATATGATCTAAGATCACTCTTAACATTCTAGAAGCTCACATAGTCAACGCCGCATTGAATTTCGAAAGAATCAGTGCCAACGGTGATGGTCTGGCCATCTGAAGCAGGACAGGAAAGCGCCGAAGGCGTCGCTGTGGTTGTAGTGGTGGTTGATGGGGCGGCTAGAGTTGGCACGGCTGCAATGAGACTGGGTGCAATCGCGAGAAGCGCAGCAAACTGCGCGAAGGAAACTTGAAGCATAATGAGTGTTTGATGTGTATCACGCAAATTTGTAACGAGAGTGGAGGTCCGAAGGACAAAGATGAGTTGCTTTAAGATGCAGCGGAGTGCGAAGGGTGAGAAAGACTTTATATTACCACTACTATCTCCGTCGCACGATTCTCGCTTACGACAGCCCGAAGAATTTGGATCCATTATTGGAATTGGTGGCGTTTCACCTGTTCTAGCCGCGTGAGAGCATGCTTTGCGATTCGGTTGAGGTCACCAGACTGGCTGGACTACAGCCAAGGAGTGGGATCTGGAGCTAACAGCGTCTCCGTCTTCGATATAGCGTTTCCAAAATGGGCCATTGTGGCGGCTGGTGAGAGGAATAGACCATTCCAGGCGCTATGAGGCTATTGTAGCAAGCCACCACGGCCGAAGGTATGAGCGCTAGCAAAAACCGCAGAGCTTCCCCACCAATGCCGCTGTAGCACCGGCTTCTCGTAGGAGTCCAAGACGAAGGCCGACAATGGCGCACGTGGTGGTGAGAAGCACATTGACCGGACAGTTGCGAGATGGAGATGATGCTGGGGGTTCTTTCAGCGACCTGGACCCGAGGAGCAAAAGCATGCGAGTCTTGTTGTGGTGGGCTCTGAGAGCTTGTTGATGGAAGGAGAAAGGCTGGCGTGGTGAGGCTTGAAAACAGGAGGTAAGCGAGGGCCGGATGGAGCCTTAGCGTGCTGGTCCCCCTTTTCACGCAGCTCCAGCCCACCACAGCCTTGCGTCCAGAAGGTCTACCACGGTATCCACCCGCCGATCAGGGAAATTAAGGCTGACAATTGATCTTATAGTATTCGTAGCGCCTTGAGATGGCAACGGAACAGTCTTATCGATTCATCTTCCGCGCTTCGTGCACCAACAGCCAGTTTATCCAGACCCTCGCTTTCAGCCGCGTGTTAGTGCAGTAGACCCCGTTAGTACTAAAAGTCGGGCGCTACGGAGTATCTGCTGTGTCGGGTACCTGCGCATGGCTTAGGTGGCTGATGTATGGCTTGCGCTGGCCGGCGACTCCGCCATGTCGACCTTCTCTCGGACGCGCGGTTTGCTTCAGCCAATCTTTTCGGTATTTTCAGGTTTTACGTAGCCTGCTATGTATTGTACGAGGTACACCATCTGCCACTCCTCGGTCGATGACTTTCGATGTCTTAGACCCACCCTCCTCCGAATCATTGTAGTCTTCACGGCGATATGCTCAACCACGTCTCTTGATTATTGCACGCAGAACGACTTTCGATTGTGGGACGGTTTTGCAATCGCCCGCCCTCAATAACAAGACAAGAAACCTAATAAATTATCGCTACTAACTTAAGGTAGGCCATCTGTCGTGTAGTTAAGTGCTGACGACTTCGGCATATTATGTGACATTATATCACGTGACATACACACACCGATTCCTCTCGTAAGTAAGAGGCGCTGTCTTCGATAGCTACCTTTCTTCCATAATATACCTTTCGTTCGTCCGTGTAGTCATCTTGCATTGCCCTCGTATCGTGAACTTCTTTCAATCACTGATAAGTTCGGACTCTCGCCTACCTCCTAGCACCGCTTGAGGTCCCCGGGTATGTTAGAAGTACTTGTAAAACAACAGTTTGAACAAGTCTATTAGCTTGTTAGGCCACCTTATCCGGTACTAGGCTGCCACTTGATGTTCAACGGAGCCTGCATGTATTACGTGTGCACGAAGCAAATAGCAATTCACAATAAGGAATCACTACAAACCCGCCTTGAAGCTTATTATAAACGGTATGCCCTTTCTTATAGTTATCCAAGGCATCTTAAAACGCTTTCGCCCCTGAAAAAGAGACATAAATATACAAAAATCATTCCTCTAAAGAAACTATAACAGTGCAAAGCTGCATCAGACGGCGTCATTCATCCCTCCTGTCTGCGGAGGTAGCACTTTATGCCATTTATAATGAATTCACTACCCACGCTCCCACTCAATGTTGTTACCTTGGCGTGCTTTTTCTTTCCCCATTCTGCGATATCTAAGGCCCTCCAAGCGGTCGTTCTTTCTAGGAAATCATCCACCATCCAACACCGCACTCGGATACCACCACAACCCCTGAAACCAACCAAGCTCTCAGCTAATAAGACACTCAAAACGTCAACAACTCCCACTTTCGAGTTCTTCCGCGACTTTCCCGGAGAAATCCGCAACAAAATCTACGACTACGCCCTTGTTGACCCTGAAGTCATGGAAATCACTCTCCCTGGCCCAACCGATCTCCTAAAGGCGACGGGAACAACCACTACCATCAACGCCTCCGCCCTCAAAGCCTTCAGCGCGAACAAACAGCTCTACGACGAGGCGCCCACTCTCTTCTTCCGAGACAACCGCTTCCGCATCATCGAACACAGCCCCGAATCGCGCCCGCACGCCGCCACCCGCGCCCTCTTAGCCCAAATCGGCCGCCGCGGCCGCGAACAACTCCACCGCCTCGAGATCCGCGCCGCCCGGCACCGCCATCTGCGAGCTCGACCTCCGTGGCTCTGTCATCAGACGTCGACGCCGGCTTTCTCCCGAGAACGTATAACGGCATGCTCCGGCGCGTCGTCAACTTGCTGAAGCAATGCAAGGGGCTGAGGACGCTCTGTATTGACCTCGATCTTGTAGAGGCGTTCCGGCGAACCGATGACAAGGGCTACAATGAACGGTATGTGATTGAGGTGCTCGATCTGTTGGTGGCGGTTGCGAAGCAGGTGGAGCTGGAAGTGTTGCAGGTCGCGTGGATGCCTTTGGGACCTGATGCGGGGCGTGTTCTTGACCAGAGGTGGGGTTTAAGGATAGGATTGAGGAGAGGTATAAGGTGGAGGCGGTGAAGTATCTGAGGGATGGGCTGGATAGGGCTTGTGAGCTGAAGGCTGTGGTCCAGAAGAGGCTAGGTGGAAGGCGGTCGAGGCTATCCGGTTGAGCACGTGTAGGTCGTAGTGCTTGAGTTCGGCGCTTGCTCTCTCGACCCCGCCGTCAGGGGTAGCCCAGCTGCCGGGTATCCAGTGAGTCAAAAGGCGGCTCGTTTTCTATGAGGTTGAATTTTAGTCGCGTATGTAATTTTTCAAGTCTATGGAGGTACCCTAAGCAGTGGTGAACGGGTGTGCGCAGACTTGTGGCAAGGCGCTGTATGTTGATGTGTTGCGAGAACATATTGAATGAACTCGGAGTACTGCTCAGGCGATGTAGTCGTCTTCAGCGGAGAAGCAGTTATCCGTATTTCTTTACCACGACCTTGCAACCCGGCCTCATTTGAGAGCGAAAGTACTTGGTGACACCATCTTCAAGGATCTGTCGATTCTCATCCCAGAATGGGACCACGACACCCTGAGAGCAGTTCTTCCAAGTCAGTTCTAGAATTTGCAGTGTATCGATGTGTCTAAGATTAATGATTGACTTTGCAAATGATCGTGATGAGAGGCGTGCGGGAATCTCTGCCAAAAGTTTGTTCTTAGGTCGCAGGTAAAGCTGATCAAGATACCACTTGATTTCCTCAGTGCTCACCTCCCTACTGACTAACTGGCGAAGGTCGAGATCGAGATGAAAGAATTTGATGGATTCGCACAGTCTCAACATGGTGCCTATGTAAATCAATCCACGAGCCCACTCGCAAGAGGTATGGTCGGTGGCGAGGGCGAACACTGATGGGACTGACGGGTCGGTATAGACGAGCTCCAGGTGCTGAACCAACGATCGTCCAGGAAGCCCAATCGCTCTGAGAAATGCACGTGCAGCGCCGGTGGGGAAGTCCCCGTCATCGGAGACGCGGAACTTGTTCTCAGCCCAAAAGAGCGCCTTAGCTTCAGTGAAGATTCGTCGAATTAGACCGAAAGACCTCAAAGCGAGAGCGGCTTCTCTTTCCGCATCAGAAGCTCGGGCACGGCCTTGGTCGTTGAGCGTGATGTTGTAGGGTTCGACAACGAGTGCGTGGCGGTATATCTCATTCCGTAGCTCAGCTGGCAGCGCCTCGAATCCGTCTGTGTCGGGTAGGCTGATCAACGTTTCGTGGGATTGCGGAGGCTCCAGTAATTGCTGCGGGCTGACAAACCCTGCCATTTTATGAGTCGCGGGCTAATAGATTCGGACTCGTTGGTCGAAGTGGGCGTTGTTATCAGTTTGGATGCAAAGAGTAATCTTGCGAGTATAATCGACTTCGTGAAATCGATAAGGGTGATGAAAACAAGAAAGCAGCAAAGGAGGATAAAGTGGGCTTTTAAACTCCGGGGCACGCCAATGAGCCATGGCCTGCGCACGAAAACAGTTGTGTTACACTGAGATCAAGCAAACATTTCCGGCGGATGTAATTTCGGGTACTCGCATATGCTCCGACAGTACTAGGTGGCAGGTCACAAGTTCAAGACTCGAAGATTCTACTCCTCGGGCTCTACTCTTGCTCACTCAACACCGCTGTCAGGAGTACCTACCGTACTAGGTAGTCAGCTAGGAATGATGTAGCTCGATTTCTACGGTGCCGAACTTTACACCATCTCCAGAAATTTAAGAGCATGCGCGGTACCCCAAACAGTGCGGAACGAGTGTGCAGACATGTGGCGAGGCACTCTCTGTCCAGATTTATAGGCCAAACTCTTCATGCTGAATCACATGAACCAGGCGCAGGCCGCAAACCTTCATCATTGCACAGTACCAGGATCAGAATTCTCCTTACACCCTTATAATACTGCGTGTGGTGCGTTAACGTATGTCACGTAACAAGAGAGAGAAGATGTTATATGTGCTGCATTTGATGAACATAAGGAGAATATAGTGGCAAAAAAGAGAGCTGGAGGCAGGTGAGGGTCTTTACAAGAGCTGCCGGGTGTCTGCCGTAGCCTTCGCGGCTCTTCCATAACAACATAATAACAGAAAGCTGAAGCATCGGGTTACAAGTCGAATCATATGCAGGTATTTACCACCGCCTGAAATCTCCCAGTAAGGTTTCGGATTTGTCTAGTCGATAGCTTTGAGTCGCCTTTGGATTCTTAAAAGTTCCTTCAAGTACTTCAGGCGGTGTTGCAAAGTTAAAAGTGTAAGGGAACTTCGGTTCTCGTGCTGTGCCCAAGATTGTGAGAGCTCGTACCTGAAAGACAAAGATTTGATTGCTGTGGCCTAAGCAGCAGCACCAAATAAACGTTCTAGCAGTGTAGTTCGTAGTCAGTTTAGAGGGAAAAGAGATTATCCATCTTTCTTCACCACTAATTTGCACCGCGGGGCAAGTTCCGAACGGAGAATCTTTGTGAAATCCAATTCAATCTTTTTTCGCATTTGGTTTGATCATTGGCATATTTGAAGCTCTTCCAAGTAATCTCCAGGGTCTTCAGTGATTTCTTACTTGCGAGAAAGAGAAGCAAGTCGATCTTGGTCTGGTACCCTTTTATACCTTTAGATTGATAAGTGGGGAAGCTCTCGCGAGATATGCATAGCAGGGGAAGACCTAAGTCGAGATGTAAGGTCTTTATAGACCAGCAGAAATTGAAGATATTCACGAAAGAAGTGAGTGCGCGGACTGAATCTGCCCCTTCTTGCAGCGAAGTCTTCCATGGTTCTCTGATGATGTCGGCGACTTCAAGGTGCTGGATCGAGTCACGTCCAGATTTCCCGATGGCTGCGAGAAAGAATCGAGCGGTGGTAATCGGCAACTTCTCTTCTGCAACAACGCAGAATGTGTTTTGGGCCCAGAACAATGACTTTGCCTCCGCGTAGATCTGATGATTCAGGGCAAAGCATTGTAGAGTAGCGGCTTTGTTGTCGTCAACGAACCGGAAACCGCTCGGCTCACACTTCTTCTTCGAGGCGTTCCATCGGAGATTGTCGTCGGATTTAATCTTGTAGACGTCTTGAACGAGCACCTCTTGGTATATTTGGTTGCGAAGCTCGCCTGGAAGCTTTTCAAACGGGAACTGAGAGTCCATCGCTGGGGCCTTGCACTGAGCGCTTTGCGCTGGAGGAGTCGAGGTCATAGTTGCCTTGCTCAACTTCATTCTATTGGTGGTACTGGTGGTATTTGTGTATGTCTAGAAGGGTTTAGGCGTTGTCGGGTTGGTTTTTGACGAGACTGAAACTGTGTGCGTGAGTTGAGGAGGGAAGATGAAGAGAGACAGCAGATCTCAGCGCCAGCTTTTATTTCCTAAGAAATGCGCTCCGTAGCAAGAAATAAATGCGCTCTGCAGCACCACCATTCAGAGCACGATTCGATAGGGAACTGTTCCAAGGGTGCGTGCGCTCTGATCCAGTACCTTAGTAAACGATACTTTGAACCGTGGTTGCCCAGCAATGGGTACCAAGATTGAACCGAATGGAGTCATGTTGAGTAGGATCAACACAACACGAAAGTAGGTTCTCTAGACAGTAAGGAACGAAATATAGATGGAGGAGATGCGAAGATGTGACAGAATTAACGGCAAAGGAAGACAATTACGAAATTCATTGGCATTGGAATTGAATGGGTCGATAGAATACTATGAGTGATTCATGTCCCTCCTTTTCAAGCTCAGCAACTACTCCGTATGGCTACCCATGAGCCCATCAGATGCGATAACGAGTTGTACCAAAGGAAAACTTAAGTGTAGTGACAAGGAAAGGAACGTCCCGCCGGTGCCGAACTCCGAAGACCCCCGCAGGGTCCACCAGCAACCTCAGCCCATTCCAAGCTGATCCCCACCACGAAGCTCCATTCTTTGTCCCAACACGACAACAAACCCCAGTCAATCAAATGCAACCCTCGCCCGAGCGCATTGCACAGATAGCAGCTGCGCAGGATGCCAAAGCCGCCGCGCGCAAAGCGGCACAGCCAGAATCGCAGAACGAAGAGGAAGCTGCAGCTGCACAGTTGATTCAGAAGAACTACAGAGGATACCGGGAGCGGCGGCAGTTGGCGGGAATGGGCCTGGATCCGAGTACACGATGGGTTGAGGTGAGCTCCTTATTTCATTTTACACTGCTTCACTTCTGCGTTTCTACCTACTTTATGACAATGACTGTAGCTGATTGCTGACAGGCGATCAAAGAAGGTCAGGCTTCCCGGTTCCCGTCTACACATTCATATGAGCAAGCACTAAACAACCTCAAGCTCGGTGGAGAAATGCGACCCGGCCGATCTCGCGCAAAGAACGGTCCATTCCGGCGACAGTAACGAATGACGCGGAAGCTCGGTCACGACGAGAATCAGACGCGGCTAGACAGACATGGAGGCGCGTTGGGGAGATAGCACGGAGAGCAGGCGGAGATGACCCACCAGACGAAGAAGACGAGACCGAGATGACCGAGGAGCAGCGGGCGGAGTACCACAAGAGGAGGGCGGAGCAGAAACGGGAGCGAGAGAAAACGGCCAAGATGATGGATCTCCAGTATTTCCTCGAGATGGTGGACCAGAAGCATCGATATGGGTCGAACCTGAGGGCATATCACGAGCAGTGGATGAAGGACGGCTCAAATGAGAACTTCTTTTACTGGCTAGATAAGGGCGCTGGAAGGAACGTGGAACTGCCTACCGTATCGAGAGAGCGTTTGGAGAGAGAACAAGTGCGGTATCTGTCTCGAGAGCAGAGGATGCAGTATCTAGTGAAGATTGACAAAGAGGGGCGGCTGTGCTGGGCAAAAAATGGGGACAGGATCACCACGACTATCGATTATCGGGACAGTATCAACGGCATAGTGCCAAAAGACGACAAAACGCCCACGTTCGGCTCCGATGAGGCTGCAATACACAGGAAGAGCACGTCGTCATCATCGTCATCGAGCTCGTCAGATTCCGACTCGGAAGCAGAGTCTAGCCAGATTGAAGGCGAGCACTACGTGAATGAGGATCTAAAGACCGCGAAAGGACTCAAGAAAATTAAGCACGTCTCTGCAGCCACAGTACTGAACCATCTACTCAGAGGCTCCGTCAAACCGAATTCATGGATATATGTAAGTTCTAGAGGGACGGGCCTCTTGGTAATATAGGCGTTGATAATCAATAGGTTGCAGATACGTCGTTTCGCCTCTATATCGGGATAAAACAGTCCGGCGCATTTCAGCACAGCTCTTTCCTCCACGGAGCCCGGATATCAAGTGCAGGGCTCATCAAGATAAAGAACGGCCAGCTACGACGTCTGTCGCCGCTTAGCGGACATTACAGACCTCCGACTGCCAACTTCCGGGCTTTTGTGCACTCATTGAGAGACAACGGGGTTGATATGAGTCGTGTTTCGATCTCGCGGTCCTACGCCATCTTAGTTGGGCTCGAAATGTATGTGAAGACAAGGAAGAAGATCAAGCACAGTGTGGAGCATGCTGGAGAGCATAAGGACAAGGTGGTGCATCCAGAACAGGTCAAGAAGAGAGAAGAGGAATCGGTGGACAACAGCAAGAGTGCACAGAGAGAGCGGCAGCTACTGGCTTCTGCGGACAAGCAGCAGGAGGAGGCGAAGCGACAGAACAGCTTCCGCAGTAAGTTCATGCGGAAGCTGAGATTTGGGTCGGTCTCTTCGAAAGAGGAAGTTTTGAAGCCGAGTGACAAGCCTGTGAGCCAACCCGGGCAGGATGTGGAGAGCGGGATACCACCAGCGGGGAAGAGATGACGGTCTCTTGGTAGCCGAATCCTGCCTATAGAGTCCTCAGATGAATGCTTGGTGTCATGATATCCCTTATTGCCTCAGGCAGATAATGATACTAGTACTATCCGAAAAAGGCCTAGCCACGTGACTTAGATGCGCTCAGTCCAACCGTTCTTTCCACCTTGCAACCTACACAACTCCAAATCACGAAGGTCTCTAATGATTTTTTAATAGATTCGGCATGTTAGAAAAGAATTCCTCATTTCATGGGAACGTCGCTCAGGAGACATTAATATTAATCACGTGTGAGTTCAGTCACGAAGAACTGAAGTCAGCAGTCAGAAGTTGAACTGTGAGACGAACTGGGCAGCGATTTTCAGAAGACGTAACCATGCCCAGTCGCACGCAAGAGAAATCGGTGTCTCTTTGGTCGACGCGCGGAAAGTTGGATAAAAGTGGTGGTGTCCAGTGGCGTCATAGGCCGCTTCCCCAACGTCCGAGTCCTGGAACCTCAGCAACCTCCGCAATTTCCACCGCAGCATCGTGAGACGTCCCGCCTCCCCGAGCCGTGTCGTCTTTTCCCTCTCAGCCGCGTCGCGACGCAGGGCCCGTCCGCCCCGGGCGCAACTGCGGTGATGTTCAGGGCTGCCGCGATGCCTTGACTGCATCGCAGATCGACGCGGCACAGACTCGCCGCCACAGCTGCAGGCCCCCTTGGCAGATCGGCGTGGTTGCACGGGAGGGGAGTGAAACGGCTGCTTGCCCCGACAGGGTTGGAGCCTGTCCGACATGGATCATCCGTGTTGCGTAAGCCACGCATCGTCATCAGGCATCACGTCGGAGACGTCTTCCAACTTTTGCTTGGACGGCGAGCGCCTGCTGCGAGGATGGCACCAGGTTTGCACCGATCGCCGTGTGTTATTGTACTTACTATAGGCTCCAGATGCCTGTCTCGGCGTGCAGCAGAAATGCAACCCCCGGCTGCGTGTGCCAGAACCCTCCATCCCGGCGTCTGGGGAGACCTCCTCCAGGCCCGCAGATCACTCTTGCAGGCGACAGAACGGTTCTTTGCTCTTCTATCTCTTCCATTATAGTGCTGTACAACCAGGTCTCTACCTATTCAATCTCTCCGTCACGCAGCTGTTTGCCCAGAAAACTCATGCTGCCGCTGCCAACTCCCCAGCAACACGGCACGGAATCTTCCCCGTCTCAACTTTCCCTACCCGTGAGCGGTAGGAGGTCGGAGAAATAGAGTATCAAGCCTAGACTCGATCTTCGTGCCCTCGCCCCGTCCCCCCAGGGCTGCAGGTTCAAGCGTATCGACGATTCGTAGGGATGATCCGCCCAAACCTGCCCAGCCACAGCTCCACGACCGTCCCACGACGCCGGGCGCCGCTCACGTCGCACCACCTGCTCCGACGCAATGCTCAAGCCCCGCTCGAGGCTGGTGCTGTGACGCAATGCCCGCCAAAAGCGCAGAGAGCTCTCCAACTTCTGGCCACACAGGCCGGGCAGATGCGCCTCTTGCACGACGCGACGGCGCCATGCCAGCCGCAAAACAAGTTTCCCATCCCTCCCATCCCTCCATTGCCATGGGCCCCCAACACTGAGGCGTGAGCTCCCCTGTCGCCCACCATGCACCATCACTGGAGCTTCCGTTATCTACGTCATTGGGAACGATGGCAGACAATTCCCTCTTTATGAGTACTGTCCCCTGTGCAAATCAACTTCTCTCTCTATACATATACGTCGCCAATTGACGTGTACATGCATGCCCTCCAATTCCTCTCCTCCAAGCTACGCTTATTACTCATTTCCTCCAACCCCAAACAGAATCTCTCCTATTACCTCTAGATCTAGAAGAAACACTCCCCAGACAGACCGCACATCACACTCACACACAATGCCCTCGCCAGCAGCTGGAAAGGGTGGAGACGCTCCCCGAACTCCCACAAAGTTAGGCCGCAAGCCCCAATCGAGTGCCACATCAAAGCTCGGCCAAGGCACAAAAACCCCACCAGCACAGAAATCAGACGACAACGCGCCATCAACAGAAGACGCGCCTGAAGTACCTGAACGGCCGTCGGAAGGTGACGTGAAGGGCAAGGCCGGCGATGCTGCCAAGGCGGCGGAAGACACCAAGGACTCAGCCACATCCGAAGCTGAGGACACCACAAGCAAAGTCTCACAAAAGGGCGACCTAGAAGAGGCCGAGCCAAAGCCAATTGACGACGACGATGACGCCCTGCTCGGCCGCCAAGAGGAAGCCGAGGAGACCGGCGACGATGCCACCGAGAAGGCTGGCGACGAAGCCGAAGACACCGCCGAAGATACTGCCGACGATGCCACTGACACCGCAGGCGAGGCCGCCGAAGGTGGCCTGAAAAGTGCACGAGGACTTGCTGGCAAAGCATCGGGCTTGGCTGGCAAGGCGTCTAAAGATCCAGCCGAAGCTGCCAAGGAGGGCGCCGATGATGCTCAATCCGCGGCTGGTGAAGCCGCCGATGAGGCCCAATCGACCGTCGGCGAAACCACCGATGGTGCCGAGGATACCGCTGGCGAAGCTGCCGAAGGTGTCAAAGGCGCCGCAGATGAAGCCAAGGAGGGCGCCGAAGAGACTGTGGGCGAGGCCAAGGAAGGTGCCGAAGTGGGTGTCGATGGAGTGAAGGACACCGCTGAGGAAACCACCGGCCAAGAACTACCCGACACCCCTGACCTCTCCATCCTCAAGGGCCTCGAAGTCAACGAGGAGGGTTTGATCAAGAACGCTGATGGCAAAATCGTCGGTAAACTCGTGGAAGGCGACGCTGAAGACCTCGCTGGATACACCATCGGTGACGACGGCGAGATACTAGACGACGACGGTGACCTCGTTGGTCGCTGCGAAATCACCCCCGAATACCAGGAAGAACTCACCGAACAAGCCAAGGACGCCGGCCCCAAGTTGCCGGGCCTCGACGTTCTCAAGGGCCTCACGGTCGATGCCAGCGGCCAGATCCTTAACGAGGATGGCGACTTCGTTGGCATACTTGTCGAGGGCAACCCAGCCGACCTCCAGGACAAGGAGTTCAACGAGAACGGCGAAATTCTTGATGATGATGGAAACGTCATTGGCCGTGCTAAACTCCACCCTGATGCCGCAGATCTAGTCGATCAGGACGGCGACCTTCCCGAAGGTGCTGACGGCGTCGCTGGTGAAGCTGGCCAAACCGTCGATGGCGCCAAAGAAGGTGCCGTTGAGGGCGCTGAGGAAGGCGTTGAAGGTCTTGAGGACGAACTCCCCGGTGTCGAGGCCCTCGAGGGCAAGGAAATCAACGAAGATGGCGAAATCCTCAATGAGGATGGCGAAGTCATCGGACAACTTGCCGAGGGCAACATCGACGATGTCAAGGGCCTCACCGTTAATGAGAAGGGTGAGGTCGTTGACGCCGAGGGCAATGTTCTCGGAAAGGTCGAGCTTGCCGAGGGTGCTGCCGAGAAGCTCAAGGAAGCTGCCGGTGGTGCTCTTGACATCCGCATCCTCGAGGGACTCAAGGTTAACAAGAAGGGCAAGGTCCTCGACGAGGAAGGCGAGGAGATCGGTGAGCTCAAGGAGGGCGAGATCAAGGACTGCGCCGGCAAGACTGTCAACGAGAAGGGTGAAGTTGTCGACAAGGAGGGTAAGGTCCTCGGCAAGGTCGACATCGTTCCCGGCGAGGCTGCCTTTGAGGCCCAGAAGGCTCTTAAGGAGAGGCTTGGCGAGGCCGAACCTCAAGAAGTCATCCCCGAGCTCGACATTCTCGAAGGCCTGAAGGTCAACAAGAAGGGACAGATTCTTAATGAGGATGGTGAGCCAATCGGAGAGCTCGTCGAGGGTGACCTTGCTGCCTGCGCAGGAAAGAAGGTCAACGAAAAAGGTGAAGTCCTCGACAAGGACGGAAACGTCATTGGAAAGGTTAAGACTCTTCCCCAACAAGCCGAAGAGGCTGTTGAAGGCGCTGAGGAGACTGCTGAAGGTGCTGAAGAGGGTGCTGAAGCGGGTGGTGAGGAAGGAGAAGCCGAAGAAGCCGGACCTGAACTACCTCCTCTCTCAATCCTCGAAGGCCTTACTGTCAACAAAGCCGGCAAGCTCGTCGACAGCAACGGAACCATCGTTGGTGAGCTTATTGAGGGCGATGCGAAGAAGCTCTCCAAGTCTGGAATCACTGCCGACGCCGAGGGTCAATTCTGGGACAACAAGGGACATGTCATCGGACGTGCCCAGACTGTCCCGGTCGAGGAGGGCGAAGAGGAAGCGCCATTCGCTGGCCTCGAAGGCCTCATCGTCGTCAAGGATGGTCTCGTCGAAGATGAGAATGGCAACACTGTCGGCAAGGTCGTCGAGGGTGACGCTAAGAAGCTCATCGGCCGTGCTGTCGACGAAGATGGAGATATTATCGATAAGAAGGGCTCCGTCGTTGGCCACGCCGAGCGCTACGAGGAGCCTGAGGAGGAAGCCGAAGCAGAGCCGGAAGACCTATCCATCCTCGCCGGCAAGGTCGTCAACAAGCAAGGCAACGTCATCGGAGACGAGGGCGTGCCAATCGGTCGCCTGGTCGAGGGCAACGCGAAGGACCTCGCCGGCAAGAAGTGTGACGAGAACGGGCAGATCTGGAACGATTCTGGCAAAGTCATTGGCCGCGTCGAGTTGATCCCTCTCAACGAGCGCGAGGTCAAGCCCGAAGGTATCTTCGCCGGCCTCGAAGGCCTTCGCGTCGTTCCCGACGGCAAGATCGCCGATGAGGATGACAACATTGTTGGTTATATCGTCGAAGGCAACCCCAAGCGTCTCATCGGCCTTGCTGTGGACGAGGACGGTGACATTCTTGACAAATACGGCAACGTCAAGGGCCATGCCGAGCCTATTGAGGATGAGGAGGAAGTCCCCGCTGATCTCTCCATCTTGGACGGGCTTACCCTGAACAAGCAAGGCTTTCTCGTTAACTCCGATGGCATCCCCGTTGGACGCCTCGTCGAGGGTACTCTCGCTGATCTCGCTGGCCGCAAGAGCGATGGTGAAGGTCTGATTCACAATGACACTGGAAAGGTGGTCGGCCGATGCGAGCTCATTCCCGAGAACGAGCGCGTCACTAAGAAGGAGGGCCCTTTCGCCGGTCTTGAAGGCCTCAGGGTCGTTAAGGATGGCTTTGTCGAGGATGGTGACGGCAACCGCGTCGGTCAGATCACCGAGGGCGACCCCAAGAAGCTAATCGGAAACGCTGTCGACGAAGACGGTGATATCATCGACAAGTACGGCAACGTCAAGGGCCACGCTGAGCCATGGGAAGAAGAGGAAGCCGAGGAGGTTGACCTTTCTGCCCTGGCTGGCTGCATTGTCAACAAAGCCGGCAACGTCGTGGACTCGTCTGGCACTATCCTCGGCCGCGTTGCTGAGGGTGACCCGTCCACCATGGTCGGCAAGAAGGTCGATGGCAAGGGCCAGATCTGGGACAACGAAGGCAATGTCATTGGTCGCGCTGAGCTTGTCAAGGGAGCTCAGTCCGGGCCTGAGGGACCCTTCGCTGGCTTCGACGGCAACACCGTCGCCAAAGACGGCACCGTTCAGACCCCAGATGGGACTATCATCGGACGTGTCATCGAAGGTGATGTCAAGAGACTTGTTGGCCACACGGTCGATGAGGATGGCGACATCAACGACAAGAACGGCAATGTCATCGGCAAGGCTGAACGCTGGGAGCCAGAAGAGAAGGAGCGCAAGATCAACCCTATGGCTGGCCTCCACGTCAACAAGGAGGGCGAAGTCCGCGATCAGAACGGCGATATTATTGGTAGACTCACTGCTGGTGACCTTGGCCACTGCGCTGGCCTCGAGATCGACGACAACGGCTATGTCATCGACAACGACGGCAACAAGGTCGGTGAAGTCACTCTTCTGGAGAACATCCAGGAAGAAGAGGAAGAGACCGATGAGGAGAAGAAGAGGAGAGAGGATGCCGAGCTGGCCGAGAAGATGGCAAACATCTGCCAGCAGACCCTCGAGCGGATCCAGCCGGTCTGCAAGCAAATCACAGAGGTATGTCTTCCTGTCATCACCCGTCCGCGATTATTACTAACAACTCCTAGTACATCGAACAAGCCGACCGTACCCCCCGTGATGAGCTCGACGAAGAGGAACTCGTCAACAACGTCAAGCCCCTCATCGAAGAAGGTGGCCGCATTCTCAACGAGTGCAACGGCTCCCTTCGTGGCCTTGACCCCGACGGCCGCATTGCTGCGCAGGCCAAGGGTCGCGCTGGTACCAAGGAGGCTACACCCGAGGAGTACCGCCTCGCGGACTTACTCAAGGAACTCACTGGCACTGTCGTTACCTGCATCGACAACGCGAAGAAGAAGATCTCCGACATGCCGCACGCCAAGAAGAAGCTCAACCCGCTTTGGGCCCTGCTCACCCAGCCACTATTCCAGATCATCGCGGCTGTTGGCTTGTTGCTAACAGGTGTGCTGGGCTTAGTTGGACAGCTACTCAACGGCCTGGGTCTAGGTGGCCTGGTCAACGGTCTGCTGGGTGGCTTAGGCATTGACAAGCTGCTTGGAGGACTCGGTCTTGGAAGCATCGCCGAGTCGCTTGGGGGTGGCAAGGATAAGAAGAAGAAGGGTGGCCCCGGAGGTCTGCCGGTCATCGGCGGCCTGCTTGGCGGTGGGAAGTAAACGGCTTCTGGTTTCTTAGGGTTGAGATTGTACGAAAAGAAAGGCAAAGCGTCAAGCTTCGCGCATGGAGATGAGGGGATGAAGATGGTCTTTCTACAAAAGCAGCGATCTGTTTTTATGTATCACGGTTCTTGTATTCTTGGGTTCTTCTGGACTAAGTTCGGATATGTAAGGTTATGCCTTTTTCGCTTGTCAGCGTTTATTTTGGTTTTCCTTTTTGGGTCTTTGGGTGGGATGGATTGGATTGGGCTTGTTCTGTATATTAGTTACGATAGTAATGGTATAACACTGGATCTCCCTTCATGGGGGCAGATAAACGCTCACCTCCTTTCGAGTAACTATACACCCCCCTTTTCATCTGATCTTCTGATTGGCTCGGAGGGCCGGAACCTTGCTCCGCGCATTTGTTTTCACGTGCATCTACACGTGTATAGCCTTGCCGATTTGTATAGCCTCACGCATAGCCTTACGTACGAGCTCACGTACGGCTATATTTACAGCTAGCCTCACGTATAGCCTCACGTACAAGCTCACATACGAGCTCACGTACGGGCTTACGTATAGCTCACGTAAGAGCTCACGTACGGGCTTACGCACAAGCTCACGTACGAGCTCACATACGAGCTCACGTCGGCCGTATATACAGCTGCACAAATCAGATAGGCTGCGCTGGAGGCTATATAGCCATGTAATTGCTTGTGTTGTACGTAGCCAATTTGGAGAGAGCATTTGGACTTAGTGAGCAAGTTAAGCGAGCGAATCGGAGGCTACGGAGCAGCCCTCCAAGCCAATCAGAAGGCGGTGAAGTGACAGGGGGAGGGGGTGTGGTTACTCGAAAAGGGGTGTGCGGTTACTCGAAAGGGGGTGTGTGTTTATCTGCCCCCCCTTCATAACCTTCACAGCCTTTGGTGATGTGCCACCGTATAAGAATTAAATATTTCTGCCTCACCTTCTGGGCACGTTATGCACCCTTATCACACCGCTATGTCATTCCCCACTTTCCCGCAGTGTTCCCAGACTTTGCCAGCCCCTCTAACTCAACTCAGCCTAAGGCTCCCCTTGCTTCTATTAAAAGCAAACGCCATCAGCTGACCGCGTGGCTGGGCGCGTTCGCGCTACGTCTAGAATGCCCTTACCCCGCCCGCGATCCTCTTTATCTTCCCCCGTTAGTCCCCGCAAACTGCCTCTTTCTCTTCCACCCAACTCCAAGTTCTCCCACCGCTCAGAAACGCATTCACCACATCCCGAATCTCAAATCTATCTCAACCAACATCTTCATAATGGCCAAGGGAGACTCGTCATCGTCCAACGCCGCGGCTCAGTCCTCCTCGGGCGCGGCCTCATCCGGTGGTGCTGGATCTGGATCCGGCTCTAGTGGGTACACGTACACCAGCTCGGGCGAGAACAGCCAGGCATGTCCTCCCTCCCCTTTCATCCGTCCTCCTCCCTTCTCCTTCATCATCCTTCTCTCCTGTATCATCTCTAAACAGCCGGTGTGGAACAGGGCAACCACTACTGCGCCCGCGACTACGGCTCCAGCGCCAGCAACCAGAACTCGTACCACTATTCGAACACGTAAGCCGCCCCTTCTCCGCGATGTGTTGTCCATAGAATAGCGAGGGAGCTCTACCTCTCCACTCGGGGTTGTTTTGAGGTGCTGATGAATGTGTGATAGGGATGGGAGTTATTACTACTCCAACCCGAACGGCAGCACGTATTATAACGATGGTAATGGCGGGTCGAGCTATTCACGGAACGGATAGGGCGCTTCCAGCATGATGGCAATGCTTGGATAGAGGTAGTTAGTAGATGCGATAGGTAGATCGGAGCTTGCGGCGGTGGAGATGTGCCGTTGATGTGGGCGGGATGCCGACCCACCTATTCAGGAATGGAGTGAATTTCTAATCCTGAGCCTTGAGTGCTGATGCAGATCTGATGCAAGTGATGTGGATTTCAGATCTCATGATGTTCTCGTGATCCGTGACTAACCCACCCCGTTCTCAACTTTAAAACCTTCAACTCGCGAAAGAAAGTTCACTCAGGGAGGAGCTTCTCCCAGCTCGGGGTTCAATACTTTTAGCCGGGATGGCGGATGTGCTCTCCGGGCTGGGAGGGGCAGCAACTTTGGCACATCAAATCTTATGGGTCCTGTTGTGGTTGGGAATCAAATGAGCAAAGAGACAGAAACATGGCTAGAGTGTGTGTTGCGTGATCGCTCACACAGCGAAGACCACAGCAATGTGCAGCAATCGGTATGGAGCGGAGCGCAATGGTAGTGTGTCGTCGGTTGGGAGGTGGTGGCAGCCAGTCACACGCCTCTATTCTCCCTTGTTTCTCTCCCTTTCTCCTCCTTACGGAGTTGCACTACCTCCCTTACGAAGTTGTGTTGCTCCCTTGCTCTCCCTTGCTGTCCAGGGAGCCTAGTTACTCTATATAGTCCCTCGTTACAACCTTAATACAACTCATGCTTTCCTCACTGATCCTTTGCCCGTCCTACGCCAGCTGCCAGGTGGTGATGGGAGCATTACGACCAACCTCTGGGCATAGTCTCTGAAAAATTAGAGACGGAGGGCTTGTAGACTGAGACATGTCGTCGTTGGGAAGAATCGGTGATTACGTTGTTAGGGTAGAGGAGGTGGAGCGCATCATCGTCCGTGGACGAGCTGCAAGCACCCTCCCCATGCGTCTGTGGTCGGGCGGTTCGTTCCTGAGCCCACAAGCCATGGTTGCTGCAGGACGAGTTATGTTGATCGAACTCACTCCAACGCCTCCACCTCCGCCAAGTGCCATGGCATCTTCTGTGGTGTCCTTTGAACACTTCCTCCACTCTCTGCCCCGTAGGCCGACGTTGTTCATCCACACCCACTCCATCGTCTGTCTCAGAATCCGATTTCAGGAACCAACATGACATTTTGTACTTCCACTTTTTGACCTCCTCGTTCCCTTCTCGGCCAAACGAAGAACTCTTTCCTTGAAAAAGACGACGGGCACAGCGAGCGGGAGGTTTTATACCCCTAAAAGGTATTAAGCCTCGTGCCATCAACGTGATACTCACATGACTTCTGCACCAATGGATTGCTAGCGAGCGGAGGAGTGAAATAATATTCGCGTGGTGCGCACGTGCTCGTTCCCCACAGTCCTGCGTAAGTTTGGGCACTCTCTTACCACTGCTTAGGGTACCCCTATAGGCTTTCAGAACTCCGAACACGGTGTCAAGGACGATGTAGCGAAGATTAGGTAGTCCTTTGATTGGCTGGCTAGATGCTAGCTAGGCTACTCCTCACGGCGGTGTTGAGTGAGCAAGAGCCACACTCAGGCACTGCCATCTCGATGCGCTGAGACTGAAGACCTATGAACCCATCGTTAAGGTCGATGCAGTGGAGAATGGACTACCTTTGGACTGCCGGAATACAGAACAACGGGGCTACTCCTGACAGTGTCACCGAGCAAGTAAAAGGGAAGCCCCAGCAGCCCTATATCCGACTAGCCAACCTTGCAATCTAGGACTAATGAGCTCCAGAGAGAAGGTGCATAGAAGTACCACTGCTTAAGGTACCCGACTAGCGCTTTTGATGACTCAGCAATTGCAAGACATTTTAAGCGGGTATGGACTCGATCGCCTCCATATAGCTCCCGGACGTTATGACTTGCTTAATGACTAGTCGGCCTTATCGAGGTTCCCTGGTGCCTACCATGTAGACCTCCGGGATTTTAGCTTAGGGGTCCAAGAACATCCAGCCCGGCTCGATCGAACTGGCTTGGGATACACTGAATCGCACATACGCGTTGGTATATTAGACTGCAACTGGAGCCTCAAAGAGAACAAGTTCTTGTCTACCAAAGATGGGAAAGTCAACGCTATAACCTCTTGGACCATTCTTGATGTAGGGACAATCAGGAGAGTAGCCTCACTAGGACAGCCACGAACGTCACCTACCACCTCAGAAAAACAATCACCTTCGACCCCACCTGGAGTGGAGTACTAAGCCGATGGTCCTGCCACTTAGTCAGCGCTTACGCAATGTAAAGCTATTTCCCGCTTCCGGAAGGGGATATAAAAGCGTCGACGTGATCTTCGGAACTCACAACCTCTGCACCAAATCTTCTTCCCACAACGCCACCACCACCACCCTAGCTCCAACACAGTACAAAATGTGCACCAAATTCCGCTTCGACGACCTCCCGGGCGAGCTTCGCAACAAAGTATACGCCTACATCCTCAAAGACCCCATCGCCATGAACATCACCCTCAACCCCTCAAACAACCGGCGCATCAAAGTCGCCGGAGCTATCTCTCACAACTCCGCCTCGGCCCTAATCCCCTTCAGCACAATCAGCCAAAAAGCCCGCGACGAATCCCCCGGCCTCTTCTGGGCGCAGAACACCTTCCGCGTGCTCGAACACTTGCACAAGACCCCTCCGCACGAGGTCGCGCGGGCCTTCCTCCTCGCCATCGGACCCACCGGCCGCAAGCTGTTGCAGAACCTAAGCCTCGTCAACGCCGGATCGCTCGTCGCGGCTTTGGGCCCCGACTTCAGGTTCGAAGGCGCCCCCCCCCAGTGGGCGTCCCCGACGTGCACATCCCGACGTATGTTCGCCAGGCGGGCCACAGCCTGCATGTTCTGAGCATCCAGCTTAGCCGGTGCCAGAGTCTTCAGAAGATCTATGTCGAGCTTGAACTGGAAGAGGTGTTTTCGTGGTTGGCGAGTGGGCCGGGTGAGCTCGTGCGGTGGCAGCAGCAACGCCTGGCGGGCGCTGGGAGGATGCGTCAACCGGCGGGATCGGCAGGGGAGGGGAGCTTGGCGCGGACGTACGACACTACTCCGTTGAGCTTGTGGGTGTCTGTTGCTCGTGCGTCGCGGCTTAAGAAGTTGGAGATCGCGTGGAAGCCGTTGGACGATGCGGCGGCGGACTTGTTTGTGAATGGGGGGAGGAGGGATTGGTGGAGGCAATCGTCAACTGACGAGCTTAAAGGCGCCGCTGTGGAGTATCTGCGGGCGTACTTAGAGCCCGGTTGCAGCTTCGTCGTTGTCGTCGCAGAGGAGCCATTTGGGATTTGACCTAGAGGTAGACGTTGAAATTCAGAGGTGATGCTGGAATTCAGAGGTGATGTTGGAATTCAAAATACCAAACAATACTGGTTAAAACAAGCTGTTTGAGACGATGCAAACAAACCCATCTGTAGCCTACATTAGATAAATCAACTGCCCTCCTGTGGAGGCTACGGCTTTCTGTAATTCAACATAGACCCGATCGCGTTCGACGTCTATCTCAACCCTCACAACACGCCGCCCTACAACGTCGTCAACCCTGCCAACGGCACCAACACGCACTTCAAGGTCACCGGAGCCGCGACTAACCACTCCGCATCCGCCCTGATCGCCTTCAGCATCATCTGCCGCAAAGTACACTAGGACTCCACCACTTTCTTCTGGCTACAAAACACCTTCCGCGTCCTGGAGAACGCGCACAAGACCGAACCGCACCAGAACACCGGCGCTTTCCTGGCAGCCATCGGGCCTCTTGGTCGGAGCCTACTGAAGAGCCTCAAGCTCATCAACGTCGGCCCCATCAACGAAGGTTACTGCCCGGACTTCCAGCACTTCGGTGAGGGGCAAGTCGGCATGTACATTTGCGAGGTCAGCCGCAATCTCCACGTCACGACTACCCAGCTCGGTCGGTGCCAGAATCTTCAGCGACTGTACGTCGACATCGACTTAGCCGAGGTTTTCTCCAGGTTGACTGTCCACGCTCACAAGCTACGATCGTGGCGCGAGGGACGCGTAGCAGCAGCATCGGCATCGGCAGAGAAGGACTCAGAGGGATCGACTCGGCCAGCGAAACGCCGGCGCGTGGAAGAAGCGAAGCGGCCGGACACCCCTCTCAACATGCGGATCTCCGCGGCCCAGACCTGCGGACTCAAGCAGCTGGAGGTTACGTGGGACGCGAGCAACCGGGGGGCTAAAAATCTGTTCGCAGGCGATAGGCAGTACGATTGGGGAGAGCCGCCTCACGAGGAGCCCAAAGCGGCAGTCTTGGGCTACCTCCGTGCCTTTCTAGAGCCCGGTTGTGAAGTGGTGGTCGTCGTGGAGGACATCGTTGAGGGTGATTTCGTGCATCCAGTCGAATAGTAGGGATAGCTCCAAGTCGGAGGATTTTGGGGACCCTAAAGGATCAGTATCGGTTCTTTGACGCGTTGTGATGTAGTAGGAATTATACGAGAGGATGACCCAGGCACTTAAGGACATCAGGGGAACCTTTGAATGCTTACTTGTTTCCTGGAGATTCGAGACGGACTGGGCCCGAGGACCCCAGGTAAAGATTGTACTGAGCTATGTGCTCTTTGGTCATGAGATAGACTTTAAATAGAACCTTTGGAGAAAAACTTTCCTCCATTACACATGACGGCACTTCTCAATACTCGATTCATTACATCAACCATGTTAGCAGTCAGTAGAGACGTTGAGACCCTAAACTAGGAAACTTACGTCTCAAATAAATATTCAGAGTGCGGTGGATCCGCCTCTGTAGTGATATGTCCCTGTTATCGATTCTAGACTTCTAAATTCTACCGGAGCACTGCTGGCATTAGTGAACACTAGAGGCCTCTCGTAATAAGACAGGCCCAATATGGTAATAAATATAATTATGAAGTTGATAGGATATGGGTATCAAGAGTATCAACACCCTCCATGAACGCCCGAGGATCAAAATGAGAGAGAGAAGCCATGTAGATGAGGTCCGTTTGTAGTAGCCGAGTGGAGGGGCAGGTTGCTCGATCCTGCTGAAACCCAATTCGTCCAGACTCGTGAAAATGCATCGAAGCCGTAACCGATGGCGTGCCAGTAGAAAGAGAGTGCACCTTTAACCCTGCTTACCAACATAGGCAGACTGCCTACGCCTCCTGCTCCCAATCACACACTCGAAGCACCAAGCAATACTAGCCAGTATCACCAGCGCTGTAGCCACCCACGTGATGGTCAAAAACTTGGCGCCACGGTGAGCCTCAACGCCGATATGTTTGCCGTACTTATTGACGGTATTGCTCGACTTGTCAATCACGACTGTGACCATAGCAGACGCAATGGCCAGAACGATCCAAGCGAGCGCGGATACCAAGATGTTGACAAGCGCCATAAGCCGGCCACTGGCGAAGATAGCGGCTAGAGCAGCCAGCAGGGCGATGAAAGTGAGGGCGATGCCGGCGCAGTAGAAGCCAAAGACGACTTTTTGAAGAATATGGACCGTCTTGATGCCCTTTTGAATGTCGTCGGGCCAGTCCAGCTCTTTCAGAGTGACGTTGATGCCGTTATCTCTTAGACTGGTCTCCAAAGCGGCAGTGGGGTCGAATTCGTAGCCAGCAGTCGTGTTCATGCATTTGGTAACGTTCTTGTGGATGTCCTTGTGCGATACGGTCGCGTTGACGAGGGGACCCGGGACGTAGGAACCGTAGCAGTAGTCGAGGATGTGGGCGCTGTAGAAGTCTTCTAAGCCAAGCTCCTTTGCTAGATCGCCCACGAGATCGTCGATTTCGCCATTGAAGGCGTTTGTGAGGTTGTGGAAGAGGACCGAGAAGGGGTCGTTGGGGTTGCCAGCGGTTGACGAATTCAGCAGGTTTTGGCCAATACGTGAGGTGTTGAGCTGGTGGTTCGAAGTCAGCGTGGCATGGGAGGTTTTGAGGGCAACGCTTACAGTGACGAGGTGATAGTTCTCCATGAAGTCCCTCTTGTGCCCTGCGAAGAGACACAGAAACGTGAGTACCAGTGACCCAGCGCAGAAGAGCGCCGGTACGAGGGCGGTAGGACGCATCGTGTTGGAATGCTAACGACACTAGATTGTATGCGTGCTGTCAGGAGTATGTACGGACTTCTTAGTAGTAGTAGATGGTGAGCGAGTGAGTGGCCTAAATGTGACTGGCACCAAGGAGCGTATATAAAAAGGGCAGCCAACGTCACTGCACAATGCATTCCATGGGCGTGGACCTGGACCTGGACCTGGGGCCCACAAACAAGGAACGCAACTTCTCTAGCCTCGTGTTTCCACGAGCCAGCCACCAGCCACCGCTACAGCGGCTCGAATAGGCCAAGTGTTGTGACGTGTCGCGAGATGGGCGCGCTGGACGTCGACGATGGCGGTTGAGAGGTGCGAGTTGACTGGTCTTGCGCCAGGGGCAAACGTCATGAAGCGCCAGGGTCCAAACCTTGTTTCATCCCTGCCACCATGCCCAGCCACATCAACTCTCCACTCTCGACCCAGGAAATGACATCCCACATCACGCTGAAGTTTATTCAAAGGGAACAGATCTGCGAGTTTCTATGTTCGCGCGGTAGCAACTCTCCGTCGGCTAATTGAGTTCTGCTTGAAGATGAGGCAGAGATTTCCTTGGCAACATTGATTCAACCGCAGCACAGTGACAGTCCGGCACTGCTATTACTTTGGATCGTACCCACAACACCGACGAACCACTCATGTGGCTATGGAAATATCTACGCATGCAGACTGAGCCTCACCGTTGTGGGTTTCTGTGTCTTTAGTGCTCAGACGCGTTCGCTCCACCTCCAGTAAAGTTCACGCGGCAGAAGCACGAATAGAAATCTCCTCGAGCTTGAAACCCTCTCAACTATCTATTACAAAGTGGAGACAATTCCTACCTTTGTAGTATTGGACAAGGTGCCCCAGGTGGAGCTTACGCGGACTGCATATCGCCACACCACAGCCACAGCTCTATTCGACGATCCCCCGCACCCCGTCCACCACCTGCATGATGCCGTTTGAAACAGACTACGACCGCGCATAAACCCTATCTCGAATACCATCCACGTCGTCGTTTGGTGACATTGAAAAATCCTGTAAAGCTCACTTATGCTGCTGCATCTGCGGGGAGTGAGCCAGAATTATGTATGCCCCTGCTCTTTGCATGGCGAGGGCGCGATCTCGGAAGGCAGAATAAATTCGTAAAGTGCTCTAGTGGAATAGATCACATGACAGTCACGTGCCTTGCCCATTTCTTCCGCCCGCGATCTATAAAGCCTCTTTCCCACCTCTTTCCTCAGTTTCTACAGAGAAGGGAAAGTAGAGCTGCTAGGCATTCGAAATATCGACGAATTGTGCGCATATGAGTTCGGTGTGGTCGCCGTCAACATCTTGAACGTCAGTCTGATGGCCGGGAAAGTCTGCGCTCTCTTCAAAATGCGGTGTCTGCAAGCGTGATGGCTTGGAGGCTTCAGAACGATCAGGACATGGATTTTGATGAGTACCGGTGGGGGAGAAGGGAGTGGAGAGGGCAGATTTGAGTGATGAGGAGCAGCACCGAGGTATTTTTCTGACCTGCATTGCGAGTTTAGGAATATGCGGGATGGGATTGGTTGATATCAAGGAAAGTGGTGGATGGCGGTGTGTATCATCGCTGTGGTTTTTTACGTAGGTGATGGCAGCGGAGGTAGTTATTGAGGCTAGTGCATAGACCTTCCGTACGTAGTTAGCGCTCTGCTAAGCGAGGAAAACCAACCCCTCGCTCATCGCCAGCCCTCATACACCACAAAGTCGCGATGCTAGATGCGTTTTCACGCGTTTAAATTTAGCAACCAACATGCCCCGTTGGCCTTACAAAAATACGGATTTACGCCATCATACGAGCAAGCGGAGGGCAAGGAAGCTTAAAAAATGGGTGACGATTTCTACAGAAGCAGTTCTTACAACTAATGCAATTCTCGCTTTAGAGGCAGCAAAGCAGGCAACAGCAGACGCTGCAGCTGCTGCAAAAGCAGCTAAGACAGCTGCTAGCGCTATTAAGCAGCTTGCAAAGGACAAAGAAGCCGTTCAGCTACAGCTAAGGAAGGACGCTCGAGCTATCGCCAAGACTACACGAGAATTACAGGCCGCTGCCGAACGCGCATCAGGTGAAGCAGGCAAAGCTGCTAAGCAGGCAGAGAGGGCCTGTATAGCAGCAGATAAAATAGCACGTGCGAAGCAAACTACAGAGGCAGTTGCTGAGGCCCTACGAGCTAAGGAAGCGGAACACGCTGCGCAGCAGCTCGTGTAGCAGCAATTAGGTGCGCTTGAGCATGCCGAGCAGCAGTTAGCTACTGCTAAGCAGCGAGTTAGATGCTGCTGCACGAGCTGCTAAGGCCGCTAAGCAGGCAAAGGGTGATAGCAGTAGTGATGAGGATGCAGTAGAGAGCGATGGCAGCACGGAGAGCGAGGACAACGACGTATAACTACTCTACCAAATTATTTGCTACATACGGAAGCTCCATACAAACGTAGAGCTTCAAAAACCGTGAATATTCCTTGTCTTAGTGTTATTCTGCGTGATTGTGTGTGGAAATGCTGGTGTCATACAAATCTTTGGTGTTCGCGGCACTAGTTAAGCTACGGAGTAGACTTAGCCGCAATAACCCCGTCACCTACGTTATGCTAACTACCAATCCTCCGCCATTCGCTCGCTCGTACGATGGTTTCGATCTCCCCAGTACCTTTATAATCCGACAGCCATTAGTAGTGCCAGTGTACGGTTTTTGAACAAGCACATCAAAGTTCGTCGTGCTCTTTGTTGATACACCTCAAAACCTCAACCCATCGACCTACCACATCGTTAGATACGAGATATATAGCAAAAGATCTTCGATTGCCTAATCATCACGTGAGTATCCCTTGAGCACGTGAACTCCTTTCAACTTCTTCAAACCGTCTAAACTACCGACCACTTGACCCCTATCACGCTCCTCCTCGCCTCAAACTCCCCAACCCTGTACACCGCATTCCTAACCATCAGCACCGGTTCCGCATGCATCAGCCCCACCAACTCCTCCACGTATACCATACCTACCGCAAGCACCAAGAAAAAGAGCAGTTTAACCCACCACCTCCTCCACGCACTCTGCACCCTACCTCGAAATACAAGATTCCGTGACGTGCGCAGCACAGGCGCTACCACTCCCTCCGCCCGCCATCGCACCGAGGTCGCCGTCTCAACAGCCCACCCGCCCACAGCACTTACGCCCTCAAAGACCGCACTCACGAGCTGGTAAAGGGGCATCCACAGCGCTCCCATCATCGGCAGCACACCCACAACTTCCCACCCCACCGCGCCCCCAATCACAAGATCAAACACATTAACCCCATCCACCGCCCACCGCGTGAGGCACGACAGCCCCACCAAGCCCCCATAGCCCACAACGCGGTAGAGCAACGACCGCGGGAACCGCGTCCACAGCGCATACAGCGGCCGCCCGATGCCTATGAGCACGAGCAGGTAGTGGACCAGCCGGCCGAAGGGCAGGTACCAGAGCAGCGCGCCCAGGACGCCAGCTCCCGCGGCCCAGAGCAGGAGGCTCTGCAGCGGCAGCCAGGACAGCCAGGACCGCGATGGCTGGCGGAACGGCGGTCTGGGGGCAGGTCGCTGTTGGGCGGCGGCCGCGATGCTCGCCACGATTTCCTCAGCGACCTGGCTCGCGATCTCGGCTGCGAGGAGAGCTTCGTCTGTCGTGGCGGAGACGCTGCGGGCGGGGTTGGGCGAGGGGCGGGATGGAGGCTGGGGAGACTTTGGCCAGGCGCCAGGCGGTGGCGGGCCTAGCAGATCTATGGGCGGCGGGTGGATGATGATCTGGAGGGGTTGGGGCCTGGGGGGCTCCCAGGGAGCGTCTGGCCGGTCGGGTTGGTCGGGTGTGCCAGGCTGCTCGACGTCGTCGTCTGGGGCGCCAACCAACCATTTACTCAGAAGCTGCCAGGGGCGCCATAAGCTACGATCCGGTGGTAGCTCTGGCCAGTCGTTCGGGAGCAGGTCGTAGAGGTTTGCGGGGAGGGGGTCGATTTCTGGCCGGAGAACGGCGGCTCTGATTACGGGATGTTCCCACAGGTCTGGATATTGGGGGTTCCGAGGTAACGACAGTGATGCGCCCGAGTTACGATTGTCCTGTTTGCGATTGCCCTTCCTTCTAACCACTAGATGGTCCCTTAAATCTGGATATCGAGGATCACGACTTGACAAGGTCACCTGACAGTAGCCAATGACGCCACCGTTTTCATCCCTAATCTCGCCCTTGTCACCGACAATACGCCTAGCAAGCTCTTTGACATCACCTAGCCAGACCCTGCCAATGATCGTACCATCCGCGTCTCTGACAAGTCCATCCTCATCAACCTTAAGGCCTTCAAGGGGGCGTGCGTCCTGCTCCATCAGTGGCTCATGGTTGATTGGGAAAGGCGTATTAGGGGAGTCGACAGGAGAGCTGAGAACGCTTTGGTAATAAGAATATGCCGGCGGGTAGGCCTGGTCGTCTTGAGATGTGCTGTCTTGCTGCTGGTCGTTGGGAGGCGAAAAGTGTAGAGGCGGCTTACCCAGAGGCGAGTGTCCTGGAGACGGTTTCCGTTGGGGTGTAGTCGCTCTTTTTCCGGGGCCCATTGTCTTTGCCATCAGCTCCCTTGTTAGGGGTGGAGGTCGTTTCTTTGGAGGTGATCTTCGAGGCGGGGTCTTCTCAGGTGAGTTCTCTTGGGGTGGTCTATGTTGAGATTCGGCAGGAGCAGGATCGCTCGGAGTGGGGTCTGTTAGAGTAAGACTATCATGAGCTGCGCCAGTGTGAGGCGGAGGTTCGTCGCTTTGAGGGGTCTCTCTAGGATATGGGGTCGCAGGTCTTGGAGGTAGACCGCTTTCGTACCTCAGTCTCTTCCTTAGATCTTCGATGGTAGCTGGGTGATCAAATCGTACCTTCTTCACCTTGGGCTTTACACTGGCAGCAGGAAGCGCACGACCTCTCAATACATGATCAAGGACTTCCCAAGTCTGTCTCAGCGAACGAATCGAAGAATTGGAACTAGTTCAAAGATCATCAGTAAAACACATAAATTTTAGACTACTTAACTTACCTGGTCTGAGTTGGAGAAGGCGGAGAGTTCATGCCAAAAACCTCCTTGAATTCTTGATCTGGGTCTAAGAAGACCGTCTTGGGAGCCGATAGCTCCCTCGGCTTGTAAGGGTTGTATCTGCAAAGGTAGTATGCGTAGACTGCATACCTCATCTCGAAGTGCCCGGCCTCAATTTCATCCATCGCGCTCAACAGCCAAACGAGGTTCCTGCTGAAATTCTTCTTGAGCTCCTTCCCAACATTCGATGATGGACGATATTGATCAACTCTGTACTGAACCCTTTGGGACAGAACCCTTATTAGATTTTCATGATTCTTCTTTCGTTCTGCTGGAAAATCTGACGCGGTCGCAGCAAAGTGCACGCACATGGGTATATGGAATTCCTTGAAATGCTGCACCAAACGATGAAGGCTGATGTGCTCATTCGTTTGCTTTAACTTGTCATTCGCCTTCGTGAAATGGCAACTTGGACCGCAGTCATGGAATGGAGGTTTTCTGAGGTCATACCTCGCCTTACCCAAGAGCTTCAGTATCGCTTGAAACTCCGAGGCGTCGTTCAGAATCTCTTGTCCAAACGAAAGATCTTCCGGCTCGGGATTGATTTCGGCAGCCCATTTCAGTAACCCGGCGACCACTTCTGTCTCGATCCTACGAGTTAGATTAGTGCAGTCCTGCTCATTGATGTCATCTCTTTTAGCAGACACAAATTGCTTGACGATTGGTTTGATCTCCTGCTCTAGACGGACGCGGATGTCAAAGAGGCCCGATAGGATGTTCACTCGTAAAGTCGAGGATGGTTTGCCTGGCTCTGGTAGCTTGACCGTATTGTGGATTATAATCGCCCGCACTAGCTTATCCTCGGTTCCCGTGCTAAATTGTGTGTCTTTCTCCCACAATTGGCCGTCTTGGCCAAGGATACAGGGGCGGCCTCCTGCTTTCACACGTAGAAAGTGAGTAAGGACGTTGTCCATTTCCGTATAGAAGGCATGCAGCGTCGGTGCACACTCTTCCGATTCCCAGAATCCCCTAAGTTCATTTAAAATCATTTTCTGTACACTTTGGGCGGTCTTGGCAATACTGTCTTGTCCTATTTTCAATTGGAATGCTTCTGGGTTGCAGCAAAAATAGCGAAGCTGATCGAGGATATACGGGCTTCTCCAAAAAGCTTCTAGGGCGGCCAGATGTTGGAGTGTACGGATATCGGATGGATGTACTGTGATCCCCGCTTCTCGTATCGTTTCTTCTGCTGGCTGTATGTATACATGTAACTGTTTCGTATTGCCACTACCACCGTGAGCAACCTCAATAAATGGATTTGATGCTTCTGACACGGAAGAATTTATGGGCGGTGACGATGGAGGCTGGAATCTCGATTGTGGCATCGTAGGATCGACGGTAGGTACCCAAGGCTTGTAACCAAGAGGTTCGAGATCTGATACCTCCGGCTGCGGTTCCCAGACTACCTTTCTTTTGGCTCGGGTACTGCTTGAAATCAAGGTATTTCCTGACGTTGTATCATTATTTGAAGATTCGCTGATTTGCGAAGTCCTTCCGTTGACAGACGCGGCAAGGCGTCTGGCCCTCCCCATTCGCTCCTTCCTAATGCGCTCTTTCTCTGGCCATTCCCAAAGCGGTGCTGCTGTCTCTACTCGCTTGACAGGACTGAATTGATGGCCATCGTAGGAGTGGAAGAGGTACTCTCTGCGTGGATGAGGCTCGTTTCTTCGCTCAGGATAGGGTTGGAAAAGGCACTCTTGGCGTGACATCGCTTCGAAGGTGATTGAAAGGCTTGGTAGTATATTTACTCACTCCAAGAAGGAGTGGAGTTCAAGATGCTGCGATGTTCGTGTAAAGAGATCGCGAATGGTCGCACATGAAAGGTTAAATGCCAAAGTTGAAAAAGTCGAAAAGTATAGAAATAGTGAAGAGCACGAAATTTGAGAGGCGTTGTTGCGATTACCTCTGAAGTTACTCAAAGCAAAGTGATTTTCGACTATTTTCTTTGTTACCTTTGTGACAACCAAAACGAACAAAGGCCCTCGACCCCGAGAATAAGTAGAGAACAATAGAACAAAGATCGCCAAACAATAGAAGTGTTCAACTCCGCGCTTAGAAAGGAGCAGTTCGGTCGCTAATGCTAGAGATTGGGCCATAATCCGCAAGGCCTCAGAACGGGGCCGGTATGTCCATCCGCTCACATGCTTGTATATACACCTCCCTCCCTAATTCCGCTAACGTGTCATCAGTTTCATTGTGCAGCTGGTGCTTGTGGGTGTTGCTATTGTAGAAAAGCTTCGCTATGCAAATGCCGTGCCGCAAATCTTGAGGATATGGAGAGGATATGGAGAGGACGTCGAGGGCGCGACTAGGACGCTGGGAGGCATAGAGAGTATAAGGTTAGTACTATCAATCTTAGAGTAAGAATGCCTCCATATGTTGGAGTAGAGGTGGGCATGTGTAGGCCGTAGTGCTGTGGGTAGAGGTGGAGGTACAGTCGGTTGACAAAAGTCTGCTCCGAGCACGCGCACGGGCCCAGAAAATCAAATTCCACCCCAATACAAGATGAATCATAGAACAACGTCTATATAGCCTGTGATGCAGATTCTTGGTGTTTCTAACATATACAACCCCACCCCAGCCTAGTACTTTGTCTGCCAGCCCTTGGCCTTCCTCACTGCCTCCAGGCGCTGTGGCATGCTCTCAATCAGGCTCCTGATGAGTGAATTAGGAAGCTTCAGCCATGCCTCCTTTAAAGCAGCCTTCAAGGCATCCCAGTCTGCTTCTGAATGGCCTATTGTGGCCAGCTCAGGATGGAACTTGTGAACCATCTTTTTGAGCGCCCACCACATATGCCTACTGGGGTTCAAGTCGGGTGAATAGGGGGGCCAGTCGAGCGTCCAAATGCCATGAGTTTCCAGCCATTCCTGGGTCCATTTGGAGTTGTGAATTGGTGTATAATCTTGCATGAAGATGTGACCAGGCAAGTACTTAGGCAGAAGACCCTCCTCCAGCGTCCTGGTGTAGCTTCTTCCTGAATACCCATTCTTCTTAGATGCAAAGTCCCTCTCCATGATGATCAATGGTGACCGCCCAACCCGGCCATTTGGGGTTACCCAGATGGCCGCCCAGACCATCTGAGGCATCCTCTTGCTCTTCTCTTCCTCTGTAATCATCTTGGGGTTATATTTCTCCCCAGGAAACCGGAAGCACCACTCTGCTTGCTCTCCAGAACCCCGCTGTACTGAGCACTCGTCTGTGAACTTAACAACCCTCCTCTTCCATTGGAAATGCTTGTGTTTCTTAGCAAACCTAAGCCTTAAAGCTACATGGGCAGCATTCAGCTTTGGTCTCTTTATACAACGGTGATTCCTAAACCCTTGTTTCTGCAGCTCCCGGGCAATGGTCCTCTTTGAAGGGGGGTGGAGGCGCTGAAGGAGGCCAGCTTCTTTCATCAGCTGGGAATACTCCATTTTTGGGGTTTTTCGTGCAATTTGAAAGACCAATCGCTTCTCCCGACATGAGAGTGCCTCTGGTCGACCACTCCGGGGTAGGCTCTCTGTGGTGTGGTGGAGTTTTTGGCGCTTGATTGTCATGTAGATGGTTCGTGGATTGCAGCTGAATTCCTCTGCCAGATCTTTGTTGGAAACACCACCTTCATGCTTTGCAATAATGGCTGCGCGTGCCTTGGACGAAAGCTCCCTATTCCCTCTTGCATTCCCACTGATTTTCGGGCCAGAGGAGCGTCGAGGCATGGTGGTGGTGGTGGTGATGGAAGGTGTCGCGTTTGGAAGGCGACGCGTTTTTGGTGGGGCAGTGCACGGTTCATCGGAGCACACGGCTGGATTGTCATAAATGCCAAGTCTAGTCACGTGAACTCTACATTCTCTTCACGACCTCATACCAACTGTCGTGGAGACGGTGCCTGTCCCAAGCAGGGATGCGCTTCAATCACATTCAAGCACCCTGTCAATCTGAGATACTATATATCAATTGCATTCATATATAACCGATGAACTCCTGCGAAGCCCGAACCTAGAGAAGTGTACCTAGATAATTACATCATGAAGAAGCAAGCTACACTAGCATTACAGCGACCTCAAGTATCCAAAGAAATGAATCATGAAAGATCATGATCGAAAAGTGAAAATAATCATAGAAAGTCGTAAATCTGAACCACAAAACGCCGGTAAGTAGCCAACCTCGAACCAGTACCATGCAATGCTACCCCAACAGAGAACAGATCAAGACGCGAGAGCACAGCTTGATGACCCAAACGCCGTAGATATATCATAGTCAGGAAGTCGCGGCAATAAGAACATCGAACGAGATAGGGCAAATCTACATCATAGGCACAGGCTGCGGCATGTATTGTATATCAAACTGCTGCTGTGCATCGAATTCAAAGGCGGGATACAGCGAGGCGTTGGTATCAAGATTCAAATCTTGCTGCAGAGAGTTGAAGTCGTTAAGCTGAGGCTGCTGAAACGAGTTCGCAAACGACGAGGCGAAGGCGGTCTGACCGCTCTCTGCAAATTGACTGTACTCGATAGGTTGCGAGGCAGAATGCGACATGGTGTAAGAGGCATCAACGTCGTACGACTGAGTGGCGGTGTTGGCGTTGGAATCGGGATAGTTGGGCGAGGTGCCGAATTGTTCTTGGTCTTGCATGAGGTTGTCATCATCCGACCCAGAGTCGTCAGAAGCAGTACCGGCAACAAGAATTTCCTTGATCCAATGTGCCTTCAGAACCTCCATAGGGGGGTCGTCTCCTCCTCCTTTGCCACCACGCTTCTCATCGTGCTTGCCCTTGCGGCCGCGCTTTCGGGGATGGAAATGTGCACGACGAAGGTGCGCAGCGACGTTGTAGTACGCTCCGTACTGTTTGCCAGCTTTACATTGCTTGCAGTTGGCGAGGAACTTCTTGTCGGCCGAGGCATCTACAGTAACCCATACTTTTCTCACAGCAGCATGCGCACGTTCGGTGTGGCGGCGAAGTTCGTGGTCACCGCGAAACCCTTCTGGGTACTCGCGGCAGTGAGGGCACATTACTTTGGGGTGCTGTGGTCGGACGTAGGGAGCTTTAGTGATTTGAGCAACGTCTTTCGACGATCCGTCTTGAGATTGAACTCGCATCATCTTAGTTGATGACGATGCATGGCGTGCCGAATGAGAGGCCGCTGAGTGTTTCTGAATTGCCTTTGGAGCAATCGGACGGGAGCCGTGAGCGAGTTGCTCTTGGCGGCGACGCGAGTTTCGAGAGTTACTCGAGTTCGAGGACTTGTTGCTCTCAATGGACGTCGACCTTTTCATATCCTCCACCAGGTCCGACGTTTGCTGAAAAGAAGAAGAGCGTGCTGACGCACTGAAAGGAAATTGCGAAGGGGAAAAAACAGGTGCGCCGATAGGATTTGTGGTCCTATCGGTGTAATCGGAAAGACCAAGGAAAAGAGGAGGTTCAGTATCAGACAGGCTGATAGTTTTTACATCATAAGGAGAAGAGTAAGCAGGTTCCTCGGAAAAGGAATCAGAAAATTGCGAGTTCTTTCGCGATAAAGAAACATCACCGAACAGGGTGCAGTAGCTTGCCTCACGACTCATGTCACTCGCGAGAGTGGATGCAGTCGTGAGCTCACCAGTTGATGTGCAGGGGGATACAGAGCCGTCAAATGACTGGCCCCAAGAGGGAATGGAGTCGTGCTTGATTGAGATGGATGGCGTTTGAGTCGAGTTTGTCGAGGGGCCAAAGTGCGCGTTGACGTACTCGGAAGGGTCGTACTCGTTGATCTCGCTGATTGTCTGGATGTTTGCTTGATTTGGGGAGAAGGACGTGTTGGGGCTAATAGTGTAGCCGTCGAACGAGAATGCATCGTCATTAGCTGAATAGGACGAAGGAGACCTTGACATAGAGACGGCTGCAGGAGCCGACTGTACGGAGAGGCCTTCAGTGCGATTCATGGTGTTGAGCGTGTCGATGCCCTGCGGATGGTTAGATGGAGGAGGTTCCGACCAAAGACTAGAGGAGGATAGTCATACGAGGTTCGAATTCCGGATGCTCGAGGATCCATGATAGGACATGGTCCGTGGAATGCGTGCGTCGGGTCGTAGTGAAGAGACATTGTCGCTGGCGATGAGCGAGCTGAGCTCGGCTTTTCGTTGTTCCCAAAGATGTTGGCGGTCGCGTGTTGGTAGGTGTGCGTTTTGATTCCAGACGGTTTGTCTCTCATGCTCGAGGAGACGACGAAGAGTAGACTCCATGATGGCCACAGCGATGAGGTATGATGCTAGAGCGAGATGCTGGTACGATCAACAGTGGCAGATCCAGATAGGGGCCAGGTAACAGTGCGCTGGCCTAAGGGTGAAGCCGTAAGAAGTGGTGATGCGAATTATGACGGGGAGAAAGTCAGGGCGAGCAAGAGATGTGAAGGGGGTTGGTGGGAGGAGCGGGCTTATGTTGGTGAGCGACAAGCCGGATGTGCTGGCAGCGCTCAGAGCCCGGGCTTGTGCAAGGGGGACGCGGCCAGCGCTGTTGATCGCACCTCGTTGGCCGCCGGACTGCCCGGCTGGCCTCGCAACGGCATCTTGCCAGCGATCCGACATGGGCGAGACGGGTGGATTGGCTGTGCGTGGGCGAGCCGGGCCGCGATTCGCCGCTTCATTTTCCAGGCTCGGCATGGCGGCCAAGCTGCCTTTTCGACGCCTTTTCGACGCCTTTTCCTGGTGCAACACCAACACCATCCCGCGCATCGTGGATCAATCGGCGTCGTCCCGTCGCGGCCGCATCCCCATCTTTGCTTTTGCCAGCCCTCGTCTCACCACCTTGGCCGGTGACCTCATGCATCCGGCGCCCTGGATTGGACGACGTCAGCACGGCTGAGCGCCGACTGCATCCACGAGAATTCCCTCATCCGCCCCGTTCGTAAGGCTTTCTTATCCCAAGCCCTACGCTATCGCCCAAACGATTCTGTCTGCATGCGTCCTCGAAACCATCATGATATCACCCTGCACGTGAGCTTACCAGGGGCTTGATACGTGGCCATGGCAGAGCCTCAAGCACCCCCAAGTCACGTTTGCCTTTTCACACTGTTAGTCACGTGGAAGAACATCATCGTCTATTTCTTTTCAACGGAACTCTTCTATTCATTCTATCGCGAGCTACAAGATTGAAGTGGCGGAGCCCAGCAGTCTCCGCAGCTTGATCCTCTGCTGAGGCGTCCTCCCCGCCGACTTCGGAGTGCTCCCACTGCTCAGCTGCCTCGGCGTCCTCGGGCTCGAATGCGGCGAAGGCACCAACACCGACAAGGCAGAGGGCATGAGTGCAGGCGGTGGGGGCGGTCTTCGTGGCAGTGCACGTTTCGGAGGATCGACCAGCTTGTCCCAGTATCTGTCCAATCCTGCATCGTCCGAAGGAGATAAGATGTGGAAGTCCTCGAAAAATCCCACGATCGCGTCGATAACCGCGTCATCTGATGCCCGCCGCGGCTCTGCCTTTACAACAGTGCTCAAGAAAGGATCGAGAGTGGCGATAGATTCTTTGCGCGCAATAGCGGAGACTGTCGTCTCCAGTCGAATCGGTCCTGGAATGTAAACGTGTTGCTGCCACGCTGCCTCTTCCGGTGAGACGATTGTCAGCGTCGAGCCAGTCCGCAGTTTCCAAGCCGGGCTTCCACGTCGCAATCCCCCTGGACAGTGGACTCGTGGCGATGACGTCGATGGGGACGACTTTGCCTGTCCTTTATTCGGTGTGATAGCCTGCAAAGCTGCCCGTTTCTGTGCTGGCGGTGGACTAGGTTTATCAGGCGTCCAGCCTTGATACAGCTCACGCGGTGTCGTGACCACTGACCCTGGCGTCTCTGGTAGAGCCCTCTCGGTGAAATCGACGAGCCCCGTTCTTAGCATCTCCATCCGCCTGCCCTTCAACGCTTCCTGGACGCGTTGTCGACTGGAGAACGAGCGTCGTGTCTGTGGATCCCACCATCCTGCACCAGTTTCATTCGATGAGCCTGAGATATCTCGGAAATGTCGTGTGTTGGGTATTGCTGCTACTCTCCACACGGGCACCTTGGGCTTCAACCCAATTCTTCCGCCCGACACACGCCCGCTCTTTCTTCTGCTGATCCTCGTTCTCGAAGCCAACTGTGGTGATACCGGAATGCGAGTAATCGGGCTGCTCGGACTTACATCCCTGCTATCAGCGTTCTCTTTCTTCGCTCTGCGTGGTGACCGTCTCGCACTGATCGCTCTTCGGGGCGGCTCCGGCGGTAGCGAGACCAGCTTCAGTGGCCCAGGTGGGGCCGTACGAGCCTTCTTGCTCCCAGGCCTTGGTGGGACTGGAGGTGATTGGCGTGTTGTTTGATCTTCAGGAGACGACACGAAGCTTCTCGGGTCTGTAAGACTCAATCGCCGCGGTGTAGAGTCCTCGCTTCCTAGGTAAAGCCTCTGCAGTCCTTCCGTTACGTCCAAAAATTTGAGGGATTCCTCAGAAAACATGTCGTTGGTCCAGTGCATCTCCGAAGACTGGTCGTCGTAAACCGGTTGTTTCCCTTTGTCTATAATTGCCATCGCTGCGGCGGCGTCCATCCGAATTCTGAGTCGCTATGTTTCTCTCGACAAGGGACGAGGCTAATTGAAACGGAAAGGCAGCTCCCAGCTTATGGAAATACTCTATAGGCCAGTAACTTCAGCGTTTGCAGACTCGGTGGGCGTCGGCACGATTTTGAGCGGCGCTCGGTATCAAGAACAAAGAAACACCAACGTCACCTGTTTGCAACGCGTATCACGGCGATTCGAACAAAGAATCTAGAGTAATGTCCTTCCCTACGTACTGAGAAACCCTGCGTGCCGAGAACTCTCCAGTATTTTTTAATATAACAAAGTTAGCAACAACCTTAACATATATATATTCTCGGAATAGAGTCCTTAAATCCTAGGCCTCGTCTCTGCTTTATGTCGACGGTAAATAGCTCCTGCTTACCGTGCAATACCACTATTCATCCTGGCCGTAGCACGGAGCATAGCCCCGGACATCTTCGGATTCGCTAGAAATATTGTTCATCCTGTCGAAAAACTTGTCAAACTACAGATAGATGATAAAAATTCTATGCCGAGCAAAGCGATTTAATCTTAGCAATAATCATGCTTCTAACTATGCGGAGTTATATCACATCAATCGGGTCTAGCTGTATTTCAGCGCTGCTGACGTTCAATTTCCGGGTTTCTAGCGCGACTCGTCTCAAGCCGATAGGCTTAAGGCTGGCTTTGAGCATGACTCGTACAGGACAACCAGCTAGCGTTACTACACGCCCTGGTGTTTTTATATTACCTGCTAGAAAGTATGTGCAGTTTTTGTAGCGTTATAGCTGCGTAAATTCATAAAGCGCACCGTACGTAAATACAGTCCTACCATCCTCTAGACGATCTTATCATTCCCTAGATACCTTCAAGCTTCTGATGCCCGTCTTTCGCCCATCCACGTGACAGCTTCGATCCCTTGCCCGTGTGTATGCTTACGCGTTATTTGGTATCTCAGAAGGACGAGCAAATCCGTCCTGTTCTTGCGACGCGCGCATGTCGGCATAGTGCTGGCGACACGCGCGAGAAGTTGGATGATCCTTTCCAAGAACGGTGATATACCCAGCGCATGCCCTTTCATACAGAATAACAGACTCGTGGTAGCGTTGCTGATATGCAAGGAGATAAGCAAGGCAGTATATGCTTGTCAGTGTGTCTGGATGCTCCAGCCCAAGCACCTTCTCTCGCCGCGCCAGCGTCTGCCTGTGTATCAATTCCGCCTCCTTATACATGCCTTGCCTAT